ATTTTCGTTGGTGTAATTTCATAAAAAGATATCAGTTTTGTAAAATTTGAAGCTAAATCGAAACTTTTGACAGCCCTCTCCGAAGCCAAGAACAATTTTCTTCGATGCAAACTGGCGTCAAATTCCAACGCCAATGAAAAACGTCAAGATCGGCTGCTGCAACGGACAGGCTTACAATTCGCAGAAGCGATGCTGCTGCCGACGAGTTTCGTTTGATATGGACAAGAAATTCTGCTGCGCCATCAACGTACTTTTCAAAAATACCTTTGCAAAGTTACTAAAATGGTGATTTCTAGGGTTGCGAAAGCTTCAAGATCATGAATAGAGGCAGCATTCAGGACTACAACGATTGTCTTTCTCTTGATGGTAAGACAAATTATCGATACCTACACCCTTAATCCTTCTTTTCGCTCTTTTATCAACCAATTTTCAGGTCTCGTCGTGCAGGAATACGGCTACCAAGGTCAACGAGGACAGCCCAAGATCTTCGGAAACGACCGAAGCCGAAACTAAACCCCTTCCACCGAGCAGTATCCGGAAAGTGGCAACAATCAGGGCGTAAGAGGTTAAAATCAGTCGCAGTACAAACAAAGCCCCCTTGACTAAATTTCCTTGAAGTCCTGTTTCGCGTCTCCTTTTCCGTAGTTTTATATTTTGCGCTTTCAAAAAAGACTTCTTCAATTTTCAAACGAAATCTCGCCGATTTTTTTTTATCTTTTTTGCCACATTTTTTTTGTCTTTTTTTTGTAAATTTTTTGTGTTAATTTTTAACTCATCGTCGCGGTCGACAAAATTTCGACCATCCGCGATCATCACAAAACGAAACACGCGAGTACTATTTAAAAAAAGAAAACCATCAACCCTGAATTTCCCAATCCCCAAAAAACTACTTTCACTTTTTGATATAATTTTTCTTGTGTAAATATCGCGCCACTAAGAACATGAATCAAACATGGCAGAACGCACGTCTGTACAGAAGACCACAAGATGGTAGCAGCCGACAAAAAATAACGAAGAAAAAAATGAAGAAAAAACTCATCTTCCACAAAAAACAGCTGCCGCTTTATTTCAATAAATTTCCTGTTTATACCTAAAAATTGATTTTTATAATTTTTTGCATCAAAATTTTGAAACTCGTCTTGAAGAAAATAGGAATCTACAAAAAATAACATTTACTTCCGCTTTCATCCCCATATAATCAAGGCTTCTGAGGGAGAGCAATACAGTGAGAAAGAAATGAGTGCAATTAATGATTTTTACGACAAGCTCCGCCCTGATCAAGTGAACAAGTTCCAATAAATTTTGGAGGATCTGAGAGGGGCCTACGACAACCTTGATCCTGCCGAGAAAGAGTTCTTCGAGTCGAAATACTCAGACGGTTCTGCTGGTGATTGCCCGGTGGTGAGGCTTATTGGTAATGCTGAAGCCTTCGATACAGGTAAATTTTTATTTCGAATTAAAAATGTTTCTAAAAATTTAAATTCTCCCAGAAGCAACAACTGATGGTCAAAGCCATTTTTGTATTCTTTTATAAAAGAAAAATTGTATCTTGAAAGAAAATATGCAATAAAATGATCAAAATAAGACTTCAAGAAAATCAAACCGTTTTTTTTACATGCTAAGTGTATTGAGAAAAGCAAAAGAAGTATCGCCTAAATAAGTGACAATTTGTGTAAGGTGTTTTCGTGAAGATCGTGTTCAATTTCCAAAGCTCAAGAATTTTGAAGATTCTCCATTGTATCGAATATCCAGTCCACATAATTCGAAACTTTAGCGTAAATTCCTGGAAAATTCGGAGCAGCGCAGCCGAAACCCCAAGATACAACACCGTAAACAACGGGTTTTCCAAAAGCTTCGCAGACCAAGGGTCCTCCAGAGTCGCCCTGGCAGGAGTCTTTACCGCCGTCAGTTTGTCCATCGCCATCAAAATCGGGTATTCCAGCGCAAAACTGTGTCTCCCAGGTTGTTGGCTCAAAACTTATCATATTCGTCGCTTCACAGTACTCGTTAGAAAATGTGTAGACGCCGACTTCATTCAAAAGATGACTTGGCTCGTTACCAACCCCATAACCTGCTACCTTGCAGTAAGATCCGTCGGCAACATGGTCTGCTGGAAGACATGCAGGGGATATCTTCGATGCGCAAGTCTCTGGGCCGTCAGGCCCGTACTGATTGATAAGCGACTCCTTGACATTGGGAATTTTCAGAAGACAGATGTCATGAGGAGTTCCAGTCTCGTCAGTACTGTTGAAATCAAAATGATCGTAATTTTCGTGAATTTTGAAGTCTTGCAACTCAAGGTCCAAACTGCAAGGTTCAACACGGTCGATGACTGAGACTCCTAGAAGCACAAGGGCATCATCTATATTTGTACCGAAACAACAGTGTGCAGCAGTCAGCACAAAATCGTGAGAGCCGTCTTCAAACATTGTGATCAATGTTCCTCCGCAGGAGAAATCAAAGTTCGCGTAATAAGGATGCGCATCGATCGGCACATCTGTTCCGCCGATGATTTTTGTAAGAGGTTCGCTCTCGATTGGTTCAAGAGGAGTTTCACAAGTCATGTTTTTCCAAGATGGCTGCTCGAAAGTCGCATTTGGGAAGATTCCAGGACCAGTGGGAAGCGGAGAAGAGTCAGTTGTCGACGTTTCGGTTGGTTCTGTCACAGGAGGTGGAGTGAGAACAAAGCTCTCCATTTCGTTCGCGTCCACAAAGCTTACACTGAAGAAATCGTTTAGCTCAGCGCAACTGCTCCCAGTGTAGTCAAGAACGCCTTTGAGAACGGGATAGTCATCGACAAGGCAGATGAGCCCTCCGCCAGTATCACCAAGACAAGTTTTTGCTGGGTCATTTTCGTCGATCGATTTGAATTCTCCATCCAAAAAGATTAAAACGGCATCACGAAGGACCGTTGCTTGCTCGGGCATGGACTCATCGTAGTCACCGAGGCCAGCTATATAACAGCTTGTTCCACTAAAAATTGTTAAAGCCAGGTAATTGGGCCAAGATTTAACGCCGAAACGCATATCGACCCATTTCCGGGTAAGGCGCAGAAATATGGTTTGAAAGATGGTCATTTTCTAGTGTTAAAACAACACATGAGAGATATTTCAATATTGTAGTCCGGCGTCTGAAGATCATATTTATAGTAAAATATGGGTTGATGTAAGCAAGAAAACGGGTCTACGGGCTCTCAACCAAAAATGGGTCGATATGCGTTCCGGGAAAATTCTATTTCATGCGTTCCAGCGTTAACTCACTCTTCCAACTCCACATCTGATAAGCAAGCTGGCTCAAAACACGATCCGCCAGCACACGAATCTGGGGCGTTGTCAATCAAATTTGGAACCCTAACCATGCACTGTCTGGTTTCAGATAGAATTCCCCATCGATACTCGATGGGATTGATTATGTATTCATCGTTGTCGGGATATTCCAAATCATGAGCGCCAATATGAATGTTGAATCGGGACACACCAAAGAAGCAGCACCACGAGTCTGTCACAAGCCAGTCGTCAGAACCGTCCTCGTATTTTGTCAAAATAGTCAGGCCGCAGTTTTCAGACTCATCAAAGCCCGTCTTCTCGCTCCAAGCAAACCAAGGGTATCTTCCTTTTTTCGTTTCTTGGCCACCAGCGATTTTCGAAGAGCTGCCAGGGCTTGAGCATGTTTTCGTCTTTGGCATGGATAGGGGTGGAAGCTCGAAAGTTTGCTCCCAATCGATCGGCTCTTTGTAGAGTGAATGGAGCATGCATTTGGTGTAGTCTTCGTTGTTGGTTTCTTCATCGATTTGCTAAAAATTGAATTGAGGCTTGGCTGGTTTTGAAAGACAGAGCTTGATTCTCACCTTGGTCATGAAATAGTAATTGGCTTTTGTTACGCATTCTTCCACTGCTTCAAAATCGTGCTGGTCCTCATCGAAATTCACCTCCATCAGCAAAGAGTCACCATTCTCGTTTTTCAGTTCTCGTTGTTTATATCGTCGAGAAAACTGGAGAAAAACGCTTTCTTTCGACTCATGTCTTTCTTTTTTCGGCGCTTGATGTCCTATGAACTGATTTTCGTAGACATCAAGTTGGCGGTCAGAAAATGAGACATGTAGATCTTGCAAGTGAAGATGATGGTCAGTGACGAACTCGCCGCAGTTGGAGATTTTAAACCGAACCATTCCGACGTAATCTTCCTCTGCTGGCAGCCTTGTTTTTCCTTTGAAGTCGACCGAGTAGAGAACAGAACCATATTTTCGACGGATTACCCTGGCCTTTGCTTTTGATGCTTGCTTAGATGGAATTTTGAGCGGATCGAAGAAAATTTTCTTCATAAATATCGAAAATTAATCCCTTTCCTTAAAACCATTGCACTTCTTTTTGCACTTTACTGACGATCCGAAAACTGCTCCATTGTCCGGGTCACAACCTTGCTTGAGTTTTGGAAACTCGCAATAGCTAACTGGCTGGGATGTTTCAGTTGGGCTGAATGAAGTTGTTGATGTAGCAGACGTGGAGATAAAAGTCGTCGAGTGAAACGCACTCGTAGTTAAAAAGAAGGAAGAAAGTAACTTCATCTCTTCTCGAGCGACTCTCGTTCTGACCGCACCCGAACTTTTGCCGTCGTTTTTAAGTGCTTCATGGCTTTGACGAAGTTTAGCAGAAGAAAGAAAATCTTTAATGAACTATTCTGCGGTTTACGGAGATTGATCTTGATATTGTATCCATCGCATTGTATTTGTTTCATGATGTGCGCATGAAAGAACGATGACCTTTGGGAGGTCTTTCTTTTTTTGCTGACCTGTCATCTTGAAATTCTTACAAATAGATGAACCAACAACTTTTACGGAGTGCAACATGTTTTAATTAAACGCTTGTACGGTCAAAACAGTAAAGAAAAGAATGCTTAGTACGCTTTGATTTTTCGGGGAAAAAAAGAAAGAGGGAAAGTTAGGTCAAACATTGGTGAAGGAAACAGGGATTTTTCTAAAGAAGTGACATGTCGATTTCGGCTTAGATGTCAGTATCGTGCCAGCCGTTGAGTTGTTGGTCGGGAGTTTGGTGGCCAGAGCGCGACATTTGGGTCATCGCGGTTGGAGATCGGTGCTCAGAGGGGAGGAGGGATGTTCCTTCGTCGTGGTAGGTCGTCACCTGAAGTTGTTTTAAACGCTGGTACAATGTAAAAGAATGGAGGGAAAGGTTAGTTAGAAATCAAAGGAGGAAAGAAAGGAGTTAGAGAAAGGAGGATAAATCTGGATCCAATCAAGCCAATAATCAAATCGCTCAAATTGTTGAATCATTGAACCTCGGATTTCTGAGCAGCAATAGAAATCATTTCAATATCAGCTTCAGTGAAAACTGTGATGTGCTTTGAATTGTTTGTGGTGCTCATTTTTCGTTGAAAACAAGGAAGAGAACCAGCTAGAATTGCTGAATTCTTTTTCAACAAAATTGCCTATTTAGGTTCTCATCAATTTCCATCTTCGCTTGTTTTTCTGGCGGAGAGCTTCTAGGCTTGGGAACTGCTGATGATCTTCCGGAAGCACGAGCGGATGCATGAGTCGATGCTCGGAGAGTTTGAGGGAGGGAAGCTTTGCTCATTCGGCTGGGGGACTCGCGCACGAACGAGGTGTTTTCGATCCCACTTTCTGGTTTTGGAGTAACTTGAGCTATTTTTTGGTTCAGCAATTTGACCATAAATCTTTACATCCCTTTTTCTTCATTTGAACCGTCCCTGAAGCCTTAGGCTTGTTCTTCGCAGCTTCAAGTCTTGCAATTTCTTCATCAATATTTCTCTCTGCCTCTTTTTGCTTCTCCACAGCAATTTGATATTCTTTCATTTGCTTTTCATATTCTTCTCCAGCGGCTTTGACGGCTTTTTCTGCAGCTTTCTGTCCAAATTCATTCAAAAATCAGTGCCAAAATAAAAATTTGTGATCCGTGCTCTTGCTTTTCCGTGATTTTTTTTAATGATCATTTTTGAACATGCCTGGGCGTCAACCATTCCGAAAATGGGACGTGTTGTGCGGAAAATAGCCTAGTGGAAGTGAAAAAGAAAGGAAAAGAAGAAGGAAGATACAAGAAGTAGGAGAAGGAAGATTGAAAGATTAATTTACCTCGTCGTTGTTGTAGTGATCGTCCAAATCCTCTGGTCGGAAGAGCGAGTTTGTCAGCTCCTGTGAAAGTTGTATCGTTATCACTTTGTTTTCATCCAATTTCGTTTTTACCTGGGAGAGTCGTTTACGGATATCGTGGGGCTTATCTTCAGACATTCGGTACATCGTGGCAGCGGCATAGGTGGCGACGCACTCGTTTGCAGAGTGAAGGAGGGGTTGGAGGATAACAGTGGCGTTTTGAGCTTCGATTTGGTCGGCAGCTTCCTTATCAGTTGCGAGTTCGCACAAAAGACCAGCTAGAAAATTTATTGTAAATTTGAAACTACGTTTTTGAAACATCTTAGAGAATGTCTTTCTTGAGAAAGCATATGATCTTACCTGCGCTTCGCTGCATATTCCCATTCGGAGAAGACAGGAATCGAACAACAGTTGGAATCACATTGGATTGTCGGATGAGCTGTCGATTCATTGGATCTCGCGCCAAGACGTGAAGTGCGCCAGTGGAACCTTCCGCTACATCTTCCGGGACAACTCCATCTTCGTCGTCATCTCGGTAGCCGCGGGACATCTCCCCGTCCGCTCGGAAAAGCAGCTCAATCAATTTCGGAATCGCTCCTGCGTCACGAAGATATTGCTGGTTTGCAGATCCGATGCCCAAGTTTCGGCAGAGGCCAATAACTGCCTTGACGAGTGGGTAGTGAGAGTCAGGGCCAAGGAGCTTCACGAGCGTTGGAATTCCATGTCGAACAGCTTCCTGTGCCGCCTTTGCTTGCTCATGTCGCGATGTCAAATGTCGCAGCGCGCAAATGGCCGGTTCGGTGATGTCATCCCGCTCGACAGCTTGGAGCATCGTTTGAACAAGCGCCTGGACACCGCCAAAGTGGCAAACGAGGGCTTTGTTTCTCGCATTGTTGCAGGTCAAGTTTGAGAGGATTCCAACGCAGCACATGACGATTCCGACATCGTTCGATTCCAAAAGCCGAACAGATCGCTGGAGCAAATCATCCAATCCTTCTTCCTTGGTCGCTTGATCAGAGAGATTTCGAAGCGTCCAGAGACAGTTCATAACGACTCTGTTGGATGGATTATCCAACATTGCGCCGAGAATGTTCATTCCATTGCACTCGATAATCACTTGTTTATTCGAGGTCTCGACAGAAAGGACCTTCAACAAACGACACGTGGTAAATAGAAGCTTTTCATAATCGGCATTGTGCTGGAGAATGCGAATAAGCTGCTGGGTTCCGTGCTTTGAGACGATAATGAGCTTCGATTCTTGGTGCTGAAAGGAGAGCATTTCCAAGCAATCAGTTAAAAGAGCGAGCATTCGAAGTGGAGCATTGTCCTTTGAGAGCAAATCGACCATCTTTTGGACTCCACCAGCCAATCGGACGGCTCGTTTGGCGTCGTCTCCCTGGTGTTGGAGGATGTTGTGGAGTGTGGTGAGGGAGTAATGGACCACTTTTTCGACGGGCGAAGAGAGCATCTTGACAAGAGCGGGAATTCCACCGGATCGGAAAATCGACAAGAGACCCTTTTTCGATCCAGAAATCGCTGTCAAAGTACCAGCCAAGGCCTTGACGGTTTCAGGGTCGTCGTTGGTCGTGAGGACCTTGACGATGGCGGGGATGAGATCGGGACTTTCAATGAGCGCATGTCGCGGGGCTTCTTTTTTCGCAAGTTGGAAAACGGTGCCAGCTGCTTGTCGAGCGACGCCGCGGTCAGGATCTTGCAACAGCTTTTTATTGGGTTGTCAATTTGAATTTGAAAGACGCAGAAAAAAGATGCAGCAAGTAGACTTTCAAAGTCGTAATTTATTAATGAACCCTTGCCTTAATTAGTTCCGGAATGGCAATGGCGGTTACATCGACATCATCCTTGTAGTGGATCAGCATGACAATGGCCTCCTTGAGCAGTTGGCTCGGCTGGGCAAGCTTTTGAACACAGGTGGCCTCTCCAGTTTCGTACTGAGTCGAAACAAAGCTCGATCCGTCGTCAAGAGTTTCGGGAAACATGGCAGCCCGGATCCGATCCGCTCGTGTTCTCACCATGTCTCTGTTTAGGTCAGAAACCTAAATTGGAAAATTTCAAAAAGGTCAAAATGGATATTTTTAAATCTGTGTGAAAATGGTCACGGGTGAGGGAACTCGTGCGCGGGGCTTCGAAAGATGAAACTAATTAACGGCAATTTGAGCTTGATTGATGGAGAATTTTGAATAAACGAAAGGGGGGAGATTGTTTTAGAGCGAAATAAAGACCATAATGTCCCGATAAATATCATTTTTATTTAGTTTTTTTATCAAAAAATGAATGAAAAACGTAATCTATCCTCCTTTACAGCACGATGTGTACCGTCAATAATTTTTCTATTTAATAAATTAATTAAATCTCAATTCAAAAACAAACTTTTTGAAGAAGAAATATTGATTTACCTGTTCATTCGCATACTCATGTTGCCACTCTTCAAACACCTGTCCCATTGTTCTTCAATATTTACTGACAGCTTCTTCTGATTTCTCCTTCTGTAAATATACTTTCTATTTCGTAGCTAATTGAGCAAACTGAGGCTCCCTCTTTGAGCTTTTAGCGTGCGTGAATGGGGAGTAAGTGTCAAAACGCGCGGGAGCGAACCCAAAACTCGCTGTAGCTCTATCTATTGGCCAACTGTGGCTGCTATTGATCGCTCTGGGCAATGTTCGCCCGCTCAATGGGCCCGCGTAGTTTTGAATGATTCAACTCCCAACTCGTGCATAATCATCCTTCTCGATTTTAAAAGAGGCTCTGATCAATTTTTATGTATTGGTCATCAGATCAAAGGATAATCATCCTTCTTGACATTAAAAATAAGCTCTCATCAATTTTTGTTTACCGGGGAGGTTCTTTTATGATAATATTTTTTAGAAATTTATTTCTCGAGCATTATTTTAAAGTAGCGCTTTATTTTCATACGCAATAATCAATATCAACTTTCAAGGCGTCACTGAGGGTGATCCGTCTACGGCAAGCTTTGGAACGTCTTCATCGAAAAGTTGGAAAGAGGAGGCTTTAAGACAGGAGGTGGAGGAAGTTCTAGAGAGGGATCGCTCGTCTCTGGTGTATCTTCTATCGCTACGCTCTGTTGATCATCACCAAACTGGAATGGTTATGCATTTTCATACTGTAAGAGTGGTAAATTGCTCGTCAACTGCGGTCGGTATCGGAATCAAGGAAGAAAACAACTTTGTACAACTTTGTTGGTATATGTATCTAGGTATTGGTGTTTTATTTGAGCTTATTGCTCTTGACTCCTTGAGTGAAGAGTGAGCTGCATGCATAGAAAAGAAGCAGTACCGGTTGTTATCAGTTTGGTTAGGTAAGCGCTCACAGACAGAGTAGATGCAATGACTGACTGTGACGAGAGCTAACACTCACATATACTCTTCTTCCGACTCGTAGTCGGTGCTTCTCGATCTATTCATTTCAGAGGCGATTGTGGTTGCGGAGTAATCTGAGTTCGGAACAGAAACGTAGCTCAAACGATCGTCTTGATCTGAAAAATGTAAAAGTAGACCTGTGGAAAGAAGTAGGCCGCGGACGTAAAAATCTATCACCACCATCGGAGCTTCGTATTGGATCATTCAAAAGCTCTTGGAAAAGGCTTTCTTATGGATAGATAAAAACATGGCCCTAACTCCTAGTAGTTTTGACCTTATATTTATTTCAAATAACTCGAAACTGGGAGTTTTATATAAGTTATAGGTATCACTTTATAGTATTCATATGACCCACATTTTCATTGCGTCGAAGATCTGGGCCAACTTGCGTCTAAATTAATCTATTTTTGATAATTCCAAACACGATGTGCCCCACAAGCATTTGACCTTAATTTCGAGAGAATATGATTATGGCTAAGCAAGTGCCCGTGTTTTTGCAATAAAGAGAGAAACATTGATAGTTGTCTTTTTAAACGAGTCAATTGGCACTTGAAGATCTAGTTCAGATCCTGTCTAAATTCATCTATGGGAGATTTCAAATTTTGCGGACGGGTAAAAAAAATTTTTTTCGTGGTATTTGGTGATTTAAGCCATTTGAAAGAAGTGATAAAAATGCCTTGTGAACGAGGCGAAAACAGGAACGAGCAGCTACAAAACGACCTCGAGATCAGGCGCTGAAAATAAGGCTCATCCCTAACCCGGAAATTTACGAAATTTAGATGTCGAAGTGTAAGGAGAAAAACCTAACCTAACGACCTAACCCTAACTGCATAATGCAGTTTCTTTCTAAAGATCAGTGAGTGCTTAAAATAGGTCACTGTATTGACCGAATCCCCGGATCGAACTGTATTACAGTCGGAGTCCATAATAAGAGACTTTTTCTCAAAATGTCGAAAATCAGCTGCAGTAAAAATCAAATTTAAGGGGAGGTGGTCGCTTTCTTGACTTTTTGAACAAGCATAATTAAAAAATTTTAATTTCTTTAATTCTAATTTCAGGGGATAATAAAGGGTTAAATGAAGAAGTCAACGTGGAAAAATTTCAAAAAATTTTCGAAGATTGAAAAAATTTTCGTCGAAGTGGGCGTTACTCTTAACAAAGGTTACGGCCAAATCCTTAAAAATTGTGAAAATCTAACTGTCAAAAACATTGTTTAAACGAGTACTAAGAAGCAAACGTGGAGAAAAATTGGGTAGTTATGGTGATTTAGGTTGAAAAAGCCAATTTTTGGAGTTTTGTTTTGTTAAAAATTGTCATTTATCATTCACTTTTCAATTTTTCACATTGTGAAATTAGTGAACATTAGTAAATTTTCGAAAAACCGTACTACGTACGTCCCAGAAAAGACAATATTGTTATTGCTTTTTAAAAATAATAGAAAAGATGAGTACTTTCGATGAGTTCGAAATAAATTTTGTTCCAAACAAGCATTTTTTGATTATCGAAATTTGTGTCTATCTGGTAGAGCGCTATGTTGCCCTCGCAAATTCTAGTTGAAGTAAAAACATGCTATGCTCTTTATAAACTCGGGCAAGACCAATTAATTATCAAAAATCCGAGCTCGAGAATGAAGCTTCTGAATTGTATTTTAGCTCAAATAGCTAGCGCCGGCTACTTCCAGCAGTACGCTTCGCTGACTGCCGAAGAACGAGAGAGTCGACGAGTCATTTGCGATGCAAAGATCGACGAGACTCAAGCTGCCTTTCCTATCGAGAACGGATCGTGGGCTTGTCCAGGCTATGGACAAACCAGATCCAAGGTCCGATGCCATCCAACTTGCGGCCAAGGCTTCCTTCCTGACTGGACAGAGAAGTCGATTTCAAAGCCGAAAAAGATGCCGCCCGATTTATGGCTCGATGCGGGGACCCGGCTACGATCGTCAGAAAGTAAGTTTTCGATTTCAGAATCAATTTATATTTTTAATTAAGAAATCTCCCGATCGGAATGGAGCTGAAATGTTCCGCCAAGCCTGCTCATCCATGCATTGCCAGAGCTGCGACGATTGCTATCTCGGACGGCAGACTAGAGCTTGCCAACGTGATCAACAAGAAACGAGCGAGCTACCAGGTTGTCTGCGAAGACGGAAGCGTCAGTGGTCGAGTTCACTGCTTCCAAGGAGTCTTCAACAATCCCAAATGGAACAGAGACGCATGGAAGAGCTCTTGTGTGGGAAAGACAACCACCGTCGCGCCATCCACTGAGCCACCGACGGAGCCACCAACGGAGCCCCCAACTGCGCCACCAACTGAGCCGCCAACTGAGCCGCCGACGGAGCCACCGACGGAGCCAGCAACAACGCTTCCTGCCTGCCGCGACCCATGCCATGGGCTTGCCTCTTGTCAAACCTTCATCAATGGCTGCGAAATCGCACCAAGCAGAAATAACCAGCTCGCAACTGTCTCTTCAGGAAGGGTTTCAATGTTTTGATATCCAAATTTTTTTTTCAAAATTTAAAACAATTGAAATCAATTCTAAGCTTTTAACTACAAATTTTCGGCTGATGTCCTTTGCGATTTGTACGTGACCGGACACCAGGAGAATCTTATTCACGTCAATAGAGGAAACGCCTCTAGCGAAATCGGCGATCGTACGTTTTGTCTTTGGAAACGAATGAATCAAGACACTAAACTAAAATTTGCCGTTACTGACCCTGCCGACCTCTCGAAGTTTGACTACTCGGACGATTATGAGTGTGTTCCTGGCGAATGGACGACGATCTCTGTGGAAGTTCGCCAAGAAGAAGCAGACCCATCTACGCTTCGATTCACCATGAAGATGGGAGACACCCAACTTCATTCCGGCACTTACGCTGCGACAGAGGAATTGAAGAGCTACGATCTCCAAGTTTTCGTTGGAAACCCCTGGGTAAATTCCGCTACCGGCATGCTCGTCCGAAATTTCTACTACCAAACCTTCGAAGAAATCCCAGTTTAAATTCTGGTCTGTTTTTCCACTGTAGTTACATTGCTTCAAAATTTTATTCATTATTCTCGAACTCATTCTTCCTTTATCTTTCGTGATTATCACCGAATAAATTATTCAAGAGCAATAAAATCTTTAATGAAAAAACGAAATTGGCAATTTGAAAATTAAACCGACCAAATTTTTTCATCCAAGAAAATTCCAAATTGAGAGGACTTTTTTGAAAATTTCCATTCAAAATCAGGAAATGTCAGCCGAGCAGTGAATCAATTTCTTTGTTTTTTAGCTTAAGATTTTATTTAATATTAAGAAAAAAATTCGCAAAAAGAGGTGATTTCGCGCTTTTCCCAAAACGAAGTTGAGTAGATCTCCCGCCGAGCCAGCGCGGCCAGACGCGCAGGAGCCACCCTTGACGATATTCACTTGCTTCTGTGACCGTTGAATCTGGACAGCATCATTATCTGTAACATTTTCATCATACGCTTCTTAGGTTGATTGCGTGTGAACGACCCTGGCGGCTAGAAACTGTCTTTTGCGGCTTTTTCAGGGCATTTTTGAGGCTGACTCAAAAAGGTTCAAATTCTTAATAATGTTTATTTTTTTAATTGGAATTTTTATTGAACTAGATAACCGAAAGCAGTTCTTATTTTGTAGTCTCGAAAATTCAGCGATTTTTGATCAAAATTTGACTTCTTTTCTGCAAACTATTTTTCGAAAAAACGGGTTTTTTACTTCAGTTTCATCCAGTCCAATTTTCCTCCTTTTTTTCGACCATTTCCGGCAACCGCATGCGTGCGCTCCCCTGTCAAATGATCTCGATGGAGTGGCCCTTCCGCTATTCTTTAGTAGTGTGTGGCGGTGGTGTTGCATTAATCGCCCAGCTAAGGTCAGCGCAGCACCAAAAATGTCACGCCAAATGGCACCAACGGACTCCACGGAGCTTTGGCTACACAATACATCGAGCCCGAGAGCAACATCATTTTTCCGCGCGCCGCGAAATTTTGATTTACCGCAATGTTTGAAATATTTTCATCCAAAAAGCAAAAATTTGTTCATTTTCGAGCCGGAGAAAGACGAAATTCAAATCTTGTGCGATACAATTACTTAGCCCAAAATCCGACATGCATGAATTTTTGCATTTCCCCTCGATGCGCCCTAATTGGTTTATTGTCTTTCGGACAGCAAGGCGGTAACTCACGAGTTTCAAAATATTCCTACAGAAGGGCTTTAGTTTAAGACCACCCCCGAGCTTTTTTTTACATTCGAGTAAGTTTATTTTCACAGAGAAGTTTTAGATCTTCGTTTGAAACTTGAGTTGTAGCTGGTAATAAAATTTTCGTTCATCTTTTTCACCGAATCTGAAAAGCTTGTTCTCGGCTTTCCGTTTTCTTTTTCTTCCTTTCTGATTGAAGACCCGACTCTTGAAAATCTCCTGTGCTTTGGTTTTGTATAGAAATGATGTCGTAAACTAGAAATTTGATAGAAAGAGAGTTTCTTTTCTGAATTCTGAATTCTGAGCTCGGCAACCACTGTACAAAACCTTTGTCAGGTTTTGAAGAGTTAAAATGAAAAGCCGCGCAACGGCTTTATTCAAAACGAAGCCGCTAAGCGGCTTCGCATTACAATCACTCTTATCTATCTTAAATATTGGCGAAGCCGCTTCGCGGCTTCGTTTTCAAAAAAGCCGCTACGCGGCTTTTCATTTGAACTCTTCAAAACTTGACTCAGGTATTGTACACAGGTTCTTATTGCAAATTAGTTTACCTCGGGGTCGGTTGTTTATCTGCATTTTGAGTTGCGAGCGAGATGAGCGAAGTCGGCACGTTTTCGTCCAATTCATCAAGGTTGCAAGCTGTGATGTAAGCTGCCGGATAATAAAGATTAGCGAGTGCCGCAGTGGCGAAGTTACTGTATAATATACAGTGTATATCGAAAAAAACTCACCCAATATGCCGATGATAAAAGGGAAGGCGATGCCCAACGAGCAGACGCAAAATGTGAGCGCTCCGGTGAAGTCAGAATCGCCTCTTTGACTTGAAAAAGGGCTCATTTAGGTGAAATTAACAATTGATTCTGGACGAGTTAAAATTAAAGAAAAAGTCTCAGACAATTTGACAGACGCTTCTTTAACGAATTAGGAGCGCATTAGTATTCGACCAAATTATGTCGCATTCTGTTCGAATTGCAAAATAAGCATGTTTAGTCAGCCTTATTCCCCGATAATTGGGAATCCTGACTTCTAAAATCGACAGTTATTTCGATCTCAAATTAGTCACGTGACCTGGTTTCGACGAAAAAGGGTCCTTGAAAAGAATTTTTGAAAAAATCAAAATTTTCTAATTCTATCTTTCAGAAAATAAAGTTTGATTTGTATAACTATCAAATTGAATTCTTGTCCGACCCAGAAATTATTTTGTAAAAAAAATATTTTTCATTTTTATCCTATTTTTCAGGAGAAATTCGTTTGCTACTGTTATGAACAGAAATTTTTTAATAGATTCGTGAGCCCTAGTCATTCTTGGTTCATCTGATCTTCTTCAAAATCTTCTTCTTTCAAAACCAGCTTCTTATTTTCATCTTTATTCTCTCATTTCAAAACCTGCTCTGTCTGTCCTTTTTCTCGTCCGGATTTAATTGTAACTGACCAGTCTGTATTGATCCTGTTGTTTCTATAATTCCTTCTTCGTTCTTTCTCGTCTAATTAAGCTGATAAAATTATTAATCAGGTCATGTGACTCCTCACGTGTTCTCTTTTTACTTCGCCGTTTTTTTCGTTGTTTGTGAGAAGATAATTTATTGGCGCCGCGAATGGGAAGATTCTTCTTTTTAGCGAGTGCCTTAGTGGGATAAGCCATTTTTAATTAGATTTCATAAAGCCCTGTCCCATGGGCCGAGAAACAGGACGTGTTTCTTTACTGTCCGATACAGGTAACCTGTAATTGAAGCGGTTTTTGAGCACGGGACCTGTCAATTTTCGGTCTCGTCAGTTTTGAAAGAGGGTGATTTCGAATATTAGATTTTCTGTTTTTTCTAAAAAAGAAAAATCTTTTGAGGGATGAAAATCAAGTTCAAAAAATAGTTAAAAAATTATTCGAATCACTCGAAATTTCGACGGTAATTGGCTTATCCAATTAGATGGCGGTGATTGAACCGGATTGACTTTTCTGCTTCGAATCGGTTTCTAACGGTTGATGTGATGACCAGCCGGGGACATAAATAGTGTCACTTTGTTATCCCTCTAAATTAACCGGTTCCTCCACCGTATCATTTTCTGCTGATAAATATTGCCGTTAGTTTGTCCTGGTTGTCGCCGCCATGGCTTCCGATCTTCTTCTAATAGTTTTTATTGTGTATTATTGATTTTGTGAATCATAATTTTAAACATTCAAGGAGTTGTATTTGAATTGGTTAATTTGAATGCAACTTGTTACATTTACACTGAGATATGAGTGAAACGATTGAAAATGCAAAGAAAAAACTTGAGGAGTTTATGGTTCAGCTAAAAATTGATGAAGCTGCTCGTAGCAATAAAAATATTGAATCAACTCAATCAAGTATCCAAGCTTTTTTGGGTACAGCTGAAACAAATTTACAAAAAGATGAGGCGAATATTTCAGAAAAAGAGAAAGAAATTGAAGCAATGGAGAAAATGATGTCAATATGTGGAAAAATTTTAGATGGGTACAATGAAGCTAATAATTTTCATTTGCAGCACAGAGACTTTTTTAAATCATTCGACGTGAAATCATTCAGCATTGATTTCGTGACGAAAAGAACAACGAACTTAGAAACGAAAATAGCTGAGCACAAGACCTCCATTGAAGCCTCGAAGATGGCAATTGCTGAAATCAAAGCAAATATTTAAGATTACATGGATAGAGAATGCAATTTGAACAATTATTCACTCGAGGATCTTATTCCAAAATGCGAAATCTGTCTTGGAAGATATGACTAATAGGGCACAAATAAAGTACCCTGGTACCGGTCTCCTGACGCTAGTCAAATTCCTGCTCGGGTTTTTTATACTTGGGTCTATGCGTGTACGACTAAATAGACAATACACTGCGACTACAAGATTCAAGACTCAAAACAGCTCTACTAAGGCGTAGACCTGAGTTCGCAAGTACCCGTGAGAGTACTTGTTACCACTGATTGCTCAGCGGCCGTTGTGGTTGCTGCTGCTGGTGTTGTTGCTGCTGCGGTTGTTGCTTCTGCTGTTGTTTGGTGGTTTCTTCTGCTGGATAAAAAGACAAGTGTTTTTTGTTTGGTTCGTTAGAATGATTTATTGAGGCGAAAGTCGCCTTTATATACTCAGAAAGGGATAATAAGAATGTTCGAGAACTTTCGTGGAACAGTAATAGAATAATCTTGTATCTTCTTAGAACAGTAATAGAACAATCAAGTATCTTCTCCAAGATGAAGTCATAATTCGTCAGCGTGAGTCATTGTCGCTAGAAGGTTCCAGGAGTATCTTCGGATGATGTCATTCAAGCGTCAGAAGTCCGTCATTGCTTCATACATTGAGTCAATACATTGTTATTTGTAAACATATGTATTTATGCTCACCATAGGTGGCGCTAGTGTGTCACCACTAGAGGTCACTAGAGAGCCATTCCTGAGTGTCCACTAGGTGGCGCTAGAGAGCTGACACTAGGTGGGGCGCGAGAGCCAACACTAGATGGGGCGCGAGAGCACACGCTAGGTGGCGCTGTTACAAGTGAGCATTAGCTCAGCTATTCTCTTACAAGGTATATGAATCGATGCGTACTTATAGTAATGATCTTGAGGTGAACCGGAAGTGACCGGAAGTAAACCGGAAGTGACCGGAAATGACCGGAAGTGAACCGGAAGTGACCGGAAGTGAACCGGAAGTGACCGGAAATGAACCGGAAGTGACCGGAAATGTTTACAGGCGTTTGTTAAGGGCAAGAGCGACTCTTGCCTAACATCTTCACTCAATTAGCGCCCTCCGGCGACCAAACATAGGGAAAATCATATAAGCTCCGCTTTCTGCACTCAAACACTATTGTAAGGGATATTCTCCCTTACATCTCCTCCCCCTCATCGGAAAAAGAGATTTTCCATACATAGGGATTTTAAATTTTCTTTCCTTGGTTGAATTTCTTCGTTTCTCAGCAGATGTTATTGAGTTTTCATATTTGTCTGATCAGACCTCGACTGTCTCATTTCTTCGTCAGTTATAATTTTTATTTTCATCTTCTTCATCATCTTTCTTTTCAATTTTGATTCTCAAATTCATTTTCTTCAATATCTTTCTTCTTCTTTTTCTGTTCTTCTTTTTATCATCTTCTTTTTTTGATTTCCAATCGTCTTCTCTCGTTTTATTCGAATTTTATTTTCTTCTTTCTTCTTTTTAAATACTTTTTTCAGTTATCCTATCTTCTTTCTACTCATTCCATACATAACTTCGTGTGATTTTCTTCTTCCTTCTTACTCGATTCATTACATCGTTCTCCTTCTTTTCTCATCTTATTCTGAATTTGCTTTCTTTTTTCTTGTTATAACTTTCATCTCTTCGTTTCTCTATTCTTTCTCCTTTCAATTTATATTTTTCTTCATTTCTCTTCTTTCTTCTTCCAACTTTTTTTTTTGTTCGTTTTTCATACTTTATCATTACGATTTTTATTCCTTTTCTATCTCCTTCATTATTTATGCTTCTTCGTCTCAGCCAAAAATCCAGAATTAGTGCACTGTTGGATAGATGACCAAGATTCTTTCATAGCACTGTCTCAATTCGACTTATCAACTCAAATTCGATTGCGATGGTAAAGCAATTAAGATTGTTTGGAAGACACTTTAGGTTCAAGCATGGCCAGTGCATGAGGGTCGAATGCTCCCTTGTTGAGCTTTATACTCAAAATGAGACAAAGATTTTAAAATTGCTATGTAAGAAGCTCGCATGCGTTATAAAATCGATTTCAAATGTATTTTTTACAGTCATGTCTTCTCCTCTCTCTTTCATTGTTAACATGTTTTTTCAAGTCTTTTACACGAGTTCAATTATCAATTTTGTCTTTCATTTAGTCTTTGCAAATTGACGATCGTTTTTTTTTTCTTCTATTTCTTAAATACGATATTCATATTCCTTTTTCTTCTTTTCCATTTTAAATGCTCATTTTCATTCATCGTCTCGTTTGTAATCAAATATTCTCTTTATTCCTCTTTTTTACGAAGATTATATATAATCATGTTCAACCACTTCTTTGACTTAAAAATAATCTCTTCATGTATTCATCGACGCGTATGCTTATCTTTTTTAATAATATGCGTCGCAAAAATTTCTTTTCTCGAGTCAATTCGTCTTCGCTTCCAAGATTCAATTGAATTTAAAGAACTGAGCTAATAACGCACTATGACAGTTCTTTTCTTGTTGCCATGAAAGTCGATCTAACAATCAAATGATTTCTGACTGGCATTTGTGGTTGTGGTCATCAAACCACAGATTTCTTTCTCGAAAAAACGATTGTTCTTTCACTTTTATTTTCAAGAGTGCTTGATTCACGGACTAAGCTTGTTCCTACTCGAGCATAACTTATAACCATTTTTATTATTTTTTCCTTTTTAACTGTTCATTCTCGTTCTCCGAGAAATCTTCAGGAGGAATTCAATGCCTTTTGCCGGTCGCTTTAACCCTGTCTGCGTCAATTCGTCCTCCATAGGCGAAATAAAAAAATATTTAACATGGTTTTATTATCATAAATGTGCTTTTCGCGTTTAATCAGCTTCTATGTAATCGACAATATTAATCTTGCAGACCTGTCTATGAATTCGAATCAACACTGCGCCATCTCCAATTTAAAAATTTATTATCTATAAGGCACACAAAATAATAAAGAAAGGCAAAAAACACATTTTTGAAACAGTAAGGTCTAAAAATTCTTCGTCAAAGGGAATTCCAATTTATTCATCCTTTCTTGGGCATTGTGCTCGTTTGTGGCCTCGTCGTCCGCAAGACCAACAAGTTATTCCTGATTCGCACCCATGGTTGTCTTCGTCACTCTCCGATTGTTGTCGTTCACGAGTTCGATATGGACACTGGTAAATTTTGTGACCTGCTTCACCACAATTGTAGCACAGGCTAATGTCAGCCTTTCTTTCTCGCTCTTTCAATTTTCGGCAATCTTTCTGGAGATGACCGTATTTACCGCAATAGTTGCAGTCGGTTGTTTCACAGTAATTCGCCTTATGGCCTTTTTTGCCACATCTGTAACAAATAACACTGATTTTTCAAGCTCCCACGCAAATCGGTTCTTAAGTTTTTGGCAGTCAACTGTTCGATGACCGTTCATTTCGCAATAAATACATTCGTAGTCTTCTTCTTCTCCCTCTTCTTCATTCTCTTTCGTTCGATCCGTGTTAACATTTGAGAGTTCATTCTTATCTTCCTTTTTGTCTTCGTCTTCGTAATCTTCCTCGTCATCATATTCGTCTTCACTGGAATAGGTACAGTGATAATCTTCGGGTATATCGGACTCATTAGATGAAATTTCATCGGAAGATTGATCAGTCTCATCTCCCAAAGCATTAACTTCCTTTTCTCGCTCGCTTTGCTTTTCGTAAAGCTCAGCGCATTTATCAACAATATCCATATTGTCTGATTTTTCCTTCCTGTATTCCAAAAGGAATTCGGAATTCTGGATCTTTTTCGGAAGTTTCTTAAGAAATTCTTTCATGGTGATCTTTTCAACCATGCTATCGCACTCATCACCGATGGTCTGTTTGACAAGTTGATTCACTCGATAGTAGAAATTTCTAAGATTCAAATGCTCTTCTGGGTCATATTTAAGTTTATCAAGCAAATTCTCGTAAACGAAAGGATTCTTTCGACATGCTCGATTGAATATGACCAAAAGTCCTTGATTGAAATTTTTGCTTTGTCTAATTGTGCAAGTTCGAGAATAACTGTTTCTTGGATCGGGTCCGGTAATTGACTACACATCTGACCAATCTTTGCAGATTCGTCAGTCAGACCGTTCAATCCGAGAAGAAAATCGCATTTGTTTACCCATGCTTCACAGTTATCATTCTCCTTAAATTTTGGTAATTTTAACTTGCTTGACATAAGCGAATTAATTTCCGAATTTTCAGAGTAGCCAATATCATCGTTGAAATCAGACTGACTCATTGTAATTTCTTCTTCTCAAATTTATCTGATTAAAATGCTAAATGCTACTGCTTATGCAAATGCAAATGCGTTAACTAAACCCTATCCGGGTATTACTGGGGAATGTGGACGTCGCCACGGGAAATCGTCTATACGCTAGACTGCGTTCGGGTAGTTTTTCGTCTATACGCCGTAGACGGATCTTTTTATTCCCCGCTAGGTAAAAAATACCCTTACGCCGAGAACCGAATCAAAAAAGATTCTTACTGAGTCCGATATAGATCAGGGCAGACCTTGACGTAGCCACTCCAGAATGGCGACTACGCAAGTATCGTGTTAGCTACCGTGTCTGATCTATTCTCGTGGAATCGATAACTTCAGTCACCAATAATAGGGCACAAATAAAGTACCCTGGTACCGGTCTCCTGACGCTAGTCAAATTCCTGCTCGGGTTTTTTTATACTTGGGTCTATGCGTGTACGACTAAATAGACAATACACTGCGACTACAAGATTCAAGACTCAAAACAGCTCTACTAAGGCGTAGACCTGAGTTCGCAAGTACCCGTGAGAGTACTTGTTACCACTGATTGCTCAGCGGCCGTTGTGGTTGCTGCTGCTGGTGTTGTTGCTGCTGCGGTTGTTGCTTCTGCTGTTGTTTGGTGGTTTCTTCTGCTGGATAAAAAGACAAGTGTTTTTTGTTTGGTTCGTTAGAATGATTTATTGAGGCGAAAGTCGCCTTTATATACTCAGAAAGGGATAATAAGAATGTTCGAGAACTTTCGTGGAACAGTAATAGAATAATCTTGTATCTTCTTAGAACAGTAATAGAACAATCAAGTATCTTCTCCAAGATGAAGTCATAATTCGTCAGCGTGAGTCATTGTCGCTAGAAGGTTCCAGGAGTATCTTCGGATGATGTCATTCAAGCGTCAGAAGTCCGTCATTGCTTCATACATTGAGTCAATACATTGTTATTTGTAAACATATGTATTTATGCTCACCATAGGTGGCGCTAGTGTGTCACCACTAGAGGTCACTAGAGAGCCATTCCTGAGTGTCCACTAGGTGGCGCTAGAGAGCTGACACTAGGTGGGGCGCGAGAGCCAACACTAGATGGGGCGCGAGAGCACACGCTAGGTGGCGCTGTTACAAGTGAGCATTAGCTCAGCTATTCTCTTACAAGGTATATGAATCGATGCGTACTTATAGTAATGATCTTGAGGTGAACCGGAAGTGACCGGAAGTAAACCGGAAGTGACCGGAAATGACCGGAAGTGAACCGGAAGTGACCGGAAGTGAACCGGAAGTGACCGGAAGTGAACCGGAAGTGACCGGAAATGTTTACAGGCGTTTGTTAAGGGCAAGAGCGACTCTTGCCTAACATCTTCACTCAATTAGCGCCCTCCGGCGACCAAACATAGGGAAAATCATATAAGCTCCGCTTTCTGCACTCAAACACTATTGTAAGGGATATTCTCCCTTACAATGACCACAAAGAACATTGGCAGTGCTGCATTATAATTTGCGGTCATCAATTTGGAAAATCTTGCATCGAGAAATGGCACAATGAAAAAGGACGTTGCCCAAAATGTGACAAAAAATTTTCGCTCGAAAATATTCTCACTCTTTTCTGAGACTTCAGCTTGATTAATTAATATTTACATTTATTCAAATATATTTTAAAAAATATATCAATTCTTTTTCTCTGTAGTCATGATTACAAGTTTGCTTTGAAACATATTCAGGTTTGATTAGGAAGGTCGCTGACCTTGACAGGTTCTGGCTTCGGCTAAAACGTTGTAGCTATTGAGTGTCGGGGCGTCGGAAATGCTTTTCATTGTCCGCAGGACGGTTTAGAAACGAGTGTGAATTATTAGATTTGCATTTTGGAGCAGCAAATCAGCACCAATTAGCGATAAACGCCAAAGCGACCGGTCACACCGAGAACCGATTTGGCAAAAGGCCGAACAAGACCAGACAAAACCAAAAGATGACAATTTTTGTTGGTCGTACAAGCAACTACAGTCGTTTTTCCAGACGATGAAATTTTAATTTCGTCGGTTAAAATTAAAATTCTAGTTCTCTTCCAGCTTTTCTCTTAGAAATAAGATAGTGACACCCTTATTTTTGGCCTTTTTGGCGAGAAAATAAGCAAGTCGTTCTGAAAAAAGATGAAATTAGCCTCAAAATCGGGGTGTTTCGAAAATGTCAAGTCGATCGGCGTAATCAGTGGGCTCTAAATGAGCAGAAAATGCAAAATGATCCAAAACAAAACCACGTTTGGGATGGTAAATATTGCAGAAAATCTAAATTCAGCGCCAATAAGTCGTCGGCTTAGTTGAACTAACACTGATTTGGAACTTATGCTTCTTGCATCATCTTTGTTTCATGCTTCCTAGCAAATATCACGCGGCTTTTTTATAAGTTCCCAGCGCAGATTTTATTCTGAGCAAACACTATAAAAAAACCACCGCAGCATTCCTTGACTCATCTCAATTTTAGATTTGTCCTTCTTTCTTGTTAATATTTCCGCTCGATCATCATTAGAACAAGTCGTCGATAAATTGAGGCGACTGAATTTTCGCCACAATTTCCGATTTCACGGGTCGTCATTCAAAGGCGCTTAGCTCCTCCTGCCTGGCGTCGACATTGTTAAACCTAAAACGCTTGATACGCCAGCATCAAGACGGATCGCTGTCGCAATTAAAAATTGAAACTTTTTTCCCACTCCTACTTCTTATTCTTTACTTCGTATTTCTGCCCAAATTTCTGTTTCAAATTCACTTTTATAATTTATTGTTTTCAAAAATACAGTTTAAAATACGCAAAATTCGCAGCAAAAAGATTTAGGTTTAAAAAAAAGGTTGAAACAGAAATAGTTATTATCGCAGCAAAATAGAATAATTCTCATCCTCAATAAGCCGATTGAATTCCCGCCGGATCAGTAGAACTCGTTCCAGTCTCCGTTGGAAGCCCCTGCTGAAGATTTTGCTGCGCGTTCATGTAGTTTGTCGTGTAGTTCTTGTAGGCAGCCATTGGGTCGAAGTTCTGGCCCAGCGCGGAGCCCGGATTGCCGACGCCGAGACCGGCTAGATTGAACGGGTTGGAAGTGAGAGACAAACTGGGGGAGCTCGCGTCTAGACTGGTTGTGCCGGAGTCTGATGATGGATCTGATGTGTTGAAGTCGACGGAGCGGAGCTAGAATTTAAATTGAAGGTGGCGCAAATATGGATTTCATGAATCATGAGTTATCACGATACTTACATTACTGTACGGATCAGCAGTGGAAGTCGGGAAGCTCATTTTTCCTGAAAACTGCGAGTACGATGAGATCGAAGACGGAATCGAAGCAGCTGAAACCGGTGGCGAGTTGAGCAACGAACTCGGATTTCCAGTAAATCCTCCTGCAAGACCACTGAGCGCGCTCGAAGTGGAGAGACTACCGCTCGCCAGGCCGCCTAGACTGGCACTTCCCGGGGTGTCTGGGAGGCCCATGTAAGTTGGAGCGAGGGGGTTGTAGCCGGGGATGGTGGCGGCTCCGGGCATGGGAAGTTGGGCGGCTCCGACTTGTTTTCTCCAGCGAGCGCGGCGGTTTGAAAACCAGACCTAAACAAGACACCATAAAAGGAGTGGTTATCGGATTCTGAAAGAATCTGATTTTAGCTTTATATTGATAAAATGACCCTGTACCAATTTTTGAGGCCTCATCATCAGCCAATTGCGAAAAAATACTAAACCAAAAATATTTCGATAAAGGGCAAATTTGAAAAGAGAAAGAGCGGCTGGATTTCCGTCAAATGGGGCTGGCGCCTGTCGGGCGCGCCTGCCCGCCTAATCAAATTCATCCCTCTACCCGAGTTTGAAAAGTTCAATTCATCAGCTCATTGCGCTCCTTCTAGTTTTGGCGGAAATACCAATTTAGTCACTCGACTTCCGCGATTTTTTGGAACTTCCCGGAACTCCCCATAAAACGACCCTTTTTCTTAGCTTTATTTAATAGGTACAGTACCTGAACTCTTGCTTCAGTCAACTTCGTCCTCTGGGCTAGTTCTTCTCTCGTATAAATATCTGGATAATGCGTTCGTTCAAAACACTTCTCAAGCTCTTCCAATTGCTCCGCAGTAAAAGTTGTCCTCGATCGTCGTTGTTTTCTTTTCACAGGCTGGCCAGATTCGTCGAGCTCTTCTTCTTGATTTCCGTGGTCGATTTCTATGAAAAAAATGATATGGTGGAGCTTCACGTAAGATTTGAAGGAGAAAAGGGGGAGAATCAGTGTTTATGAAATTTGCGGAAGACGTTTTTGCGGGGGCCGTCTATTAAACACCTGGCGGAGTTAGGTGGAGTTGATTTAACCGAGCAGTCAGTTGATAAAGGGAAATAATTATTTCTCGTTTTTCTACAACCTTAAAAAACTTTTCTGCCGTAAGTGTCACATCGATATTCGAAAATTAGCTACAAAGGCTTCAACAAGAAAAAAACTAAATTTTTCAATAAAAAATAAAGATAATGGTTCTTGAAATTTTTCTATTAAAATCATCCACGATTTCACTAATAAGGTTTTTCGTATTCCTACGCTCCCAGAAAGGAAATTTGAAATGATTTCCAACCAGCTGGGCCCATAGACCTGCTCCTCCAATGGAGGTGGGTTTCAATCTGAATCAGGTGGTGGAGGCGCTGTGCGCAGGTGGTGCACCACGCGATGGAGAAATTATTTGGGTAACGGATAAGCCGGATAATTGGTTTACGCGATTTTGAGATCGCTGATTTTCGGTAGTGATGATTCTGATTTTCGAGTTTGGTACTTACTAGGGACAGGAAAAATAGACTTTTAATTATTCAAAAATTACAATTTTACTTCACTGTAAGCGTTTTAATCCGAAAAGTCGTCTCTTTCAGTATTTACCTTCTTTAATCGGACATTCTTCATCCTCCTGGCTTGGCGAGTGGCCAGCCTGTCCATTGGAACCAGAAGAATCCTGGAGTCCATTCGCCTCCTTTTCTTCCAGCTCCTTTTTCTCCACATTCGATCGCAAAATCCGCGAAATGCACGAAACCGAAGGCACTGCAGCCCGTTCCATTTGTCCTTCCTTCAGCAGTTTCTCCCTGATTTCCCATGAAAAGATGCCGGGGTTTTCCTTCAAATCAGTTTATATTGGAATGAAAAACAACAAATTCAAGTCTAACCTTTTGAATGTCTAAAATGCGCTTTTCCAATTCAGGAGAGGTGATGCGCGGTTTTGAGCCGCCAGTGGAGCCGGGTTTTATCGAGCCGGTTTCTTGATATCTGAAAGAAAAGGTCATTTGGGGTCAGTTTGGGGTCTTTTGAGGTCGATTTTGGGTCATTAGGGATGATAAATGAGCTAGATCAACTCAATATTCGGATTTTTAAGGTCACTTGGGGTCAGTTTAAGGCAATTTGAGGTCATTTTAGGGTCATTTAAGGTCATATATCAGCTATTTGGAGAACTTAAAAGGTCATTTGAAATTAGTTCTAGAGATTTTTCGGTGAAAAAGAGACCAATGAAATAAAATTCTAGTTATTATTTCTAAAAAATCCTGAGCTTGTTAGAATAAAGTCTGGTCTATTGAAAAACATTGTCGCTAGAATGATCAAGATTGGGAGGTGTCGAAAACTGAGTGTGACAGTCTTTAACCGGGGTGCGGTCGGTTATGGTGGACAGTTTCGCGTTTAAAGACATTCGCTGTTTCGCCAAATGCGGCGCGAAACCGACACATCCGACATGTCCGACTCGACTCCAACGTTTCATAACCCACCACAGAAAAGGTCGTCCAACTTCCGGGCGAGCAATAAAAGACATTCAACGAACCTAATTCCATTCTTTGATTCTTTTTTCAAGTGAAAGAAATTCAGATTTAATACAATTCTAAGCTAGGTTAGGGTATGGTTAACCTGACTTTATCAATAAAATAATTCGACCTTCAAAGCGCCGGAAACGCTCCAAAAATGAATAGATGGATACATCATTTTCCCTTCCATAGACATTTTCATGACTTTTCATGACTTTCATTTGTGGTTTTTTAGTTTTTTCGTGTTTTCCAATTCAAATCAGGAAATTAAAAGTTATCAGTGGAGCGCCAGACCGATCCAAACCGCCTTGTCATGGGACATTTCACGGCGAATTCGCTACCTCACACCTCCAAAGGCCAGTGTGTCCGGCTCAAGAAAATTTTGCAACTTTCGCGTTTCGCCGATTTTCAACAAGAAACATCCTTTTACAAGAGGCAAAGCCTCTTGTTTAACCCTCTCCCGCAAAATCACCAAATTCAAAGTCAAAAAATGTCATCCAATCGAATTGGAATCTGACTCAACAAAAAGCCGCGCGCGGCTTTTCAGAATGAAGTTTTCTTTGGCCGAAAAAGAAGAAAGTTGAATTTGGTTCAAAAACTTCAATTTTGCGTCAGTGGGTTAAAAAAGAATCGTTTCAAATTGAATTTAATTTTCGTGTTTTCACAATCAGTTGAGTTTTTTTTTTGTTTATAAGATTTCTATTTAGAATCGTGTTATAAAAAGGGGAAAAAGAGTAAGGTTGTTTCCGGTAAGAAGCGTGGGACTGGGCCTCGGAAGTGACATTTCACGATGCGCTGGCTCAATATGGACCGTTTTGACATTTATGCTTCCTGGTTACTTTGATTCCGCTAAATACGAGAAATAACCGGATGCAAACTATTTTTCTATTTTTCCAAAAGAAAAAGTTTCTTTTCCAAGTTTTTCGATTTTTCTTTGGCAAAAATCAAAAATTTCAAAAAAAGGATGAAAAGTATTGTTGACCGCTCTCTACCGCTGCCCGAGAAAAAAATCACAGCGGCGGGTCGTTATGATTTCTTCGAGAAATTCCGATTTGAACGGACGACGGAGCAGGTCATTACCGACTCCGTCGCGTCTGCACCAAGCCAGAACTTAAAAACGAGGGGATGAAGCGGGTGGTTTTAGCCAGTTGGACTAGAAGGGCAACGGACGAGCCGGGGCTAAGACAGCCGCCCGCCAGTCTCGCCCGACAGGCTGATGGAATTTCATGCAACAGGGGGGCAATAACTCAGAATGGAAACTGTCACCTCGCGGACCATAGGTGTCAACTTTATTTCAGCACAACGAAAATGGGGAAAAAGGTAACAAAACAATAGTTAATCGGGTTAAAACATTCGATACAACCCATATCATTAATACGAGCCGTAAAAAACGAATACAGTGGGTATGGTCAATTTAGCAGCGGTCAAATTAGCAGATTTTGCTCAAAATCGAAAAAATTTTGAAAAACCCATATTTTCCCGGAAAAAAAATTTGGCCAATTTTTTTAGAAAAAAAGAAAGATTGAAGCTTGAGCCAGGGCTCCGAATCGCTCGTGAGTTCGCGGGGAGCGGAGCAGTTTGAACGCGCGCGGTAACGAGAATCTCGTTACCAGAGAGCGCCCTCACGAAATTTCTCGGGAGCGAGTGTTTCAGCCGGTCACCAGAAACGCCGGGAGCGCACGACCGTCTCGTTACCTCACGGCGAGCCCGCTACCACTCAAAATGGTATAATTAGTATATGAATGAACTTTCATTGGAATCGAAGGACCCTCGATTTTTGGGAAACTCTTTCAATAAATGCAGATTTTTCTGTGGATTCGAGTGATAACAAAATCTCTTTGATCGAACTATCTTATGGAACACATGCTTAAGAATTATTCTAAGGTAGGACGATTTTTCACGTCAGTTTTCCGGGTCACCAGCTACTTTTCTTTCGGAAATAACTCGGCAAACATTAAGCTTGGTATTTCCGGGAATTATTTTGTGTTAATAACCCGGTGTTATTTGCATCTGATTTCGAGTACTGGGTCACGGAAGGCACCCACCGAGATATTGTTGCGTGCTAATACTTTTTAGGCTCCCTTTGCAGCGCGTAAAGCACAAGCGGGCCGTCACTTTCACTCAGTTATCTGATGATTGCAAGAAAACAGGAAACTAAATTTTTGTATAATATAAAGATAGATGTCTTATCTTCCAATTGAGTAAAAGTTTTTTTACGGTTGGAAGCTAATTGTTTTTCTTTTGACATAGAAGAATTATTAATTGACAAAAGAAATCAGCATATTTTAAACTATTTGTAGGACAGAAATTCATTAGTTAAAAAATTTTTTTTATTTTGAAAAAAATTATCGATAAAAAAGTTAGTAAAAAGTCTAACCTATGGAACTTTTTCAAAAATGATCCTTTCAATAATGAAACCTATATCTCACCAGAATCCATCCTAAGTTCTTGTCCAGCGCCATTTTTTAGGACGGAGCGTGCGGAGGATCTTTGGGCGACCCGCGCAATTTTGCTCCCCAACTCGCCGTGAGCGGCGCTCTTTGGTAACGAGATTCTCGTTACCGCGTGCGCCCAAACTGCCGCGCTCCCTAGGAACTCACGCGCGATTCAGAGCCCTGGCTTGAGCTTATTTCGTTAGCAGAGGTGGCTAAACTTCTTCTCCTCCCTCATCTTTTTGCTCCGCGGCTTCGTGATTATCGTTATTTTGAGCTTGATCTCGATTTCCCGGAACTTATAAATTTGCCGATTAACACGGATGTAATCCAGGTGATCTTTGCGAAAGGGTTTTGATAGGCCAGTAGACCAAATAAAGCAATCTTATTGGCTCCCTAACTTTATTATTCGCTCATTTCGTGTCTCGTCCTATCTTAAATGTTCTTTTTCTTCGTAAGTACCCAATTTGATGATTTGAAAATTCTGTACTCGAAATTCTGAAATTTTCTGAGAAAATGGTCAATTTAGCATATTTTGTCGAAATCTGCCAAAAAACTACCTGCTAATTTGACCATACCAACTGTACTGTAGTAAAGATCTAGTCAACAGTTTCAGACTTTTGTTTATCAATTTTCAGTCAATGGTCCGGAAACGCATGAATATTCTTCAAAGATGGTTCGATTAAAATTATATTTAATTTTATCTACGTATGAATATTATACCGGTATAATAGTCGGTCCCTATCACTGAATAATCCTAAAACTTATTCAAAACCAGATCCTCTAGATACTGTACATTGCTGTCAAACGACCTCTTAGCTGCAAAGAGTTGGGATCATTTTATCGACCTTTGTTGAGCTTACCTGCATAAAATTTTTGAAACACAGCCGTGCGAAACCCTCAGTTGTCTTGAAATCACGCAGGGTCGGATTCCCATAGCAGCCATTTCCACGATTTTATGACGAATATGGTTTGGCAGAGGTCGGCCGTTGATGAAGACTCCACCCAGCTGGTTGACTCTTCCTTGGCCGGAATCAATGAATCCTAAAGAAAGAGCTTAGTTTAAGGATAATGTTTTTCATAAAAATATTTCGATAATTGATATTCCACCTCCAGTTCTTTTAGTTTCTAATGTTTGAAAGTCAACGAGCTTAATTTAATTTTTTATAAAAAGATAACAGTAAAAATATAATTATAGTACTTTATTTTTTATTCTTGAATCTCTTGCCAAAAGCTCTTCCTTAAAAAGGCTTTTGAATACTCGACTAAGGGGATCTACTAGAGACGAGAAAATAATGCCATCTCGCGCGCTCCACATTTTTTCACCGAGAAGGGTTGAAATTTCAATTTTACCGATCTTCGATTCGAAAAAATCCAACTCTGGAGACACTATTTTCCCGATCATTTTCACTTTTTTCTTCCAAAAGCAAATGATCCCTTTACAAAACTCAGAAGCAGAGTATTTTTTGCCGAGAATTTATTTGAAGAGGTTATTTGGACGAGAAGTGCGAAAAGTCACACGCACGGTTTTCTGCGTTCTTTACCGGTTGTACTGATTTGTGTGTTCTAGCGCGCGTGTGGAGAGTGAAAACATTTAGAGATAATAAATCAAGAGCGAATTTCACACCGAGGATAATCGGACAGCAACGAATTCAGGACTGAATCAAGGGGGGAAATTATGACTCGTCATAGACAGATATTAATAAAGTTATGAAGAAGTGGCTACTAAAATATATTTTTAAGAGTTAATCATTTACTCTAGTCAGTAAAAATATTTATCAGCACAATTAAAAAGACCAGATATGGTTCCTTAATTAATATTGAAGTATGTTAATTTCAAACGAAGTCTTCAGCAGTAATCAAAACGTAGCCTGTAGATGATTTATGAAGATAGTCACCAAAATGTTTTTTAATAAATATATAAAGAAACCCGTTAAAAGCCATTTATGGTCCTACTTTTTCATTTCTCATCATCTTTTCTTGCTTTTATTTATGATTTCCCTTCATCCAGCTTGGTGCCAAAAAGATGCACCTGTTGCCAATTTTAGCCGTATCAATTTATTTTTGAGAAATTAACCGTGAAGTCGGCGGAAATATTTGGATCAGGATTTATATCGAACACCAGCGCATCTAATTTTCACCAAACTTGATACTCTCTAATCTTTCAATTTCCCTTGCTTTTTCCGTAGAAATTTTATTTTTAACCTTCGAGAGGAAATGGTGGTCGAAAACAGCTGGTCATTGTCGGTACCATTGGATTCATTTTAGGGCTTTGTAGTCGACCTTTTCTTCGTTTTTGGTCTCTTTTTGACTCTCACGCGCCAGGGTGTTAAAATGACTAGGAGGTCGTTGTTGATTGAAGTGGTTAAAAAGGGTTGATAAGGGTCTAATTCAATAGATCTTTCGTTTTGTGATGAATAGTAAAGTAGATTCTTAATTTCAATTTTCTCCCTATTTTCAGGTGCGGGGCGCGCGAGGTGGCCCAACTCGTGAAACAGCAAAAGCGCCACCACCGCCACCAAGAAGAGCGAGAGACAAGCACCGTACCACCACCACCGCCAACGAAAACCGGAAAATGAAACGAGTCCAAATCAAGAAATCAAAATTTCATCGCGCTCAGCAAAAAACGCGCAACACGAAATCAAAACCAAATCCAAACTGACCCGAGTTTCAAAGGTCCCTCAAAGGAAGCGAAAATATTATAAGATTAATTTCTTCGATTCGATTCTAGTTTGTCTATTTTAGGCAAAAAAGACGGTAAAGCTAGCATCAAGAATTATTATGATCAAATTATAGTCATCTTAAAAGTCAAGCTTAGCTTATTGGAGACATAGAAGAGTACAATTTTAACATCGGTTAAAACTCTTTTCCTATCCCTAAATAAAAATCTGAGGAAATTTTTTCCAAAATTTCCTTTGAGAATAAAAAAGACATTATTAATGTCTATTTATATATTTTTTTTAAACATCTCTTTCCTAAAATTGTCAAATTCCGTACGTGACTATGCTGCAAACAGGTCTTGATCCCAGATGTACGCAGCATAGTCACGTACAGAATTTGAAAATTTTAGGAAAAAGATGTTTTCAAATAAAATATATAAATAGACATTAATAATGTCTACCTTCTCCAATGCCATAAAAATGCAAAAATGCAACTCGTCAGAAATCAATTTACTGCTCAAAATTGTCGAAATTAATCAACCTTTTGCGAGATTGCATTTTATTGACCTTTGAGAAGGTGAATATATCCGATTAGCGAATTTCATCCGGTTCCTCAAATTCCACGCTTGGTTTTTTTCTTGAAGGTCATCACGCTTCCTAATCATCAGTTTCTTCAAATAAAATACGAGTTGACTTCAGGGCGTCTAAAATCTGCCCTTGACTTTACCGGCAATTTTCTTAATTCTGTGGGAATTTATGACAACCCTTCCGCTTTCAAGCGCCGAATCAATTTTTCCTTGCTTGTAAGTTTCCTTCTGAAATCTACCACAATTCGGTAATGGACTTAGATTCGATTTTGTCCAAATTTCTTTCAGCGCCTCGCGCCGAAATGTGATTGGTCACGCTCTTTTCAAGAACGATCGCGGCGCTCGCGAGGTGGCGCCTTTTCCAAACTTGGCCAGCTTCGAGACAATTGTTAATTGACAAATATTGCGGATTTATTTGAATTGAGTAGCAAATATAAAAATCGAGTGAATATAAAAAGACTTCTAATAGCAGGATAAGCGCTGAGGAGATTTCCAGAATAATTTTCGGCAGGGAGTTTCAATGTGTCTCTTTGATACCTAAAAAGTTAAGATTTTCATACACTTTTCGATAGATAGAGAACCATAATTGTTTGAAAAAACATTTGCTCCTGGTCTTTTTTTTAATTCATGCCATTGGAATTTAAAGTGTAGACGCGTTATACAGTACATCGTAAGCCCGAGTCGTCCCCTATGAGTTTTTGTTCAAAGCTTATTTTAAGGTACCCCCCGTCAGCTTTTTCCTCCGAAAAATTGAAATTTTTGAAAACACCATATTTATGGTTCTTTATGTGTCCTTAAGGTAAACTTTCTTCAAAAACTTGATAAGACGAAGATTTGACCAAGAAAAATCAATATTTTTGCCAAAATTAGGGCAAATTCTTCAATTTTCGGCGAAATGCTCAATTTTCAAATGCGATTTTAAGGGTGAAGGAGTCGAGATAGACTCCCAAAAATGAAGCCTCAAAATCGTTTTTGACCCGTGGAATCCATTTCCGGGGTGAAAATTTTAAAATTCCGAAATTTGATTTTTCAAAAAAAGCTGACGGGGGGGGGGGGTCCTTAATAAGAAAGCATAATTTGAAAATAGTAATCCTATTTTACTGTTAATAATATTATTTTTATAGGTATTTATCGTTTTTATGGCAAAAATATCAGTCAATAATCTTACCAGCATTGGAAATCCTCGTTCGCTAAAATATCTGCCTTGGACTACGCTCACAGCTGCGAAAACAAGATTAAAAACTTTCATATTTTTCTTTTCAAGCCTTGAAAAAAGTGGATTTTGTAAATTGTGTTTTGTTTGAGTTCTTGCGGCGAAAACCTTATTTTATAGCACCCGACTTCGCAAGCTTTTTAATAATTGATTGGATTTATTAAAATGACCCTCGGCGCAAGAGGGCCACCAGCGCGCCTCCTTTGCATTTACAGTAGAAGCCAACACTTGTTGTTTGAACACGATACAGCTCCGAATCAAAGATACAGGGGGTAGTACAGGAGATCATACAGGTAGAGGGAGATGAGCAGCTTCAGTTGGTGTATACATAAGGGTCGTAACGGGCCATTTTCGTGACGAAATCACCGCGGGTGAAGACTTTGTGGATAGCAGACTTGAATCTCATCATTCTGAAGTCATTTTTAGGCCGTGTGAAAATAATTGAGTTTTTGTGAATAACGAAGTTAGGCGTAAGAATGATTTAATAATCCCAATCTATTCTATGTTTATATCATCAAGTTTTATCGTTATTAAATAAAGCGACCCTTTTTTTAATAAAAAAACAACAAGGGATAGAAATGGTTAAGAATGATGGCTCTGAAATATTTTTATCAAGCAACGATGAGTTTCGCGAGCTGTTCGAATTGTCTTCGGTCAACTTTTTCGTCGAACTTGCATGATAAATTTATTTTTTATTTAGAGTCTACTTGTTTTTCTTGATTTTTTAATCCTAAAAGCCACAATCTCCTCGTTGATTTCCAAAATTCTCACTGTTTCGTGTACCTCTTTAAATTTGTATTGCACCCCCTATCTGTACAGTTCTTAGGTGAAAATAAACTGAAATCGCTAATTGGTAGCCTTTTCGCATTTGAATCTTATAGACAGCTATTCGATTCGATTATTGAGATTCGTGCTAACTCTTATTGACTTACCTCGGGCATTGTCGATATCTTTGAGTTACCAGAGTCGCTATCGCGTCTTCCAAATCATAAAGCGACTTTGCCAGAAAGATTCTCCTCCTTGTCTCCAACTGTTCTGTGAAAAAGGTTCAATTGCAGGATTTGAACTTGATCTAATTGTCGATTTATTATTAACGAAAGCAGAAGAGAATGAATAAGATCATAATTGGCCATTTTGAAAATGAGCAGGGCTTTCAGATTCTAATCGAATATGTCAGATTTGAATTTTGATGGTTTTTTTCTAATTGACTTTTTTGCTATTTTAATCGGGTTGATTACGCAAAAGATGCATATTCAATTCAAATTGCATCATGCGAAACCATATATAAAGAGGCCGTTTTTGTACTGTATCGACAGTAAGATTGGTGAACCCTATCCTAGAGTGTCGATCTCACAATTGTACGGAATTCCATAAAAAATATCGGTGAAAACATCCTGGGCCCGGCTGCAGATCGACTGTACTTTCTATTTTAAGGGGTCGACGGGGATATACGGAATGTGTTAAACACATCAGTACATAGTGCCAACACGAGGCTGTTGACATGATAAATGCCCGTACCGTCTACCCGATCCTTATTAATAATTTCCCGCTTGAGTTGAAGTCCTCGAGTGCTCACACGAATCTGGAAGTTTAATAAGTCGCAGAATCGATCTACAATCAAGGTCAAAAATGCTGTCTAAAACAAACCATTCTACCTCCAAGAAGATCTTTAAAAGTCTCCGAATGAGTTGAGTGAGCCAGAACATATTGCATCCACGGATTCAAATCGTCTAAAAGATGCAAAAGTAACAAATTTTGGATCAAATATTCTCCCTGAACATATTAAATATACTGACCATTAAAATCTGCCGCATCATTTTGAGTCGCTTTTCTAAGTGCGTTTTGGCAGGTTTCAAGCTCGTTGGTTAGTTTAGAGATGAAGATGCTTAGCGCTCCGAATTCTGGACGATGTTGTTCTTCGTTGTTTTCTTTGAAGGTTAATTTTAGAGAGTTGGAAAAAAGGGACCCAAAAGAATAATAAAAACAAAGAGTCAATGTAATATTTACCTGCTGAACCGAGGTAAGAGTCTGAATTTATTCCAATAAAGAGGTCTTCCGTTGTTGTTAAAAACTCTTCGGCTGCTGCAGTAGTCATCGAATCAGTGGTGGAGAAAATGCGAGGGTCAGATGATGTCACAGGAGTAGATACGGTAGTGGTGAGTTGATCCTCCGTTCCAAATAGAAAATCGCCCAAGCTGAAGTCCGAGAGCCCGTCTAAAATCGGCGAGTCTGTTGTAATGCCACGGTTTAATTCGGAATCCGGCGAATTGGGAGTGATCAATAATTCATTATGCAGTGTTACTGTTTCTCGGGTCGAATCAGAATATGGAGTTGTATTTATCTCATCGTTGAAAGAGTTGGAATCAAAAGACGTTGAGTTCGGGTTGAAATAATCGAGGATTATTTCAGTGGATGCTTGAGCTTCAGTTGTCGTGGTCGTTGTCGTCGATGTGGTTGTTGTTGATACGATTTCGCAGTTTGCGCCAGCGAACCCATCTTGACAAATGCATTCAATCTCGGCGCCATTATATGTGCAATCGGAATCATTTTCACAAGGAGATGCTGTGCACGGATCATCCTGGCAGTCTTTTCCAGAGAATCCATCTGGACAGATGCATTCGTAAACTCCACCATTTTCTGTACAAGTTCCTCCGTTCTCACAAGGCTCGCCAGAGCAAGGAGTAAGTTGACAGTTTTCTCCAGAAAAGCCATCATCACAGGCGCATTCGTAGCCAGAGCCGATTACTGAGCATGATCCGTGTCCAGAGCAAGGATTTTGAGAGCACGGTGTTGTCTCGCAATTATCTCCTGAAAAACCCTCCTCACAGGAGCAGCGATAGGATGATCCGAATATTTCACAACTGGCACCATTTAGACAAGGACTGTCAGAGCAGGGGGTTGATTCGCATTTCTCCCCGCTAAATCCTTCTGGACAAGAGCATGTAAAATCTGATCCTTCAACAACACACGATCCATTATTGACGCAAGGATTTGCAGTACATGGCGTCATTGAGCAATTAGCGCCGCTGAAGCTAGAAGGACAAGTGCATTCAAAAGTGGATCCGTTGACTGAGCATTGGCCGTTGTTTTCGCATGGATTGTTTGAGCAAGGGTCAATTTCGCACGTCTCGCCAGAGTATCCAGACGGGCAGGAGCAAGCGCACGAGGTTCCGTTGATGGAAGGTAAGCCGGAATTGAGACAGGGGTTGGGATCGCAAGGACTAGGGGTCGTGGTGATCGTTGTGGTTGTAGTTGTTGTGGTGGTGGTAGTTGTCGTCGTTGTTGTGGTTGTGGTGCTCGTAGTTGTGGTGGTTGTAGTTGTTGTTGTGGTAGACGTGGTTGTGGTAGTAGTAGTTGTTGTAGTCGTAGATGTCGTCGTAGTTGTGGTACTTGTAGATGTGGTAGTTGTTGTGGTTGTAGTAGAAGTAGAGGTAGTCGTCGTTGAAGATGTAGTTGTTGAGGTTGTTGTGGTAGTGGACGTCGTTGTGGTAGAAGTAGTAGTAGACGTAGTCGTTGTTGTCGTAGAGGACGTTGTCGTTGTTACATCTGGAGAAGATTCTGTTGGTTTTGTCTCAGTTGTTGTATCCACAATGATTTCCTCTTCACACGGACCCAATCTCATTAAATCCGGTAATGGTCCATCAATATTCGTCCATCTAAAAACAGCCATGAATGGGAAATCAAAATCGAATCAAATATTCAAGTACATTCAAAGGAAAGTGGTATTATCCCATTTGGCTCGTTTTGACTTACCCAGCTTCAGTTGGACAAGCTCCCGAGTGCGTTCTGGAATATGCAAAGCCACTGTATTCGCCGGGCGTCATTGACACAAACCAGATCTTTGAACGGCAATAGAGGTAAATTCTATCCCCATTAAAATAAACTGCAGTTCCAGGATCAAAACGAGCGTCAGGAAAATTCGCGATTTCTTCTTCCCGCAAAATGTAAAATTGATTTCTATTTACGAGTTCAAATAAAACGCTCATCAAGTCTCATAAAAGATTCTCTTGCTAACTCGTTCCTTGAATCTACTGTATCTCTATACAAATTCAGCGTCAGTCGAGGACAGCAATCAAATTGCGCCGAGGAAAATCCAAACAATAAGAAGAAAAAATTTGCAGAGCGCATTTTTCTCTATTCGACGAAAAAAAACTGAAGTGGCAAAGTTGGAAGGGATTCTTTTATAGAGGAAAAAGTGAAAGTGGGTACTTATAATCTGCACTTTTTCCGCGTACTCACCTGGAAAAAGCAAAGGGATGAAAAAGGGCTTCCGGAGTAATTGGCGACACCGGAGCTGATTCTTCGCGCATGATTTACGCTCTTGCGCTCGGCGTGCTTCAGAGGGGAAGTTGTAAAATAAGTAGCAGGAAAACCGACAAATATATATACAGTTAGCACATTTGTACAAAGTGACGACGGGAAATATTCTCAGATATTAATATTTAAGAATATTTTGATATCTAACTATATATACAAGTGCAGCTTATGGAAATTTATTACAGACAGGTCCTTTTGCAAGATGGACCTTCGCTACTAGCCCTCCTCTTTCTCAAAGAGCTCATACTCTCTTCCTGTTCTTCTACAGAAACCTCGTTAGATTGATCGTCTGGTTCAGAATGTTGATTGTTATCGTTGTTGTCTTCGGGCATTCGAAATTTGAATCCAAAGCCAAGATAACTTTAAAATAAATCATAATTCAGGTTTTTTTGAAACAATTACTGATACCAGTATCGAGAAAGAACGTCGTTTGTGATCCCCCAATCAAGGGTTTCTTTGAGAAACTTCGGAGTCTCTTCGAATCCAACCAAGAATGGTTGTTCTCGAACTTGCTGCATCAATTCTTCATCACGCCAATTTTCAGGAAACTTTAAATCAAAAATTTTTAATTCCGCGATTTGTTACCTGATAAGTGTTGTACTGAATTCTCGAAGCAAATCCTGCCTTTTCATCGACATCTCTTTCCTCTGCAGACATCTTTCTTTTGAATCTAATTTTGACAAAGTTGGTTCGCACTCGGAGTTCCTTGATCAGCTTGTCGCATTCTTTTTTGAGTTTCTGATATCTCTCGCACTTCTCATCGATCAAATTGACTTTGATTTGCATTTTTACGGTAAAATTCACCAGTTTCATTTGTTTAGCTCTGCGCAAAACTTCACGTAAAGCCACATATTTCAATTCTTGATACTTGGTGTCTTTGGGTGAATGGTCAGCTGTTATTCCAGTAACAGGGACCTAGTTAAAGAATGAAAAAAAAAACCTTATGGAAGCTGTTAATTTTCTACCATTACAGTTTCCTGGCCGGGAAACTTGAATGCAAATCCTCTGCATCTAACATCCTTGTTCTCAGGATCCCGATGATTTGTTGAAACGGAGTGCACGTACACTGTCTGACCTCTTAGATTTGTCTTACCATCGTCTGGCTTAAGATTGACAAAGAACTGGGTCATAAGCATTTGTCCTTTCTTTGCAATTCCTCCCATTTTCTCTTTTTTAGACAGTAAGGAAAAACTTCCGGTTTTATAGGCGGATCTCCGGCACAGCATGCGACTGTGTCTACGAAAGGAGAACAGAATACCCTTGTTATAGTATGACTATAACGTATGACTGTTTTACTACATAGTATTTCTGCTACTGATCACTGTACGCGCCCAACGCGCGGCGACCTTTCCCTTTTCCCTTTTTGTTATTAATTATTCACTGCACCACCAATAATTTCGGCTGCTCCGCCGATATTCTCGCGCGGCGCTCCGATATTCTCGGAAGGGCCGAGAATATCCGCGGACGCTCTCCCGATATTCTTGGGCGCTGCTCTGATATTCTCGGATAAGCCGAGAATATCCTCGTAGAAAAGTGACCACTATATAAGGACGACACCCTCCATCAAATCAGTAACGTTCTCAGGGGTCACTTTGAGCAAGACATACGGCTTTATGCCTAGAGATTACTGTACTGAGACTGTACTAGCGCTGGTCGCAGAATAAATCGGAAACGCTTATTAGCTTTTTATTACAATTGTAGTGTGTCTTTATTTCACGCAAGCCATACTACAACATTGGTGTCAGAAGTATAAAGAAACCCAGCCTCAGAGAAAAACACAAGAAGTATTCCGAAACCACACGCTTACCAGCTGCTACCTCACTTGCGATCAAAGATGACACTTGTTAAGGTAAGGATAAATGGGTTATTAAGGGTATAGAGCCAGGGATTTTCACAGAAAGCGGAGCTTGCACCCTTAAGGGCAGCCACCGATAGGAAATCCTTTAGGCGGATCATATTAAGAATTTTTTTTTTTATCGAAAATAATCTTAAGGGTATACCTAGGCTTAACAAAAAAAAAAGAAAAAGAGTTTTCTTGTTTTTTTCTGGTTGCAATAGAGAAAATGACCATTCGAATAATTTGTTCAGAGTTCTATGAGGATTGGAAAAAAAAATTGACCCAGATTTAATATTTGAGACTTGGCAAAAAAAGCGATGACTACACCCCTAAGAAAAATAGAAGGGGCAATTTTGAATAATTTTGGATAAAGAGGGCATTAACAACAAATTTAAAAAAAAAAAACTATCAAGAATAAGTATTAAATAAATAACGTGAAATTTTTATTTCCAAAAAGATTAAAACAATAAATCATCTCTTTCTTAGTTTTTTCTTCTCTTTCAAAGAGCTGGACAATACGCGAAAAATAGTGCGACTGATCACAAGGAAGGCAAAATGCAGAATGACGCCCGATTTCAAAAGCGAAAATTTCGGCGCTGAATACATTAATATTTATGGACAAGCGCGCGCTCTGAGTGGCTCGCAGCACCTATATTGACTCAGGCATCCAATCAGACGATAGAAGAAATAAATTATTCAGGAAGTGCGCACCCTCTCAAAATCACCACCTTTAAAAAAGTAAGACTAACTTGTCTTCGAAAATTGAAAAATTTCAATTTTTTGATATCGTGAAAATGCCAATCAAATCAAAACAAATCCTTTATTATTTTGAAGATGGCACCGAAAAAGAAATGGTTTACCGCTATGTGCTTCCACGAGTCCTGTCAATATATCCACCAACCGAACATATACAGAAACCAGAGAAATGGCAAATAATTTTCGACATGATTGCGATTATAGAAGAAATCCGTAGAGACACGACGGAATTCATAGCCACGCAAAACTTCTCCGTCGGACAATCAGAAGCTCTTTACAATCATTGGTTAATTAGCCAGTCAAGGAAAAGAAGAGACCAAAGGGAGCACTTAATTCTCTGGATCTGCAAAGCAACATTTGTGTGCGACGTTTGGAAATCAAAACATGGAAATATAACGGGAATCGGGACACAAGTGCGCGTTGCGTTTGATAAAATGTTCAATGGACAGCAAGAGTTTTGGAGAAACTTTTTAAAGATCAAGACCAACTCCGAGATGAGAATTTCCAAAATAAAGATGGAAGAGTTCGTGAGGAAAATTGAACATTCTTTCCATGAAGGAAGATCAACTACTTCTCAAGGATTTTCTGAAGGAAGGGATCCTAGAAATTGGCAGGCTGAAACAGGCATGGTGCCGACGAGACAAGATCCGGGACATTCTGTGAGAAACGAGAAAAGGGCACAACAAGTGATAGAGATAAATAAACCTCCAGTTCTCAATTTGCGATTTCAAGAGGTGTATTACGGATCGTTGAACAACAATGTCTCAGCTGTCGATATAAGACCACTTCCGATTATTACCAACCATCACAGTCAACAATCAAGCCTGCAGACAAAGAACCAACAACTGATGAATCAGACTGGAAACGGCGGAATTCAGCCAAGCCAACAAGCTTTCGACTCAACTGATGCGACCGGCCCACCAGCTAAACGGCAAAAAATTGTCGGCGACAGTGACTCTTTCTTCATGGCAAATAACACTGGCGAGAAAATTCAAGCTTACCTATTGCCTGATAACATTGACAAAATTTTGAATTTAGATGGTAACCAGGGAAATTTTACCGGAAATATGCATGAAGGGACACACATGGTGGAACCAAGCAATCAGCTACAGTCAGCAACTACTGACCAACAAACTCATCGACAAACCAAAAGAGCGAGAACTCTTTCAGAGCAAGGATTAACAAATAATGACATGAACATTATTCTACCAAATCAAAGTGCCGAATCATGGAATGATAACAAGAGTATTGAGCCAGATATACGACCAGCAAACGAAATCGGAGAGCCTAATCAAAATGATTCCAACAATTTAAATCCTCCTTTGCCGTGCCTCGATGCAGACACCGACTTTGAATCTTTTTTTGCTCAACTTGAGGCGGACAATGTCAAGAAGTTCGATGAAACTTTCACCTACAACGGGAAGAATTAAATCTCGCATTGCGAAAACATTTCATTGTTGACAATTTCTTTTACTGAAGTTAACCTCTCACTTCTCCTTAACTGTCTAGTCTGTCCGGGTATAAAAGACACTTAGCTAATCAAAATTAAAATTTATATGCTTTTAGACAAACGCAAATCTTAACAATGAAACTAATCAAAATCAACACAGCACAAGCGAACGGAGTTCCAAATAAAATCGCGATTCACGTGACCAAAGAAGATCTTGAAAGAGATCTTCGGCTGGCGGCGAAAGAAGCAGATTGTCCTGACACATTCGTTTTGATAACAGAAAGCTCCACAGGTATAGTTCAGAGACTAGGTGAGAACGAAGAAAAGCTGCGTAAATCAAGAACGATGGCGGAAAGGATCTTGAAAGAAGAATCGGATTCAGCAATTTTTATCGAGGAGGATTATGCAAAACGATCAAACATAATCATTGAAACACCACAGCAGACCCAGACAAACAACATCGGAGAAGTAAAGCGAGAAGACGAAAAGCAAGAAAGACTCGAGAAACTTGAGAAGGAAAACACCGAGCTGAAGAAAATTGTCAACGCGAATCAAACTGAACTTCTTAACCTGCGAATGCAAGGAGAGATGCAGTTTAACGCATTAAAAGACATGGGAGAATCCATCAATGATCTCAGAAAATATTTTGCAAAGAAGAACACGATGAGTGACAATGAGGAACTCACTGGGGGAAGTGAGGGAAGTAACCTGCAAAGTCTAGAGGAACGAGCAGATGAGAGTAAGGAAGAGAGGAAAAGATTTGTGAGGACGGAAGTCAAGAAATTTTTCGCGAATCCCGCAAAATTCAATATGATATCGTGGACTGACAACGAGGACATTACGTTTGACGAGCATTTAGCAAGAAACCGGATTGCTATACGAAGCGCTAAAGAATCAGGACTTGCTGACAGCCAATTAATCAACCTATTTCTTCTCACGCTGAGACCAAGAGACCACTACCTGGACGAGGTAGTTGGGGTTAGAGATCGAAAAGACTTCAAGACGTTCATCGAAGGCCTTGGACGATATTTCAATGGATCCTCAACAACGAGCATGAACAAAGTTATCACCGCAAGAAGAAAACCGAATGAGAAACTTATCGAATTTTTCATACGGTTAAGATCAATGTATGGAATGACGGGAAGAGACCCAACAGAAGGGGAGACACCAAACCTCTTTTACACTATCCTGCTGAACAATGCAACGAAAATTCAGAAGACCGAACTGATAAGAGACTTAGATGTTGAAAGAAGGAAAACACCAATAAAGCTAGACGACCTTAAAGACGCAGTTTTGAAGGCCCAAATGGTGGATGATCAAAGCTACGATGCAAACACTCAACATCTTGTGTATAACATCAACGATCAGCAAAAACAAAGAGGTTATGAACAACGAAACGAAATGCCAAGATCAAGCTCTAGAAAGCTTATTGACAAATCAAATGTTGTTTGTTACAACTGCGACTCCAAAGGGCACATGTGGCGTGACTGCCAAAAGCCTTTAAAACAACGATTTGTCCGAATAAAAGAAAGAACAAAACAACAACAAGGATATCCGAGAGAGCCTAGAACCCCTCGAGGGACAGGCTATCGAGCGAACAAAAGCACCTAAGCCAGCTGCGAATCGGCTTAGAAATATGGAAACGAAAACGGAACCGGAACCGACTAAGAAAAAACCTTATCAACCACTTATTGTGTACGCCAATGTCAAGGCGAAAGCCCGCAATGGCGTCAAACAAGACGTATTGACTTTACTCGATACAGGCGCAACCTACAGTTGCGCAAGCCTTGATTTCGCCGAAAGTCTTGAAAAGAACGGCTCCAAAATCATTAAAGAACAAACTCGCAGAGCCCATCCAATAGCGGCTAAGGGAGGGACAATGGAAATCGCCTATGACATTATACTGGATGTCACAATCAAAAGCTATCCTGATATTGTCTTCCCTTCAGTTCGCGTCAGTATTATACCTGGCCTTCGCGCGGAATTAATACTTGGATGTGACAGTCTCCAGAACCATACACTGCAGATAAATAGCAATTCTGCACTGATTGATGGTAGACCAGTGCAACTCGCGAGACAGAGGAACACAGTTACACTGAAAGTATTGGAGGCAAATGCTTCAAAGGGCTTCAATACCCTGAAACTTGCTGCCGAAGACCTTGCAGAAGAGAAGCAGCCCTCTAACCGAGTTTTACTCACCTTAGAATCCAGCTCATCGCCTGGTGTGCCGGACGTGTCTATGATCATGAAGTCAAGTGAGTTGAAAGCCGATTTCTTGATCACATACCCGGGCCCACCGACCACAGTACCGAAGATTTTCCTGGCCAGAATTGACTCGGTACCGGAAAACTCAGAAACCGAAACTCCTAGGGGATTGTCGGCTGATGATATCAATGATATTATATCAAAAACAGAGCTAAGCCCACAAGGCCAAGAGAAGCTGAAAGTCATTCTCGAGAAGCATTCCTGTTCATTCTCGAAGAAGAAGACCGACGTTGGAATATATAAAGGACCTAAAGTTAAACTGCAGTTACTTGACCCAAGACTCCCTGGAGCCTGGGTCCGACCGAAGAGAATACCCATCAGCCAGCAAGACTGGCTAAGAAAAGAACTTGACGCAATGCAGAAAGCTGGAATCATCGAAAAAGCTAAAGGAAGCCAATACAACGCACCACTCCAACTAGTCAAAAAGACGACGGGTGAACATACCGTTTGTGTAGACATGCACTCGCTCAATCTCAGAATAGCTGGAAATGACTGTCTTCAGGACGAACCGAAAGAGACCTTGGAAAAGCTGGAAGGAGCATCGTTCTTCAGCAAAATTGAGATTCAGCAGCCTTTTCTCCACATGAGCTTATGTGAGGAAAGCAGACCACTAACAGCATTCAGTGCACTTGACCAACAGTATCAATTCAAACGTATTCCACCAGGATTGAAGATTGCTCCCAATGTCTACCAAATGGCATTAAAGGAAACACTTGGAAACGTCATAAGTGATAGCTGTTTTGTTACTCTGAATGAGATCCTTGTGATCGAAAAATCGGAAGAAAAGCATCTTAGTGCCGTCGAGGAAACGATCGATCGACTTACAACTGCTGGATTCATTCTCGATCCGGAAAAATGCCTCTTCGCACGAAAGAGCATAAGCTTTCTTGGATACAGAATAACCCCTTCAGGATACTCTCCCGAGCATGACAACCTAGCTCCAATCAGAGATTATCCTGTTCCATCAAACAAGAGAGCTCTTCGTCGATTCATCGAGATGTGCTCATACTACAGCTCGCTTATTCCAAGACTTAACTTTAAATTGGCGCCTTTATACAAAATCAGTGGAACAAAATCAGTTTATGACTGGGAAGATGAACATCAGAATGTGTTTGATGAGATAAAAGCAGCGATTCTACAACAGAATAAACTTGCCTTCCCATCACGTGATCCCGATTCGCAACTTATAGTAACAAGCGATGCGAGTCTCACGGGATACGGAGGAATGATAAGCCAGAAAATCGGCGACGAGACTGAACGCCCACTTGGATACTGTAGTGGATTTTTCAAAGACTCACAACTGAAGTGGCCGATTCACGAGAAAGAAATGTATGCCTTCATCAAAACACTCGAAAATTTTCATCATCATTGCTACGGAAGATCATTTCTTTGGAGAACAGACAGTCGATGTCTTGCATTCATCTGCTCGGAAAATAAAACCCGACAGACTAAACGACCATCAGCGAAGAAAGCGCGTTGGCTCCAAAAATTGAGCGAATACGATTTCGCGATCAAGCACATGGACGGAAAATCACGTGAAATGAGCGTTTGTGATAGCCTTAGCCGACTCGATCCACCTGAAGTTGTCAACCATATCGATAATGCAACGGAAACCAAATTCAGAAGTCTTCAGAAGGCGATACCAACCTGGATCAAGCTCAAAGGAATCACAAAAGCCGAGCTACGAGAATGCCAAGACAAAGATGAATCTCTCCTGAAATTCAAACATGACTGGAAACCATTGAAAGGAAAATATAAGCTCAAACTTGCTGAAGACGGAATCTTCATCTTGGTAGGGAAAGTTGATCGGATACCAATACCAATGGAGTTACAGAAGAGAATCATCTCAGCTTACCATCTTCCACAACACGCGCGAGTAACGAATATGATCGAAGCAATGAGGAAATCTGGAATCTTGTTCCCTGGAATGTCAAGAAAGACAAAGGACTACATCAAACTATGCCCAGCTTGTATTACGATGGCAGCGTTGGAGAAACCTAAGATTTCACCAGTAGCGGCTCCGAAAGAACAACATCCATACATGACCGTAACTATCGATCTTCTCGGACCCCTGCCATCGACTCCGACACGTAAGAAATACATATTGGCGGCAATATGCAATCTGACTCGCTGGATAGAGCTCAGGCCCATCGTGGATAAATCAGCACCTCATGTTGCTAAAGCAATAATGGATATATTTTTCCTAAGAGGGCCACCACGGGCAGTTTCTTGCGACAATGGAAAAGAATTCTCCAACAGCATCCTTAAAGAACTACTTACGTCCTTTGGAACCTGCATCAACTATGGAACACCTTATCGGCCGCAAGGACAAGGCCTGATAGAACGAGCAAACCGTGAGATTGTCAAGCATCTCAAAGCGTTAAACATAGAAGAAAACCGATGGGACACTTACATCCCATCAATCCAACTGTCAATGAACCTTAGCTACCACTCAGCCTTGGGCTCAAGCCCTTTTCAAGCCATTCATGGCTGGACTCTAGCCGAGCCATTTCGTAATAATACTTACAATGGAAAAATCCCCGAAGATGTTCGACTATGGGTTAAAGAGTCGGGAGCTCGAATGTGTGCTGCACTTTCACAACTTGTTGCGAAGCAAGCAGTAGCATCGACGGAGATACCTGACGATACTGATTCTAATGGGATAGATATTGGAACAGAAGTTCTTTTAAAAACTATGATTCCACCAGGAGTAAGTGGAAAACTCTTCACTCCGTGGAAAAGAGGATTTGTCGTACAAAAAAGATGCGACAAATATACGTACATTGTAACCCCGATCGAAGCTCCTAGGAGGCGATTTCTTGTGCACCGCGATCGAATACGGATCCTGCACCGGAATCTTAAGAATTCGCCAAAGGTATGATGACGCGTCAGAAAAGTGTATGTTGATGGCTAACGGATATACCTAGGAGCAGACGACACTTCAGGAGAAGAATAACGATAAAGAAGAAATCGTTAAACCGGATGAAAATTCGGTAGTTAATAGTCAGGCGCCATCAGTAGAAGCAGAAGAGGAAATATCAACATCAGCGGTGCCTAGAAGAAAGACTAGAGGACAGAAAGTGCCGTATGGTAAGTTTTTCTGAGACATGGAGCTAAGGATAGAAGATCGTCCTCCAAGAAACTTCATGTCAACAACTCACGCAGAAGAGACAGAAAACGTCGATTCGGGAAGAGACTTCACTGCGAAATCAAAATTTGTTCACCTCGATAATTCTTTCTGCGAATAAGCCGAGTAAAAGACAAAACACTAACTCTGACTTATTAAGATAACTCGAGGTCTACGAAATGAAACGAAAACCAAACAAAAACAAAATTTATCATCACCAAAATGATATGCAATTTGATAAGGAATGCACGAAAAATTCACGAATCAACGACGAAGAAACAGAAGGAAAATCAAACAACTCGCCAAAGAAGAAAAAAATCAGCTACAACGAAAACGGTCAAGCGCGGTCGACAAACAGGGGAACCGAATCACAGATTCAAACAAACCGACTCAGTATTTCATGTTTGATTTGCTTGGATACTGTAAGATCACCTAAAAGACTAAATTGCAACCACGCCTTCTGTGGTGAATGCATCGACTACTGGTATTTGATTTCCAGTAAGACTTGCCCCCAGTGTAGGAAAAACATAAGCTGGAGCGAAATTAACGGACCAAAATGGAAAACAAATTTGATTAACAAATTCAACGAAGAGAATATAAAAAAAAAACAAAAGTTGACGAAAAGGAAGAAGAACTTCGAAGATTGAAAAAGTTCTAACCGAAGGGAGGAGAGAAGAGAAAAGAAGTTGAATCTTCTTTTATTATTCTGGATCACCCGAGTTACAAAAATGTTTTCGATTCTTCTGACAACTCAAACTTTCGTTGATCAAAAAAGCCTGTTATTCATCATTTCAGAAGCCTTACATAAAAAACATTGTGATTGGATTTAGTCAAGAGTCAATAAGCGACATCTTTTCATCTCTAACAAGAACTAAATCGACATCTTTCCCGACTAAACATTCACTTTCTTCTTTCGATTGTGGACAAAAGTCAACGTTTTCAGTGTTTCACGGAAAGGATGATTGAATAAGTCGGAACTCTCGTCTTAAAATCGCGCAAAAATCTTGACCAAGTAATATTGCTGCTAAGAAAATTGACGGAACTTGAGCACAATATCCGCATCACCTGATGATGAATCCAGAATCGATGAATCAACATTGGAGCCCAAGTGTTAATTAATGAAGGAGGGAAGAGTGTTATAGTATGACTATAACGTATGACTGTTTTACTACATAGTATTTCTGCTACTGATCACTGTACGCGCCCAACGCGCGGCGACCTTTCCCTTTTCCCTTTTTGTTATTAATTATTCACTGCACCACCAATAATTTCGGCTGCTCCGCCGATATTCTCGCGCGGCGCTCCGATATTCTCGGAAGGGCCGAGAATATCCGCGGACGCTCTCCCGATATTCTTGGGCGCTGCTCTGATATTCTCGGATAAGCCGAGAATATCCTCGTAGAAAAGTGACCACTATATAAGGACGACACCCTCCATCAAATCAGTAACGTTCTCAGGGGTCACTTTGAGCAAGACATACGGCTTTATGCCTAGAGATTACTGTACTGAGACTGTACTAGCGCTGGTCGCAGAATAAATCGGAAACGCTTATTAGCTTTTTATTACAATTGTAGTGTGTCTTTATTTCACGCAAGCCATACTACAACACCCTCAAATAAACGCAAGTCATCGCAATTGTTTACAGGCGTAAACGAAGCTGGCTACTTCGAATGACCTCTTTTCCCTAGACTCGAGGGCCTCGAAAATATTTAACTTTCGGACACAATTTACAGAATATTTCGGGCGTTCAAATACTTGTCGAAAGTATACAGTGTCCATGCTGCATGCGCAGATTGAAGTTCTTATACTAGAATTAAATCTGTCGGGGTTGTAAATTAAAATGTAGCTTCTTTTGAAAGTGGTGACAATTGTTTACTGGATATCCGTGAGAGTGCGCTGCTATTCAAATACAGTGCTCTGCTATTTAATCTTGATTATTGTCCCATCGTCTTTAGTAATTCGTTGAAAACCTCTTGTGTGAAGTAGAACATTTTGTCTGACACAGGTTTTATTCACCAATCTTCATTCACGCAACCAACAATACAAAATCCAAATCTTTTTTATCAAAAAAGGGCGTCAAGAAAACTTGCCAAGATTTTGCTTCAAAAGAGAAACTACCGTTTCCTAATGTCAGAGAGCGAAGACGAAGATGAGAATTATTTTGGAGCGACTTGGGAGCACATGGGTAAGATTTTAAGACAGTTTTATTACAGAAAATTTTTCGGCTAGAATTTCTTTTGAACCCTTTTTTGTAATCTGCGGTCAAATTTCCCTGTTTCTTCCCATGTCTGAAATTGTAGATTCTGCTACTTTTCGGAACATTTTTTGACTGAAGAGATTTAGTCAATGAGGCATGCAGATTGCGGCAATTTTTCCTGCTGTCGATTTATCGCCTCAGTGAATACACAAATACTTGATAATTACTTCCGGGCGACGGGTGAAAATATTTGCAGGGACCGTCCTTTTTCGCCCACTTTTCGTTTTTCCAAGCTGCATAAATTTGATAATCAAATTCTAGGGCTCTCGAAATCGAAGATGATCCAAGAGCGATCGCTTCCTCCCATCACGCAAAAAGGGCTGATTCTCTCCCGCTCGCCGAAAATCGAAGAAATTTATGAAAAATTACAACTGGCGGAAGAAAAGCTCAAAGAAGGAAAATCTTCCAGTCCAAATGCCGAGCGAATCAGGCATTTTCATCATGGGATTCTAGCGCTCAGAGGACTTGATTTTGGAGAAGGGTTGAATGAGGAAGATGTTGCTGTCACTAGAAATTGGAAGCTTTCGCAATTGACGGAGGAGATTTTGAGACGAGTGAAGCTGGTGAATGAGAATTTACGATTAGGAAAGCGGATTGTAATTTCATTCCAAGTTGATTATCTTCCTTGCTATCAGTTTGTCAAATGGACTAATGTTTGTTATTATCCGATAAATAAAGAGCTGGTAAAAACGTTAGTCCTGTCCAAAGTGACACCCTGGCGTCGCATCAGAGAGTTATGTACCCAAGTACTTGAGCGCAATCCGCATTCTGAATTGGCACAGGTGAGCCTCAGCGCTTCAAGTAGCCTTCCCAATTGTCCTAAAACTATCGAAAGACAGTGAATATGGGCGCAAATAGAACAGAAAAACCGCCGGGCACTTCTTTCAACAAACTTTCTGCTGACAAGAATGTCACGCACCCAAGGGGCAATTTTGAATTTCGTAGAGCTGTTTTCGATTAATATATAAACGAAAAATAATCACCATAAGAATTATAAATTTTATATCAGTAAAGTCTTTTTATTGAGGAAAAAATGAATTTATAAAAAATATTTTTGCATATCTAACATCATCAGTACGACTGCATAATAAGATAAAGAAATTTTTTTTAAGGAACCCCGTCAACAATTTTCCTCAAAAAAATCGAAAATTTCAAAACAGCCATATTTTGGCTTCTGAGTGTGCCTGGAAGTAAAATTTATCATAAAAACTTGTTAGGAGCACTTTTTGACCAATAAAATGTAAAATTTAAGCAAAATTGGGATTTTTTCGTCATTTTTCGTCAAAAAGTCCAAATTTCAAATACGATTTTGAGTGTGTTAGAGTCGAGATCGACCCCCAAAAATGAAGCCTCAAAATCGTTTTCTGACCCGTAGAATCCATTTCCGGGGTCAAAATTTTGAAATTCCGAAAACAGATTTTTCGAAAATTGTTGACGAGGGGTCCTTAAATTAGTTTATAATACATCAAAACAGCTCTACGAAATCAAATATTGCCCAAGGAGTGTGTGAGATTCTTGTCAGCAGAAAATATCTTAGCGCTTTCTGGATCTTGCCAACTCCCGAATCCTCCCCGAACTTCCTCCAATTTCCTCGAGTCCACCAACAAAAACGCGTCGCGAAAAACCCCAAGGGAAGGAAGCGTCATCATCACTCCCCCACTCCACCAACTTGGCGACAACGAGGAACTCGCTTCGTAAGACGGCATTTCCTGGTCCGCGGCAGAGCGCGTCAAATGCTTCAAATTCTAACTCAAGTTTGCGAGGGAACTCAATGCGAGGAAAGAACAAGCGTCAGATTTTTATTTTACAGTTTTCTTACAAAAATTATCTTGATAAACGCATGTCAAGATAGCGCTCCCAAAGTCGTAAATTACATTTGCTCGTCGCGGACATTGTTTTCTTCGGCGATCTGAAATTGTACAGTTTTATACCTTTTCTATCTGTATCTTCGGTTCAAATAAAGTTCAACGAGACATATCTTTATCGATAGTTTTCTCAAGAGAACTGATGAACTCACTGTTTTTTTCTTTGAAAAGTGCGATAAAAATGCAATATTTGATGGCAAACTCAATATCGTTTACTGTCTCAGATCGTTGTTTGAATAGCTGAGGGGATAAAAGTATTATATTCAAAAATTAATGGAGGATAAGGCCCCTTTGATGGATAAATGGAATTCGAAAGATGAAAGTCAGCAAGTATCAATATTTACATGCAAAATTAGCCTCAATACAGTTGTACTCGATCTGAATTATTGAATGCCGATGATGGATAAAAGGGATGAAAGCTATCTTCCGACAGCAATACTTTCGAGCAACGAAGAAAAAGCGAAACATGAACTTTTTGACTTTCTTGAGTTTTTTTTCTTTCACTGCTTCGGCTTTTTACGCCTCGCTCCCGGGCTGGGATGTGAAAAGGGATGGAGGAAGATTTTGGGCTCTCACTTGACTTTTAGTTTTCGAGATATTGAGTAAAAATAGAAAGAAGAGGCTAATTTCGTACGAAAAATTGAGAGCCCTGATAGCACAGTTGATCAGCAAGCCAAGCTTTACGAAAAGTACCCTGAGCTGATGCGATTCGTTCTTGGCGGAAATGGATTTTACTCGAAGAAATAATTGGTTTTAACGTATTCTGCTCTTATTGAATAAAATCTTTCAGAGACCATAAAACTCGTTATTCTTAGAGAAAATATTGAATTTAATCTTCAGGTGTTTATGATTTTCTGAGTATATTTTTAGTACGAGACTTCCTGAAGACAATCGATATAAGTATCACATATATAATTTTAATAAGTTCACGAGAAACATGACTTCCTTACCTTGACAGATAATTGATTAACATTCTGATGAGTCATCAGCGGCGTCGTTGGCTTCGTCGATCTAGTCGAGTTACCTGCAATACTTGCCTCTTTACTCCCCAACGTCTGCGCATCCGATCCCCTTTTTAGTTGCGACATAACTTGATCGAAGCACTAGAATGTTCAATTAATCAAATCCTGTCAAGCAACTCCCAAAACATTCAATTTTCCTAACCTTTTTCGGAGTGGTAGACATGACATGTCGGGCCACTGAAGTCGGTCGCTGAATTCCCCGAGTTTCGAAATCCGGCTCGAGTATATTGTCCAGCCGATTCATCAAATATGCCTAAAACGAAGAAATATAAGCAGTTTTTTTAACATTTCAGGCACGTTCGTAAAATAAATATAAAAGTGTGATTCAATGGGCTTGTCTAACCGCGCCCTGACCGCGGTTGAGTTTGGCGGGAAGATTATCGAATCCGGCTCTGTAGAGCGTGTCTTTTCAAACTGAGGAAGTTTACCTGGTATTGATCTTCATCGCTCAGCGACGGCTGGCCCATTCGCGACTTTCCGGAGTTCTGTATTCATTCAAATATCCGATTAACTCGATTTTCTTGCACTTCATTTTATTGATTTCAGAACTCAATCTGCGCTCGTTGTCGTTCCTCAATGACCCCCGGCGGAAGATTCGTAGAAGAAGGAAACGGACTCGGTTTGGACGAGAGGAGCGGATGAACCAAAGCCTGAAAATAAACCGGTTCCATTTTCACGGAACAACTAGTGCCAAAACATTATGTGTTCGACCCGCTGGACGAGGTCGGCGTTTAGGACGTCCGGTCGCACTCTCGTTAGTTTTTCAACCGCGGAAGCCGATTTTCAAACCATGCGTCGGCCGGAGACCGTGGCACGCTTTGACTTCTCTAAAATCTTTTGCTTGCTTAGAGTGAGAGTTATCAAAACTGCTTTACAGGGCACTACTGGTCCTTTATCCACCTCGGTTCTTAACAAGAAGGCGCCCTTGAATGACTGATTACCTGCTGCTCGTTATCGCCTGTTTGATAAGTTTGCCGACGGCCAATAAGCTTTCGGACCATTGTCTCGTCTTGGAGTTCTTCTGATTCGGGGTTCAACATCGAATTAGTTAAAATTGGCAGTTTTATGATTGTTTTTCAATCCCATTCCTAATCCGTCGAGGCGCATTTCCTCGAGGATGCCTTGAAAATCCAGCGCTCCTAGATTTACTCCGTGAGCGTAGAGATCACGGAGGCCTTGATGTATCTGTTCCCGGACGAGCTCATCCTCAAAAGCCGCTTAGTGGTGTTCTATTACTGTAACTAAGCAACTAACTAAGCATGAGATAATTCAGTCCTGTTTTCGCAAAAATTGAATTTTCAACTATTTGACACTTTTTTCTGGGTCAATAATCGGGTTTTTCAAGTTCAATTTTAATTTTGAAATCATACCTTTGCTTCCCAGCCGTAGGGATGAGCAAAGCGAATCGTAATGTTGAGCTGTCCTCTAAACTGCTTGTGCTTGAGCAGTTCTTTCTCCACCCTAGGTGAATGGATAAGCCAGTCCGTAGATATCTATCACTGTACCTGATAAGATTCAAGAGGCTCTGAGCTGTTGTCGAAAGTGGGCTTGAGGACATGATAATGTCCACGTTCAGCTAAATTATTTATCAACAGCCTGTAAAAACTACTGTCTGATATTGCGCTGGAATTCATTTAGGTCAAATACTAGAAAAAACAGCAAGAATGTCTGTTAGACATAAAAAGATAAAATCCTTATTTTGATTTTTGTCTATTAATCTACGTTTTCAACCTATTTTAACCCCAAAAATGACTGTAAAAAGCTGTCTGTAGCGAAAAAATATACCTCGATAGCTTCTACATGCGGAACACGTGACTCCCAATCTGAACGAGAAGGCTTGAAAAGTGATTATTGAAAAGTAGCTTACCTGATTTCATCAAGTCGTAGACGAACATCTGAGCCGCGGAGTCGTTCTTGCCACCAATGCACCTGCTGCGAAAAAGAACGTGCTCACGGTCGGTGAACAGGTCCACATATGAGATTTCGGTTTTGACGACTGCCAGCGTCGCAGATTTATTGTCTTAGGGTTACAATTAGTTTCAAGCTGAAAAACAGCTCAATGCAAAGACGTCTCTTAGTTCGACCTTGAACAAAAATACACTTCGAGAACATCAATTATCAACATCGTATATTTTTCAATCGACGATCCCGAAATTACTGTTTGTTCATCCTACCTGGATCGAGGAAGAGCTTTGAGTAGACGTTCTCGCTCCAGCTCCTACAATTTCCTCCGCTTAGTTCACCGGTCGTTGCTTCCAGCTCCCTAAAGTTCAAGTTGGCTACTGATCAAAATGCTCCTGCTCAATGGTTGTATTCCGGAAGGAGTTTTCAACCAAGAGCGTTGACAAGCGCGGGTTCGATTATGCGCTTCATTATGGAAACAATTCAGAGTCATGTCCGTTTCTAATAGCCACTGAAGCTGGGTGGCTTTCAAGGAACTTCAAATCTGACAGCTATTGCGAAAGAAAATATTTCGAACGGCGAAACACGTCAGGTTTCGATTCTTTTATTGCTCAACTCAATTTCCATGTCGACGCTCATTTGCCAGGAAAAATAATTTCATTTGAATAAATTGAACATTAGCCGCAATTCAAAAAATCGTGACTTGGATTCGAAAAAACGTGAATAAATACTAGCAGTTGTTTTAGAAAAAAAATGGAAGGAAAGTGCTATCTTAGTACTCGTTAGTTGCGTCCCTTTGTTGACACCGGCCGACAAATCCGGATACAGGAACCTTCTACCGGTAGAAATTCACGACCATACAACATCCCTTTTTTGACCGCAGCGTTTTGACCGTCCCTGATTCACCCTGCCCAGGATTGTTGCGAAATTACCAAAAAATAAAGCAAAAAACGATTATCTATTTTAGTTCCTTCTTTAGCAGAAGAATCAACTCAATGTTAATCAAGGAGAATTAATAAACTTAATCCTCTGTTAGCAAAAAGGATAAGACATTCTCGGTACGGTTTTAGCCCGCGTATCGGCTCTAGTGATAAGGAGGTTTCTTGAGTTTAGGAGAAAAATAGAGAACTTACTGTTGCTGCAAATCTTGAACTTGCTCTTGTGGTATGAACTCCTGTTGTTGTGTCTAAAATCTTCCTTGAAAATCAACACTTTTTCTCGTTTCTTACCGGGGTCAAATTTAATTTCTTTCTGAGCTTTTTGAACATCTTCTGATCTCTGTATCTCTCTCTTTCCTTAGTACAGGACTAGCTAATTTTTCAAAAAAGGCTCGAAAAAAAGAAGCGTGCTTTCTCAAACTTGCTTTGAGAGAGTAAATTATTGAGCAAGGAAGAGGACTGGTTTAAAATTCAAGCTGTTGAAAAATCAAGCTAATTGAAAATTCTAGCTTTCTTTCTAAAACCAAAACCAAGTGCGCTAAAAGTGATGAGATGATCCATTCAGGGATTAATTTATGCATTAGATCAATATTAAAGAACCCCCGTTCGATTAAAATTGAAGTACTTCCGATCCAAGCTTGTTTACTGTAATGAATCGGGCTGAAAACTGCTTGAACTTTGATGCACCACACCCTTCTAAAGAAAACTTCTACCGGGAAGGATTGAGGGCCCAACCAAGGGTCTTCTGGTAACCCGCAACAAATTTCTAACCAGACAACAACATCGTAAGTAATCCGCTTTACGGGCGAGCTTAGTCGAAACCATAAATCGCTGAAAATGCCTCTCAGACTTCAGGTAAAAAATCGGCTCTTTTCTGAAATGACACGCCCTTGGTTCGGGTCGTTTTCTACTACTTTCGATCATTTACTCGAAAACGCTTTTATTTGACAAAAAAGTATATATATCTTAAAATAAAAACAGCAAAGTGATAATTATTGAGTAGTGAGGATGAACATAAAATATCCATCAACAGGGTTGTCATTTTTCAGGTGAAAGAAGACGACTTCGCCAGCATCTCCAAGTTCGACGTTTTCAAAGTTGGTCATTGAGAAGTTGGGATCGGTCATATTCATTCCACCACATTTCTTATTGTCGTTAATCGCCAAATATTCGTGTCCACAGCTGGTCATGTCGGTAGTTAGGTCTTATATCGGGTTAAATTGTTTGTTTTGGGCCTCGCAATGCATCACATTTTAACCCTTTACTGTAATTTCAGTGCTATTTGCGTTGAAGAAGAAACTCGTCGACGCGACAAAGATCTTCTCGTCCTTCTTTGGGATAAGTTTGAGGTGGCAGTCGCTGACGGGGATATCAGAATCGCCCGACATAACGACCTGCATTTCTTCTTGAGCGAGAATTTGTCCTTCTGCGTTGAAGAGGTTTGGCGACCTTGATTGAAGAATAATAGCTTTGATAGCAGTGGGATAAAACTTATGCGATCACAAACATGTTGTCTTGGGCACCAGGAAATTTCTCGGCATCCCAATCTTCGTCTCCGACAAAAAAGTGAGCAGGCTTTTCAGCACTTGACTTTGGTTGGCAAACATTAGTGTATGGCTTTAAATGTTCAAATTGTATTCTCATCAAATTATATTTTTGATAAGAAAGTAAGTTGGAACATTTCCTGCTTGAGTCTATGTCCATGGCCAGTTAAAAATTTCACGAGAAAAAAAATTCCGACAACAAGAATGCCGATTATGGCTCCGACGACTTTTTTATGCATTTTCTCTTTTGTAAAAATCAACTAAAAGCATTCTTGCTCAACTTACTTATAAATATGCGTTCTAGAGACAGTTGACTAAAATCTGGTTTATTACCGCTAAAGGGTTAAATAATCAATTGTTGTGCAGTGACGAATGTATGAATTTGGAGAATTGTTCTTGCTAGAGTCAGTTTCTGTTCCATCCGAAGTCTTGGTTGATTTTCTTGAAGAATGCGTTGTTGTAGATGTAGAAGAACTGCTTGAGTTTCTTCCTCAAATTGGTCGAAATCGGCGGATGCTCCCGACCCTTGCTCTAAAATGAAAATTAACGTGAGTCTGTTCCTCACCGCGGCGAAACAACTTCTGCTAGATCCTTCCTCCCCCGATCGAGTCAAAAGTGGTGCTTAGCCGCAACGACAAAAAAAAATACGCAGCACAAAGTTACCTTATTCAAACATTTTGGACGGCCAGGGCCCTTTCCGTTATTCATGCAATAGAAACCGCGAGTTGAGTTGAAATAGAACTCCGACTCGTCCACCAGATTTGGCAGCTCTAGGAAATCTTCCACTTTTTGAACACTAAAAAGCAATTTATAATTTATTTATTGAAAATATTTATTCGGTTAAAATTGAATAATCAATAATTGAAATTATTAAAAAATATTTGTTCAATTTATAAAAGAAGTCTGTTATGGTTTCTTTTTATACAGCTCGTTAATTTTACCTCTTCCAAGGATATTCCACGAGTTCATTTGCATCAATCACCAAAATCCTTCCTCTGAAAAGCTAAAACTCTTATTTAACTTTTAGCTCTAAATTTAACCCTAACCCTGTGCCAGTTTCTATACCACTTGAGATAGATGCTGGTCCTCACAGCACTATGATGTCGGTTCACTCTTCCTCCTCGGTTCAAAATTCGATCTTCTAACGTTTCAGATGGCGGTGGCAGCCCCTTTTTGACTCGGTTCTCCAAGATTTGCGCCCAGCTTGACACTATTCGGTCGACGGGGTCGCGAACGACAAGAATGATCTTGTCTGGGCGCAAAAAATTGAGCTACTGTGGTCTCCCCGCCACGTTGCGATTTGTAATTTTGGTGAAAAAAAGTAAACGAGTAATCATTTTTCGCGCCCCCTTGATGGAGTTGTCGATGTAGCCCTTGTTCATCAGCTCTTTGAGTCGGTTTGGAGCATCAGCGCTATAATTATTAAGTCATCCGGAGACTCTAGCTTTTTGACAAAATTGGAGAGCTAGGCCAAATAAGAATGACCTAGAAAAATTTTTATTCTTTATGAGAAATTTAGTTTTTATGGTTTTTGAAAATTTACCTTATAAAATAACCAGGAGTCTTTTCCATGGTCACCTGACTAGGCAGACTGAGAGGCATTTGTTGACGATACCAAGTCGTTCCTTTTTGGAAATTTTCCTTGTCGTTGAAGAAGTGAATTTCGCGCTCTAGGTGCCGAATAAAGAGTCATTTTACGGTGGGATTTAACGTCACCTGCGTGTACGATCTGAGGATGAAGACCGCAAAACTGCAGCAAAGCTCTTGTTCCGCATTTGCGTACGCCAACAATTATTGCTGAAGATTAGATTTTTTGAACATGCAAGCTTCTTTTTAACCCCTTGCCGTAGCTCAACCAAAAAATTGGTGAAACAAAAATCTTGTTTATCACCTTTTGGGAAGCGCTTTTCGGAGATATCAGAGTACTCATTTACAGCGTATTCTTCATATTCCTCGTCACCGTACTTTTCGGAGATTACGAAGCATTTATTTTAATATTTTGGTTTTGAATGGTATCAACGCCAAGGAGTTAGATAAAACCAAACTCATGACGAAAATTACTGATAAAAACTGCTCTTATCATTTTTCGCTACTCAAAACGCGGCTATTTGGGTACAAAATTGATGATTTCGTAATTTTTCCTCAGATTCATCGGCTTTTTCTCTGCCCTCAACTTCTCTTTCAAAAATTAGGAATGAAAAAAGCAAGGCAAGAAGCATTTGGAATAGAAAGCGAAAAAGAGCGAATTGAATGTTTTGGGCCGGTAGTGAAAGATGCGCCAAAGAATACAACTGTTGAACTTGAACGAGCCGCGAGTTTGCGCTTCCAACATCAAAGGGAAGGACAGAGTCAACAAGGGATGAGGAATGGACACACACATATAAAATAGCTTGTGGCTGGAATCATCAATTTTAATTTTTTGGTTAGCCCTAGGGTTAGGGTTAGGGTTGGGTTCAATCAGCAAGTACCAATGGGTGGCCGTCCAAACACTGTAAATTTCATATTAATAAATTCAATTTGGTGAGCAAACGAAAAAATATGTATATTATTAATGAAAAAACTTTCTTATGGTTTTTATGTCAAAAACTGTATCAAACAGAAAACGCTTAACATTGATGGCCACTTAATAAATCCCTTCCAGCTGAAAATAATAAAGGCCATTATCCCCATATTTTGACGACCCGTACTTCCGATAATAAATCCAATGTCGAGATATTTTTTCGCGCGCTCATTTAATCCCCTGATGTTCCTTCTTTGCCTTTTTAAAAGCTGTTAAATTGATACGAGTAATTCTTGGTGAATTCGAATTTTAAGACCGTTTAGTTTGTATTTAGAAAATAAGCAAAAGAAGATCTTAAATTGGTCACCTGAAGATGGGCGATTAAAGTTCCAGAGATCGGTCAGGTCCCTCTTTCCGGTGACACGTGCGCCGAAATTTCGGTGGTGTCAACACCAGTTGATCGATGGTGGAGGTGCCGCGGTCTGGCGCAAAACCAAACAGATGCACATTCGTTTGCCCAAGAAATATACTTTTCGTGATTTATAAATAGCCAATTATGGCAAAACATCTTATTTTCGGTGTTCAATCTTATTTTCATCAAATTTTAATGAAGTGACACCCTTATTTTCACTTCAAAATAATGGTTCTTTGTCCGACTGAAAATAAGGGTGTCACTAAAGAAAATTTGAAAGTTTGGGTTTCTTGAGAGTCAGGATTAAGGAGGTAGAAACAGCTTTCTCGATTTTGGACTGCTGCTACATAAAAGAAAGTATAAGATTTATTTATGTTCACGGAATTTCCTCATAAATGTTCCTAGAAAAAGGGTTGAGCTTAACAAAAATGTGAATGAAATTTGTTTAACTATCAGGGGACTCGAGATATTCTTGTTTGAAAATTGGCGAAAATCGAGAATTTCGGAGAGATGAGCTGCTTCTGAGCCCGCTTACTCAAAAAATTGATGACTAAAACCAATTTTGAGGGAGATGTTCCTAGATCTAAGATGTATCTATCTAAATATGAAGAGAAAAATTGAAAATGTAAGATTCTCTTGTCTGTAGCGCTGGTCAAAAATCGTCTTTTTTCGAAAAAAGCTGTTTCTACCCCCTTAATGATCCCTTTCTTTTGGTTATTAAAATTTTCCAGGAAAGTTAAGGGTATCATCGGCTTTTGCTTTGATTTGTTGGCAGCTCTGTCTGTCGGATTAAGACACCCAAGATCATCGTTAAGAATTTCGTCGGCGGGATCTAAAATAAAAAATGAGCCTAATCCGATTGGCAATAATTCTTTCACGCGCTCAACTGCCCACTCGATTTTGGTGTAAACTTCTCACCAGCTGGTCAAAGCCGCCGCTACTCAAGGCGAAGGTGAATTTCAAGATCTGTGATTATAAAAATTATAATTTATGTGTAGGGAAATGCGAGCATGTGAGAAAAAGGAAAGTTGCGTTGAGACATTCTGCGGTTTTTCGATGGCTAGAATTAAGGAGATATTAGAAGAATGATACACAGTTACGAGTTGATATGATACCTCAATAATTTATTGATAAATTACTGAGCCCTCAATTCTTAAATCAACTCTCTTTTGGTCATTTTCAGAAGTTTTAGGGACAATCTTATAACAGGTATTCAATACTTGCGATAAATGATATTTCGTTTAGTAAATACCTTCCATAAAATTGCCTTTTATACTTCTGAAAATGACAAAAAAAGAGTTGATTTTCGAATTGAAGGCTCAGTATTACTGAGTCAGTAATTTGTCAATAAACTGATTTGAAATGACAAATGATCAAATCAGTAGTCTTTAAATTTTTAAGAGTAAAGTACTTACCTCTTTATCTTTATTTGTAATAACATCTTTCTTTCTACCGGGTGGGGACAAATGAATCAGGAGGAAATTTAACTAGACTCATCAAAGAGTCCTAGGAGAAAAATACCAATTCTCACGGGTTTTTAAATTATTATGGTTTCTGCATTTTTTCAATTTTTGGCAAAATCCAGAGCTTTTTTTCTTCTGCACTTGCCAAATTATACAGCTGTTTCAGCGTTCAAAGGCGCTAATTTCAAAACGGAAACGTCCTCCCATTTGATCCACTTCCGCTGCAATCACTTAATATTGTAGATTTTATTTTCATGCATTAGTGAGCATTGTGAGATGCTGGATCGTAAAATTAACGAGGAATAATGTGTATAATTTGGATAAGCGAGCCAATTTGGTCTTCAAATTGTCTCAACTGCTTCAGATTTTTACTTTCAACCCGATCCAATGTAAATATGCGCCACAAGGGGGGAGCACACGCCCAAGGCGATCGAGGAAATTTCCGATTTTAGCAGCAATTCTTTTTAATTAATTGTTTATGAGAGCCATAAATTATGGCCCATAACTTGTTTTTCATTTTTCCTTTTATATAGTTTTTTGATCAAATGCTCTTGAGAAAGAAGACCAAGTTTTAAATTTTCGTTTTGTCATAGGAGAAGAGCAGACGAATTTGGCCTTGTATCAAATCGTCATCATATTTGTCATTTAAGTCTCCCTCGTTTCGCTGCACTTGAGTATCAATTTTTGTATTTTCAACCATCAAGTATCTACGCCTCTTTGAGAAGGTCAAAATTCTGGCAAATTCATCATTCAAGTTTATGAAGCACCAGAAATCGACTCATTAGTTCCACTCGAACTTCCGCTGATGATGTATTTTCAAGGTTTGAGGGTCGATTTGGCGGAAACATTAGTTTTGGCGAGTGTCCACTCTTCTCCGCCCGTTTTTTGCCGACTTAGATAAGCAGGTCAAAAATTACAATCCCTAAATACAATTACCAAAGGCGGTACTTGGCGGTATTTTGCCAAGGAATGCAGCCGCCCGGAAATGGAACTTCCATAGGGATGAAGAAATCGGGAAAGGAGATGACCGTGAAATTGTTACGGAAAGTGATAAGTAAAAAATGGGCTTTTCGCTGATAAGAATGGCAAAAATTAAGTTTTATACTGTAACAAAAGCTCAATACTTTACTACAGGAAGTGTTCTGTGAGACAGTAACTGTCAGAAATGACTGTGGAAAGAAAATCTGACATCTTGGATACATAAACCTGGCGGTAACGCGGAGCTTCCGCCCCAAGCTGAGGCAAATAAAACGTATATTTACGCTGTATTGGAAGATGAAAGACTTAAATTCTAGCGCTGCTTCACGCACTTTTCCGACCGCTCAAGAATGTCTCAAGTTGTAGTTGAATCAAACTGTGTTGGAAACATCTTTTATCAAAGGGAGATGAATTTTCCTCTTTTGCTTTTTTAATTGAAAGAACTTGAACCTTCGGCGACCACAGAAATTAAGGGACACGGACGAGTGACGCCACGCGGACGGGGCTGCGCCTGATCAAACAGGACTTTTACCCGGCTTTGACACAATGAATCGTTGTTTTAGAATGAAAACTAATGAGCTTAAACTGCTTCAGAATATTCAACTTAGTCACGTGACCTCGCAATTTCTCGCTCAAAAAAGGGATTTAATTACAAGCAGAAGGCTGTTTTCTGCACTTTTCTGTCGAGCAACTCCTCCTTTTTGGAGGATTATGAGGTCAAGTACAGGGTGAATTGGTTTGTAAGTCCGCTGAGACGAGAGTGACTGCCCTTTTGGTCTTTTTAGCGGTGAATGGGGTCCCATTCTGGATCAAAGAGGGTACGCGGCCGAGTGCTCACGTGCCAAAGTACAGAAGAAATCACTCAACTCACTAAAAGCAAACTGAGTATAAATTTCAGCATTTATGTCGCCGGAACCTCCACACCTGTTACAACATGTTTTTCTTTTGCTTTATTGCTGCTTCAATTCAATTTATCACTGGATTTCCAAAAATCAACAAGTCGGAAATTCAATCGAATGTCATAATCATAATCAATCGACAATGTTGTTTATTTATCAAAAAATAGCTTTAGAAAAAAAAATATGACTTGGCGTAATTTGAGAAGATAGAAGCAAGTCTTAGACATGATGTCTAACAGCCCAAGACAGCTGGATATTTGTCTGATACCGAGCGAAAAAAAAGCAATAATGCCGGGTGTTTTTCTGGAGAATTCTTCATTTTGGTAAGGGCATTTTTGGTTTTAGCAAACCTCATGTCCTCGCTAAGCTAAGCCTCCTCCAGTTTTCAGTTTCCAGCTGGTGAAGAGCTGGAGCGCGTCGACCTTGAGATGCTCGGCTTTCTTGATCTGTGCGCTTGTTTGGCGCTGCGCGTGTGATTTCGAGCGCCGCGGCGAAATCCGTGAATCTCGGCTGCGGCCAAACTCGAATACTGCTTTTTCGATTTTCACCGATTTCCGTCGAGCTGTATCTCGAGCACCACCAACGAGCACCAACTCGCGATTCAAGTGCAAACGAGTTAATTCAAGGTCCCTCGACAAAGCTAAAAAAATGATCAAATGAGGAAAATAAAATTGAAACTGAACAAAAATTGAGAAAATGAAAAGTGAAAGAAGAAAATTGAAAGAGATTTTGAAATGAAGATTCCCTTTTATCTTTTGGGAACGAGTTTTGCTGGGACGCTGCCGAATTCTTGCCAAGGTACGAAAATATCAAAATCGATAAAAAAAATCATGCTTTCGCTAATTTTAGGGGGCGCACTGACTATGGAATGTCAGGAATGTCAGGATTTTTCAATTTAGGGGTATAAGATGTGGGAAATTTTTCCACCAAAAAAATTTTTTTCGAGCAGTGAGAGTTGGGCCCCACCAACCCAATGAGTTTTCTACCAGAAAATGCATGCGTAAGGGCGTTTAGGCCCTAATGCATGCCCAATATCGTCAAATCTTTTTTCCCGATTTTGGCCAAATCCTGACATTCCTGACATTCCTGACATAGTCAGTATCCTCCAATTTTAGGGTTAAGGTTAGGGTCAGGGTTTGAGGGAGATTTTAGAAAATAAGACGAAAAATTGACCAAAAGGGTGAAAAATGCAGTTATATAAATTCTAGCCGGGGTCTGGATTCGCTTGGCTTTCGCTTTTGAGGAAAATTTTCGCTTCGCTTCGCTTTCGCTTTTCATTTTTAGCCAAAATCCAGACCCCTTTTCTAGCTTTAAAATTTCTCAACCCTTATCCCTTACCTTAACCCTAAACAAGACCCTAACCAGACCCTCATACCCTGAACCCCAAAAAATTGGTCAATTTGATTGAAACGGGTTAAATCTAGTTTTTCCGAAAGATAGTCGGATGATGCAATTGAAAATGATAAATAATTTTGTTGGCAATCTGGCCGGTATAAAATCACTAATTACCCTGTCCAAGATCGTAACTAACCTCCTCGCAAAATTATGATCCCAATGCATTACGGGCTGCAATTAGGCGCATCCTTCTGTGCCAAACTTCAACGCCAAGTGTGCAATTTATGGCTTTCCCTTGAGCCACTTCCGAAAACGCGCATTCCACAGCGCACAAAATGGCACGCTTGATAAAACACTCGAAATCGACATTTTTTCTTCGAAAAAGCGGAAACGAACTTTTAGACTCTTTCACAAGACTACAACCATAATCACTGTTTTTTCTTATAAGCCATGATAAATTCCAACGTCTGATTGGCCAGTCAGTCAAATACAGGCATTTTATTGGCTAAAATCTTTCAGAATTTGTCTCTTGTCACATATTTTCAACCTGATTCGAAATCGAGTTATCTAAGCGACACCCTTATTTCGGGGGGGTCTTAGAAGGGCTTATCTAACTCTATAGATGATAATAAGGGTATCACTATGTTATTTTTTCGAAAAAATCTGCCGAAAAAAGAGTCTCGGAGAAAACGCTTTCCAATAAAAATAACCCCATTCATTATGATAAACTTAACCGTGAACATGAATCGAGCGTCCTTTAATCCAACCACAATGATCACTTTTTGATTAAATAGTCGAAAATCAACTTGGCCGGAAATCGACCTTGACTCATTACAATCATTACAAGTCAACATTGACTTCTAACCCGGCCGCGTAATGACGATCGTAATGAGTCGCGAGCATCAGCCGAAAATGGGTTAAAGCGCTCTTCCGACCAAAGCGCTCCAAGTGCGCGAACAATTGAAAATAAAATACGATGATATGACATCGTCGGAGAAATCAAGCGGATTAGCCGCGTCGCGGCCATTTTCAAAATCAAGTGGCCTCTAATTCGCTCCTTATTGTCCGAGAACGGGAAGGGTGGAGATGACCTTGGCGGCGTAATTAATTATCGTATAGCAGGAGGGAGCTGTTAGTAGTGTAGAGTAGAATGTTAGTCAAGTTTAATTTCGAAGGATAATCGCTCTTTTCAGCCCTTTTTCGTCCATTTTTTGGTCTATTTTGCGTCAAAAAATCTCAAAAAATAACATATTTTTCAATTTTCTTTTCCCTAGTAAAAATTCCAAATAACCAAAAATTGCTTCCGTCTACCTCTTTTTTCTTATGTCTGAGGCGCCCCGGCTAGCGACCGCAATTGAAATTTTTGACAGGCTGGCTCTGAGGAATTATGCCAAGGAAATTCTTGTTGAACAAGGAAAAAATCTTTAAAATTCAGAATAAGGAAACGCAGGAAATGGCATAATCAGCATGTCTTAGGGTTAGAAATCAGGGCTTTGATTTTGAAATGGATTATTTTAAGGGTGTCACTTTCGTAAATCGTGATTTTCTTAGCGATACTAGAAGACTTTTCAGAGCAGTCTGGTTTTCTGAAAAGACCCTTAAAGAATAAACAAAAGCAAGAATTTAAAATTCGCAAAGAAACTCGGTAAGAGTTATGTCTCGAGAATTCTAAAAAGATCAGCCATATTTGACAAGATTACCACGCGGGGGTTAAATTTGAGCTAAATGTTGTTTACACGGCTTCTTCCGCATATGACAACGGGTACAATGGCAGTGGACAACGAATTCGACAAATAAGTGGATCAAGACTCTAATAGAAACATCTTTTGTTTTGACAAGCCAAATTTTAATGAAATCCTAATGATTTTTTTCATCTTTTATTAGAAAAAGTTTCAGCAAAAAAATGAGGAACAGTATTTTTGAAATTTTGTTTTTTATGTAAAATTATGATTGATGAGCCAAAACGAGTGGATTTCATAAAAAAAGGATTCGGCAATGAGCCACGAAGACTGAGTAAAAAATTCTGTCGGAACGAATCAGAAAAGGGGCCAAAAGCATGTTCATGATTCCTTGGACCGCTAAATGAGGGCGGAGCATGTTTCTGAATTCAACTACCTGGCAGCCTAGCCCTTCCAAAAAATATATGTATCTGGTTTGAACAGCGATGCCCAAGATTGTCAATTTTGATAATCAAATCGACAATTGTGGGACTAACTCAATTTATGGACGTGTATTTTTGGATAACCAATGATATTGCTGTATTTGGCCTACCAGCCAATGAAATCCCTGATCCAGAAAATCACTTTCATCAATTGGTTTAACCCTAATTTTGGGCCCATAAAAACGTACAGCAAGTACATTTAATTTTCACTAAACTCAGCTTAGCTGTATTAATTCCAGTCTGAGTGACAGTAACCCTTCAGATTATAAGATTTAGCCAACAGTCCGACAACTTTTCTAAGGGTCGATAAGACCAAGGATATCATAAGCGATTTATAAGACTGTCCGTCAGACAATTATCGAGAAAGATAAAGATTGTCGTTTTTAGGTGGAAAGCAACTGAACCTGCTCGCCGAATTAATCTCCGCTACGCCCGTTGCTGAGCGGAAAGGGATCACCTTAGTGCGGGACTACTCGCCTGAATTCAAGAAGGAAGTGAACGGATATCGCTTCGACGAGGAAGCCCGACTCCTTTCCCTCCGCGCTGCAGAGGCGCTCGGAAACTGCTCCAAATTTCCATCAGAAAGCTCCTTGCTCCTCACAATCAAGCCCGGAAGAATCGACACCAAGGGACAGTTCTTGATCACTCTTCTAGAGCGGCAAGCGAGGCCGCACCGACCGCTTTTTGGACTCAGACTGCATTACGATACGATTTATTTGGATCTGCCGAATGTGAGTCATCGGAACTCGCCGAGGGTTCATGTCCCGAATTTGCATGATGGATGGTGGCACTCGATTTTTGTCACTTTTGCTGAAGGACAGGTAAGAAGAAGATGAAAAAGACGAAACCATAAATGTAGATTTTTATTTCTCAATTTGATTTTTTACAATAATTTCTATGTTGAATCATTATTAAAAATTCTCTTCATTTGATAGTGCTCTATCTCAGATAGGCTATCTGACAATAAATTACATAATATTTTTTTTTCTAATAATTGTAGCTTTCAAATTATGATCAAATTCTGACGTCGCCTAATTCCGTCTTGAAAAGCGCTCTTCCGGAAGAGTGCCATAAATCTGTCCGATTAATTGTCAGCCAGCTGCTTTTTTTGACACTCAAACCACAAAACACTGTTTTACAGTTTCGATGTTCATAAGGTAGAAACAACGCTGCTTTAGATTCAAGTTTCTGTGGACTGCGAAGTGATGACGGTCCACAATCCAAATGATCAAGCCGTGAAGAAGTTGACGAGCGAAGTCGACCTGACAAAAGCCGACTTTTATCTCGGCTCCCGACGAGTGCCCAAACAACGCTTCAAGGTTTGTTGAATCACTGTTTTACTCAACTTGGGAAGGGGCTTTTGGGGATAGTCAAATATATGAATGGCAAGAATGAGAATAATCGAAATTATAAGAAATAAAAAAAAAGTTTATTTGTGATAATTTTTAGTGAATTATGGTCTTTTTTTTAAGCTTCGTCTAAGCTAATAACGTTTAGGGTTTGTTCCGACAAGTTCGTTTTGGCGTTGGCTTCGACATTTCCCGATTATGCGAGTCGGACTCGTTTGTGGCCGCTTTGGCCGAGCGACGACGGCCGGCCCAGATCAAAGCAGGTGAGTCGCAACAGAAAGGACACCAACACCACCATGACAGAAAGAGTATTTTTACACACGTTTCCGATTTAGAAAATTACTTTAGAAATTACACCTTCTTGCGGGGCTTCTTGCGGCTTTTTAGCGCTTTCAAGGCGATTTTAACCCTTCAACGCGCATGGGCCCGGAAAGGCCCTAATCAGAATGCAGTGACGCGCTTTTTTTAAGGTGGGCCAAGTTATTTCTCCCACTTTTTCATTTGGACACCCGGATAACTATATATATTTAGAATCAGTGAAAAAAATCTCGTTACTTGACCTTTTTTGTTTCCCAAAAATCACTTCCGGCCGGGATTCTAGAGCCGGAAATTGCCGAAATTTATGTCAATAGCATATATTTTACATATCAAATTGAAGCTTAGAACATCTGTATTCATATAAAAAAGGAATTTAACCAAGCCGCGGTCATACCAGCCGGTAAAGATGAATAAAAAAACGTTAAATTATGCCTCTTTTCATAGTTTTACCGGTCGGTTTGACCGAGATTGGCACTGTTTTTTCTAGTGAATTGATGATGAAACGACTCAGAATCTTCTGAGCATCAATTTGATAGGTCACACTTTACCGTTACTCTTTAATTTATTCAACTTCCGGCTCTAGAATCGCAACTGGAAGTGAATTTTTAGAAACAAAAAAGGTCACGGTTCTAGATTTTTTCCGCTGATTCCAAATATGTATTATGTTCCAGGGTTTAACATCAAGAAGTTGGGGAAATAACTTGGCCCACCTTAAAAAAAGCGCGTCAGTTCTATGTTTTCAAAAATCAATAGGTCTTTAATTTCGGTACTAGACTGAACCTTTTAAAATTAACTAACCATAAATCATTTAAAATAAAAATACTAATTTGTTCCTTAAAAATTCATAGTTATGGTTTTCGTAAAAAAATTTTTAGACTTTTCGCTCGTCAAATTCGAAACCAACTCCCCTGGCGACAACTTCTGCGACGCCAGAGCTCGAGGACATCTTCTTTACGGTGGCGAAAACGACTTGATGCTCTGCGATGGTCATTCCTGGAAGGGGTTGATGGGAGCAAGTCGACCGAGGCTGAATTTTATAGAGAAGATAGGGAGTTTTGAACCGAGGGAGCCGATTCTTCACAGCTGTCATTTTACTATTCCTGGGGAAGGATATTTTATGGGTAAGTCGAAAGGAAATTAATTGAAGTATTTGTTTTATAGACTATACATGCCATTCATTATCAATCATTAATGATGATTACGACAATGCGTTTTGATGTTATTCCTCAATTAATTAAGAAATATGATTATCAAATTTCATTGAAAAAAATCACTTTTATGCTTTTTTCTAAGAATGTTCTAGAGTTCGAATACAGATTAAAATCTAAGCTCTACTAACAAAGCGAAGCAAGGTTAGATGACCCTCAAGAAGTGGCGTATAAAATCTGTCAATTTAGAAAGAATCGAAAATTCAAAATGCGTCAAGAGCGCCGAATCTGATTTTATCACAGATACTTTCAACTATCCCCAGTTCTTATCTCTAGAAAAAGACAAGGAACCAGCTTGGTACCTACAGATAAAAATGAAAAAAAACTTGAACTCAGCTGAATTGACTGAAGAAACATGCAGTGAAAACATGATAAACTTGAAATTTGGAAATCTAAAGAAAAATTTCTAGTGACGACTTCAGCGAAAAAAGTCTCTCTGTGGCGCTGGGCGCCAGATTCGTCGATCTTCAAAGAAGACAAAACTTCCGAACTCCGGGGGGACGGCGCTTCAAGCTCAACATTCTTCGCATTTGAAAATGCTTTCTATCTCATTATCGTTACGGTGTAAATTCTGCTATAAAATGGCTTGGTCGAGGGACACGTGATAAGCGTATTTGTAAAGCAACGGAGAGTTACGTAGATTTTTACTGGCATTTTGTTTTGCGCACATTCTTTTGGTTAACGAAAGTATTCTTGTTCATATGCACTCAGAAAAATGAGCAAAAGAACTTTTAGGGCTAGGGTTAGGGTAAGGATTAGGGTCAGGGTTAGGGTTCATGGAAATATTGACTTTTCGGAAAAATCATCTATAGATGGCGCTTCTCTCGATTTTGCCGCTTTCTGATAGATTAATGAAGTTATTGTTTAGATGATTTTTTTCAATAGGCTAGGGTTAGGGTTAGGGTTCATGAAAACATTGACTTTTCGGTAGAGTCATCAATTGATGGCGCTTTTCCTGTTGTTGCCGCTTTCTGATTGGTTAATGAAGTTATTATTTTGATTATTTTATCAATCGGTTAGGGTTAGGCTTCACGAGAATATTGACTTTTCGGAAAAATCATCTATAGATGGCGCTTTTCTTGATTTTGCCGTTTTCTGATTGGTTGATGAAGTTGTTCTTTTTGATGATTCCATCAATGGGTTAGGGTTAGGGTTCATGAAAACTCGAAAAACTTGTCCGTAGATGGCGCTTTTTCTCACTTTGCCGCTTTCTGATTGGCTGATGAAGTTGTTCGTTTTGGATGATTTTATCGATGGGCTTTAAAGTTTGCCTTTTTTCTAAAAAGGGTAGCGTGGAGTTACCAATCTAAAGTCCAGAATTAACCCCGCTAAAAGGAGATATAAACGCGTTATCCTTACTGATAAGCGGCAAAATATTAAAGGGCTCCTAAAGGAGGGCTTATCGGCGTAAATATGTGTCCAACTTTGGTCTATCACTGTTTCCACGTAAATCTGATCTGAGATAATAATTGAAAAAGGCATAATTAATCGGAAAAACGCGATCGTCATAGATCCATCGTTAAAAACTCGTGTAAACGCATTACCGTAAACGTTCGGGAAAAAGAAGTGGCTGACAAATTCGGTTATATCAAAACGCGCGTCGATCGTAATTCGATCGAACCTCGTAATTCCATAATTTATAAACTGGTGATAATTTTACACCGGAAAACAGTCAACGCTGGGCAGAAGAAGTCGAGCCTGACGCATTCGATGCTCTACAGATGGAACAACAAAAAACGACATTTTCGACCAGTTCAAGGTTCGATTATTATTATACACTATTCAGAAGAATGCTTGTTGGAAAGTCTTAGTGGAACTTAATTGCAGATAGTCTAGCTATATTTACGCTTTCGACTGGACCTGAAATAATCAGGCTTTCTTTTAAAATATCGCTCATATTATCTTTTGAAAATAGATCTAGAATTTCATAGTCCCAGTAAAAATAAAACTCATCAAAATTTTCCTAGGATTTACAAGTCATGGTGCAGCATCAGCAGAATATTTCTCTTATTTGAATCAACACTACCTCATCATTGCCAATTACGAAGACCCAAAAAGTAAGTCTCACCCTTAATCACAAATTTAACCCCCTTCCCCCTTGTCTGTACAAAACTGGCCAGTCTTTTCTTAACGGGTTAATTTTTAGGAAATGCTCATTCTCGCTACGTTTCCTCGCAACTCTTCTGGTACGATTTCGGCATCGAGCAGTTCGGAACGGGTGGCACGGGAAATTCTGTCTAGAAGGCGTTTCTAGACGCTGAATCTATCGAATTAATCTTGGAGCCTTGTCTGGAACGTGTGCGGGCCCAAATTGGTGCAACGACATTTGTTTTGGTTGAGCTGATCGTCCACCAAGCTAATAAACTTGGTCACGAAATTTTCAAGAGCTCATCCACAAAAGTTAGAACGTCACGTGTTTTACTTTCGCTTAGAAAAAATATTCTGTCGTAAAACTGAAAGGCTTAAAAAAGCTGATGTCTTTTAGAAAGACTTTTTTCGTGAAATTAAAATTGACAGTGTCAATTGCGCTCAAATGAACTAACGGTAGCCCCGGAAAGGGAGAATAATTTTTAACCTTGTGACAGATTGTCACGCGTTAATATGATCATATCACGCCGGAACGCGATTTCCAACTTGCAACTAAACCACGTGCCACCCTTTTTAACAGTCACCAAGGACCACATCGATGTCAGAGGTAAGAAAGTTCACTCACTAGATGTCGCTTTTTCGATTGATTTAAGCAATCTGATTGGCTAAAGAGATAATTTTCACAATTTTTAAAAAGATGGCGCTGTTTTTTATCTTCTGTATTCTGATTGGTTGAAACAAACATCACCATCCATTGTGTCAAAAATTACTTTCCTTGTTTTCAAAAGTATCAATTTTAGGAGTCCTAAAATGGAGCACCTTTATCGTCCAAAAATCACTCTACCTCGTCGGCGCCCGGCACAAAGAAACATCTATCGACGAGTTCGGGAAGATGCGCTACACAACAACCTCTCCCATGTTCAAATTCGACCCTAGAACTGCCAAGTTCGAGCTGCTGGAAAACATCTCAATCCCCTCCCACGGCGCTACAGACATTCTTTTCGCAAGGTACAGTAAGATGATTCTGCAAATTTGATTTAGGACGCATGAAAGTTGAAAAGTTTTAATTTTATTTGTATCGTCTGAAATTTCAGACAAAATTTGTTTTCAAAACATGTTTCTTTGTCTTCGCGTTAATAAGTTTATACGTTCAGAATACGCGGACGAAACCTGCTTCTCGTCGGGAATTTCGGTGGCGATCTGACCCCGACAAGAGTTGGAGAAGATGTCAAAAACGTGAAGAATCAAGTTCAGTCGGAAATTTATGAATTTCACGAGCACAATGAGTCGTTATCCCTGCTCCAAACTATCGAAACTAATGGGTAAGAAATTCTTATTCAGAAAATAATTTCTGGCCATAGATGGCGCTTTTCCTTAATTTGGAGTTCTCCGATTGGTCAATAACTGATTTTCCTTAGTTCTTCAATTTCCAGGGCAGATTTTAGCCAGATAATTCTAGAAATTCTAGAGAGTAATTTTTCGACTCGAAAATGAACATTTTAGAAGCAAGAAGCTGTAACGTTGATGAGCGTCGCCGAGAACGTTAATCCCCTCCTTTTAAAACTTTCTAAATTAGCCTCAAAGTTTACGTGAATCATAATTACCCAAGCACGTTCATAATTAGGATCTAACTATTTCGCTAGCTTGCGAAATTGGCAAAACTTCCAAATCGGCGGCGATTACTTCATTCTCGCTGGCAACTCGCTGCGCCCAGGTTAAGTCGCAAATTGGCAAAACAGAGTTTTTAAGTCGTTTTTAGAAACATTTCATCAGGATAATCCAACTTCGATTTTGTATAAATGGTCCGGAGAGGAGCTATTTAAACTTTCGCATAATATTCCGACGCGGCAGGGCGAAGTCTCAGGTAAAACTTTGGGCCTAAGTCTTAGGCGAGATATTTTTTTATAGAAATTTTTATTAGAAATTTTTAATAAAAAATTAATTTTTATTAATATTTTTTTATAAAAAATAATCGATAAAAATAGATTTTTTAAAAATAATGTTTTATAAAAAATAATAAATAAAAAAATAAATTTTTTTTACCCTGAATTTTTTTTGTTATTTTTTCTATAAAAAAATTTATTCAAAAAAATAATTTTTATTTTTGATAAAAAATTGCTCGTTTTTTTGTTTTTTTTTCCTGAAAAAGTTAAGTGATCAATTTTCATCTAAACATTGAATAAAAATAGCCGAAAAGTACCAGAGCACGTCAGCGGGTTAATTGCCAAGTTCACTTTAAACTTGTTCGTTGTTTAGATTGGAAATACGTGGAGATCGAAGGAAAGCGGCTCTTGGTTGGCGCCAACTCGCGGCACTCGCAGGACAGCGGCTTCTATTCATTCCGAGCAGTTTCGTTGTTTCAAGTTTGTTTGAAACTCCAGTAAACTAAAACAAAGTAGAGCACTTAATTCCAAGCCACTTGCGCGCGACCGCAAGTAGAGTTCACTTTTTTACAGGCCAAATAGCGTTCTTTAGAGACCATAAACTTATTTCATCGAGTTTTTTTTTTGTGTTTTCTAGAGCTATTCAAAAGCTCTAGAATGGCCCTACTTCTAGCAAAAAAAAAGGATTCAGACTTCTTCTTAGTTAAGGCTATTTTTTGCTAGATTAAGGGCGATTCTAGAAAATGCTCTAGAAATCAATAGACTCTTAAGAGGCCGAAAACAGTTTGAGAAATCACTAGTATTTTATCTAGAAGCCGCTAAAAGAGCTCAATCTACGAGCTTATCACCGACTAGACCGACTAGAAATAAAATAATCTAAACAAGCATCAACCTGAATACCTCCTGAATTTCAACCCTCATTCAAAATTTCTGTAGCTTCAACTGTAACTGTAACTTGAAAGATTCTTTTCGATTCCGAATGATTCTATTTTCGGATTCTACTATAAAAACTGCTCATTTTCCGAAGAGCTGTAAATTTTAATAAACTCTGTAAAGAAGAAAAATTATTCTAGGAAAATTATGCGATAGGAAGAGTTCACGATTGATGGATAGATTGTGACTCGTAACTACCGGTAGGGGAGTATCCGACAGCGCGGACAAATACTGATAACACCCGCCATAATATTAACAACGTGGACTCAAACGCTAAATAATCATAACCTTGGTCATCCGGACAGTTGACAGTTAAAGGTCAAGTAAACGAAGAACATACTCAAAGAACTATTGGTCGGATTTTGGACAGAGTCTATAGAGACTATAGACTATAGACTATAGTATACTATGTAGTACTATGGTAGGCGCTCCAGAGCACGAGAGCGCGTCCTCAAAAAGGGACGTCTCTCGGGCCCAGAGCGCAGTCAGCCCGCACTCTCCCCGACAGTCAGACAGCCCACTAGATTCCGAGCCAGTTGTACTGGTGACGAATTGGAGAAAGACCCGCCCTCAGAGATAGCCTACTTGACCGCCAGCCAGCCAGCCAGCTAGAGATTTGGACAGCTCCCTGACCGCCGTCCTGTCAAACCACAGTTGTGCCAGCTAGAAAGTTTGGATTATCTCAAGGAAAGGATCGGATGAGTAGCTCATGAATTCTAGTCTTAAGCCGTTTTATGTTAAAATAAGCGATAGGCTACGTAAGCAACACCTCCAGTTACTTGCAAAATCCGTCAACCCCGACTGCACCGCCGATGACAAGGTAAAACTCCTCGACGAGCTCAAGAAATTCAAATCGGTTGAAACCTTCGTTGTCGAACAAGATTGTGTAACTCACCTGGAATATTTCCTTCTCTTTACGCAGTTTTCGGAAACACGAATCGGAATCGACTACTACGGTTTTCTTGATCACGTTCGCCTTAACGTTGAAAGTCGCGGAACGACGACCCTCAAATTTGAGAATCTGAAAGCCGAAAGCGTCGACAAAGACGAAGAAAGCTTCATCAGCAAGTACACCAAACTCACTCTCGAAAGTTTTCCGAGCTCTGTAAGCCTGACAACGATTCATTCCTTATTTGCTGCGATAAAAACGGAATAGTTGTCAAGACTCGCGAAGCACTCGACGGAGAAATTCCTGATCCACGCGAACGATCAAAAGCTAGAATGTCTGGAGAAACCGAAAGCAAGGTTGAGTATGTCAGCAGAACGAAAATTGAACTCCCGAAATTCGAGAAAAGCGGACTGTCTGTGTCCAGATGGATTAACAACTGTCTCTTTCTTCTCGATATTGAAGGAATCTATGACGACAAACGTAGAATTCGAGCGATTCTCCAAGCTGTGCCAGAATCGAAACTTGGAACGATTACATCTTTGATCCCGTATGACTATCTTCTCAATGACGTTGTCGAAATCATAGAATCAGAACTCGAAATCTCCAAGGAACGTGCGCGAAAACTTTTGAAAGCCTGTCAGTATGACGAAAAGCTTGATAAGACGCTTGTTGGTTTTGCGAACAGAATCCTTGATCTCGCAAGCATCATCTACAAAGGCAGACATCGAGACATCATCAAAGCCTTTGCCAACAGCGAGTTCCTCGAAAAGCTCCCTAGTCCGATCAAATACTGTGAGTACTGGAACCTGAATGAAGATCCGGAAGGCCGTGATATCCTTCAAAACGCGAAGATTGCCGACCGAATCCTCATCAAAATGAGAAATAAACAGGAAAGCAACTGTAACGTCACCTTCGCTGACGAAAAAGCCGATGCCGAACCTGCTGTATCGCTTGAGGATAAGGTCAATGAAATTGCAAAGTCTTTGAACGCACTGCAAACGAATGACCGCCGTGGAAGACAGCCATACCGTGGACCTCACCAGCGAAACCGATCTTACAGCAATGGTCGACACAGAGGTTATGGACGAAGCAACTCCAGAGATCACCGATCTTCTTCTCGCGGACGACATTTCAGACGCCAGAACTACGGAGATCGCCTAAGCTTTTCCAGGGACCGTGGTTACAAGGACAGACACCGTGGTCGAAGCCGGGACAACAGTTTTCACCGTCGAAGCCAGGACCGCAGTTACGATCGTCGAAGCCGAGACCGCGGATATCAACGCCGGAGTCAGGATCGTCAGTACCAACGACGAAGCCAAGAACGTAGTTTCCAAGATCCTAGCCAGGAAAGACGACAGTTGTCCAGAGGAAGAAGCGACACCCCGCATGGTGAACGACGACAAAGGCCGTTCAATGGAAAGTGCTTTGGTTGTGGCCGATATGGTCACATGAAATTCGAATGTTATTCCTCGTAAATGCCTACTCTCATCCTTTAAAAAGCTCGCTCAGCGTTCCCATCGTCCTATTCACGTCAATATCTACGCATATGCCTGCTATCAGCTTCTCATGACGCTTGGTCTGAATTCGATAAGAATCAATTATCCCAGAAAAATCGATTGATATTGCATCATCAGTGACGCACGTAATCGTTGGTATCAGTTCCCAAAAGCCGAGAAAGCAACTCATCATCTACGACAGCAATCGCTACTATCACTTTCTCAGAGACAGAGAGAAACTCATCCATTGACGCAATGTCAACCAATCTCCCTTTTATCACAGCAACGATACGTCAATACAAAGCTTCCCAAGATTACAACGAATGGGAATTGAAATTCTTGGTTGATACCGGCGCAAACATCTCAATCATCAACTCTGAAGAACTCACTAAGTCGAAGGAAAAGTTTTTAACCCAAGACATCGAGGAAGTTGTTGCCAAGCATGCGTCGAACGAAGTCGCTGCTCGCTTCAACAAGAAACTTTTCTGCAATCTTTGCATCAAGAATCAAGAAGTCGAAATCACAAACGTCGAATTTTATATCGCTGATCAACTTCAATTCTCTGGAATTATCGGCACCGACGTCTTACAAAACTTTCAACTCGACCTTCGAGCCAAGGAGCCATTATTTCTCAACAACTATGCCATTATTGATACTCATGATGAAGATGAAATTTCAATTATTGATTATCAAGCGTCAAGCTATGATAACCTCTCACGCGGACTTATTTGCAACAAGGATACTTATGTTTATCCAACAAAGGAAAAATGGATCGATGCGAAAACTTTCCCCGTTCAAGGCGAGTCACTTCGCCTTATCACCAATGGACACCTAATCGAAGAGGGACTGGATGTTCAGAATACATTCTTTGGTCCTAACTTCATCCAAGCAAAAATTATCAACAACACAGATCGCACTCTTCTTATCACAAAAGGAACCCTTTTGTCGTTTGAAGAAACTTCGGAACTTCAGAATCATTTCTCGCTGAACACACTCATTGCCCGTCAAGAACTCGATGAAAGTGAACGAGAAGAACTCGATAAGGAATTTGAAGCATGGAAACTTGAACGAGAAAAACTCACTCAAGAAATTCCAATGACGAAAGAAATCGAGAAAATCACGAATGCAGTTGATCGACAACATCGCAAACCACTCAACAGAGTCCTTACCGAGAACGATTTTCACTATTGTCGACATTCAAATGATGTTGGCTTTACAAAACACTACATTGCCGACATTGAACTTTTGAGCGACAAGCCTGTTTTTATGAGACCTTATCCCATAGAAACAGCAATGATTCCCAAGTTCGAAACGAAAGTAAAAGGAATGATCAAAGGTGATATATTGACCGACAACATTGTCTCTGAATACAATAGCCCTTGCCTCTTCGTTGCAAAATCTAATGGCCGTCACCGCTTAGTTCAAAACTACAGCGCTGCAAAACGTGGTGAGAAAAGCCTCAACCAACAAATCAGATTGCCGAGATTCCCAAATGCGAACATCCGAAGACTTCTTCAACGAATCTCAGACAAACTTGCGCTTTTCTCAGAAAAATTTCCACGATCAAAGGTCGTTTTCTCAACGATTGATTTATCCAACGCGTTCCACAATCTGCTCTTACGCAAAGAAGCCCGCCGATACACATCATTCATCTTCAATGACAATCAATACTCATTCAAAAGGCTCCCTCAAGGACTCGCATCAAGTCCTATGATTTTTGCTGCATTTATCTACAGAGTATTTAAAAATACCTCAACCCAGAATTTCGAAATTTTATCATATCAAGACGATGTGATTATTGTTGCTCCAGAAGAACACGTTATTGCGGCACTGGATGTTCTTTTTCAACGAGTGCGCATGCACAATCTGATTCTCAACATTGCGAAATGTAAATTCTTCAAATCATCAATCGAATTTCTTGGATACGTTATTACTCCGAATGGATTCTCTCCAAGCGAAAAGAAAATTCAAGCTCTATTAACACGGAAAGCACCCAAAACTTTCAAAGCTCTTCAAGCCTACGCTGGCTCATTCAATTACTATCAACGTAATTTTCCGAATCTTTCAATTCTTCTTGCTCCAATCACAGACGCGATCAGTAAAGGCGAGAAACGATACAAGCTGACCCCGGAGATCACGAATGCGATTGAGAAAATTCAGGAGACAATCAAAGAAGGAGGTTTCATCAGTCATTTGAATTACAGTAACGATAACGATAATTTCATTTATATTGCGACAGATGCGAGTTTAACCGCATGTGCTGGCGTAATCGGAAATGTGAGAAAGACTGGATCAACGTTCACGGATTTCTCGAACTGTGGATTTACGAGCAAAAATTCGTCCAACAAGAAATGCTGCTTTCGTCACGCTCTCGCGAACTCATCGCAATTGCGCATACTCTATCATACTTCACCGACTTGATCCCGAAGACTGAACCGCTATTCATTTTCACCGATCACAAAAGTCTTGAATCAACGAAACACGCACCATCATTGAAAACGTCAGGCGCGACACGAACACGTGCCGCTTACGCCATTTTGCTCGATTTTCCGAACAGCCGACTGATCCATCTACATAACACTCACCCACTGATTCACGTAGTTGATAGTCTTTCACGATCCGATTACGAGGAGGGAACCGAAACCATTTTTCAACCCTCGTTGTGTACAAAAACGAAGCAAGATGACTTCAAGGTAAATGTCACACAGACAGCACGGATTGGTCGACCGAAAGTCTCGAAAGAGACAATACAAAGATATCAGAAGGAGGACCCTGCTTTGTCGGGATTAATTCTTGCTGCCGAGAGAACAAATGGCCACGTTCTTGATAAAGGCAGTCGATATCGCCTGAAAGAGGACCTGCTGGTCCAGATAACAAAAGCTGGAAAAGAGCTCGTGGTGATACCGAAATCGCTGGGTCGGGACATCGTCCGACACCTACACGTCGTTTCGGCTCACAGTGGAAGAAATGAAATGTTATCAGTATTAGATAGAGAGGACATTCTTATCAAGGGACGAGAGAGACTCGTCCGGGAAACAACACGCGAATGTTTGCTCTGTCATTTGACATCAAATCGATACAGATCCAGCGAAATGAAGATGGTGATGAAACCGAACCTTAGTGGACCGTACCGGAAAGTATTTATTGATCTCGTTACGTTCCAAATTGAAACGCAAAATCGCGAACACGCTGTCAATTGTCTCACGATGGTTGACGATTTCTCATGCCGCCTAACTTATCGCTTTGTTCGAAATAAAACTGCTGCTGTCATATCAAAACGCCTACTTGAACTCACCTGCGAAGTCGGTGGACTTGGCCAGATGGAAGTCTTTAGCGACAATGGACTTGAATTCGTCGCCTCCAAGACTCAAGATCTTCTTGAATACCTTCAAATGCACGCCGGACAGATCTCACCAACAAACGCTAGAGCCAATAAAGTCGAGCGCTGCCACAAATCTATTCGCGATAATCTACGAGCCATCGCCCTTACGGAATCAAACGTTCAACACAAATTCGATCTCGCGGTTTCGACATATAACCATCAGGTGAAGTCAAGCCTAGACATGATGACTCCCATGGAAGTTTTTGGTATCAAACCTCCAAGATACTTTTCTGCTTATCTCCAACACCGCCAAAACGAATCGAAATGCGATTCAATTCGAGAATTCACTCAAAATATCAATATTCTCTTCAAAAATCTAGCTTCATTCAAGCTCAACAGATATCTCTTCAAATCGGAAGACTCGACACCGCTACTTTCGGAAGGCGATATTGTTGTCTTGAAAGAAAACAGCCTCAGAAAACATGATCCTGGTCTTTCTGGACCATATGTGATCACGAACACGCGTTCAAACAACTGCCACGATATCGAAAATCTCTTCACCAGCCAAAAGCTGATGCGAAATGGCCGTTTTCTGAGAAAGGTTCATCTAAGCGAGGAAGATAAGAAAAATCTGACGTCAAAGAATTTGTTCATCAGAAAATCCGGACATATTCTCTTCGACGATAACGAAATAGATCTTGCGAAAAGTTCACTTGAGCAAGAACCCGAATTTCTTCTTCAACCCCAGGAAAGTAAAACTAAACCAAAACCCAAATCCGATTCCAAAGTAGAAAGCTCTTACAATCTGCGCAAAAGATGATCATTTTCTTCATCTTTCAACTAGCTCTAGCCAAACGATTTTTATGATCGACTCCGGAAAGGCAGCATTCCTTATCAAGTCCAAAATCGATAAAAACCTGCAACTGTCTTTGGACATCCCCGCCTTCAACTGGACCAATATCGATAATCCCTGCTTCAACAATCACTCAACTAAAGCTTATGCTCGCAACGGCACGCACCAGCTCTTCAATGAAATCGAAAATTGGATCAACGGGACATCGTCCGACACCTACACGTCGTTTCGGCTCACAGTGGAAGAAATGAAATGTTATCAGTATTAGATAGAGAGGACATTCTTATCAAGGGACGAGAGAGACTCGTCCGGGAAACAACACGCGAATGTTTGCTCTGTCATTTGACATCAAATCGATACAGATCCAGCGAAATGAAGATGGTGATGAAACCGAACCTTAGTGGACCGTACCGGAAAGTATTTATTGATCTCGTTACGTTCCAAATTGAAACGCAAAATCGCGAACACGCTGTCAATTGTCTCACGATGGTTGACGATTTCTCATGCCGCCTAACTTATCGCTTTGTTCGAAATAAAACTGCTGCTGTCATATCAAAACGCCTACTTGAACTCACCTGCGAAGTCGGTGGACTTGGCCAGATGGAAGTCTTTAGCGACAATGGACTTGAATTCGTCGCCTCCAAGACTCAAGATCTTCTTGAATACCTTCAAATGCACGCCGGACAGATCTCACCAACAAACGCTAGAGCCAATAAAGTCGAGCGCTGCCACAAATCTATTCGCGATAATCTACGAGCCATCGCCCTTACGGAATCAAACGTTCAACACAAATTCGATCTCGCGGTTTCGACATATAACCATCAGGTGAAGTCAAGCCTAGACATGATGACTCCCATGGAAGTTTTTGGTATCAAACCTCCAAGATACTTTTCTGCTTATCTCCAACACCGCCAAAACGAATCGAAATGCGATTCAATTCGAGAATTCACTCAAAATATCAATATTCTCTTCAAAAATCTAGCTTCATTCAAGCTCAACAGATATCTCTTCAAATCGGAAGACTCGACACCGCTACTTTCGGAAGGCGATATTGTTGTCTTGAAAGAAAACAGCCTCAGAAAACATGATCCTGGTCTTTCTGGACCATATGTGATCACGAACACGCGTTCAAACAACTGCCACGATATCGAAAATCTCTTCACCAGCCAAAAGCTGATGCGAAATGGCCGTTTTCTGAGAAAGGTTCATCTAAGCGAGGAAGATAAGAAAAATCTGACGTCAAAGAATTTGTTCATCAGAAAATCCGGACATATTCTCTTCGACGATAACGAAATAGATCTTGCGAAAAGTTCACTTGAGCAAGAACCCGAATTTCTTCTTCAACCCCAGGAAAGTAAAACTAAACCAAAACCCAAATCCGATTCCAAAGTAGAAAGCTCTTACAATCTGCGCAAAAGATGATCATTTTCTTCATCTTTCAACTAGCTCTAGCCAAACGATTTTTTATGATCGACTCCGGAAAGGCAGCATTCCTTATCAAGTCCAAAATCGATAAAAACCTGCAACTGTCTTTGGACATCCCCGCCTTCAACTGGACCAATATCGATAATCCCTGCTTCAACAATCACTCAACTAAAGCTTATGCTCGCAACGGCACGCACCAGCTCTTCAATGAAATCGAAAATTGGATCAACGAAAATTTCAAAGAACAAGAATCCCATCGTCATCGCCGATTTATCGGTGACCCATTCCGTATCAACTTCTCATGGCCGTCACGCAAATCTCAAACTAAGGCCGCACTTGAAACTCTCAACAAGAAATCAACAACAAACGCGAAAGAAACTGTCGACCTGGTCAACATTGTCAACAAGGACTTGCTGGAGATTCAATCAGAAGTTATCAACGACGAAACGAACTTTGAAAATTTTGTTGCTCAACTTTGCGATTTTGACGCAAAAATCTCTGCCTTGGTTATGAAACTTATCAACTCACTTCTGTTCGATGAATTTAAATCAACAATCACTGGAATTTCCCACGTCGTCATCAAATCTGACTTGCAAAATCTTCTCTCAAGCCTTTGCTCGTTCGATTACGATGAACTTTACACAAATTGCGCAAATATCATCAGTTCCTACCCGCTCCGCATAAAGAACATAAACTCTGAAATCTACGAAGACAAGATGATACTACAAATCAACGCCACAGCTAAAATTCCGTCATTTGAAAAACTAGGAAATGCCACTCACATTCTGGAAGGACCGAAACCAATCAGCAATCAAGAAGACACCTTCATCTACGAAAAACTCATCCTTCCGCACACAATTGCGATTTCAAGCTCAACTTCAACTTCACTCGATCTCTGCGAGGACATTCACGACGCTTATATCTGCTCGTATGGACAAGTCAACAATTTCAAACTCAACAAATGTGCTACTGATTTGGCAAACAACAATTCAACAAAGAACTGCGAAACAACTCTCATCAAAAGCGACAAGGATTGCCTATTCTCTCAGTTTCAACGTTACATCATGATAAGTCATTTTAATCAAATAGGTATTTCTTATTTTGACCGACGACACAAAAAACATTTCACCAACTTTACACATTCTGATGGAAACTTCGTGTACCAGCTGACTAATAAACCAACGACACTTCACTGCACAAACGACATCTTCTACGCTCATTATGAAGAGACGCTAAATCACGTTCAACTTCACACAACAAACACACTTGACCATTTTGACCTCATCAGTCAAGATGATTACCGCAATTCTCAAAATTTTCTCCAACACAAACGCGCAAATATCTCGACAGCGGAATACAATGACATCGCGAACAAACTCACGGAGAATGAAACCTTTGGAAACAAAATTATCTCACACTACAAAACAAACTGGATATCGACTTTAATGACGACCCTTCACACAATTGCTTCGATCATCATACTCCTGATAATTTTCAGAATCACAATCGCCTTTGCTCCACTACTTCGACAATTTTTAAATTTCATCTCATCAACAATAGCCTACGGATTGTCACGCCTTCTTCCCAAACTTCTCTTTCTTCGCAAAGCTCAAACCGACGATAAAATCAACATGGACGATGCTTCAAGCCCGCCAACTCCTGAGAACCTCAAGGATCTCCCATTCTCGACTAACGCTTGAGTCGACTTTGCTCTCATCAACAATTCAAAATCCAAAAACAAAACAAAAAAAATTCTCAAAATTCCACAAAAAATTCAAAAGAAAAATATTCAAAAGAAAGAAAAGACAAAAAAATACTCAAAAGAAATGAAAATCAAAAAAATATTTACTAACTCCCTTTCTGTACCATAATGAACAATTCGCACTTTCTTTACTGTTCACTTCCAAACAAACTCTTTACTGCACTAACACGAGTTCACGATTCATTTATTCCATCAAACCCGATAAACACTGAAACAGTTAGGACAAGTCTCAAGCTCCGCTGGGAAGGTGGAGAAGCATTCGTTGCACAAAGCCACAGCGAGACTCGACACGTTCAACCGGACTTGCTGTGCCGACTCCTGGACTCGATCTGATTCACATACAAACCGACCGTCTATTTACAAGATAAGATAATTTCGACACACTTATTACCTGATCGTAGTCTCACCCGTATTGTCTCATGTGAACCTCTCTCTCGCATCCTCCTCATGATATCTCCCAACTTATCGAGCAAGATTCTCAAATTCTCGAACATTCTCTGAACTAAAAGCAAAAGTTAGACGTTATTTGTAAGCACTTGGGCCGATAACTCACTTATGCTACATTAAATAATAACATAATGAATATGAAAATTTTTAAAATGAAAATACTTCATCTATGCAAAATTTAGAATCCCTCCGAATTTCTTATATCCTATAAAATGTATAAACAAAATTTCGATGATTACCTAGACAAGCCCCGTCAGTAGGACTTGATTATGATTAAAAATGATTTTATTTGAAATAAAAATTCAAAAATTAAAAATGACTCTTGATTTAAAAAATCAACGATAGGTATCAGAAATCAGGATATATATAATTTATTTACAGGTGCGTAGAGAACATTCACTAGAAATCAGAGTTCGAGCATTTGCATCATGCTCATCAAATAAGCGCGTACCAAAGTCAGTTAGGGCCTCATGTCGCATCTCAGTAAATTTCAGATTAGTAAGTTCAGTGAAGCCAGCGGGAAGGGATTCGTTATTAGTATACATATTCACATAATATTCGAATGTAAAATAATCTATGAGCTTGCAGCATTTAGGAAAACCCATATACCCTTCCATTAGATAATCATCGACAAATTGACCTCTAGTCTTACAGCTAAGGTCGAGGCCGGAGTCTTTGAGAATCCTAAGAACCTCCCCACGGTCAAGCAAGAGAAGTGGTAACTGATACTGAAAATGTTTGATTTTTTCGTAAAAGATAGGGTCATCAAAAAGTACATTCGCATAGGACCTAATAAAAAGTTTTAATTCGCCCTCCGTATTTCGAAAAAGTTCTATCAGAACAGGTCTCCCAGACATAACATATTCGCCTTCGTTTGTTAATAAAACTCTCGGAATTTTGCCGGGCGCCACCGCTTTAGAGAAATTTTCATGAATAATTCAATTCAAATTTATAGTATAAAACGTTCAAAATTTTCAGAAAAATAAAGCTTAATAATACATTCTTATTTATTTAGATATAAATTATACTACTGTTTCAATATTAATTCCTTCCTAAAACTTCATATTCTTGTCGGTCGGGATCCGCTCGTTCTTGATATCGATTTTCGAGGGACTTGCCTTGAGCAGTTCGAACCAGCTACAATTAAAAATAGAATCTATAGTTTTAGTATGATCAGAAACTCTAGACAATATGTGTCTTGTGCGTTCGCACCAAGAGCTCTTCTCATGATCATCCGTCCGGCAGGCAGGATGCTTGGCAATCAGGCCGTTTTTAGTATTTAATTATGTTAGTTTTTTTTGTTAATACCGTTCTTTGTTTAAATTCCTCGATTTCCATTCGTCTTTAAAAATAATTATTTATTCATTTTACAGGCATTTTTACATAGGGACGATGTCGTGACTTTCTCCCAAGGGCCCCGCTTCACTCGCGACGAGAGTTGATACAGTGCTAGAATTAAATTTAGAAAATAGGCTTCAATCATTAACAAAATTGAATTTAGAAATAACTGACCATATATTTATAAATAAGATAATAATTTTTTACCTTTCCGCATAGTTTATTTTGATCCTCTTACGAAGATTCATTTTGTTATCCCTCTAAAATAAATTCTCTTTAAGTAAATACATTAATCTCTAATAAATTATAATTACAGAATAAAAAATTTATTCCAAAACAGTTTAAAAACGCTCTCTCTCTTTCTCTCTCTCTCTCTCTCTTTCCGCGCGTATTCCTTATCAGCCGGCGCGGCGTTCTGCAGACCCCCAACTCTCCTTTTCCCACGACCCCCCAGATCTCTCCTTTTCACGCGCGCGCGGCGCCTTATCAGTTCCACCTCCAAAACTCTCCTTTCGGCGCGCGCATTCGTCTCCGCCGTCCTTTTCTCCTTTTTCGCTCCTTATCAGTATATTTTCCATTTTCAATCTTTCATCTTTCCATTTCTCCTTTTTTCCAATTTTCCGATCGTTCAAATTTTAAAGTACTGAAATTTCGACACGAAACACTAGTAGCACCTAAGTACACTGTTCCAAAATTTATTATTCCTTGAAAATCTTTATTCTTATTATTATATACAGAAGAAAGAAGAAACTGTTCATTTATTTTATTTTACTCTCACTCTTCCTTGATTTCAACTGCAAATAAAATTTTCTGAACAAGGGGGGAGTACTATGGTAGGCGCTCCAGAGCACGAGAGCGCGTCCTCAAAAAGGGACGTCTCTCGGGCCCAGAGCGCAGTCAGCCCGCACTCTCCCCGACAGTCAGACAGCCCACTAGATTCCGAGCCAGTTGTATAGACTGTCCGGGATAGTTCTAGTGTCAACCCTTAAATCCAGAAGTTCTATTAAATTTTCGTTGTTTTAAAAATGGATATACGACAACATGCACTTCAACATCACAAACAGGTAAATTTAGAGATTCATTTTCATACGATTATGATTTTTGTAAAGAAAATTATTCTTGAATCTTTATGGCTTTTGGGGGATCTATGGTTAACTTTTCCCATCAAAAACAAAACTTATTTGTAAATAGGTCGGAAAAAATCCTCGATTTGAACTTTGTTCTCAAAACATCGTTTTTCTTCCTTTCAAGTTCGAGTTGATCTCCGTCCTCCTCTCGTGGCTTAGCGATGGTTTTAGCGAAATTGCAGAGGAAGGATTGTTCTTGCCGTATGCACGTTTTGAGAGTTTACTGGGCTTACTGCGTACTCTTGAATAAATCCCCTGGCTTGATTTCCTGTGCCATGTCTTCTTCTACTTGACCTGAACGTGATTCTCTCACATCGAGGATAAATTGAAGCTCGGATACTTTCGATTATTTTTTTTTTCTGATATGTACGAATATCTACTAAATCTGATTCAAGGACTATTTCTAGGCTTACCGCGGCTGAAACCTTTTTTCCAGGTTCTTTTGCAGAGACTTACCAAACTTACAGTATATATGCACAATGACACGCCTTTCAAAACTGCACTAGCCGATTTTTCGAAACGGCTCATTTTTGTGCCTTTTTTGGGCGATTTTTGATGAGAAAAAATGCATATAGATGAGTCATTCCAACATTTAAGGGTGTTCCCACATACCAATTCTTATCATATTTGGATATGTTGTAGAGGAGGGCTTGCTGATTCTTTTGACCGCTGGACGAATTCTGCAGACCTCGATTTCGGTACTTTCTAGAGCTTCAAAGTCGACAAAGTCTGCCAGATATGAAATTTCAAAATTTTCAACTTTTGATCTACGCATGCTACAATGACGATTTATAGCTCATCTTGGAGCTCATGATCCACTGAATTTTGTGAGGCGTTTTTTTCTGAACCAGCTGGTCATTCTGGCGGTTCGTCGCGGTTCAAGGATTTAGAAGGGCCGAGATCCCGCAATATGTATATCAAAATGCATATTTTTTGACAATGAGTCGTTCCAACAGATTTTCGAAACAAACCACTTGCCTAACCGCCCGGTTCACAGCGGTTCAACGTGGTTCAAAGTGGTTCAAGGTCTGAATGTTCACCAAATATTGAAATATGAATATAAAAATGCTTGTCTAGTCAAAAGGAGTCTTTTGAACAGATTTTTAAACTGAACCACATAGCGAACCGCCCGGTTCGCAGCGGTTCAAAGTGGTTCAAAGTGGTTCAAGGTCTGAATGTTATATATGATATGTATATCAAAATGCTTGTCTAGTCAAAAGGAGTCTTTTGAACAGATTTTCGAACCGAACCACTTGGCTAACCACCCGGTTCACAGCGGTTCAAAGCGGTTCAAGAACTGAATGTTCACAAAATAATGACATATGTATATCAAAACGCTTGTCTAATGATAAGGAGTCTTTTGAACAGATTTTCGAACCGAACCACTTGGCTAAACGCCCGGTTCACAGCGGTTCAAAGCGGTTCAAGCTCTGAATATCCACAAAATATTCGAATATATATATCAAAATGCTTGTCTAGTCAAAAGAAATATGCTGAAATATGTACATCAAAATGCTTCTCTACTCGTAAGAAATCATTTAAACAGGTTTTCGAACCAAAACGCTTGGTTGACCGCCCGGTTCACAGCGGTTCAGGGCGGTTCAAGCTCAAAATACTCACAAATTGCTGAATAAAATATATCAAAATGCTTCTCTACTCATAAGAAATCATTTGAACAGGCTTTCGAACCAAACCGCTTGATTGACCGCCTTGTTCACAGCGGTAAAGGGCGGCTCTGAATACTATTCATACCTATACTATGAATACCGAAGGGGAGGCCAGGCCCGTTTGTACAATTCAGTCTGAGACGGGGCCAAGCCGACCCGAAGGGGAGGCCAAGCCCGTTTGTACAAATCATTCTGAGACGGGGCCAAGCCGACCCGAAGGGGAGGCCAGGCCCGTTTGAACAATTTAGTCCTAGAAGGGGCCAATCCGACCCGAAGGGGAGGCCAGGCCCGTTTGTACAATTCATTCTGAGACGGGGCCAAGCCGACCCGAAGGAAAGGCCAGGCCCATTGTACAATTTAGTCTGAGACGGGGCCAAGCCGACCCGAAGGGGAGGCCAGGCCCGTTTATACAATTTAGTCTGAGACGGGGCCAAGCCGACCCGAAGTAGAGGCCAGGCCCGTTTATACAATTAAGTCTTAGACGGGGCCAAGCCGACCCGAAGGGGAGGCCAGGGCCGTTGGTACAATTATGTCTGAGACGAGGCCAAGCCGACCCGAAGGGGAGGCCAGGCCCGTTTGTACAATTCAGTCTGAGACGGGGCCAAGCCGACCCGAAGGGGAGGCCAGGCCCAATTGTACAATTTAGTCTGAGACGGGGCCAAGCCGACCCGAAGGGGAGGCCAGGCCCGTTTGTACAATTCACTCTGAGACGGGGCCAAGCCGACCCGAAGGAAAGGCCAGGCCCGTTTGTACAATTCAGTCTGAGACGGGGCCAAGCCGACCCGAAGGGGAGGCCAGGCCCGTTTGTACAATTTAGTCTTAGACGGGGCCAAGCCGACCCGAAGGGGAGGCCAGGCCCGTTGGTACAATTATGTCTGAGACGGGGCCAAGCCGACCCGAAGGGGAGGCCAGGCCCGTTTGTACAATTTAGTCTTAGACGGGGCCAAGCCGACCCGAAGGGGAGGCCAGGCCCGTTGGTACAATTATGTCTGAGACGGGGGGAATAGTCTATTTCATTCACGATTATTTCTTTTTAAAAAATAAAAATGGAAGATACTTAAGAAAGTGTTATGGTATTCTTTATGATATTCGGTGTGAAGGACCTTCTATCTGAGATAGTATGATTTTAGTGAGGTCACAAACAGCCTGTTTTCTGAGAAAAAGATAGCGGTTCTTGAATTGTCCATGAAGATCTGTCTTCCACGGTGACTTCCTTCCCGATTCCAGATCACCTTTGCAAGATCACCTGCGCCCCCGAAGAGCTGGGCGCCCGAGAGTCCAAGCGCGATCTCCCGCCGAGCGCGCTCGCCCGCTGCTATCATCATCAAGGGCTCCTCCTATTTGCCCTATCACTTTTCTCTGAAGAACACAGACAGATTTATTGTCCGGCATTGTCCGACATTCAAATAAAAGACCTTACTGTATATTTATATTTTTTGAAGAAAATCGAGAGAAACGACGTAAAAGAACCTAAAATCAAAAAATTTGATTTAAGAAGAATTAAAGAAAGAAGTTTATAAAGGTAACCAAGAGAGAAAAATGCTCAAGAATCGAGGAAACGTCGCTAGAAACGCTGAAAAGTTATAATATCGTTGATGTTTCCGGCAAAAACAGAGCAACGAGAGGCTAAAATTTGATTACAGTTCAAATCTTTTAGAAGAAAATTAATGTTGTTGGCAAGCCAGATTTAGAATTTCCAAGCTTTTCCTTGTTTTTGCCGGATAAGCTAAATCAAGTTAATGAATCCACGGAGCGGTGTTGCTGAGCCCCGTCGGACCGGGAATTGTTTGACAAGTCAATGTCAGAATTATGGGGAGCGCGATTTTGATTCATTAGAGAGAGGCTTAAAATTTACTCGATTTTTGAGGATTTGAGGGAAATAAACTTAGCTGAACCCCATATTCATAACAGAGTGAACACCCTTATTTTTTTAAATCAAGAGAAAGAGAAGGCCTTTTTCTTTGGAAATTTCTTTTTTTTTTTAATTATTGAAATAATTTTAATAAGATTTCAAATTTGAAAAACCAACTCGCTCAACTTGAAATAAAGGTGCTCATAAACCTGACCTCAACCCTAAGCCGCAGTTGAGTGCGATTGCGCCATATGTTACCAGCTTCTTCGTTTCTTTTCTTTTCTTTTTCTGGGGCAGATAGTAACCGGAGCGACCTGCAGCCTGATTCGCTTTCTAATACTCGGATCATCCGCCTCAGCCCTCATCCGCAGCGGACAGCATTGCGAGACATAAAACTTGAAACAATACGCCCTCTTAGAAGCTTGAGCTTTTTTTGAGTCTATTGCTGACCAATTAAGGAAAAGAGTACCTTCTTTCTTTGACCTTAAAATTGGTTCATAAATCGATTTTGGATTGATTGGGTAAGGGCTAGGATAAGGGTTAGGGTTTTCCACTCAGTTATCAAGAAACACGATGGTCGGCTTAAGAATTATCGTTTCTCGACTCTGTTAGATAAGAACGAACATCATAAAAAGGTTCATTTTGCCAAGTGACGAGCAGAATTATTGCATAATCTCGTTCTCTTCAGATGCGGCGCCACTCCTAGTCAATTTTTTCCGACTTGAGATAAGCCACATGTAGTTGAAGAATATTTTTATTGCAAAAAGGGTTGAACGGGATCGATTTTTTTTTCTAAAATGAATCTTATTCTTTAGAAATATTTTTCAATTTTTTCAATTTTTTAGGATTTTTTTGGTCCAAATTGTTCAGTTTTGTCTGCCCCGCCTAGGTCGATGGCATCTGCACTAATTCTAGAGCTTGGAATTGATAAGATTCCAGTACTAACGTTTATATTTAGAAAGCTTGTGTAAAAAATTCCGCTGTCGCTCGCCGGAATGCTGTATTAAACTGAGCGATCAATAAAGCTTGTAAAGCTACTTTGCTCGGACAGGCAAGAAGACTAAGACAGCCGGAGAGCTCTAAAAGAGATGATTCTGTGGAGGCACTTAGTTGCCACGCTTTCTTATAAAGCCTTGGTTCTCGCTGATGATGCTTGCTCGAAGGAAAATATGCCCGGAATTGTGAACTCTGAAGGCAAAACAAGCGGAAGCTGGAGCTGTCAGTTAAAATCTGGAGAATCCTTCGATCTGGAAAATGCTAAGGATGTCCCAAATAAGGCAAAATGCTTTGCGACTTGTGGAAAACACGAGCCAAGTGGAGATAATTATTATATAATGCGACCTGGAGTTTCAAGAGCCATCAGATGCCGTAAGTAGATAATATCTAAGCATAATAACTTATTATTAATAAGTTTGTATAAAATAGAGCTCATTATTTATTTTCAAATTTATATTCTATTGAGCGTTAGTATTTTTTTCATATTTCTCGAAATTAAAGCGATTAATGAGAGTGGTAATCTTGTAAGAGATAATTAAAATAATTTTATTTAGAGGATCTCAATATTATATCGGATAAAGTACTCATTTTTACTTTCATTGATTATTGCTTGACCATCAAGCATACTCATCCCGGTTCTTATTCTTGTTTCTTTTCCATCTTTTTGGATGAAGTCAGTCGTTAAATTGATTGGAACACCAGTGCCTTAATAACATTAAGAGTTGGAATATTTGAGTATTTCACCGTTTTTGCTTAGCCTGAAATAATAACTATTTTCATGATTATCAAAATTATGCTGCCAACCAGACTCTTCGACTTCCCAAGAGTTATTCCAATACATCTTCGCGAAGGTTTTTTTTTCAAAAATTACTTTCTAGGTAGAAAAAACGGGCTGGTGTATGGAATCGATAAAAACTTCTTTCCTTAAAATTGACTTTTTTCGCGCCGAGAAGAAGAAGATTAAGAGCATTACGGATATCTTTTTCTTCCATTTCATCTCTTCGTCCGCCATGACTTAGTTTTTTATCGTTTCCAAAGAAGTGTCCAGCACCTCCAAGCGGTCCAAGATCAGCTGACAGTCTTTCAAGCTCTTTTTCTTTTTCTGACAATTGAGACTTTTCCAGGCGCGATTTTTCATCGGCAAGTTTTTCATTTTCAATTTTCAATGCATTGATTTCCATTTCAAGTTTTTGATTCTTTGCTTTTTCGTCGTCGATTTTCTTCTCTAATCGTATTTGAAAATTGATGAGCCGGTGTTTCTTGGTTCTGCATATTGATGTTTGATTTTTTAGAAAAAAATTCTCAATCTCACGAATATTGATTCTTCAAAAATTATAAATAAAAGGAAGTTAAGGATAGATATTAACCTTGATTCGAGTTTCGAATTTTCATCTTTCTCCTCGATCAAATTTTCTTTCAATAAGGTCACTTGAGATGCAATGTCATTTTTTTCTGTTTGAAGAGTCGCGACGAGATTTGTAAGGGTCTTGACACTTTCAAGCAAAGAAGATTCTCCTTCAGATAAATTTATATCATCTTTAGGGGTCACGGTGCTCGATCTTTTCTCCAACGTTATATTCTTCTGTCTTCGATGAAGTTCAAGAGAAATTATTTAAAGAACGAATACAAGTTTATTATTTTAAGTGATATATGAACTCTTTCCATCATCAAAAACATCAATTGTTTCAAGTTGATAAGTGATATTTTTGTCGAATTCATTCTTGGAGCTAGGGCAGTCTTTGAGATGAGAAGTCAATTCACTTTTGCATGTCATAAGGCAATTTTGGTCCAAACAAGTTTTAATGCACTCGCGAAAGGTAGTTTGCGCTGTTTTCTTGCATTTGTTAGCTTCTCTTTGAATCCGAGTCATATATTCGTCACCGCAAAAAGCATCGCAGGAGAAATTGACTGTACAAACCTTTGTGAGCATCATAAACAGAAGACCTTGAAGCTTAGCCCGTTAAAGTACGCCAGACGTTCGATAAACGGTTAAAATGTGATATCAGCTCCCAAAGTACGAATACTTTTTGAAAACTAAGGGTATTCATTTTTTGCGGGCTAAGCTTAAATGACGGTCAATGATTCATTGCCATAATTCTTTATAATTTTGCTTATTCCTTTTGTGCATCCATAAAAGATAAAAAGACAAATATGAATAATATCGTTATCTATTTCTGTGATAAGTTACAGAAGTAGTCACATTTTGTTAGACTTCTGTATCGCTGACAAGCAGTTAATTACTGCAAGAATTATCAAGTTGTCTTCCCCATGTGATCGTGTTCAAAGTTCACTTCAGAATTAAACTTCAGGCGCACTCTCTTACGTTTATACTTTATTATGGTTCAACTGACAAAATTTTTAAGTGTTTCTGTTTCTGCATTATATTGATTTTTTTAGGCGACGGAAACTGGGAGCTAAAAGAATCACACACTCGGGAGAAGATCGCCCTTCGAGATGTCGTCTGCGAACGTGAGTTTTTTTCTCTTTTCTCATACCCGTTTAGCGCACCGCCACGGAAGTTCAGCTTTCCGGACTCATCATCTCCGGAACCCTCATTTTTAAGCATAGTTATTTTTGAATTTAGGCGGATGCGACAAGAGCTTACTACCGCAATTCGACAATGGAGCTTGGAACTGTCCCCTCGAATTTGAAGGCACGAATATTGTTGCCAATAATTTGGACTGCTTTGCAAAATGCAATCGTGGTTTTACAGAAGTTGGAGCTAAAAGGAACGTTGGATTAAAATTGACATTTTTTCTTTTGGCAAAAATTTGGCTCTAGCGCCAAATTATGTTAAAAAATAAGAATTCTAAAAATTTTGTGAAAGAAAAAGTTGTCGATCGTCCAAAACTACGTATCTCTAGTTGTTCTTGACAGACAAGGTCGATTAAAAAGGGATCACTGGAAATCTTCCGGCCAAGTTGATTTCACGCCATTTTCTAATCAGTAAAAAAGTCGTAATTGGCGCCCACCACGTTCACCAAAGGGTAACTAATTGTTGTGCAACCGGCGCTAGAATCTAAACGCGCCGCGAAAATCCGTTGAATTTGGTTATTCGGATCGACTAGAATTTGAGATTGAAGCAGATTTTTCAATCCGCGAAATAGAACTCTTTTCAACTACAAGGATTATCGAAAGACTTGCAAGTGCAACGATCAGAATGGAAGGTGCCATTGGAGGATGAATATGGAAGAACACGAGGACAAAAGTGACATTGTTCCAAGTAAGAAAGAAAGGATAAGTCGTTGTTATCTGCTCTGGCCACATATTCTTGAGGCCGCTTATAAATTTTAGACGATAGAGTTATTTCTTGTTAGTTTTTGTCTTTTCGTAACTCAAGGTCTATCTTAGGACATTCTTTTTAAAATAAAGTTTCAAAAATTTCCATGATTTCGCCATCATAAACCTCTGGGTTAGGGTTAGGACTACTGTGGGTAAGGGTAAGGGTTGGCTTGGGTTGACCAAAGACTTAACCATTACCCGCATTTCAACCAATTAACGCCGAAACGCATGGCGACCAATTAATTGGTACAACGCCCTTTAATGCCATTTCGACACATTTGGAAATTTGCATATTTACTCATATTTATGTTATGATATGGGTATAATATGAGAATAAAATTGAAGCTTAGCGTCTGAGAATTATTTATTCATATCATTAATACAGTGAGCTAATCAGTTTCATTGTTAAAAAGGGGTGAAATGGGCATACCAATAAATTGGTACGACCTGCGTTCGACGTTGAAAAAATTTTATGCGTTCCGGCGTTAATTGGCTGGTCCAAAAAATACCTAGCGCGTAGGGGTTAGGGTTAGGGCTTATGATAAGCCGCTTATCTTTCTTTATCAAACAAAGATGAGGGCTTTCCGATAAAAAAATTCTTTAGTGTGCGAGTTCTCAAAAACCAACCGAATCATCAATGGTCAAGACGCGATCGCTAACTCGAAGAAATACATGGTCTCAGTTCAAACCCGCGCAAAGACACGGCTTTACAAATTCAAGATTTTTCGCGGGCTCGCAAACTTGAATCTATCCATTTTCGAATTTCCGCGGAAAATTTAATCCAAGATCTTACAATTCTAATTTTAGATCTTCAAATTTTTTATCAAAGAAAAAATTTTTCTCTTGTAAATTCCAAAGTTGTAAAATCGTGCGCTAGAACCGTGCTCCTACTCATCATTGTGGCGGTGTTCTGATCCATCCGAAATGGGTTCTCACCGCGGCGCATTGCAAGAAAAAGTGAGTCGCACATTCTTCAACCTCAACTTTTTGAACACTTTTGCTTCAGAAATCTTTTCGCAGTTCTTGGAGAGCACAATTTGAGACAGGACTCGAAGCGGGAAAGAGCCTGCAAAGTTGTGGCTACGGTTCCGCATCCAATGTACCATGGAATCTCGCATGATATTATGATGATGAAGATCAAATGCAACGTAAGTTGGAATTTTCTCCAAAGAATTTTGAAATTCAGGCACTAAAAACGATACCCATAGATAAAAAGGGCCTGGAAAATAACTGTAATTCGAATTCATAAATGAAGTTATCAGTACCCACTAATCCCTCTACGCTTAAAATTATCAACCCGCTCCGAAAAATAATAGAATCCATTTCCGGGGTCAAAATTTTGGAATTTCGAAAATAGATTTTTCGAAAATTGTTGACGGGGGGGGGGTCCTTATTAAGGACTCCTTAAGGAGAAACATGTCGATCTTCTTTTCAAAAAAGAAAGTGTTCTCAACTTTTTTTCGGTGGAAAAAACGGACACGTGAGTGGTTATGAAAATGACATTCGATTCGATCCGCTTTCGCCCATTCTTTTTCACTTTTTCTGACCGACAAAGTTCCATCCCGTCTTTTGCAACCCCTCAATTTGCAAGATTTGGCAGCATTATCACCAAATCGCCCATCACCGTTGTTCTTATAATTTCTTGATTTCGGTGAAGTGACGTTTTAAAAAGTGAAAATGAAGGAACCCAAAAGTGACAGAAATTTATCATAAAAGGGCGAAAATAGGTGGATTTTGAAATTGAATTTAATTTATGATAAAAACGCGTCAGGAAGCTGTCATCTTAAAAGCGAGATGGACACGTTAGTTTTTTCTCGATTCTTTTTTTTTGACTATTTCGGGAATCCAATTTTCAAGTGATTATGTAATAAGTGTCCATCTGATGAGTCCGATTTTAAGGGGGTAGGGATCGCTAAGCTGATTTTCCAAATGGCTTTTCTTTGAATTAACACTGCGATACCCTTATTCTACTTCATTCTATTTTTTCAGAACAAAGGAATGGGAAATTTCATCGAGCCCGCCGTCCTCCCCTCTTTCATGCACGATTTGGCGCCAGGAAGCAAGTGCGAAGTCTGCGGCTGGGGCAACACCAACGCCACACCAGGTGAGTATACCGAAGCTCAATCTCTTCAGTGCGTCGACTTGCCGATCATCGACACGGATCGATGCAACGCGCCGAATTCATACGCCGGAGCGATTCACGAGGACATCATGTGCGTTGGCTACATGACTGGCGGTCAGGACTCTTGCCAGGTAGGGAAGTCCTCAAAACCACTTCCATAGCAAAATTTAAGGGCGATTCTGGAGGACCAGCTATCTGCGACGGCCGAGTCCACGGACTGGTCATGGGAGGAAATCAATGCGCACAAGCAAATTTCCCCGGCGTTTATACTCGACTTTCTCACTACATTCCTTGGATCAGGAGTATTCTTGAAGGTTAGACACGATTAGTTGGATGTGGGCGAGCAATAATAGGATCAGTACTTAAAATTCAAATACAGTAAGAAACAAAGTAGCTTGAGTCTTTTTGAGTTGATTCAATGAATCAAGCCATCTAGCTCGCTCATTTCATACAGTAGTAGAACAATACAGTGTATTGAACATATCAAATTAACTCTTATCTAGCTACTTACATGCTTAAAGTACAGTTTGTTTGTAATAAAAAACAACTGATCGTTGATTAAAAAGATCATTGAACCCGCTAACCAAAAAAAAAACTAGAAGTTTTTGAATGACAAAAATTTCTTTCAGAACCCGCCCATAAACAATCCGGCCGAAAGGGTGGACGAAGCCGAAGGTTTTTCTAAAAGATTCTTGATTTCAACCGGTTAGAAAAACAAAATCATCAGCCAATTTTGAATTGGAAAACTTTTGGAATCCCAAAGTTCAAAAACCGAAAAAGCTCAGTTTTCGGGTAGAACCAATTTTTGGAACAGATTTTTTGGAAAGGGTTTTGATTGGCCGGTAGGCCAAATACAGCAATCTTATTTGTCATCCAAAAATCCATTTCCAAAAATTGGTATAGTCCCAGTTTTCTGTTTATCATAAACCTGAACTTTTTTGTTTGTAAAAGAGTGATAATTGTGATTGAGCATCCGGGCCTCAGCTGCTTCTCCGCTCAACTACAGTTATCTTTTCGAGTTATCGCGAGTTTTGGAAATGCCAAAACGTGGTGTTTAGTTTTTCCTTTTTAACTTTCCCTGAATTGATCTTCCTTGATTCCCGTGTTTAGGCTACCGAAAAAGGTAAAAAAATCGAACCTCGGATGAACACACAAAGAAACCAACTTTGCCCAAATCAACACAAACACGAAAACAGCCCCACCCAATTTGCCACAAGCCAAAAAGCGATCCTTTAACTTATTTATATAACTCGAGATTACTTCATTTATTTCTCAAATTTTCGCCACGTGTTCAAACTAAGCAATCTTGAAAAAAGGTTGAAAAATGAACATTCAGTAGAATTTCGAGTCCGAAAAATGAATAATGAATAAATAAATAACTGTAAATACAATAAAAAAAATCAAAAATCTCCACTGTAAAAACACGAAGCCCAAAAACCCCCGAAAATAATTCAAAACGATAAAGAAGACAAAATATAAAAAGAGATTTGTATAAACTGTGCACTGTTTTATTGTATGAAATCACACAATCAAAATTTGGCCTTTATGGCCAAGAAATAAAGCTGCTTGTAAACTTTTAGTCAATTTGAAAACAAAAAAAATTTCAAGCAAACATTCGGATGATTTTTTTCTCGTGGATCTCGAATCCGCAATGGCAGTAGAACTTCTTTCTTCCGACTTAAAATAGTGTTGGCCAGAATATTCAATTATAAATATTTACTATTTCGTTGACGAGCAAATTCCATTTTCATGCAAGTCCAGCAACAACAATGGCCACAGGCATGCGAGTATTTTGCGCGTTTTCCATCATCGTAGTATCTGAATTGTAATTTTTTTTTGATGAATGTGAGCATGAATCTTACTCGTAGCAGATTTGACACATCATGAAAGCCTCAAGTCGTTCTCTTTGGAGGGTCTTCTTGTCGACCGACTTTGCTCTAGTGTTTTTTTCTACCTCAGGTTCCGGACATTCTTCCTCTTCCAAGTGGGTTCCGTCAAGATCTTCAGCTAAAGAGGCCATTTCATTGGAAGGTTCCTCGTTGCTTGGGCGGTCTTCATTGTCTTCTGTCACCAAGTCTGCTACATCGCCGTTGTCAAGTTCGAGCTAAAAGATTCTCAAAAAGTTTTTTTGAAAAAGATTACTGTTCTTCAGTATCTCGAGATGAGGAACACTCGGCTTGGCTGCTTGATAATTTATCCTGAACATCGTGTTGTTGAGTTGATGGTCTTTTATTTAATTTCTTGTTCTGCTTCTTCTTTTTTCCTTTCTTTTGGTTGGTACCACGAGCTGATTTTTTCTCTCGGGACTTTTTATCTTCTTCTTCAACCCAATCAGGGATTTCATATGTGCCAGAAATTGTCTCAAGAGGAGGTTCGAAAACTAACTTCCTATTCTTGATGAACATTCGTCTCTTCCCATCCGCTTGTTTCGCTTTTTTGCTGTCCCAAATCCAGCCTAGTCGATCAGGAGCCCCCTCCAATGCATTTTTTTCGGTGACAGAGGTTTCGAATAGAAGCAACTGTAAGGAGTGAGACTGTATTCTTCTTGAAGAGTTACGAAACGGTGCTATTAAATATATTACTAATATAATATAAGAGGTTAACATTATTCTTCATCTTACCCTAACCCTAACCCTAATCATGAAAACTTACCAGAATTGTCATCTACCATGCGGAGCATCAGCAGCTCATTAGAACCGTTATCAGTAAGCAAAAGAATTTTCGAATCAACGCCTCTTCTCTCAATTTTACTATCGATGAAATCCGACAGGCACCCTCGTTGAATTTTAGCATAGCTTCCTGGAATGCTCAAAGTGTTTCCATGAAAAGCCTCGACAGAGGTCAATTTGATTGTATATCGTCTGGTACTTATTGTTATGTCACTCTCTTTGATACATTTTCTTATCTCTTCGAGATTGGACGTCATTTATTGAAAATAACTCTTTTTCATTCAAAATGTCTCAGGACGATTCAAATTATTCACGCGAACATTCGGATGATCTTTTTCTCGTGGATCTCAAACCCGCAATGGCAGTAGAACTTCTTTCTTCTCACTAAAAATTGTTGGCAAGAGTGTTGTAAATTAAAATTATTAACTTTCTCTTTGACGAGCAAACTCCATCTTCATGCATGTCAAGCAGCAACAATGGCCACAGGCGTGTGAGTATTTTGCATGTTTTTCATCATCGTAGTATCTGAATTATTGTTACTTGATTTGATTAATGTTAGCATAAATCTTACTCGAAACAGATTTGACACATCGTGAAAATCTCAAGTCATTCTTTCCGGAAGGTGTCATTATCCACCGAATTCGCTTTAGTTGATGAGCAAGAGCTCCTTTCCACTTCACGTTCCATACATTCTTCTTTTTTCAAGTCAGTTTCTTCCAAATCTTCAACTGATGATGCGACGTCAGTGGAAGCCTCCTTATTGTTCGACTGGTCTTTATTTCCTACTGTCTACTCCTAACCCTAACCCTAACCATGATAACTTACCAGAATTATCGTCTTTCATGCGAAGATAAAGCAGCTCATTAGAACCGTTGTCATCAGTAAAAAGAAAAATTTTCGAGTCTTCGCCTTTTCTTTCGATTAGTCTCGTTTTTACTAAAAATCATCTTGTTAGCAGTTTATTTTGCTCAAAAATAACTTGTCCCGGGCGGTAGAAAAGCTTTTTAATAATGGAAATCGTGGGCAAATCCCATAGAATTCACTTTAAGAACTAGAGTTATTCACGACAAATGAAAATTATTTTTTTATATCCGTTTATGAGCTTCGATGCTTTTCCGAAGAGCTACTGAGATAAATACCAAGAAGCAGAGAGATCAAAAACAATAACGGGTCGAAGACAGCATGATCGAAATTGAAAACTCCCATGGCTCGTTTGCCCCGACGAGAAAAGGTTCTAGGGCGAGATGGTTCATTTGCGGGGAGGACTATTTCGTTGCGGTCAAGGAGGCGATAGATTCGGCCAAGGAAGAGATCTTCATCGCTGGCTGGTGGTTCATGCCCCAAATAGAACTGATACGGACTGAGCAGCGAGTCACGTTGGAGAAATCCCTGAAAGAAGCGGTCCGAAGAGGCGTCAAGATTTTTATCCTCGTCTTCAACAGTAACTTGGAGTACATCCTCAGATTCACTAGATTCTACACAGCAGTCAAAAGAAAGAACAAGATCTACCGCGAAAACTTGATAGAACACATCCGCGCGCAGGGTTCGGTAATTTGAGCTCAAGCTAAAACTCATTTTGGCTAGACGCTCAAATTTCCTCAAATTGAGAACTCAAAGTGACTTGAGAAATCATTTTGAGAAGATTTGAGAGTTTTGAAAGTTTTGAGTTTTTGGGAGATTTGAGAGTTTTGAGTTTTCAAAACTCAAATTAAGCGAGCGCTTCCTTGATTGGCTCATGGATCGCCAGAATTGATTTCTCACCCGAGCTCTCATCTCTGAGTTCTCAAAACTCAAATTAAAAAATGTGAGTCTCAAGCTTTGTTTCCTTGAGTTTTAGCGTGAGCTCAAATTACCGAACCCTGTCCGCGCGGAAAAGACTAAAGCTGGCACGATTGATCAGAGTTCAAAATCAATGTGGATTTTTGCGGAAGCGGAAGGAGCGAACATTAGTCCATAGATTTTCCCTTCTAATTTTTTCTTCCGCTAATGGGAATGGGAAATTTTGAGCTCTGCTAAAGATGGTGATATTTATTTTCTGGCCCATCCAGATTTGCGGCTAGCGACAAAAGGAGGCTTTTTAGGCTTGCAATGGATGAATCATGAAAAAATTCTAGTTGTTGATCAAAGTATGGCGCTGCTGGGAGGCATTGACCTTTGCATAGGAAGATATGGGGAGCACGGCAAATACTCGCTTTTTGACAGCTCAGAGGAGAAATTCAAGGGAGCTGATTATTTCAATTCATTTGAGAATCCCGACTGGGAAAAGCCTCGAAAAGATTTGAAAAGGTAAGTTTTTTTAATAAATTTAATTGCATTTGATAAGGATTCCGTATCACGACAATGCTTGCCAAATATTCGGCGAAAGTGCTCGCGATCTCGCCGCGCATTTTATCCAGCGCTGGAATTTTTCGAACGAGAAAATCAACAGTTTCTGCTGTTTTCGTTTGAATAATACTCCGGCGCTTCAATTAAAATGCATCGAAGCAGACTACAATATCGAGGAAAGATACGGTGGTCATTTCGATCTTGCTACGAACGTGGAAAGTATTCAAGGTCAGACAAATGCGATTAATTGCTTCATGTTGAAGGTCATTTTAGTTCTCCGATCTGCTGGAGAATCTTCAACTGGTCTGAAAGAAAAAGAATGCTCCATCTACAATGCTTACTGTGAAGTTATCAAACATTCAAAACGATTCATTTACATTGAAACGCAATGGTTTATTTCTGACGCTTCTTTATCTCAAAACTCGAGCAACAGAATACAGAATAAGATCGCGGCTTCGATTGCTTCAAGAATAATAACCGCCTTCGAGAAGGACGAAGATTTCAAAGTTTACATTGTGTTGCCAGAAGTAGCTGATTTCTATGGTAAATTCGAAGACCGAAACACCCCAGAACAGGAGCTTTTCTTTCATCTCCAGGTTTATTTATCAGGCTTACATGAATATCATCTTTTTCTAGCGCCACAGCCTGACAGAAGGAGTTCACTCAATCAAGCATCAGTTAGATCTGTACAACTCAAAGATGAGTTCAGAAAATCCTGAAAAACAAATCGTTTTCGACAATTACATCACTATCGCCGCATTTCACAAATGGGAAAAACATAACAATGAGCTTTTTCACTCGCAAATTTATGTTCATTCAAAACTGATGATCGTTGATGACGAGAGGTGTATAATTGGAAGCGCAAATATTCAGGACAGATGTTTTCTCGGGGACAGAGATACTGAAACTTCTGTACTTATCAATGGTTGGAGCAAGTTAAGCTCAACAAAAACGCGTTTTCAGGAAAGGAGTTCTGCAAATCCTTCCGTCTCAAAATCTGGTCCGTGGCTCTCGGGTCCTTGAACGGCCTGGATCTTTGCCCGAGCAAAGACGAGTTTTTCTTCGATCATTGGAACAAAGTTGCCAACGCCAACTCTTCCGCTCTTTGGGAAGCCTTCCGCAACTTGCCACACGATTCCATCAAGGTTTAAGAGACGCTCATCTTCAAACCCATCATTTTACTCGTTTCTAGGAGTACCTTAACGATAAAGACCCTTCCTGGCAAAAGTGGAAAGAAGAATACGAACACAAACAAAAACTTCCAACAGAGCAAAAACTCGAAGCCCTCAAAGACTACCAAGGATTTCTCGTCAAATACCAAATTAACTTTGCTTCGAACAACAAAGAAATCAAAACTTCTTCAACAAGTACAGATCTCATTCACAAATTCACTGAAATGTTCCTCTAATTAGTAATATACAGTATTTCCATCTAGAATTATTTCCCACGACAGTTTCGTTTGAATGTTTAATTACTGTTGACTTTGTTAATGGCTTGCTTCATTGTTGTCGAAATTACTCAGCTCACGCTGAAAATAATGAAAGCTCTCTCTCTTTGGCGAGGCATTTTACGATTCATGCCAGCAAGAGTAAATACGCTTCCTTTGGCGTCAAAAAAGAGAGAAATTAAAACGAATAAATGAAATCCGGGGAGGTGCTTTCTGCGATTCTTTTGATAAGTGGTTTTGGCTTGTGCATTACAGGTAGATAATTACAGGGAAATAATCAGAGGTGACAAGTGCTGTTTTCAGCCGCCTCCTTGCTTAGCTGTATCGACTCAAAGTGCAAAGATTGCTGGTGTAAAAACACAACAGAAGTTCAAGGGGTTATTCTGTTGATTGTAGGAACCGCGCTTCTAGGTACTACCCTCGCCAATATTTCTATTCAAACCCTTTTTCAAAGGAGTCTACGGAGCAGCAGCTGCAAACGAAGATAAAGTCACTCATTTTCTCCGCTCAACCATTTTAAGACCAAAGAAATCGAAGCAAAGAATAGAAGAACAGCAAGAGCAAGATGGAATGATTCAAGAAGAAACTGGTTCGCGAGAGACTTCTTTTAATTTATTTTTCTTTTGTGAATATTTAATAAATTTAACGGCGAATGGAACTTTGAAAAGACTCAGTAGGGGTGAAAAACTCGTTGGTAATTCGATGAATGTGTTGGCTTCGGTAGACGTCGTACTTTTCTGATCGAAGCACCAATCGCACGTGGCTGAAATACTCTTATTTCACGGACTAAAGAGATTTTATACCGTATCAAAAGAAAAGCAAAGCTCGCCGAGCAAAAAGAAAGCACAACTTTCAAAATGAAAACGTATCGATCACGCATTTCTTCCTTGTTTTCAATAGGCATCTCCGGTAAAGGCCCATAAATTGTCTCCGCGGCGGATTCTTTCTCGGTAATCATTTGAATGGTTGCTTCTGCATTGGCGACAGAGGGAGTGGTGGTTTCTTTTGGTTCAATTTTATCCCGAAGATGAACAGAAACTTCTTCTATCGTCCAGTTTTCAAAGTAGCTTTTTACCAAAATAATCGTAAATTTGACATGTGCTAGTCTTTCTTTGCTTCTCTAAATAAATTGTTTATTATTATAATAAATGAAAGAAACAAGGAAGAAACTTACCCAGATAGCCTGAAGGGACTTTTTGTAAGATTTATTCTTGTGCATGATCAAAGAACATGAATAAACAGTCCCATTTTTCGACTCAAATGTTCCAGCGGGCTGTCCTTAAAATTATGCTAACAAAACAATTTTAGGCGATTGTTCACCATCGTAGCTTGCTTGAAGCATAAAACCACGAAAGTCGAATTTTGACAGAATCTTTAGCTCAAAGACATCTTCCTCTTCACTCGGGACTTGCTTCACATGTAGAATATCAGTTTCATGAACCATTTGGCTCTCGTTATGATGCTCTGGGAACTTTGACAAATTGCAGGGGTCGAAGTTGTACAATTCATAATTCGAATAGCTTGCTCCGATATCGAGAAAAGTTTGCAAAAGAAAAAGCATCACTATAAATTTTGATATTCCCGAAAAATAAGAATCTTTAGTGCTCCGCTTCGCTTTCTTGCTGATAAATGCAAATAATTCGCATCCGTCTTTTTCCAAAAATGATTGATTTTATCTTATATAATGGCTTCAATCAGGGTTCAAAATCACCTAGTTTTTAGGTGAGGTGAGGTGAGGTGATAAGTACAAAAAAGGTGCACCTTTAGGTGCACCTAAAAAAGTCCCAAATCTCAAAAATTTTAGGTGAGGTGGGTGAGGTGATAGATTGGAAAAAGGTGCACCTTTCAGGTGCACCTAAAAAAGACAATTTTTGAAAAGTTTTAGGTGAGGTGGGTGAGGTGATATTCCGAAAAAGGGTGCACGGTGCACCTTTTAGGTGGTTGATCCTTCTACCATGATCTGGGGCCTGCTTATGGTGATCTGATTGTGTCTATGGTATGGTATCTGATTCTCTCTAGAATAAAATTTCTGTGTAAGCATAAAAATAAAAATTGCGAAGAAAGAGAAAATGTGGCTGAAGTACTCGCTTCTTTTTGCCTGTGCACTTGCTGGAACCTGCAGCACCTTTAATCGTGTTCGATGTGGTCAAGGGCAAAGCCAAGGTAAAAATATATCGCACTGACCGTTTAAAAAAATGAAAAGAATGGGGAGAATCTGACTGTCTTCAAGCTGGCTGCTGCTGGAACAATGATGTCACCGGTAAGTTCCCGGATAAGATTGATAAAAGCTGAATATTTCTTAGAAATCGCCTATCGATGCACGAAAAACGACGAAGATGCTCGAAGAAGCCTCGAAGCGCGAACGACCAATACAAATTATACCGACATTTTGGCTGAAGTGATCGCCTATCACGACTCCAGAGCTGTCTGGGCTGTTCCTTTCTACACCTCAATTGTAATTCTTCCAGCTTCTTACAGTGGCATAAGAATAATTTTAGCCTTTCGTCATCATCGCTGCGTTCAATTGGATCAAGAATATTTACCAAGATTGAAACACTATCAAAGCAAAGTATCTATCATTATTTTTTATAATAAACACTTTCTATTATTTGAAATACAACAAGAGATGCGCTGGATGATATTTTTAATATGAAGAAGTAGAAAAAACAGGAGGAAAAATATCTTACAACCAGTTGAATCGTTCGAATTGCGGATAGCAGTTCTCTTGATCTCGGCCTCTCTTGGTCGCCTCTTCTCGCGCATCAATGTGGTTCAGCCAGTCTTTCATGTAGTCGTCCAAATACGCGATGAACTTAATTCTGTCTTCGTTGTTTTCGGGGTTCCATGATTTGTGGAAAACATTGTGGTTCTCCTCTGGATCGAATTCGATATTGTACAGTTCCTCTGATCCAGGAATGTATTTCATGTTTTCTTTTCGAATGGCGGCATTTTTCAGATCTGATTCGACTCCGGGAGTGTAAGCATGTGTCAGAATCGGTTTCTTTTTCACTTCGTAGCTGGCTTCGCCTGTTTCTAGGTATGATAAGAGGCTTCTGCTGTCTGGTGCTTCGTTGCAGCCCAAGTCGTAGTCGATTAAGTCGGCAAGGGTGGCGTAGATGTCGACTGTGGAAACTTGAACCTTTGGCTCGTAGATGGTTCTTGGCGAGGGTTTTAAATAACATGATAGAAAAATCATCTTTTATTGAGATAAATCTAGCTTTGAGAAAAATCAAGCTTTTTGGACCCTTTCCTGGGCTCGAATTTCTTCGGATAGCGCCATAAAAATGGAGTCCTATGACTTGCCTCTCCCATTGTATTTTTGTAACCCTAATAATTTGATCGACAACAAGTCCCTTAATCGACATAAAAAGGCGAAAGTCGAATTCTTTTTTCTATAAGTCGACCAATGCCTTGAGTTCAACAGTTCTTGCCGGTCCACCAGTAGATTCCGGCAAATCAAGTCGCCATTGACTATGCCCCCAGTTGCTAAGAATTTTCTTCCCAGTTACAGTTGGTCCATTGTCGCACATGAAAATCACGAGAGTATCGTTCACAATATCATGTTCTTCTAATTTATCAAGAATTTTTCCGACAATCTCGTCCGTCTCCATCACCATTTCTCCAAAGAGCCCTGCTTCCGTCTGATTTCGGAATCGAGGAGGCGTGTTGAACGGTGCGTGCCCAGATTTCATTCCGTAATAGGCGAAAAACGGCTCTTCGTGATTTTCGTCGATGAAATTTTCGAGTTTTTGCTCGTCTTTTGCTCGATTTCGCGACTGTCGAAGGACTTCCCAGCGATTGTTTGGCGCATCCATGTTAGATAATAATTATTCAACTGAAATGGATCTGTGATTTCTTCTGCGTGACCAGTCGGGCCGAAATAGCCAGTGTAGGGGAAGTTATGGCCACTTGGCGAATAGTTTTCGACCGGAGTTGTTTCTGGATAAGGTTGGAGCTGAATCAAAGTATCTGCTGGTTCAGTGCTTCTTCCGTTTTCGAAGGATAAGCCGGGGCTGCAGCAAAGACCAGGCTGCGTGTACGCGTAATCATAGCCGTAAACTTCTGGTTTAGGGTTTTGTGCGTAATATCCGAATTTTTGGTGAACGGTGGCCGTATTCGGAAAGTTCAACAAACCGACTTCTTTCTTGTACTCCAACGCTTCTAGCCGGCGGGCGGTGGTTGCTTCGTTATCTTCTCGAGTAGCATTTTCGTGATTTATACCCATCGGGAACGGTTGCTGTTTTCCAAAGATTCCTGTCTTGTAGCCCGACTTTTTGAACATTTCACCAATATGCGGCTCGCCTATTTTCGAAGTTCAATAATTTTTTCGATCATAAAGAGTTTCAACAAAAAATATTCTGAACTTTCGCTTGGTTGATCATTCTAAACTGACTATCATTCATCGAGTACCGCCCGGTCATGAGCATATATCGACTCGGCGAGCAGCGACTTGAAGCCGAATTCGCAGCTAGAAACTTCACCCCCTCATTACCGATTCTGTCAATATTCGGCGTTGGCACTTTCGCTTCTCTGTTGTAAATTGAAAAATCTCCGATGCCGAAATCATCGACATTTAACAAGATGACGTTCGGTTTTCTCGCCTCGTTTTCAAGGGCAAAAAGGAAAAAACTTGAAAAAAGCTTCATTTTTCAGTTTTTTGAATATAATATTTCATAATGGGGACATAATTGGGGACTATTTTGGCGCTAATGAGCGTTTCGTGAGTTTTGAGAAAAAAACTTAGAGATGATATATTCAAAATAAGTTTCCGTTGTCTAAAAACTAACGTTTTATTTATCGTTACAACAGTATTTTACCGTGGTTTTCCCACTTAAGAGCGTTTTTGCCAATATTTTCCATATTTTTTCATCTGAAAAAATCCCAACTTTAGAGCGTTTTTAGGAATTTTTAATTAATAATTAGAATAACGTTTATTTCAATCTGAAAAATCATTGAAAAAAATTGTTTTCTACGCTTTTTTTCAGGTGAAATCATAGCCTCTGATTCAAAGATCGAATTTTTTTATCATAAAATGGTAAAAATGACCTCAGATGCATTTTAAGAGTTTTCGAAAAAGTTCATTTTATGCATTTTCATTCATAATTTTTTTCCCACTGTCATCCTAGTTTGATCGTAAATTTTCCAACTTAAGAGCGTTTTGGTCTACCCTTGTCATCTGAAAAACGCTCTAAAGATGGAAAACGACGGTAATTAGCTCTCAAAAGAAGAATCGATACTTGAGACTTCAATAATTCGAAAATATTAGCAAATGACGAAATTATATTTACGTCAATTTAGATGCGTAATTCAGATTTACGCCAAAAAGATTTTTACGAGCATTTATTTCTTATAAAACCCGCGATTTTAGTCACCTGTCCCTAAATTACACAAAACTGAAAAATAAAAATGATCCTTTTTTCTTCTCTTCTCTTAGTCGCAAATGCTGGAAATTCCTGCATTCCTTCTCATTTTCACTTCACGGGCAAATATGGAACCGTCAACTCATTTCGAGCAAAAATCATCCATGATAGCACTTACAAAGAGATCGTTCAAAAGTGCGAAAGTGCGGGTATGAACCTTCCCGAACCAATGACACAGGAGTTCAATGACGCTCTTGTCGAGTTCTGGGTCAGCAACGACCGATGGATGGGCGATCTCCCAGTCGGAATCGCTGCTGACTGGAAAGCTCTTTCGTCTGGAGAACCAGCTTTATTCAAACAGTTCAAGAGCCCACGACCAATTATTGGCCAAATTGATCACTACGCTGTGATGAACAAGAATGGCGAATGGCATGCAGATACGAACGAGGACAGAGTCTTCCCTAGAGCCCTGTGTTTATCCAAAGAGGGAGGCACAAAATTTGAAGGTCATTCAATTAATGTTAGTGAAAGTCACGATCCCTGCTTTGGCAAAGAAAACTGCGAGACTTTTATCAACTCTTGCGAAACCTACCCAATTCCTTCGGACAAAATCTCGACAATCGAGGCAACTGTTAACTTCAAATCGTCAATCGATATTCAATGCAGCCATGGAATGCCGAATGGAAGATGGTTGAACATCTTTCACATTAGCGCTGGAGGAGAGATAGGACAACCGGGCGATCGCTTCTTCGCTGCATGGAGATTCCCTCATGATGAGCGGTTGCACTTCGCCCTTGGCGCGCCAGAAGGAGGATTCGCCAAGTACAAAAACTTGAACTGCGTTGATGGCGAATGGAACAAGTACACTCTTGAGCAAAGACAAGTTCCAGATTCTCTAAACACCGTGATGCTGATTTTTTCAAGGGACGATGAAGTTCTTCTGACCGGATATTACGGTGTCAAAGATGTCTTCACCGGATCTGTTGATGTTTTCTTATCAAGAAGACCAAGTTTGAGAGAAATCGCTTCTGACTACGCTGTTCGAAAGTTTTACTACCAAAAATTTCCCGAAATTGAGCCCGAAGAGTGTACCAATCGTTCTGACCCATGTAAAGGACTTGAAAATTGCCAAACTTTCATCGACTCCTGCACCTCAAACCCATCAACGACCAATAAAATTGGAACAATCGAAGCCACTCCGAATTTCAGAACCGCTATCGATGTTCAATGTACACATGGCATGAGTAAAGGACGATGGCTGAATATCTTCCATATGACTCATATGATATGAGTGCGGGAGGTGAAATAGGAAAGCCAGGTGATCGATTCTTCGCTGCATGGAGATTTCCGAGCGATGAACGACTTCATTTTGCTCTTGGTGTTCCCGAAGGAGGATTTGCCAAGTATCAAAACCTCAATTGCAATGATGGCGAGTGGAACACATATGTTCTCGAGCAGAAACAAGATCAAGATGACCCGAATGTCGTCGTCTTGAGCTTTTCTATTGACGGAAATAAAATTGCCTCGTATACTTATGCTACTTCAGCGGTTCTCTCGGAGGTACCAGTTGATGTTTTCTCGTCTCGTCGCCCTCAACTTAGGGAAATTGCATGGAAAAGCGCTGTTCGAAACTTCTACTACCAAGAATTTCCTGAAATCATACCAGAAGAGTGCACAAATGGCTCCGATCCATGTGACGGTCTCGAAAACTGCGAGACTTACATTGACAGCTGCAAAATCACTCCATTTGCTGGAAATCAGATCGCGAAAACAAATGGCTACGATCAATTTAAAATAACTGCAGAAGTACGATGCACTAATAGAGTCGCTCAAACGTGGGAGAATGTTTTGCATGTCAACACAGGCACTAGTCGCCAAAACTTCGGAGATCGCTACTTTACGATCTGGAAGAAACACGGCTCATCCAATGAACTCCGAATCGTCGCTCCCGTTCTCGGCAATGACTTCGATGAATTGAACGCGTACGTCAATTGCGAAGAAGGATGGCACACATTCACTGTCCAACAGAGCGCTTTCGATGAGAAACAAATGAACGTCGAGATCATTTTTGACGGAGATGTCGTAAAAACCAACTCGTTCGAAAAGAAGATGTTTTCAACGGCTCCCTGAACGTCGAAGTTGCTTCCAACTTTGGCTGGCCAGCTGCGACAGATCATTACGTCCGAAACTTCTTCCACCAAGACATGTCAAACGAATGAATAATCAGTTATTTTCAATAAATACTCATGAAAACCTGAAACATGAATGAATTTTGTCAATTCTTTATAAGAATAAAATTTGGAAACGAGTGCTCAATTGAACCACTCTGATGGCGTTTGCCATACAGACAAATATTTGAACACAACGCATGCAGAAAGACAATCGCGCTTTCCCTCTAACAAAATATTCTGCAGAAAGAGAAAAGGTTTTCGGGCGAAAAGAAGACGTCATTTTCGAATAGCTAGAATGCCAGTGAGTTTGTTACGGTTACAAAATAATAGATAAGTCATCACAATTATTTTCTTAAATTATTTGTGTAACACGCAAAAGCAAGACGGACGATATGCCAACATCGACGAAGCTCAATTTGGAAACAACCATGGAGTTGCTGAGGCTTTAGACACCACGACAGGGGAGACTGTAATTGTTAAAGCGACTCTGCTTCAGAACGCTGATCATTGGAGAAATACGCAACAAGAAGCTGCTACTCTTCGAGAGCTGGGTAAGTCAACTATTTTTACTTCTAGTGAGCTTTTGGTAGATCACGCAAATGTGGTCCGATTTGTCGATTTTCTTGATCGACAAATGCCGGATTGGGCATTTGGCTCAATGTGTTTCATTATCATGGAACATTGCGGTGGGGGCAGTCTTGCCGATTGGATCGAGAAAATGAAAGATGTTGGACGGAAACCAACGATGGACGAAGCCACTCTTGTCGGCGCTCAGATCATATCTGGTCTGAGCTATTGCCACGAGAAGAACAAGCTTCACCTTGATATGAAGCCGGAAAATTTGTTTCTCCTTTCCGACTTTATAACGGTAAGCAAATATCATGGGAACTATAAACTAGCTCGTATCAAAGGTGAAGCTCGGTGACTTCGGGAGCGCACTTTCGATCCGCTCCGTTCAGGAGTCCATGACAACGTCCAGCGGCGATCCCATCAAATGCACTCCTCTTTATGCTGCGCCTGGTAATCCATAAAAAGTACTAAAGTCAATATTTTCGTAGAAATCCTGAAGGAAAAAGAGGGAACGTCCAGCGAAAAGGAAAAGAAATCGCCAAGATTAGATGTTTGGGGTTTCGGTCTTATCTTGCAGGTTTGGATTGAATCATTGATCATCGTTACATGTATTCAGGAGGTGCTGACATTGGAACATCCTTTTGGACGAGTTGATGGTCGACAAGCTTTCAAAACTGAGATTCGTAAGTTTCTTAAAATCCTCTTAAAAATAATAAAAATATGTTTAGTGACGAACATTCAAGTCGGAAATCGAACGACACTTTTTGAAATCTTCGGTGAAACCGATGAATATGAAGAATTTGAAATCCTCCTTCAAAAATGCACTCATCCCGATCGCAAAAGACGACCAAGAAACGCGATAAAACTTCGCGACGAAGATCTCTTCGTTGATTTCTTGCAGCGAATCGAAAATGGCGAGAGACCAAGCAACATTGTTCCTCCTCCCTTTCCGAATGAAAATGATGACGTTCAGAGGCTCAAAGAGGAGATCGAGCAAAAGGACAGGACGATCGTTGAGTTGCAGAATCGACTCAACACTTTCAACGAAATCATGGACTATCGACTCAGAGAAGAAGCGAAGCAAAAGGATGAAAAAATCGCTAAGCAAAATCGAGTAAGGGCAAGCTTATTTTATAAGAAAAATTGTTTTTCTAGGAAATCGAGCAACTAAAACGTGAAAACAGATCTGTAAAGCAAGAACACGTAAATTTGAAGAAACTCAATTCCGAATTGGAGCAAAATTTCGAGTACTCTAGCAAAATCATCGACGAGCTGAAAATGGTAAAATAAACTTATCAACTTTTCTCGATGAAAAATTTAAGAAAACCGAATCTGAGCGAAAAGAACGAGAAAATGATCTGGAAAAGGCGAAACGAGAAATTGCAAGTCTCCGGTCACTTTTGATCGAAGAAAATGAAAGAAATCACCGAGAAAGTGCAAATCAAAAATTGGAAAATGAAAGAGTTGGACTTGAATCGAGAGAACAGCGAAGAAACAATCAGCCAGTTGCGAAAAACGAAGTAAAGAAAGTTGAAATTAGAAACGAGGAACTGGAGAAACTGAGGAAGGAGTTGGGCACTAAGGGTGGAGTCGGCGAGTTTTATAGAAATGACAAAAGTACACTTAATGGTGGAGAAAGAAATGAAATGGGCGAAAAAGAATTGCAAAAGGTACTCAAACTGCTCTCACTTGGACAACGAACCATCAATCTCAAGGAGAGAGAGTTTTTAATTTTTGAAAGCAAAAACGAATTTCGAAAAAGTCTCCGCGAAGTTTTTTGAGCATCTTAATTGGGACGTCGCAGAGGCAGGTTGGCACTTAGTGTTCAAAAGTGCTTTGAAAGATAAAGGAGGAGATGGCTGGTTCTACTTATCCCTCTGGAATAACGGTAAAAGTAAAAATTTCAATTTTTAAAATTTTATTTCAGAAGGCGGCATAAGATTCAAAGCCATCGCGCAACAAATTCTTTGGGAAACTGGAGAAGAGTCGAATCGGAAAGAAATCGAAAGCCAGGCGGATGGACCACGGCAAACCATCAAATATCGGTACTGCGAAACTCGAACTCGTTGGATTGATTATGTTAGATTCAATGTTTATTTTGACGCTCATTAAAAGAAGCTGAAAAAAACTTCATTTGAATAACTTCCTGTAAAAAATCAACCCTTGCAATTCTTACAAAATTACAAATAACAGCTTAGGAGTAAGCAATATATTTGAATACTCGCAGAGCATCCTTATATTTTATTTTTGTTCTCATAAAGAGCTAATATCAGTTTATTAAAAGATTCTTTCTTGGATAGGTAACATGATTTGAAATGACTCCGAAAAGAGAGCCGTAAGGATATTTTCTAAATTGCGTTTTACTAAGTTGTTGTTGCACTTGACCGCGTTTTATACAAATTACAATAGTTGAATAAAGCTGTTATCGGGAGGAAATGAATTGCCAGTCGGAGACTAACTCAATTAGAATAAGTTGATGAAGTAGCAGGGTAGTTGAAAAAATAGAAGAAGACGAAAGTGGAGGAGCGCGATCCCATAATGTCTAACGGGTGTAGTAGACTCGGTAGTAGAGGGTTTTCGAGCGCCAGAGAGAATAAGAATTGTCGAATTTGAGAAGGTAAACTCCAGAGCCGGGGTATTGATGCGAGCCAGCGTGGACTTGCTGGTGGCAATCTCGGCGGTAGACGGGCACGATTTCGTCTGTTGGGGGTCGATTAGATCTGAATTCATTAAATCCCCTAATTTCAAGATGAAGGGGTACCTTCTATGTCCATTTTCAGCATCCCCATGATGAGTAGCTCCCTCTTCGTCCTCCTCAGAGTCCGGATAATATTCTTCATCGGACGACTCATTCACTGCAATTGACACTTGATGCGTCGTAACATCTGACCATTCAAAATAAACACCAAAGCCAAGATCATACGAATCCGTGGCGAATTCCCAGAATAAATATGCGCCTTCTTCGTGGGTAGGAACCCGCACAGTAACGACTTCTCCGCGGCCGACGGTTAAGACGGATTCGGTGTCTTTTCTAAGCTGGTCTTTGAGTTCGCGAATTTGTGGACGAGTCCAGAGACTTGGTGGTTCAATTCGAACTTCATTCGATGCTGAAAGCAACTATTAAAAATATCATTTTTAGATTTAAAACTTACGAAGAGGAACTTGAACAGGAGCGGGAACAGGTTTATCGCAATCTGAAATGCTCAATTGCGCCATGTACTGTTCATAATGTTGAGTTTGTAAATGCTCAATCAGCGCTTTTTGCGCCTCTCGATCGCCCGGATGTTGCTGTGCCGCGTACTGGGAGAATTGGGCCGCGGTTTGGGCGTTTAGACCGGCGATGATTTTTTGACGATCAGCTTCCGCGGCACGCTCTTTTTCTTGCTGCTTTTCCATCTCTACAAGAACTTATTTGAAAAAGAAAGTCTCAATTTGCAGAATTTATGAAGGGAAACACTTCAAGTTTTGAATAGTTACTCGAGGGCTCCCTACTAAAGAGAAGAGCGCTCTTTTATTCTAGCTTTCTTTCCGTAGTTTCTCATTTTCTTACCGAGTTTCTTGCGAGCTTCTTCTTCAGCACGGATCCGCTCCTCCTCTTCTCGACGCTTTCGCTCTTCTTCTTCGCGTCTTCTTTGCTCTTCAAGGCGCTTTCTTTCCTCTTCTTCGCGACGTATCCTTTCCTTTTCTTCTTTTTCTTTTTGCTGGGCGACCATGTATGGGGAGAAAACAGGGATGGATTTGTCGACTTTTTCAGGTTTTTTTATTTGTCTCTAGAATGTTCTGCTTGTTAAAAAAGAGTGACGAAAAGTTGGGTAGAAAGGGCGAAGATGGAAAACTCGGAGGACGAAAATCAAGGAAGAAAACAACCGAGTGTGGAAGAAGCTTTTCGAACTTGCCCCCTAGGAACCGGATAGAAAGGACTTTTCTCTTATCATCTTATGCTCTTATTTTATCCGATAAACAGCTGATGCTTGTATGCACCGACCCTGTTCATGCAAGCAATTCTTCATGCTCTGCACTTCTTCCGAAGAAGAAACCTCCTGCTGTCGAGTTTTTCTACGGGTGGTTCTTATCGTATTTGGGCTAGTTTTTGGCATAGCTCTAGGAGCGCCGTTTGGATTTGCCTTTGGATATGTTGGCGCTGTTTTGATGATTCTTTTCATGCCATGCTATATCAGGTAGAAACTGGTCTTCGACAAAAACTGGTTGAAAATGGGGGATTTTTAGGCGATGGTTGAAAGCTAGGATCGACAAATGCCCCCGAAATCCGGATCGGGTTTTCGTCGGGTTTTCTTGAAGTCGGAATTTTCCGATCGGGTTTTTGTCGGGTTTTCGTCGGGTTTTTGTCGGGTTTTTTATCTGGTTTTTGTAGGATATTTTTCGGGTTTTTGTCGGGTATTTTTCGGATTTTTATCGGGTTTTAATCGGGTTTTCATCGGGTTCTCGTCGGGTTTTCCCGACACTGAAGTTGAATCAAATATAATGAATCCAAATAGGCGAAAATAGACATAATTTTTGGCTAACAGAATTCTGGGAGCTGTCTGTGAAGAAACTAATGAGTAGATCCGAAGAGAAACCCGACGAAAAAACCCTACAAAAATCCGAAAAATGACCCTACAAAAACCCGATTTTATAGGGTCGTCACAATTTCACCGTCGGGTTTTTGTAGGGTAGGCAGAATCCAACAAAAACCCGACAAAAACGTCGGTTTTCGATCGGGTGTCGGGTGGGACTTGTCGATCCTAGGTTGAAAGATGCAGTGCTAGAAAGTGTGGACGAAAATGGGCAGCTTCCGAAAAACAAGTTTTTCCAAAACGAGGTAAATGTACGAAATCCTATTTTTCTTGAATATGTATTTCTAGCCATACACGCCAAATGCCTCCTTCAACGTCTAAAGGAAGAAAAAAGCCTGTGCCTAAATGGATCATCTCCGTCATCGCCTCTTCTTTGCTCATCTTTCCCAGCGTGATCCAGCAATTCTGTCTGTCCTTGCCAAACCAGTCAAAATATCCGATCTCTTGCTGCTTTTCGCAACTCGCGCAGGGTCTTTTTTCTCGGTATTGAAAAGCCAGAAAATATTCACGCGTCTGTTCAATTTTTCCCTGTGAAAGAGAGTCTCTCTCTTTCTTTCAAATAATCAATAAATCATTTCGCAAAAAAGAAGGAGCAAAAAAGAGGAGCTTCGGCTTACTCGATACGTTACTCATTTTTTCAATTCTCGATCGATTTCAATACCTTCCCATATGTCACCTGTTTGGTCAGCGCAGCGATTTTGACCTGAAAGAAGTCGTTAACGATAAATAATTAATTTTAACGCAGACTGATGATAAAAAGATCTGCATTATCAAAAATGAAATACGATGGTATTGGATTCTTTAAGGGTGTCAACAATTAATTTTAATTAATAGTTATCAGGTGACTTCGTTGAATCACAATTTTTATCAGAAGAGCCCTTTGTTCACCCACAATAAGTATAGAAATAGGATAGGGCTTACTATTAGTTAAACAGGATAATGTTGATAAATGACATCGGTGTAAATGAGTTTGATGTGAAGTTTTATTGCATATCGATTTCGGCTACTTAAGCCGCGGAGTTGCGTTTGGATTTTATTTCCACTTGTTCTAGTTCTCTTTGCACTGAAGATGGCTTAACTTCTCAATGCACGTGGTCCAATCATTGGACCACGGCGACTTTGAACCCCTGTAATTCCCGTTGTTGTTATCTGTTTGACCTGAATTTTGTAATGTGAAAATAGTTTCGGCCGTTGCCGAAAAATTAATCAGAAAACTAGCTCACAATATTTCGGCATTCTGCCGAAACATTTATCCCTACTAACCTGACAAGACAAAAACGAACCACTCTGTGAAGTTTCGAATGAAAACTCAAAAGTGGTGGCGTTTTGCGCCAGATTTCTCTTTCGTTCTCTGGTGAAAAATCGGAACGGATTTTTCGATTTACAATTGTTTATTTTTATAGAAGAGGGTTCAAGCTTTCTAGCAATATATTCACGAGCTTTTTACCCGACGGAAACGTCAATTAGAGCCAAAAGTCCTGAGCGCTGTTTTTCACACTCTGAATTTGGCGCGCCGCGCGGGGCTGGATAATGCATTGTGGTCCAATAATTGGACCCCGTGTTTTGAGCGCTTAGTCGCGCGCCCGTGTATTGAGAAGTTAAGTAGCCGAAATCGATATGCAATAAACAGGATAAGGGTATCATTATGTTAATTTTGAGAGAAAATCTCGATTCTTGAAGACTATTCTTTTCGAAAGACTGCGACTTTTAGCCATTTTTATCGACAAAATGTAATGTAAAGCTTACCTTATCTTCGTAAGCCAAGTTGAAGGCCCTGCCCTCCTTATCTTTATAAAACCTAATTGCTTTTCTGTACACTTCATCGAGCGTAAAACTCCATTTGAAAGGCTGCGAAATTCCAGCTTTGCCAACTTCTGGTTCAGAAGTGGATTTCTGCTTGTCTTTGTCTTTTGATCGTCTCCTCGACTTCTTCGAAGCTTTTCTTGGAGGATCTTTCAAATTGGAAGATTCTTCTTTCGGTTCTTCCTGTTCTTTGGGCTTCGACTCTTCTTTTTTCTCTGATTTTTCGTTTTTAGAGGATTCTTCTTTTTGGGTTTTCGTGTCTGCTTGTTTTTCTTCTACAATTTTCTCCGACTAAATAAAATGTTAGATTCGCGAAAAAATTTGGGGTAAGCGACGGAGCATGACGAAAATTGCCACATGAAATTCCCGCTTTCGTCCAAGAGCGACAAATTGCGACAAAAATATGCGACAAACCCTTTTGCGACAATTCTCGACTTATCAAAAGGATGCTTTTGGGGTTGAAAATTGTCGCGAGAGGTTTTGTCGCAAAATTTTCTTCGTCGGCGATTTTCTGTCGCATTTTTTGTCGCTTTCTGTAATTTTGGAAGAGTACCTTGATTTCCTCTGCTTCATCTTCTGTACAGAGCGAGTCTGAATATAACGAGTCTGTTCTGCTGCCAGTATAAGAACTCCCAGTGTAGGAACTCCCAGTGTACGAATCTTCTGATCTTGACGATCCCGACATTTGTCTGAAAAACGCACTTAGAAATTGAATTAAAAGATCTGGTTCAAATCAGATCTAACTTTTGACGGAGAGACGCAGAAAAGAGATACTTGAAAATTGTGACTCAGAGAGTTTAAGAGTGACAGGGCCATTAATTTCAAAATCGGCGAACCGGGGCAATTTCTGGGAAAAAGTGACAATCAAAAGGCGGCACTAGAATGCACACTTGGCCCAATTTCAAGTCTCCATGGATACTAAATCGCATTTCATTCAATCAATCCTCGAAAAACTTAAAAGAGACATTCGCAAGAAAATAATTTCTTTTTTATTGAAAGAAACCATTATTTATTTTTTTACGAAAAAATTAACCTTCACCAAATCGAATTTACCGGAAAGCAAAAGGTGATTGTATGAAAATGAAGAATTACTATTCATAGTACTATACTCATTTCACTTTTAGTGAAAATTATGATTATGATTTATTTTTTTTCGAAAGAAACCATAATTTAATTTTTGAAGGATAAAATGTATTTTCCCCAAAACTATCTAGTCACGAAAGAAACAGTCGATTAGATGTAAAATGAAGTGAAGTGATTTCTCTGAATATTATCCAAGTTCAGAATTGGCAAATTGTTCTGAAAAAAAATCGGGTCTGGAAAGCGCCCGCTGGCTTGATTGCGCTTTCGGATTGGCCGCGCGCGCCCGGACCAGCGGGTAGATCAGCTCAAGCCGGAGCTCTTTCGACCTCAACTGACGCTTTTTTCGGTCAATCTTCTTTCTTCCTCCTTTTTTGTCCGAAGTTTCGCACTTTAGAGATGATCCTGTTGAGAAAAAAATAGCGAAAATTTTGAACGAAGAAAAAATATACGAAGAAAGCGATTTTTAGCAATTACGTGGCCTTAGGATTCTCATCCCTTTTTTGAAGAAAAATATTTAAAACAAAAAATTATGTTAATATTTATGTACCTTCCGTGAACAATGTCATAGATCATAAACATAGCTGTAGTCCGCTTTATTTACAGTTATGCCTTGTTAAAACTAAAAATCCCTACTTGTATAAATTCTCTTTTCATTTTTACGGTTTTCGAATTCTAGAGATTTCGGTAAGATCACTGTATAAACCTGTGTTTTTAGACTTGAAGGAGTCGTTAGAAATTCGCGAAGATGCTTTGGTACTTCATCGTTATTTTCGGGATGATCGGTTTCGGGCTCTACAAAGTCTTCTCCATGGACAAAGGGAATGAGTTGCCGCACGGATTGTTCGACGAAAAACCGAAGCCCGGAATGCGTGTTATTCAGAAATTCAAAGAATACTTTAGAAAAATTATTAAAGAAAAGGTAAGCAGCAAGAAAAGTTGGGCGAAGTCAATTTGATTGCAGAAACTGAGAAGCTGCTTGCGGCCCAGAGTAAAGAAAAGTCGATTAACCCACGCTAAGCGCGGCTTACATCGACGATGTAACATCGTCCTTTTACTCGAAGCCGCAAGCGGCTTCTCGGTTTCAGCAATAATTTCTCAATTAGTTGAAAATTCCTAAATTAAAATTTCAGGATACGCGTAATTTATTCTTCTTCATCTGTATCAACCTTTCATTCGCCTTCGTGGAATTATTCTACGGAATCTGGACCAACTCGCTTGGTCTCGTTTCCGATGCGTTTCACATGTTTTTCGATTGTTCTGCACTCTTGCTTGGCCTCGTCGCTGCCGTTGTCGCCAGGTGGAGTCCCAACGATAGATACACCTATGGCTACGTTCGAGCTGACACCCTGGCTGGCTTTGTCAACGCGATCTTTTTAGTCTTCATCGCTTTTTTCATCCTTTCTGAAGCCATTGAGGTGAGTTTCTCTGATTTTGACACTCTTGGAATTCTAAAATTCTAGCGACTGGTCGAACCAGTCCACATTCACCACGAAAAACTGCTCAGCGTCAGTATCATGGGTCTGCTTGTAAATATCATCGGCATCTTCGTCTTCGCTCATGGCGGTTCTCATGGGCACTCTCATGGAGGCCACGGACACTCGCATGGTGGACATTCACATGGCCACTCGCATGGGCACGTTTCGGCCGCTGCTGCTGATCATGGTCACTCACATGGACATTCTCATGGAGATCATGGACATTCGCACGGGCACTCGCATGGAGATACGTATGGAGATAACTCGGTAAGTTCTTCCTTTAAGGGTACTATCTTCGATTTCACCAACTTGAGCCTTGAATAACTCGGAACTTGTAAATGATTGCTGAATCAATATGGGCTCATTGAATAGACCTGTCCTAGATCTTAACTATTACAGAGGGGTTTATTAATTGCTTGACCGAAAAGCGGCTAAATTTTGGCTTGAAGTGGTCATCTTCGCCAAAATGGCCTATATAAACGGCTGAATAACTCAAAAACAAGTCTGAAAACTTGGCCTTATTATATTTTTATATGTAATTTGAACCTTAATCTTTAAAATTACAGAAGGAATTTTTGATTGAAAAACTAAAAATACCAAAAATAATTTTTTGAAAATTGTGTCTCGCAGATTTTGCGAAAATTGAGCATTTTTTAAAATTTTGCGACATATTTTTGGCTCTAGAATCGAAAATATCTTGATGTAGCGATCGATACAGCTACCAACATACTGCTCTTGCTCTGAGCTTTCGAACAAGCCGTTGATCAAGAAAATCGAAGTTCAAAATTTTTTTTCGATAAAACTTCTAGTGGCCATATCTCAAGATATATTGATAATTTCGAATAGTTGTCAATAAGGTATAATTATAAAATTTTATGAAGAATCCATCTCTTATAACCGATTCTTATAAATCTTTCGAAAGGTCACCTTCTGGAAATCGAAGATAGTACCCTTAAGAAGGCATTTTGGGTCTTCGTCGGGGGTTCTTTTGAGAGTTGCCTTTTGTATAAAATCAATTTCAGACGGGCAATATGGCGATCATGCAAGGTGCCTTCCTCCACATTCTCGCCGACACGATGGGTTCCGTCGGCGTCATTATCTCAACACTTCTGATCGACTGGTTCGGATGGCATCGTGCTGATCCGATCGCCTCGATCTTCATTGCTATAATGACGCTCATCTCCGTAAAGCCACTGTTAATGGAAACAACGACGACGTTACTTCAGCGTTCTCCGCCAGAACTCGACAATACGCTTCCATCGGCGTATTCTCAGCTGATGAGGCTAGAAGGAGTCGAACGGCTGGAAGAGGCACATGCCTGGACGCTAGCAAAGGGACAGACGATATGCAGCGTGAAAATTAAGACTTCAATTGATGCTAATCCCAGAAAGTAAGTCACTCAAAAGTGGTCATTTTTAACAAAAATTTTTATCGATAATAATATCTGAGAAAGGGTTGATAATCCTTACGAAGCATTAGTCGGCCAGAGAACTAGCCCCGAGGCTATTTTAATAACTCTCGAATTTTTAGGATCACTCAAGATGCGACCAACGCGATCATGTCTGCCGGAGTTCACCGAGTGTTCATCCATCTCAACTAGGCACAAATGCGATTTTTAATTATTTTTATTATTTATCAATTTTCAAACTATTAACCGACGATACAACAAAAAAGAGATTCAGACGTTACAACTTTCTTCTTTTTCAAACTTTAATATCAAGCACTAGAAACCGTGCTGCCCCTGTCAAAAATGTATGAAAAAAAACCAATTTAGTAAAATTTTTACATACTTTCCTTCTGTATCAGAACCTCTGTAAAACTATTTCAACCATTCAACTGTAGCTCCAATTTCAACTTTGGAAATCCAAAGGAACCTGTCAACCTAAGAAAAAGTTCTTGACGTGAAGTGAATTTCCGAAACAGTCATATTTCTCGATGAAAATGACGTTCTAGTATTTTCCCTTGAGTAAAGATCATTGATCCGTTATCTCTTATTTTATTCTCTATATTAATTCCCATTTAATTTATTTCTAGTTTATTTTTACCGCCGTTAAACCACCTTCGTTTGTGTTAATTTTATATTTCAAAGTCTGTGATGGAGGCTGCCTAATGCTTATCATGTGCAATCAACTGCTATTTCAAATGCAAAAAAGAACGTATTCGTTATTCAACTTTTCTAACAAGCCAACCCTTTAGAATTTGATGGATCACCTGACAAACATCAAGATTCGAAGATCCAAGGCTGAGGTCCATCTGAAACCAGCAGCAAAGAAACAAGGCACACTTCAAAGTCGATGCTCAATTTGCGTCGAAACAGAGTCCAAATACACATGCCCTCGGTAAAAATTTATAATGAATAAATCATACAAAAACAGAATCATAGATGTGGAATTCAGTACTGCTCGCTGGAATGCTACAAAGATGACCGGCATCAGGATTGCTCGGAAGGATTCTTCAAAAAAGAAGTCGAAGAGGTGCTCAAATCGGACATGGTCGAGACAGAAGAGAAGAAGAAAATGATTGAAATTTTGAAAAGAGACAAGGAAGAGCGCGAAAAGGATCTGCTGCCCGAAGAAATGCTAGAGGAAGATGAAGAAGGCGATCAAGAAGATTTTGATGCTGACGGAGACTTTGATGTGGAAGGAATGCTGGCTCAGCTTTCGAAAGAAGAGAGGGAAATGTTCGAAAAAGCGCTCAAAGGAATGGCCTTTTAGATTGAATAAGGGTTAGTTAATGCTCTCGAATTTTTAAAGCCAGACTGAAGACAATTCAATAATCTCCGAAATATCCGAAAATCTGAATCTCTGGTGGTCCAGCAACTTCAAAGTCATTCCCGAAAATGCTCCGATTCTTCGGAACCCGCCGCTATTATCCGATAAACTAACGCCTCACTGGACGACTCCTCTCTTTGTTTCAAACCTGGCTGTTGTCTATTGCTTTATTTACAGAAGATATCTGGGCGATCCAGAAGATTTGGTGCAAGAATGCACCGACGAGATTTTAAAATATGCCGAGTGCTTCAAACCTGCGGAAGAATCAGATCCAGAGCATCATTTGTATTCCGTTTTTGAGACGATAGCGAAAGAATCGGATAATAAAACTGCGCTAATTGCATTTTATGACTCCGTAGAAGTCCTCGAAAACAAACTGAAGGTAAAACTGAAAGCTAAAAGAGCAAAACTAACTAATTTTTTAGCTGAGAAGTGCATTATCCCACCTAACGAATCTACTTCAAACTAAAGGGCTGAAATCAAAGCAGAAAAAACTCGCCTCGAAGAAAGTCGAATTCTACCATTCTTGGGTTTTATCTTCGGAAATAAGTGAAAGCCTGTCATTGCCCGTAAAGCTTTTTTATCTCGATAAAAAGCGAGAAATTGATGAATTTGCCCTCAATGCTGAGAAAGTGTCCTCCCAGTTGGAGAGCGTTAGAATTTCCGATTTCAATTCTGATACAAGTAGCAAAAAGCTGCTAATTGATGAGATGTCGTGAGAACTCGTTCTCATTCGACTCAAATTGATGATCAAACTTTTTCGATTTAGAATGAGAGTCGGTTGGGCTTGTCTCGCGGCTCTTGCCTCAGCTGCGTCCTTTGACGAGACTGAAGCTGATTATACAGTCATTGTTGGTGCTGGACGTAGAGACTGTTATTTCCAGCCGATGAACAAAGGTAGAGTCCATTTAAATATCTCATTTTCAATCTTTAATTGAAGGCGTGCCATTCGAAATCGAATATCAAGTGCTCGACGGCGGTGATCTCGACATTGACTTCATGATCATCGGTCCAAGCGGTCAGGTCATTGTCGACGAGAAACGTCAAGAAGAGGGTCTTCACGAAATCCCCGGGACTGACAAGGGCCAGTATCAAATCTGCTTCAACAACATGTTCTCCCGAATGACCGACAAAACGGTCTTCTTTGAAGTCTTCACTGAAGAGGACTACGACGATTACGAATACGACGACGATGACTACTACGATGACTATTATGACGATGGTAATTCAAGCTATTCAATTTTTGCTATTGTGTCCTTTTGTAGATATTCCTGTCGCGATGAAGCAAAAAGAAAAGAAAGGCGAGTGGAAAAAAGACCTGGTCGAGGATGAAGCCACCGAAGGAATGCTCAAGGAGAAGGTTGACGACATGATCAGGAAGCTTGTCAAAATGAAGGTTAAAACTGATCTTATTGTTCTACCCTCACATTCTTTTTCAGACAAACTTGATCCGAACCGCTCAATTCCAAGCTATCCTCCGGGCGTTTGAATCCAAGGACAGAAATATCCTCGAAGCTAATCTCAAGCGAGTCAACAACTGGTCCACTATTCATATGGTCGTCATGCTCGGTAAATTCCTTCCTAAACTCTCCCTTTTTTATCGATTATATTTCTAGTCGCGGCGATTCTCCAAGTATGCATTCTTCGATCCTTCTTCAGCTCAAAACAAACAGCTGGTGGAAACAAGTCAATGACATAAATTCATTCACAATTTTTATAAAACCAAAATAGCCTTAATTATAATTAAAGTTAGCAAAATCAAAGTTGACACTATTCTTATTTCTGTACTCAGACTAGTAACACTGTCAAGCTCCAATATTTTACCTTTCTTCCTCTGAGAAATATACATTCTTTCTGTAGTGCTCCTGGACCAAGAAATCTCTTGTCAATTTTCTGGTAATTAGATTGATTGATGAGCGATCGGGAGGAGAAGGATGACAAGGACGAAGAAGAAGTGTCGATGCTTATGTCCCAGTGCAAGAACAAGAGCCTAGAAAACGTACGTCTGAAAAATTTGGTCATTGTTATCGAAAAAATCAAGGTCTCCGAACACTGCACCGGCGCCGTTCAATCGCCAACAATCAGCTCTATCTGCAACTCGCCACTCCGCCCACTCTCCAACAATGAGAATTCTAACTCCTCTCCTCCTGGCCCATCTTCAAGAAGTCGCCACAGCTCGATGTCTGGCGATCATTGGGTGACGCCTACTCTGAGGAAAGAACTCGCCGCTGCATTGGAGCAAAACGCCAAACTGGAAGAGAGAATCAAAAAACTCCTCGCCGAAATTGATGAAAAAGACGAACGAATAAGAATTCTTGAAGAAGAGCATCAGCGACAATTTAACGCAGCTGCCGGTTTTATTTTGAGCTCCCCTGAGCCGGCACCCAAAAGAGTTCGACGACCAAAGAGGCCAAAGAAAGTTAAAAAGGTGCGCCTTCATTGCATTTTTCTCACTTATCCTCCATCATTAGTTCATCGACGATTATGACGAAGATGAGTTTTTCCACAGCTTTTCACCTGTCTCCAACGAGCAAGCTGGTCCCTCCACCTCGGTTTCTCTTCCTTCAAAGATGTACCGGACGCAGCACAAGTCCCGAACTTATGACATCCTCAGCGGGCCGCCTCCAACCTCGAACTTGAAATTCGAGCGGGGGATTTCGACCACTCGCGTTCCGTACTATAGAAATATCTATTCTAGCGCCGATGCATCGATTGTTATGAGCACGGAAAAGCCACAAGTACCCACGTGGAGAGTGAACGAGATCAAATCGGATGAAGAAGACGACGAACCGGCAACTGATCCAGAAGAAGATGACCTCTCTGACTCCGTCTTTCTCAAACGCCACGAAAAAGCGGAAGAGCAAGAAAGAGCGATTATTAAAAAGGATCAATCGTATCAAAGAGAGCAGTTTTACTACTCCCGTCTCAAGGTATGATATGAGTCGTTATTGATTTCAGTTGAAAACCTTTCTTTTCCCAGAAATCTACCATGCCAGACCCAAAATCGGTGAAAACGTTGTACCCCTCTTTCGACGAGATCGAAAAGATCAGCGTTACAAAATCGCTTCCCCTGTCAATCTGGGGAAGCAACTTACCCAAACTTGTCGAGCAACCATTTTCGCTGCCCTGGCTCACCACAATGGAGGAAGTCAAAGCCAAAACGTCGTCCACCTTAACTTAAAAAAATACGATCAACAATCAATTCTATCTATTCTTCTTAAACTTTATCCTTAAAGTGCTTTTATCTGTCTTTTCTTTTACTCTAATGCAATGTATCTTGCCCGTCCTTGCGCCAATATCTTGGACATTTTTTTCTTGCGAAACTCGTTTTTTTTTTTTATTTATTTTTGTCAATTTTGTCAAATCAACTTTTGATTTTCAATCAATCAACTTTTCAAAAATCGGTGCAGCTCTTTGAAAAACAAACTCGCTGTATGTGTCTTCTTAGAATTAATATTTTTCTTGACCTATCCCTGTCCGAAACAAGTCATAGCTATCGATTTCATTCTAAATTGAAGCTACTAGTCTGTTCTTACCAATCAACCTATTGTAGGATAAATCGGTATCAAAAGAAAAAAAACGTCTTTTTTACTTTTACCTTCGCGCTCCGATCAGTTCAAAGTTAATCGCCCCGTCTTATTTATTTCTTCTGCCTTTTATATATTTTATTTTTTTTTCTTAAAAATTTTTACACGAGCAAAATAAACGAGCACCAAGCGGTTCAGAATTAACGGGAACGGGACGTTGCCCCGTAAACGGGGTCGGCCCGCTGCGGTTCCGCGGAACCCAAATAATACCGGCCCCATGAAGTGCGCTCCTGTTCTATCTAATGGAATCGGCAGAAATTCTAGAGCTGGTACTTCTGGTCTCATTGAGCGCATTTTCCCAGAGCTTTATGCAAAACGACAAGGCATGTATTCATTTTCTTATGCAGGAAATTCAACTCTTTGTAGAATATCTCGAGCAACTTGACGATTCTGAAGAAAGTGACGATGAAGATATTCTAGGCGAAATCGAGCAATTAAAGAGAAAGGGCAAATGGTTCGAAAAAGAGGTTTGTTTTGAATTCGTTCTCCTCCTTGATATCACCAAAAATAAGGAAGTAAAAAGAGCAACGAAACCACCACCCCCAGACGATCTCCTGGACGTCTACCGCTCCAAAACGCCATGGGAACATGTTTGCAAAGAAGCTGCCAAAATCGGATCAGACTGGATGATGGAACGAAAATACAGACGAATTTTGACGAGGAAAGCTATTCTCGGCGTGCGAAAACTTCATCGAGACAAGGTTAATAATAAGAATAAAAACGATGAAAACGCATTGAATAAATATATATTATTGCAAATTGAATTGAAACACACTTTTCTTGTTGATGAACTTGTCGAAATTGATCGTACTAATCATACGTCGGGATTCATAAGAGCCATGACAAGGTCGTCGATGTAGAATTCGTCTTGCTTCATTGTGTCGAACTCGTCCATGAAATCTTTGATATCTTCATCGGTCAGGAAATCGCCAAAGTCTTGAAGAAACTCTCGAAGATTCTCTATAAAGTTTTGATAAAGAAGTCATCTGAAAGATAATCAGAAATCTACCTCCTTTGATGAGATAACCGATTTCTCCAGACTCGTAAACTTTTGGCTCTTCCAGTGGCTTGAGCGCTGCATAGAGCTGCTCCTCAGTTGGTTGTTTATCCGCCGTAAAAAGGATCAACTCCATGAACTCTTCGAAAGTGATTCCCTTTGCATTGTAGGCTTTGTCGACGGATGTACTTGAGATGCCTTCACTTGGCGCGCTTTCATCTTTGACTGAAGTTTCTGTCTCTGGATCGATGTCCTTTTCTTCATCATCGCTAAAGAATAAGATACAATTGTTTTGTGTCCTACTTGGTTTGACTCGATCAGAATCTGATCTTAAGATATAAAATAGAACGTACCCATGAATCTTGTTCAAAAACGAATTGATAAGCGTATCAGTAGCAACAATTGTCGTCTGCCGGAGAGCATCTCCAACAGATTCGTAAGGAATCAAGTCGCATTTTGCATAATCCTTGAAGACATTCAATGCCTGTTCTTCAATTTCTCCACTCATTTTTCTCCTTTTTAAAATTCAACTATTTTGCTTTCCTTAAAAGCAGATTGATTGTACTCTCTATTCTAGAGATTGAGTTAGAGGAGCACTCTTTTAAAACTACTTTAGCTCGCCGAAGTTGAGCGCCAACAAAAGGTGAAACAAGAGGCGCAAAAGAAGCTCGCTCAGCAGGTTGGCAAGATGATCATGGCGGAGTTCTGGGAGAAAATCAAAATGGTCTCTGAAGTGATCAAGGAGCAGAAAGAAGCAGCGGAGATGAAGAAACAGCTCGACGCGGATTTAGACGACATGGTCAGCCTTTTTTATCGCCAACTTTTTTCCTAAAAATATTTTAGGTTAATCAAACGCAAAAGTTCTCCCACTCCGTCGTACAGAATCTCCAGCGTCCTTCCAGCCCAACATCTTCGACCTCATCCAAAAGAACGGATGCCATGAGCACTGCTGATTCCAGAGCAGCATCAGACTATGAAATTTCTGATGAAGATTCCGACGCTTCCGCCTCAATCGCTTCCAGCGAAGAAGATCAATCAGAAGACGAACTTAAGCAGCTAGAAGATCAGCAAGATGACGATCTACTGGAAATTTATGCAAAGCTTTATGGCCACAATCTTCCGCAAAAAGAAGAAGTCAAAAAGGAAGAAACAGTCAAAGAAGAACCAGAAGAGCCAGAAAATCCTGAGAAAAAGCCGAAACTCGAAAGACTAGATAAAATTATTCAAGAAAAAAGTATTACACCAGATCTACCAGAAACGCCTGAAAGCCCAAAAGACGAAAAAACAGAAAATCTGAACAAAATCACGAGAACTGCGCGATCTATGCTTCCGACAGGCCTAACGCTTGGAGAGAATCATGTCAAAACTCCGATTCCTTCGCTGATGAAGGGAAAATTGAGGGACTACCAGCACATCGGGCTAGATTGGCTGGTTTCGTTGCATGATCAAGATTTGAATGGGATTCTGGCGGATGAAATGGGTCTTGGAAAAACTATTCAGACTATTTCTCTCCTCGCTCATCTAGCAGTAAACCAAGGCCAATGGGGCCCCCATTTAGTCGTCGTCCCCACATCTGTACTTCTCAACTGGGACTTAGAATTCAAGAAGTGGTTTCCAGGCTTCAAAGTAATCGCCTATTACGGGACGCAAAAAGAACGCAAGGAAAAACGCCGCGGCTGGTCTCGAGAGAATATGTTTCACTGCGTCATTACGAGTTACAATTTGGTGATTCAAGATCAGCGAATGTTCAAGAGGAAAGATTGGAATTATTTGATTCTGGATGAAGCGCACAATATAAAAAATTGGATGTCGCAAAGGTGGCAGACTCTCTTGGGCTTCAAATCGGAACACAGACTTTTACTTACCGGAACGCCATTGCAAAACGACTTGTTGGAGCTTTGGGCGTTGTTGCACTTTCTGATGCCAGATTTATTCGAATCGCGAAAGGGGTTTTCGGAATGGTTTCATCGGCCGATTGGTGATATGGTCGAAGGATCAGCCGAGTACAACAAAAAACTCGTCGAGCGGCTTCATAAAGTTTTGAGGCCGTTTTTGCTGCGGAGATTGAAATCTGAGGTGGAACAGCAAATGCCGAAAAAGTATGAGCACGTCGTGTACTGTCATTTGTCGAAGAGGCAACGAGCACTATATGAAGATTATATCTGCCGAACGGACACTCAAGAGAGGATGAAATGCGGTGGATATATTGGCATCATCGGCGTCATCATGAATCTTAGAAAAGTAAAATTTACCAAAATAATCAACAAAAACTAATTTTGTTTGAGGTTTGCAACCATCCAGATCTACTGGAGCCTCGTCCTGTCGAATCACCATTTCTCCTTCCTCGTTTATCATTGTCACTTCCACGCATTTGCGTATCAATTCTCACTCACTATCACGCTCGCGGATTTACTGGTCGTATTTGGCAGCGCTTGCCCACTACAGGTAAAGACATCAGGACTCCCTTTATGACCATTACTTCTATAGGCTACGCGCTGGATATACGGGCCAGAACGGAGCTCAGTATCTTCAACACATTCACGATCAACAAACTCGATGCTAGCAAAGAATATTACAATTTATACTTGATGGAATATCAAAAATATAAAAAGAAGAAACCGCCCAAAGGATATGAATGGTTGGCCTATCGAAGGCAGCAGAAAAACAAATCCAAATATAAAACCATGTACAGGTGAGCCCTTCACTAAAAGTTCCTCCCTTACTTCTTCTTCAGCACTAATCGCAACCGATGCACCGTCCTACCAGCACCATCTCACTTTGCCCCAGCTAATGTTCGGCAGTTACTAAATATTCCGATCACAGAAAAACTCGCTTTTCAAACCTTATCACCAATTTCCGAAGTTCTCAAGAAAAAAATCTCCTGTTATTGCGCTGCAGCCGAAGCACCAGGTAAAAAATCTCATATGATATTATCTCTTATTGTCCCTTAGTTCCTATCTTGGACGTGAGCTCCCCGATGTACCACATTCGAGAGCGGGAATTGAGCAAAAATATCGCTGACAACACGATTTCTATACGAGTGAAAACTCACGCTGAAGATCTTGCAAGAAGGGTTCAGTTGCCTGAAACGAGGCTTATACAGTACGATTGTGGAAAGCTCCAGACTCTTTATAATCTTATTTATCAGAAATTAAAACCCAACGGTAAAAAGCGATCTCGAAAACCTCTTGATTTCGATGATTTTTTAGGCCATCGAGCGTTGATTTTCACGCAAATGACGAAGATGCTCGATGTCTTGGAACGATTCCTGTCGTATCATGCTTTGACTTATAGTCGTCTTGATGGCTCAACTGCGCCTGAAGCCCGTATACAAATCATGGAAACATTCAACAGGGATCCGAAAATCTTCTGCATGATTCTTTCGACAAGATCTGGTGGAATCGGTGTCAATCTTACAGGTGCGGATACTGTGATTTTCTACGACTCTGATTGGAATCCAACGATTGATGCTCAAGCGCAAGACCGGTAAAATCATAATCTTTCGATTTCAGTTGTAATTATTTCTCTTCTAGAGCTCACCGAATAGGACAGACGAGAGACGTGCACATTTACAGATTTATCGCGAAAGATACAATAGAAGAAAATATTTTGAAGAAGGCAAATTATAAACGAAAGCTAGGGAATGTTGCAATTGAGGAAGGACGGTTCAACATCGAGGGGCTCAAAGAAGATCAACTTCGTGTTCTCATCGAGGTAAATTCACGCTATAAACTCCGGTCCTTATTCTTTTCAAGGGTAAAGAAGACGATGATGAATCGATGGAGGCCTCTTCGGAAGAACCAGAGTCGAACGAAAGCGTGAAAAACAATCTCGCCGCGGTCGAAGACGCGGACGATCAAGAAGCAGCCAAGGTCATCCTCGACGAAGTCGGCGAAGATGAAGAAGAGTTCCAGGAAGAAAGTGACGAAGATATTGAAGATAAACTTACGCCGCTTGAGCAAATGTCGTTGAAGTGGTTCCTTGAAGATCAAGCCCGGACGATCGCCGAAGAGGAAGCTCAGAAAGCAGAAGAAGCGAGGATACGAAAGTTGAAAGAGGAGGCGAAGGCCAAAGCAAATCCTCCAGTTTCGATTTCTAAGGTAATGATCCCTCTATCATTCGTTATTAAAACGTTCATCTTTCAGAATTTCCTGCCAAATAAACGCTCCCAACGAATCGACAAACGGCTGAAGCATGAGAGAGCGATGGAAAACGAGCTCAAGCGATGTCGTAGAACCGATAGTGACTATTACGAAGATTCCGATGAAGAAGGCTACCAACCGACTCGTCGAAAATCCTACCAAACAAGAACGCCAAAGCCGCCAGCTCGGCGTGGGAGACCACCGCTGAACAAGGATAAAGATAAAACCACAGCGAAATCAACGGCGAAAACAGCAGATTTGCCCAAACGAAAAGCGCTCCCGAGGGATAATTCCAGCCTAAAAGTAGGGATTCTTTCCTATCAAATGAAACTTTCATCGTCATTTCTAGCTAAACAAAGTAGAAGTTCAATTTGTTGCCTGCAACCCAAGAAGAATCAGTTCAGCTCAAAGTCCTCCGTCAGAAGCAGACTGGTGAAGATAATAAAAATTAAAAATTCCTGTCATTCAATTCACCACCTATTATTTTTAAAAATGAATAAATCAACAACTGCCAAACTAAAAATTTGCCTCGTTATTTTTGCAAAATTAGCAGTTATTTACAAAGATAGTATAATTCTGTATTATGAGTCACTAAGTGTACATTTCACGCTGTCGGCCTTGCTTAAAAACTACTTTCCAGGCGTGACCGATCGATTCAGGGCAGAGATAAATTTAAGCCTTTAGATTGGGCTACAAAATCTACCTTATAATCTACTAGCTCAATGTCCGGGCAAACAAGTGAGCCGAAGGTTTACACAGGTAAATCCAAAAATCAGTAATCAGCTCCTTAGCGTTGTAAACAGGGGTGGCTTCAGTGGAGTAGTAGAGAGCGCCTGTTTTAAAAAATTGATTGAATAAAAAAGAGGCGAGCTCGGGTTTCGGGGTTGTCCAAGAAACCAAAAGTAATCATCGCGCATTACCAGTAAAATTACTCAAACAAAATAAATCTTCCTGAGGAACAAATCAAACATACGAGATTTTTTATAGAATAAAAAGAGAAAAGATTTGTTGAATGAAGCGAACGATGAATTTCAATTATGGGCAATTTTAGATCGAAAAGGATCGCTCCAGAAATTACAGCCGGTAATCTTTTCAATCAGTCGTAATCGATTTTTGGCGAATAACTCTATAATGATGAATTACCATAAGAATTTTTTGGGCAAAAAAATTTTGTCCGAGTTATCACTATATTCTGAAAGCGCATATCAGAATTAGTGGAATCCTAAAATTCTAGCGCCCGATGACGTCATTATGACGTCAGAAGAGATGCTTTTAGAATCAAGATGGCCAAAACTTTTTAACCGTTTTTCAGAGGGTTATTGGTTGAAATACAAGTTTTTCTTTTCGGAATATTGTTCAGCATGAAAACTGAATAATCACCCGACATCAAACCGTCCGATATCCTCTTTAACCGGCCGGTCAAAAATAATACCGGTCGGTTCGATTAAATTTTGCTGGGTGATTGTTCAGTTTGTCATGCTGAACAAGATTCCAAAAAGAAAAAATTGAATTTCAAACAATAACCCTCTCAAAACCGGTTAAAAAGTTTCATCTTTTGGAACCTTTTTTGAACTTTAAATCTTCATAAATGACGCCATAATGACGTCATTAGGCGCTAGAATTTTGGGAATCCACAAATTCTGGTGTGGGCTTTCAGAATATAGTGATACCTCGAAAAAAATTTTTTTGCCCGAAAAATTCTTATGGTAATTCATCATAATAGAATTCTTGCATCAAATTGATATGTTAATTTCAGAGGATGATTTCAAAGAAGTTGCAGTATCATCATCGACTGAAGACTTTACGGAGCTTGAGCGTGCCAAACTCATCAATATTTGCGGCGTGGACAAGGATGGCCGCCCTGTAATTGTCGTCGCCGCTTGTCGTTTTCCGAACAATAACACAAAAGAGCATCAGCAGTTGCTCAGATTTATCAAAGCAAAATTAGGTATTGCTTTCCTTCCTTGCTCTTTTCTCATTCCGACTTTAGATATTTACGTGGAAAATGACTACTCTGTAATCTACTTCCACCACGGCTATCACAAAGCGAACAAGCCCTCATTTGCTTGGCTCAAATCTGCCTATCAAGAGTTCGACAGAAAATACAAGAAAAACATCAAACGACTCATCGTTGTCCACCCAACAAGCTGGATGAAAATGATCTGGACAATGATGAAGCCCTTTATTTCCGCGAAGTTTGGGCGAAAACTCCTCTATGTAAATCATCTCGCAGAGCTCAAAGAGTTCATTTGGCTAAATCAAATTCCGATTCCAGTTGAAGTTCAAAACTTCGACGAGTCAAAGCTGAAATCTCAAGGGCTAGAGACGATAAATGACGGAACTACAATCGCCCCAGAGTCCCAGTTTTCCGTTGAGCTAGACGTACTGATTCAAAAGCAAGGAGACCTGCCGATTGTCCCGAAAGAAATTATCGAATTCTTGCTCAAAGACGACAATATCAAGATCGAGGGAATTTTCAGAAGATCCGCTTCAAACTTGGCGATAAGAGATAGCAAGACAATATACGACCAAGGAAAGACAGTTGAATTCAATGAGCCAATCCTTCCCTCTGGTAAATTTGATCGTCAAAGGATCTTTGTTTATTTAATTTTAGCGTTATTAAAACTATGGTTTCGTTCACTGCCGCGCTCGATTATACCTTCTCACTGTCTGAGAGAAATGGAAAATGTTGTCAAAGCCTCTCCAGAAAACAAAATAGAACTCATCAAAGAAACAATCATTTCTCGGATCGATGGTGCGTCGAATTTATACCGGCGATGGTTAATTCTTTTTTAGAATCACACGTGCCTCTTCTGAAATTCTTGATGAACTTCCTTGCAAAAGTAGCGGAGGAAGAAAATTCGAATAAAATGGGAAGTCCGCAACTAGCGATTGTTTTCGGGCCTTGCCTCTGCTGGAATAACTCGGTAGGTAACCACCGAACGTTACCTCTGACTGATGATTTTCCATAGCCGTCCGGAGGAATTGAAGATATCGGGACGATCAACAACCTGATAAAGTGGTTGATTGATCACCACGAAAAGATATTTTCATGAAGAAAGAGAGACGTTGACAGCTTCATTTTTTCTGTATTATTTCCTCTCAAAATGTTCTATTCTTCACCTGCAATTTTCCTTCTATGTTCAATGGAATAAATCCCCTGATGCCTATCAGAAATTTAATACGAAAAAATCAGCGTTTTCACTGATTTTTCTAAAGTAAGAGCATAAATTTATCCCAGTTTTATTTATTTTTTTCAATTTCAAACAGAAAGAAAATCATTCGATAATTTCAACCTTTGTCATTTTCGCCGGGGGTGGCTCGAGTCCGTGTTGCATCGAAACTTGCTGTGATTGTGGAGCCACAAAGAAGCCTAGAACAAAGATGTTTCCATATTGTAGTTCGGGAGCTTTGTAAAAAAGTAAAAGCAGTTTTGTGACATTGATTTTCCGACGTCACAAGGAAGGACTGTCTCTGACCTTGTGCGTCCGGTTGGTGTTGTTGCGGTGCAGTTGACGGCAAGTCAATCATTTCCTGCCTCGGCGGCGCTGCGCTCGTTGGCGAGTTCAACCTGAAAATCGGGTCCGTATCGTCGCGGGAAAGAAGCATCTCTTGAATAAGCGCGTCTACTTCTTGCAAGCCAAACATTTTCGTAAACTGAAACTCTCGGAAATCCTCTCATCGATGAACAATACCTGGACAGCTTCAACAAGCTCATTTGAAATAGATTTAATCGGCGGAATCAAGCACAAAATTTCCCCAGCTCTTCCTCTTGATGCTCCATTCGCAAATATTTCCAACACGTAATCTTCCAGGTTGCAAATAAGCTTGAATAAATGAGTTAAGATGGCCATCTATTTTCAAAGACCTACCTGTTTTCTAAATTGTCGAACTCGTTTAGCTCCTTCATATGATACTTTTGGCGCAGTTGGGTCAAAGAACATTATTGCTCGCAGTATTCCACATTCTGTTTGATCAATCTGAATGATTTTTGAACAACTGTAACTCCTACGTTTCTTCTGGGTAACGCACTTGAGAAGACCTCTCGGCGAGGTTCCCAGTGAGGTTTGTTAGAGCTCCAAGAGCTAGGTTCAGGGTTGGAAGGGGTTCGCGCGAACGCAGAACCCCACTATCAGAAATTGTGACGGACACTCCACCGATTTGGCAAAGAGATACAGGTCAGCCGCGCCGGTGTGCAATGACGCGCTTTTTTTAAGGTGGTGGAAGTTTTCTAGCCCACTTCCGCCATACCGACCCTGGAACACCATACCTTTTCTGAATCAGCAGAAAATTTCAAGAATTTTGACCCATTAAAATTCTAGAAATCTTCACTTCCGGTCGATTCTAGAGCCGGAAAGCATCGAAATTCGGGAGTATGGGCAACTTGTGGCCTATCAAATTGATTCTCAGAAGATTCTCTATCATCTAAGAGAAAAATCAATCCCATCCACAGTCAAATCAACCGCTAAAAACTGAAAAAAAATTCATAAATTTATGCTTTTTTCGTAGTTTTGGCGGTCGGTTTGACCGCGGTCGGATAAGTTTCTTTGAATAAATCGATAATAAGATGATTCAGAATCTTCTGAGCATCAATTTGATGGGTCACACTTTATAAATATTCGAAAATTTCGTCAACTTCCGGCTCTAGAATCGACCGGAAGTGAAGATTTCTAGAATTTTAATGGGTCAAAATTCTTGAAATTTTCTGCTGATTCAGAAAAGGTATGGTGTTCCAGGGTCGGTATGGCGGAAGTGGGCTAGAAAACTTCCACCACCTTAAAAAAAGCGCGTCAATGGTACGGCCTCGCCATAAGGGAACCCCCTACGTGATCGAGGTTACCCTCCGCCCAGGTAAGTATGAGTTGCGAGGGACGCGCTAAGGACCCGGCCCGATCGGCGAGCGCTCGCGTTATGGTCCTTGCGTCGCGCGTTCGAAATCGATGTGCCGCGCAATTTCGGCGCGGATCGGAGAAGTTAAACTCACCCCAAGTTCTCTCATTGTTTCACAAAGCTGGTCAATGATTTTGCAAGCCAATCTTCCCATATCATTTTCTTGACAGTCCCTTCTGATAACTTGGTTGTTTGCCAAAAGCACCACCTGATTCTCCATCATTGACAGTTGATAAGTTCGCTGCGAGCACCCAATCATCAGATATTCAGCAGAAAAGGCTCTTAGCAAGGCCACCTGAACTTTTGAGGACAGTTCAGCTGAGTTCAGCTTACCTGATCATCAACTGTAAATGTAGTAAATGCGGGAATCGCTTTTGCCCATTCCACGAGAACACGCAACTGTCGATTAATACACTGAGCAACATCCTTTCTAGTTGCTTCTGAGATTCGGTCCATATCAAGTGGATCTACAGATTATTTACTGTCTGTTAAGCCTTTTTTGGGTACCTTCAGGAAACATCGTTTTGATATGCCTGAAGGCATTCTCTAGAACTTTCACGGACAAGTTCTCTTTTGAATGAGGCTCTGTTCGCTGAGGTGCTGGTCTGATCGGATCCCGTTCGTTCTGCACTGCTTCTCGTCGCATTCCAGCGCGGAAACATTTTATTAGCCGACAGTGACGGCAGGAGTTTCTGTTCGCTATCGAATCGGTTAGAGAAGGTTGATAGGAGCCGTTTACCTCTCTCAATAGTACAGTCACGCTCTCTTCTGCACTGGTACGAATGGTTCTTCCTTATCGATCTCCTAAAGAATCCTTTGCATCCGTCACAAGAATGGGCACCGTAGTGTTTTCCAGTCGCTCGATCTCCACATATTGCGCAGTGATTTTCTAGGGTTAGGGTTAGCGTCAGGGTGAAGGTTGGGTTAGGGTTTGAATTCCTGATTTTCCAAGGTTTCTTACGAATGGGCGCACTTCTTGTGCTTTGGGAAGAAGTGACAGGCCGAGTACTCTGCGGCTGCACAGGGGTCAGCTCGATGGGATCTTCATGCTGCGGACGGGGGACAATGGCTTGGTTGACTAAACAGACGGGAGTCAAATGATCTGTGATCGCCCTTTGAACATGACAAAGGTCGAAGGTATTATTTAAACGCATGCTCTCTCGGCCCATACTCAGATCATTTTACAATCCTACGGCTCCAGAAATAAAGTCAAGAGCAAAAATTGATAAAATAAAAGCTAAAATCAAAAAGATGAAAAAGAGATTTATCGAAGAAGAAAAAGACTGTATAAAAGATAATTGATTTGATCGATAAAAATGACTTACGAAGAATAGGTAGAAAAGAATCCGGTAAAAGGCCGGCAAGACAGTAATAAAAGCCGGTAAGTTCTACAAACTCCCTTTCTCTCATAAAGAGAATTTGAACTACAATCTGAGGCCTTTTTCTGCAAAATCTGGAGAATGTAACGAATAAAAATTTCTCTAGATAACGGAACTTATCAAACAGTACCGTTTCTGTTTAGAACATTCAAGACCTGCAGCGTTTTAGCTTTTCTTTACCTGAAGTAACTTGGATCACTTGTCCCGTCTGAGGCTGGTTGTCGCCAACATCTGCTATTTCCGATTTCACGTTTGAAATATAAAACTTGTCCGATGGTGAGCTCGAAGTCGTCACGACCGTCGGAGGCGAGCTACTCGACATCTTCAAACTCATAAGAGGCGCAGGACTTTCCACTTGCGCTCCTCGATCGGACCATACGATCGGACTTTGTATTCTCTTATCAAACTGCTGAGACATAAAATTTCGCCTCTCAAAGGAGGTTTCCTGGGCAGGGTCTAATGTCCAAGCGCAGGCGCATCAAGAAAGTCAATATTTACGAAAAAACGAGTTGATTCTCGTTCAATTTGTTTGCATACTGCTCGAAGAGTCAGGCACACCCCTCTACTTTCCGGCGTGGTACTCACTTGCTGGTTTTTCTCATGAAAAGTTTCTCAAGAAAATGTGAATCCGGTCCTATTCGACTTGTAGGAACCACTTGTTGCTGTCCACCATTCGGTTCTTCCACGGATACCACTGATCCGACTTCCTCGAACTGATAAGGCCCCGCATGAATCCACTGAGGATGTTGAATGAAATACCCGTCCGTATTTGGAAATCTGTACATTTTTCGCTTACTAAGAAGAATTCAAAGATTTTCAGGTTGTTGGCGAGACTTACTTGTGGCGGGAAGAGTAGACTTTTGAACCTTTTTCCTTTGAACTTTGCCTTTGTAAAATCTGCGTTCTCTTTTCTTGTGGACTTTCTCTGCTGAACTTGGGACATTGGACGGGCCTTCTGTGATAAGCTTTAGGTGAAAAGACCCTCTGAGATGGAGAAGACCTCCTCCTTTAGTTTTGATTTGCTTCGAGCGAGGATGTTGTTATTTTCTACTGCATATTCTCATCAATGTATTATCACCAAGTGGCAATTAAATATCTTCGCAGGTGGGATTTGCATCTTGCGTAAGGGTGTTACTTATCTTGAAGGACCTGAGTCAACCTTGCAGAAAAACTAAGAGAGAGATTAAGAGGATGAAAGTTTTATTGGCTACGGGGTTTATCTGCAGTAAGAATCTTTAGTTCGATTCCTTGTTGAACCCTGAAAAGGCCGTTGACAGTACAGTCGCGTCTGTTGTTGCCCTAGATGAGTACAGCCGTAGAATTCATTCACCAGACAAAGAGCTCTTATTAGTCCATATTTGCCAGGTAATTATAAGATCCCTATCATTGAAAAGGCTATTAACGCGTCTGAGACAATAGACAAAAACTTCCAACGACGACATCCGTGGTCGCAGTAGTCACGAGGTCTTGGAAAAGCTTCTTGCTGGAGAAGAGCGAGCGAATGCAATCAAGGAAGATTTTATAGAAAGGGTTCGTAAGAGGCTCAATGATTTATCTGAAGCTCAAAAAGAACCCTCAAAAGAATTCGCCGCTAGAAAGAAGATCAATATTATTGGATTCAAGATATTCATGATCGACGAAAAGATCCAATTGGTGCTAAAATTGTTTCCTGCGCTCATAGTGAAGGTTGCGATTTGATTGTGATTGGAACTGGGAAACCTGAGACTAACAGACCGTTTGGCTCTACTTCTGATTATATAGTTCATCATTCGTGGGTTCCCGTGATGATTTGCCCTGTAACTGCCAGTTACATTCGAGACAAAATGTAATTCTTTTTAGTTATTAATAATAATAACTAATTATATTTTATCAATAAAAGTAATTGTCAGGAATAAAACAAAGATTTGGTTTTATGCGTTTGGCACAAATATTTTTGCAAAATAATTCGAATTGTTGTGATTGTCTATCCGATTTCTCAAATTCTCAGCACGTTTTTGAGTCTTTTCAAGTTTTTCTTCTGTCTCTTCTAAATCGTCCTTCAAGTCATCAATTCGCTCCTCTAGTTTTTCAACATTGCGCTCATTCTTTTTCCTCTCATGATTCAGCTCAGATCTATGTGAAGATCTTGCTGAATTGAGCTCCGACTTTAGGTATTCTCGTTGTTTTGAGGCTTCATCTTGCTCTCGTTTGAGTTGCTTTTCGAAACTAGTCCTCATCTCACGCATTTGTCGATCTAGATTGCTTCTAGTATTTTGATGATCTTGCCGTTCTCGCTCGAGTTGGCTCTTTGTATTTGCATGATTGTTTTGCTCTGATCGAAGCTGGTTTTCCGCATTCGTCGCTCTTGTTTGTTCTCTTTTGAATTTTTCCTCATGAAACTTCACAATCTTCGTAAGAGCTGAAGCGATTTTTTCAGTGAAGTACTCGTTGATTTTTCTTCTAAAGAGGTCATCATATTGTTCAGGGAGCAAAAATTTTCGCTCTTTGTTTGTCTCGAAAAACGGGCTTAACTTAAAGTTATCGTATATTAATTTTGAAAAATTACTTTTGTATGGCCTTAAAATCCATGCAACTTTCCGTGCAATGTGACGTTATTAGTTTATCAGCATGCTCCTTGGCTTGTTCGAGTTGTGTTTTGTAGTGATTGTCAGCGCTTAACGAGAAAAATTAAGAAGCAAATATTTTGAAGATGACGTTTATAATTCGATTTTTTATGAATCCTTATATACATACTTTGTTGAAACAATTGTTTTCATGGTCGGCATTTTCCCGTCTCTGAAGATGTTTGCGTAGCTCTTGAAGAAATCGAAGACATCACGGATTTTCAATTCTCCGTCGCTTAGATTCCTTTTTGGAGCAATATTGTCAACAATCGAAGTGACAAGCAGTTTGATGTTCTCGACGAAGTCTTTGTCAAGTGATTTGACATTGCCATCAAACTTCCTTATTGTTCCCGGATGAGGGATGCAAAACGCTCGAAAGTCCTGAGAATAAAATGTTATAATTATTCAAAAATTTTTAATTACCTCAAAACAATCTGAGAAATCGATCTTCTTGTCCTGCTTTTGAACAATAGTGTCAAGCAGCTCTTGGCCTTCTTCGAATCCAAATTCATCGCTGTGTTCTATTAATTATCATTTTTTAATGACTTGGGTACTGTAAACTCACCGTAGTCCCGGACAGTAAAAATGAAATCCTGAAACGGTTTGACCGTCATTCGATCCTTGATTGCAAGTCTACCAATTTCCGTAAAAAGATGAAGATTCGCAATGTCATTTGCGTCGATTTGTCGCGTGACATTTGCTAGTTGAACACTAAAATGTCGTTCGAATTTGACCAAGAAGAAGTTTTACCTAGCAAAAAATGTCGAGAGCGAATAAATAAGTGCGCTGTCATTGTATTTTCGTGATCGAAGGCGCCCTCTGTGTCAATCAACATAACACCGATCTCTTTCTTTATATGGAATGAAAATAATTTAATGTTAAAACACTTTTTATGGTATCAATAATCAAATTTTCCCCGTAACTGTTCTTTTGTCTTTAGCGTAAAAATCTTTGACGAGCAGTAGACACCTTGCGTTTCTCTCTCTAAAAAATAAATGAGGAAAAACCGGAAAGTAATCGCTACCTTTTCCAGACCGATATTTAAAGCAGTCTTCAATGTAGAACTCATCATCGTCCCAAACATTTTTGCCCATTTCTAGCGCAGCAAGGTGTTTGTAGAAAACGCTTTGAAGGAAGGACTTGCCTGTTCGATAAGCGCCGACGATGGAAATAACTGCAATCGGCATTGAATCCGATTTAGCAGTACCCAGGACTTTTTTCAAAGCCACTTCATCAAGGATGAATTTCCTTGATTTATTGCCACTCTCTTCAATGTCGTCGGTTTTGATCAACTGAACGCTCATGTTCGAATGATTATCTCGTTGAATCGAGCTCGTATTTATGCAATTTTCTTTTCCCTTTTTTTATTGATTGTTAGTTTCAATTGAAGAAATACAAATATACAATCATCAAGGATATTTAGAGATCTTAACGCACATCCAAAAGGAAAGTGGCGCCATTAAATTGAATTGCTATTAGAACAAATAGAAAGGGCGCGTCAGAATTTTGGCGAAATACTGTTTTATCCTGCAACTAAGAAGCTCATTTTTCCTAAAAATTTGCAAAAGAATCGAAATTATGATTCGTTGGAACGAATAATTTATTTATTATGAGTTCAGAACAGGAAAAGTCAATCAGTCATTGCTTTCCGTAAAAATTGAAGATGCGACTGAACACATAATTGACCCGTAACACATTTCATCTTCGCAGAAATATCCACGAGCAGCGGTGTTGATCTGTGGTGCGAAGGGGTTGGTCATCTCGTCAAGTTCTGATAGCGCTCCATCAACGGTGAGTGCAGCAACGTCGAGTATAGTGATGAGGTTGTCGAGGATAGCGTCTAAAAATTAGAATTCAATTACGTTGAGCGCTTTCTTTGCACTGTGGACTTCAGGATTTCTCATTTTGTGGGGCTTTACCTGAGTCAGCGTAGCTATCAACGACTGGAACTTTGCCCGCAACTGTGTTGAAAATATCAGTGTTCTTCTTTACAGTTGTAGACCAGTTGTCAATGATTATTTTGGGAACAAACTTGAGTTTCTTCTGAGTAGCAACAATGAAACCAAGATCTCCACTGCAAAATTCTTCGTGAATATTAACAATTCGACTATTATATTCATCTGTAGTATCTTTGGCAGCGTCTTCGTACATCTGAAGGTACTCATTCCATTCTTCCCAGACGAAAAGACCCTTCTGAACAATCATAGAGGAGCGTTGAATTCCTTCAGTAAGAATATCAGGATCTATGAAGTTGTAGACGTCGTTGAAGGTGATGGCAGCATCCATGATATTTCCGGCAGCACCAGCAATGTTTTTGAAGTTAATGTTATCATCGTAAATATCCTTGAAAACTACCATTGACTCAGTAATTGCGAGGGAAGCGTTGGTCAATAACTCAAGTTTAGCGGGGTCGAGGTCAGCAGTGAGCTCCTCGGCGATCTTGTCGAAGTCAATCCCGTAGAGCGCGCTGTCAGGATTATTGATCTCGTCGACAAAAATCTCGAGAAGGTCGTTTGGAGTCAAGCGTAGGTTCCAAATAAGTCTGTAAGCAATTTTCTTCAGCACTCTGACAACATCGGCGTTTTCGATGGTAGCCAATGAGGAAATAAATTCATCAAAGTCGGGTGTAGCTTTGGCGTCAGCGTGAAGTTGACCCTGAACCTTCTCAAAAAGACTAGTGACTTGGCCGGTCCCTAGCAAGATTACATCGGCCATTCGGTCAAAGGCCGGATCAAAAGGAGTCCATGCATTTGCCCTACCGTATATGATGACATCATGAATTCAAAAATGATCTCTGGTACTTACGATACGCCAATCGTCAAAAATCTAGACAGCTTCATGATTTGAGAGTGATTTAACTAAGTAATTTTTTACGTTTTCCTTTTCAACAAGTATCTCTATACGGTATCTTTCCCTTTTGATTGCATTACGAGAAGTACAAATATTCAATAATGATGCATTGAATACTTAGAGATTCTTAGTCAGAGCAGAAAAGGTCGTGGACTTCCGGAGAGTGGCGCTATGAGATTAAATTTCTATCAGAGCAAATAGTTGAAAATATGAATAAATTGCAATAAGAAAATATTGAGTTTATTTGGTGTCATATCTGAACAACCGTGCACGTAAGTCAGTCAACCATTTCAGTAGAGATTGATTATGCAACTGAACATGTAACTGAGGCGTAAGAAAACGCCAGTTTAGCAGAAGTATCCGCGGGCAGCGGTGTTGATCTGAGAAGCGAAGGGAAGGGTCATTGCGTAGAGCTCGGTGAGAGTTCCATCGACGGAGAGCATGGCGACATCGAGTTGAGCGATGAGGGTGTCGAGAATAGTGTCTAAATCTTATTGAAAGTTTGGAAAACCTGTTCTGACTTCTATTTACGGACTAACTACTGTACCCGCTAACTACAGTAATACTGTAATAATAAATACCTGAGACAGCGTAGTTTTCGACAACTGGAATATTTTCAACAAGAGTGTTAAAGATATCAACGCTCTTCTTGACTGGAGTAGTCCAGTTATCAATGACGACGTTGGGAACGAACTTGAGTTTTTCCTGAGTAGCCTTGATAATGCCAACGTCTCCGTTGCAGAATCGTTCGTCGGTATCGACGACTCGTCGGTTGTATTCGTTCATGGTGAGATCGACCGCATCTTCGTACATGTAAAGGTATTCCTTCCATTCTTCCCAGACGAAGAGACCCTTCTCGGCAATGACTGAGGTGTAGAAAAGACCCTGAGTAAGAGTATCGCTATCGGTGAAGCTGTAGACGTCGTTGAGAGTGATAGCAGCATCCATGATATCAGCGAAGGAGCCGACGATGTTGTGGAGGTTGATGTCGCCATTGTAAAGATCCTGGAAAACACCGGCTGACTCAGTCATAGCAAGAAGAGCATTATTGAATGGCTCGATATGAGCAGGGTCAAGGTTGGCGGTGAATTCCATACCGACTTGGCTCAAGTCCATGCCATAGAATTCACTGTTAGGATCTTGGATTTCTGCGTCAAAAATCTGGACGAGATCGTCTGGGGTAAGCCCGCCATCCAAAAGAAGCTCGATATCGATGCTCTTGAGCACTCGGACGACATCGGCATTATCGATGGCTTTGAATTTTGTGATGAACTCATCAAAGACGGGGGTAGCATCACCAGCAGCTGAGAGCTCGCCCTGGATGCTCTCGAAGAGACCAGTAACTTGGCTCATGATGAGACTTGCCATCTGGTCGTAGACGGGGTCCAGGAGGGTCCAAGCATGTGTGCTAGATCAATGATAAAACCTGCATGCAAACTTTATCTCTAGAACTTACGAGACGGCGCCAAGCGACAAAAATTTAAGAAGCTTCATTTTGACTTGAAGAGTGAATTAGCCAAGTAGAACATGCTTTTTATAAACGCGATTAGCAAATATAACTTCGATTCTGTACCATTGTTGAAGTCCCTTTCATTATCAAAAGCTTCCGAAGTGCGTGAATTTCCACTCGGGAAAGAGTCGATCAATACAATGTCTCATCTGGAGATGAAAATATAAGCGGATATCCAGGGCATTAATAAAACCTGCAATGGTTACCAACATTGAAAACTATTAAAATGAGTGGGCTACTCTGCTTTCCTTCATGGATGCTTGTCGATCTGCGAAACTGTTGTCAAATGATTTTCAAATATGATAATCACTTGATTATCGATTTGGAAATGGAAGATTTTATTTGAAGTTGGGGCATGTAAAATATATATTTAGAATAAGTAAGATTTCAGGCACAGACATTTGTTTTCGTTTTCAGAGGAAGGCACAGCTTGGGAATAGAGTCAGATAGATGGTCAACAATGATATTAGTTCTTTTTTAAATAAGTAAAGTTAAATGAGTTCGTTTAAGATCTTCGTTGAATGATGAGTATTTAAATAAGTCGAAACTTTTGGAGGGAGTGTGCAAGAAGGCGGTAGACGAATTCGTACTGTTCGAAGTAGGGAACATAGTTGGAGTTGGATTTTCGGATGGATGTAAGAAGCTCATTGACTTTCGGTGGAACTTCTAAATTTTGTGAGAAGAAAGATGGCAAATTCAAGAGCTTACGGGAATAATAGGCTCCGAATCGGACGAGTCTGGAAAGAACAAACGCTCCAGAAAACAGCTCTACATTATCAGACACAATCGTGACGGGGTATTTGCGGCGCTTGAGGTTGAAAATTTTGCTCAACTCATCATCGACATCACTAATTGGAAAAGTAAAGAAACTATGACAATAGGGAAGGTCTTACCAGAAGCTTTGGATTGAGGTAGGAAAAGGGCGGCCAGAATGATCGAAGATTGGAACTACTTGAAAATAATAGAGCTTTCGTTTTTTGGACTCGCGGGAGGTGAATTTGCGGAAGACGTTGAGTTGGCGAGAGATTATCGAGGCATCTTCGATCGGTTGAATACGATTTCTGGGAACACAAGTTATCTACTGAAATCAAGGAAGAACTTACCTAATTTCATACTCTCCGTTGATGATATCCTCATTCGCATAATCGACTGCACCAGATAAATGAATAATAATCGTCGATTTCTCCCTCCAAACAGTCTTCCAGAAATCATGAATGTCATCCTTTGTTTTCGGCGTTGTCAGACACAAAAATTGGTGGTCTAATCCATCAAAAGGTACAGACACTCGCGCCGTTTTCTGAGCAAACTGGTCGCTTTTGATTGATGCGAACTCGTGGCGTAATTCCGCTTCTGAGGTTAACTTTTGTTCCACCCCGTCGAGTGAGGAAATCTGTGGAGAACTCTCTTTTGAGCTTTCTTTCGAGTTTTTCACCATTTCCGCCACATCTGCCGGCCCTTGGTAAATGCCCTCGTTCGTCATCATTTGCTCCGTTAGAATAGTTTTTTTCTACAAAAAAAACTCGCTGACAACTGTACAAAAACGCGAGTTACCTTCACTTCAAGAGTCTTTAGTCCACCATCGACAACATTCTTCACTGCCAGTTCATGCTGTCCTTCTTCATCGGGGACAACGACCATCGTTTGCGACGAAGTCACAGACATTGTTTTTCCATGAATTAGTTCCGGCTTCGCTTTGCCTAGTTCAAAGTCTGGCTTTGCTGGTAGAATGTTCTCGGGGTTCCATTGTTTCGCTCGGGAGACGTATTCTTCGTAAGTTGGCACTTTGCGGATGCTCGGTTGGATGCGCGGTGGAACGCGAGACTGAGTCATTTGGGAATAGCTCTGGAAGTCTGGAGGAGGAAGGTTGTTCACTACGTTTTGGTTTTGATCCCGCATGCCTAGAGAATGATTTGAATGGGATTCTTTTGAAAAAGACGTACTTAGGCCTTCATAAGAGGATCCAAGACCCATTGCCATTGGCGGTGCTTCTTCGACATCGTAGAGGCTATTTTTTGATTTAGAAATATATCTAGCGTTTTGAGCGGCAGCGGGATACATATTATAACGAGCTTGTTGTGTGACAGCGAGATGCAGCCGTGAGCGCGAGCCGAGGCCCTCTTGATTCAGGCTTCTTTGAGAGCTTTTCAAATGGATTAAAATTTATTTCGAAGCGAATTTATCGGTTAAAAGATGAAGCAATCAATTTGATTTGTGATAGCAATTTTTAGTCCTGCCTTGTGTATTCTTCGTATGAAGGTAGCGTTGGTGGTTGGGGTTTAGCAGGCTGTGTTGGAGTTGGAGTCTTAGGTACAAAAACTGGCCCGGCATCGATTGAGGCGAAGTTAGGGGAGACGGAAAAGCCGCTGAATTTGTGCAGATGTTCTGGAGTCGAAGTCGAAAACTCAGAATAGCGCTGAAGATTCAGGAAAGAAAGATCATTGATGATGTTTCTTACCTGCAAGCCATGGTAGTTGAATCCAGTGTTGTGAGCATGTCGACTTGACTGTCCGTTGGTGTTCGTTGGGAGGTTTCTTTCGGACGTTGACATAAGGTTTTGAGTCACGAGATCAGGCGAAGAAATGGCCTTGAATTCATTGAAAATCTCGGAAATATTTATTGCCAATCTTACCACAGAATCGTCGTATTGAGGTCTGTTATACATCTGTCCTTGTTTTCTGTAGCGATTATGCGTATCCACCATCGATTGTGGTCGCTGCTTGTTTCCAAGTCTTGTATAAAATGTTAGATATAATGGAAATACAGAGAGAACTCTTGATGTTAGAAAAAACTTGTTTTTCTGTTAGATGGAGTTTCGCTAGATTAGTCCTGCTTTCAGGAGTCCTTTTTTGGCAATGATAATAAGTGACCACCAACGATAAGTATTTTTTGTACAAATCTATCTGGAAGAGTATTAGATTGTATAAAAATTGGGATTCTTCACCGAGAGGGATGAGTTGACCTCCTTTTACCTTTTGCGCGTTTTCTCGAACCGGGTTTGGTAGTGATTTTGGTTCGATCTGATTATTTTTATTTTCTTTTGTGCATAACATTGTGCAAGTGACTTTTACAGAAAGAACTAAACTAAGAGTGTGTACCTGAGACTTTGAGGTCGTTGAATATGAACTGCTCTTTGGCGGCAAGCGTCTTTGTAGTCTGGCGGAGAGACGTAAGTAGGAGGGCTTTGAACAGAATTGAGACTTGCCAAAGAGTTGCCAACAGAGTTTTGGACTTGTTCGTTGTCTACAGCTTGGTCTCTCAAATGAACTTGTTGATTTTTCCTCAATGTTGGTCGACGTTCTAGTTGATACTCGCTCTTCAGTTGTCGATCGCCTTGAATTGGTTTCGTCGCTTCGGGATTTTCGTTGTAGAAGCCGATTCTAGCGTGAAAGAGTTTCGCCGTGTATTTTGTGAAGTCAGAATCGTCCAGAAAGTACTGCAGCGGGGAGGGTTCGTTGACCAATCTTAGGGCAAGAGTTGAGCCGCGAAAATCGACTTTTTTGACGGTTTCCCATTTGAAGGTTCTTTCCACGTCTGACTTTTCTATGACGCCTTCGAAGCTCGATCCGATGGAGATTCGCTTTCCAGAGGCATCTTGAACTGGAGTATGTTCCTCGGCGTATCCTTCCAGTCCTTCGCAAATTTGAAGATAGAGCATTTCAGCATCGCCCTTGAAAGTTCCCGTCAGTTGTTTGTATGCATCAATAGCCTTTTCGATCAGATAGATTTCGTCGTTCGCCATGGAATTGGGAAAGAGGTAAAAGTGACGTAAGAAATCCACGGTGTGTTTTTCCGGATCGTAGTCGCCTTCTTCGGCTTGCAGGGAATATGCGGCTAAGGTTACGCTTTCCAGAGATACTGAGATAGAAGAGTCGAAAGGTGGTAATAAAGTATATAGAAAAAATAGTTACTGTAAGTTCGATAAAATTCAAATTTGTATCTTTCCTAGTATTTTTGTCCAAAATAAGATTGTCATCGAAAACATCGTTTCGAATCTGCAGAAAGTAAAAGTATCTGGTCTGCTCCTCCTCGAAAATTAACGGACTCGCGACGTAAAACATAAATCGCAGGTAAAGGACATTCGTTCCAGCATTTGAGAGCTGTCTTTTGAGAGGTTTGTTCAAGTCGATCCATCGGGGACTTTTGTGTTCGTTTTTCGTCGATCTTGGTACGACTTTCAGCCCGAAATATTTTGTTTCCGTGAAGTTTAGTTTCGCCTGGATGTACTGGATGCAGTCCAGGCCAGTTGGTTTCCCATCTAATGGCCAGTCGAGGCTTGTCTTGTCGAGGAGGACGATTTGCACGAGACGGGAGTTCTTCTTTGCCAAGTTGTACTGCCCCCTGATCGATGGTAAGAATGTAAAGTCAATCCGCGGCATGGCAAGGAGATCATCTCATTTAAATCTTTCCGCGAGTCCGGCAAAAAATCAGAATTCAACGCTCTAAAATTTGGTAAAACAGGTATTTTTCTCGAATAAATTCAGATTTATTTGAAGCATTTTAAACCATGTTTTTAATTTGAAATTATCAATACAGGAAGAGAAAGGGAGAAAAGTACATGTACTGAACAATAAGAACGTGTAGAAATACTGTAGTAACTGTCGAAGAAGAAAATACTGATTGGGCAGAAGGAAGGAATCTTTTCTTGTAGCAAAGATTAGGCAAGGTCAGCGAATCCAACACGGTTGTTGTCGAAGTCAAAAGCAGTGTAATATTTGCCCATAAAGACATCGCCCAGGATCCAAAGAGGCCCAGCGGGTGGTGGAATGTCCATGCCCATAAAGCCGGAGATACACTGTTCTTGACCTACGACAATGTTTATTATTGATTTTTTTTGTTAGGTTACCTTCTGCGCTGAGTTTCATGACATAATCTTCAGGAGTCAGAGTGTAGACTTTTCCATTGAGAGTGAAGTCAATATCTGGCATGATATCCATATGACGGCAGGGGACAATCCACTCTCCATTAGCGAACTGGAAAGCTCCTAAAATCCGTTTGAAAGGATGATAAAAAAGGGGGGGTATTCACCGATAGCATGGTTGATTTCTTCAGCGAGATTCTTCGGGACAGCAAGAAGAGAGGTTCCGGAATCAACAATCACTTGGCAGCCGTTTTCGTTTCCCCCACAAGCTGAGACGCCTTTGCCCTGGACCTCGAAGTTGTCCATTTTGATCTGCCAGTAGGCTTGTCGAGTGACGTCGTTCCACGCAAAATCGCCTGAGAAAGAGCTGAGAAAGAGAGCCTAACAATGCCTGCTTACCTGTAAATCGGGAATTATCAACTCCACCAATGGTCAGTTCTCCGCCATCTTCAGCATTAGCTGTTCTGTTCAAAAAGAAGGCAAACATGCCATCGCTCAAAAGTCCCTGCTCGATCATGTTGTTCACGGGAGGCGTAATCTTGTTGACAGCAATCGAAGGGTAGCCAAGTCCCATGATTCCGTCAAATTTCGCGGCGACGAAAGTTATGCCGGGTTCCTCAACAGCTTCTGCAAATTTCTGGTCCTGGACCCAAACGCCTGCGACTTCTACAGCGTCCAAAGAACAGAAGCCAGAGAGTGAGCCAGATCCGTACTAGAAGAAAAAAGGGCTGAAGTGAGGAAAATGCGATGAATTCTCACCTGAATGGCAAATTCCTGACCATCAGCTTTCCAAGAAGTGGAGGATTGGGAATCATACTTTCGATGAAGCAAGCAGGCGACGTTCGTAAACTTGCATTTGGTCGAGGGAACCCACAAGTTGGAAGAACCCGTGTCGAAGATCACGGAGAATTCCTGAGGAGGAGTTCCAATGTGGATTGTGCCGTAGTACTGGGCGTCCATGTAATTGATAATCGGCTCGCTGTGCCCGTCGCCGAGGAATTTATGTTGGCTACAAATCGAGTCATTTTTTGCCTTCGCTCTTCGTTAAATTTTACTTACAGGGAGTTAGCATAATCTTCATGGGAGTAGTCAATGCCCTTGGATTTAAATTGCTTTCGAAGACTGTCTACCCGTCCCAGTTTGATTGTATTTCCCCGCGGATATTCGGTCCCAGAGGCATCAGAAAAGGCGAGCAATAAGCTGCTCAGAAATTTCATTCTGAAAACGCAAATTTCATTAAAAAACGAAAATTTTCAATCAAACAAAATTTCTGTCAAAAATTTCTCAGTAAAAATGTCATTTTAAAGCGTGGTGTTGATTCTTCTGTACTTTAGTTCTCTCAAAAACAGTCCACTTTCATTTAGGCCAGCGGGGTTCCTGTAAACAATCTTTCGAAAATATTTTCCAGCCAGACATTACTCGCCGTTTTGACTCACGCTGATTCAGAAAATTGACTACTCAGCGTCTTTTTTTCTCTCAGAACGCCCATTTTTTGCAAAAAAAGAGAAACATGATTTTTTCAATAGTGTATTTTTGAAACTGAGAATACTGTAAATAATGTTACTGTAATGCATTTTGGAGTGAACTGCATTTTTGTCAGGAGAAAATGGCGCTTTTTTCAGTAAAGAAAAGGAGATTTTTCGATCCAGAGGATGAAAAAGAGCTGGAAGCAAAAGGAAAAGTTTAGCACAGAAAATAATACTTTTAAAAAGTTGGTTCGGCAATTTTTGAAATGAAAGATGTTTCGCTTTGTTTAGGAACTTGGAGGAGTAATACTGCGATTGCACCACTACGGGGAAATTGGTAGGGTTACAGTTAATTTATAATTATAAGTTAGATGAACAGAGGAAGTTTCTTCTTGGTAGTTCATCCCGTCGATCTTTCGTTCTTCATGGAGCGGAATAGGCGCCGCTGCGATTTCTCAAACGAGCCAGATGGGTTTTGAATCGAAAAGGAGTGGTCGAACAGTTCTGAAAATTGTGTTAGAGATAATTCAAGAGTTTTCAGTAATTTACCTTTTTCATCTAAAGCTTGATAGCTGCTCATGTAGGTAATCAACCGTTCTCGTTTCGTAAACTGAATTCTTTTAGATCGCCAATGGTCAAAATCAGCAATCGGCCCGGTCAACTCCTTCCAGCACTTGAGCTGCTGATCTGCCGCCAAATCGCCCGGATTCATGCACGGCTTCAGTCGGAAATAACAATCTTTCAGGAAAATCGAAAAGATCGGGATGAGGACGGGCGTGTTTCCTTCTGCTTCGAACATCTTCAGAATCACCCTGTAGTTCGAAAAGTTGCCTTGGGGATCACAAATGTGTTGGAGGACTTTGATCTTCGTATCTTCGATTTTGTCCCAGGTTTTGGAAAGTCTTTGGACACAGGGCGACGATAATCCGGCTGTCAGGGCCATGCAGGAATTCAGATTTCCTAAAAAAGTCGTTTGATAATAAGTAGTTCAATAGCAATGAGATAAATCTGTAGCTAATTAGACCTTCGAAGGTAGTTAATCGCTCAGGCTGAGTACTAAAATGCGCGCTAACGGCTAAAAGAGGTAATAAAAACAAGTCCTCAGAGGAAAATCAGGAGCTTTTTCATTAATCGTCATCGCTTTAACGAGTTTAAAGTGCTGTTTTAGTCATGAAAATGTCAATAGTTCGCAAATCATTGTTGACTAGGGGGTTTATCATAGTAAATTTAAAGGAGAATCGCACCTAGTCGGCAACAGGAAAGCGCGGCGTCCAGGAAGAATTCAATCATCTCAACCCGATCTGACAGCTTCTGGCAGGACACGATCTGGCTCGCCACCAATTCTGAGAGTCGCGAGGACCAGCAAAGATAGTGGCTGACGTTGTTCAACGCTACTTTTCCTCGTTCCTTCCCCATCACTTCTGAAATGCCCTCGGTTAGTAACCAAACAGTTGATGGATTTCCTTACCTTCGCAGATTTCCGAGGATGTGATTTTGTCCATTTGATTCTGTTCTAGATAGGTGAGGTGTTCGGCGAAAGGTTCAGGGCTGTTCCCGCTCAGATTCTTCAGCTGGACTCGGGCGGAGCTGGAGCCATTTGTGCAGCCACGATTTCGGATCAGCGACATGCTTAAAATTCAGTTTAGAAAAGGGTTTTTTCCAGTAGGAGCTCTATGCCGCGCTTTATTCTGAGAAAAACTGAAAAAACCTTGTAAGAATCGCCGAATTCACTTGAAATTGAACTTGATTTTGTAGCTCGATAGTATTCGCCTCTTTCATTTTGACAAATTGTCTCTCAAAAAAACTTGGCGGGAAAGGCTTGATATAGCGACGGCATCAACTGATGAGGGAAAAAAATATCGCTCGTAAAAATTTCAGGGCGTTGGGTTGTAATTTCAGGAATTTTCTAATCCACACTTTTTTTATCCAACTCGTCAAACTTGTCAACGAGATCAACGAGTTGACACCTGAGCAGTATTCAAACCCAATTACTTTCTATTAAGGGCATTTCTTATAAAAAAATTGGCTTACCTTTTGTTATGAAAATTGTTTCGTCTTGAGATGACTGGGGATGTCAGAGCATTGCTGGCTGCCCAGCCGACTCTTCGGCTCTCGGCTTCTTCTTCCTTAAAAATTCCGTTAGCTCCAGTTAGGAGTTGATTATCAAAAATGATGTGAATATTTGATCTCTAAGGAATATGTATTAATATTTAAAAGAGTCAACAAACCCCTGTCTTCTTTGAAAAATCGAAAAATTGACCGATAAAAATACCGATAAATTGTCAGTCTAACCATAACCCTAGCCCTAGGAAAAAACCCAAATGTCGTAAGTTAGATTCTCTACTGTACCTCGATTACTCTATAAGTTTTGATAGTTGGTACACAATCAAAAATCAAGCTCATCAATGGGGGTCTTCTTTTTACTTCGTTAAATCTCTATGATTCGCCTAGCTTCACTAGTTCATGTTGACGATTCTCTGATCAGAAAAGCAATAAGTAGTATTACTAGGAAAAAATGAGTATCCTTCTGGCAGTCAGTCCTTTGGCTCCGTAAAAAGTGTACTTTTTATTGAGCAGAGCACTATCTTGTAGTCGTAAAAAGATCAAAATCGCGCGTGTCCCGCGACGGGATCATCGATTCTGTGCGCGCGATCAAACACTACTCCTGGTTGTTTTCGGCAGCTCCTCTTTATTACGCCCCCCGTTGATCGCGAGATTTCATTCCGAGCTTGTTAATTAGCGATTTGAACACACGCTTTTGTTGACTCAAGTGCCGTGTTCTGAGGATCAGAAGGGCGAGCGCTGACGACGCTCTGTCTGCCCCGGAAGACTCTTTGCTCTTTGTTACTTACGATGTTTAGCTGTCCGACGATGTGGCAGATCTCGTTGAACTTGTCGAGGAACTCTTTGTGAGCGAAATCGCGGGGAAACGCGGCGACCCAGTGGTCCATCGCTCCGATTAGCGCCTAAAAAGTGATTATGGTACATTTGGTTCGTCTATCGGGATTCGCGAGCCCTGTTACTGTACTATTGGAAACCCTAAATGGTAGAAAAAGCGATAAGAAAGAGTCTTGTTTCCGAGATAACTCAGTACTTCTATTTTTCGAAGCGACAACCACGAAAGATTAGCTCTTTTCTACTCGATCGTCAGATCTCGCCGCCTTAGCGGAAGTCGTTTACTTCCGAGAATTCCGCAAAGTGCTACCACACGTTTTCGGTTGTAATCACTGATTACAAGTACCCCTGACCGTGTCCCCTAATCAGATTCAAATGAGCGCGCCAAAGTTTTGCGCCCCTTTTCGTAAAACAAAAATATTTATTTGGCGGCGGAGGGGATCATCCAGCTGGTGGTTGATTAACTGCAAAGTCATGTTGCGGAACCGAGGCGAGGCTGGCACCGGTTCAAGATTATTTCTATTCTTTTGGATAAAAAATGGTTGATAAAAGAGAGGCTAAAATTAGCGCTGATGTTTATATTTTTACCTTTTGATTATTACATAAAGAAGCGTCGAAATTAATTGTTTCTGGAATGAATGTAGATTGAACTCGTCTAGTTCTTCTTCTTTTGATGTGTGATTTTAGGGGAGTGGGAGGTTGGGAAGCTGAAACTGCGAGAAGATTGTTTTCTGATTCGGAAATGGTCTTTTTTGGGATGAAACTTTTGCCAAAATTTGATTTATTGCTTGTTGGATTTTTTGGCATGCGCGGCTGTTTCCCCCTTCCTGAGTGTTCTTGAGACAACATCCTGGAGCAGGGCGTAGAGCTCGTTCAGCAAGCCCTTCAAGGAGGACGTTGGGCTGACCGAAGAGTGCCCGCCCGATGAGCAAATAGATCAATCTTTCGTGGTCCGATTCGGCGGAGACATCTCGTAAGCTGTCTGAACGAAAGTTAGCTCGAGCGTCGAGAGTAAGAAAAGTTGGGCGACCTAATTACTCTTTCGTGTTTATTTCTAGGCTGATCAAAAATAAAACTGTCATTTTTGGGCACCTTTATTTGGTTAATCAAAAATAATCCCCGCAAACTCTTTCTTGAACTCCTCCGGTAGTGAATCCGGATCAAACAATTAGGAACCGCAAACAGGGAAAATTTCCCAGCTGCAATAATACCAAGTTCAAATGTTTATTATAAGGGAGGCATACGAGTGACATTTCTCATGTCAAATCTTGTGACAGCCAGAGCTAATATATTTTGACCCGCGGAGGTCAACGCGATCAAAGGGTGTTTCCCAGGTCTAAAAAGGTGTAAGAGCCCGCTGGGTCCCATCGGAGAGGGGTAAATAAACTTCAACTTCAAGGTTTATCGTTTGATAGATGTGATTGTTCAAGGACCACTGGATGTCGCTAAATAGACCAGTGGAGAGCACTTATTGGCAGCTGCCCAAGGAAAATGCCCGTACCTGCCAAGCAAGCAAGGTACGCAGATTTTGCACTTTTCATTTGTTTGCAGCCAAAAATGGACAATTCAAAGTTTACTCAGGTGCTGAAAAAATCATTTTCTCTTGTTTTATTGAGTGATGAAAACAGTGGGATGTTTGAGAATTGTGAATTTATTACTGTTTCTTTTCAAACTGACTAAAAAATCCCGAAGAGTCCGAAAGGAAAATTGAATGGATCAACATATTGATCCGATTATACGAATGACACGAAGGAAATCAGAAAACGAGGGGATCAGAGGGCAATTATCGCGAAATTTGGATTTGCTTGTCGCAAAGAAGTGCACCTGCGTGACCGTTGACGCTTGGAATTTAATTTGAAAGGGCTTGCCTGAGCTGTTTGACTAGTCATTTTGGGACAAGCTACCGGATTTTATCAATGAGAAAATATCATTTCATAAATAAAAAATTGTGCTAGAAACGTAAAAATGCGGATTTCTGTTGAGAATCTTGCGATTAAAATGTTTGTAAACTTGCCCATCCCGGATCAAAGGGCGGTGATGTTTTGGTCAGAAAATGCGGAGTACAACTCCTTATTCGTTACTCGTTCCTTTCTAGTATTTTAAAAAGTTACCTTTTACGAAAGAATCGTTATTCGTTGCTTCAGTATTCACGGATATCCTCGAATTTCGGTATGAAATTCGACTTCCAGCGAATCCAGGAGCTTGTTGTAAAAGAACATCGAGTACCAAGTTCTGCAGCTCTTCCGTCATCTTCTGTCAAATCTCTTGTCACTACGATCTTTCTTCTAACAGCGCCCTCTTTTTCTTTCTTTCTAAAGATCCATCATTCTCTTTCTTGACGTTGATGGAAGAACTCGGCGCTGGAAAAAAGGGTTTGGCTCCCGGTGAGAAAAAAATATCGTGGAAAAAAATTCAGTGGGGTCGCTCTTTTCTGCGCAAGTCCGCGTTTAGCTTGGCTTGAGCTGCGTGGCCCGCGGCGGCGCTACTACGATGCTCCTCCATTTTGTGCTCCTCCACTACAATCTCATTCATTCAATGAAAGCAACAAATCTCATCGCGCTATTGAAATTCGTCACTACGCGCAAGCGAGGCGCAGTCAATTCAAGCGCGGCTACGTTTTTTTCTTCATTCATTCAAGCACCTTGCTTCCATTCATAATGTTGGTAAAGCTCCTTTGAAACCCCGAAGAATAGAGCCTGAGAAATTCTCATCAATTATGGATTTTTTACGTTTCAGAAGTGTCAAGCTGACCAAAGCTTTCATAAAAAAACAACCTTTTTTGAAGCTATGTTTTTTTCGAAATCTGATTGGCCGATCGGCCGAATGGTGAAATCTGATTGGTCCAAAGTTTGGCCAAAACTTTGGTCAAAATTAATGGCAATTTTTAATTCAAAAGTCCTGCTTTTCGGCGGTTTTCTTTGATCTTTTATGATTTCCCAAGCTCCTAAGAAGGTCCTAAAAAAATCGGATAATCCGCCGACTAAAACACCATTATTCTCACTACTAAAATAACATGTTTATTCAAGGTACAGAAAATAAAGTCGAGCAAAGAACATTCATACGACAACAAAAGCCGGGAAGCGGGCGTACAGTGGCTTTCGCAGGGCTAAATATTTGGCGACAGAGTTTAATTTACGCTGATTTTACTGTTTACTCGAACTGCCCAGTTGTCGAAATTACTCGATTTTCCGTTTGGTTTTTGATTGTATCAAAAATTTGTTTACAATTTCAAACGAGGCCACTGAGTTTTTTCCTCGAACTGCTCAAAAAATTCTTTGACAGGTGTTTTGAGCGGGGTGACCTTGATTTAGCCCTGGACAGAGGTGGAATTGGAGAAAGAAGCCGCTCGCTTTCTAGGTCGAAGCATTCGACCGAAATGATTCCGACTGACCCAGTCTGAAAATTAACAATCAAGTTTTTCATAGATTTATGGGTTTGATCTGTACCTCGTATGAAATTCGTTGCTCGCCGCCGAGAATGTATATTCGCTCGTTAGCAATTACAGCGCTCAAGTTGTGCCGAGGGACGGATATTTTAACTTTCAATTCGGTCTCAAGGCTGACTATAAATAACTTCATGTGCTTGATAAGGTCACTATCCTAAAAGCGGTACTCGAGCACAAATTTGCGCGGCGACCGCAAATTTGACCGTGGCCTATCACTTGCCAAATATTGTCCATTGCTTTGTACATCGATATCTTGTCTGTTGATACGTACTCGCTATTCGGCAACCTTTTTTGATGTTTCGAATTGGACGTATGAAACATTGTTAAACAAGTCTGAAACGCATCCTTTCGCGACCACCAATATTAAACAGCTGATCGCGCCAAGCTACTGCGGCTAAGATAAAAAATCAGGGTCTATAAAACCAGCCACGTTTTTTCTTTTCTTATCGAATTCTTATCAACTTGGCGAGGCGTATTGCAAGCACTTGAGAAACACTACTTACCGGAATTCATGACCGGAAAGGGCAGTGGCGGCTGGCGATGCCACTCCTCCGTCTCCAAGTTGAAACTTTCCACGACACTTGAGAACTGGTTCAAGAATGTGCTCCTGTTTTAAACATTCGGCAAAACAGGATTTTTCTTGAGACCAGCGCCTAATCGGTCCAACGTCGATTTTCTTGATCCCTCCAATTAGCCAAATCGAATCGAGATAAAGCGAGCACGCGAAGTGAATTCTCGACCACTTCATTTCTCCAATCGTCGACCAGGAGTTGTTTTCCGGGTCGAACATCTGGACGGGCTTGACGAGCTTGTTATGGCCATCTTGGCCGCCGATAACAATTATCTTCTTTTGGTAAAGAACGCAAGAGTGGTTGTATCGCCCAATTGGCATGTTTTCCAAGGTTGTCCATTCGTCCTCGTTTACATCGTATCTATCCAGGATTAGGATCTTCATGATTATTCTAATTTCACCTGTAGGTTTTCGACGAGACGTTGACTTCCGGAGCTCTTGAATCTTCGTAATCGCCAGAGTAATTACTATCTTCGCGCGAAGCCCGGCAACCGCCAATCACATAGCAATACTCGCCCAGCTTGACAACTTGGAAAGCCATCAAGTCTGACGGAAACTCGCTACATACAAATTTATATCCAGGAAGCACCTTTGATGGATCGTACCTGAAGTGTTCCCAGTGATCGTTATGCTCGCTGAATTTATAAATGACATTGTTCGCGTTGAGCTTTTTGAGATTCCTGCCGCCGAAGAGCATCATTTCTCCGGAACGTGGCGACGCTGTCCGGAAATGGTCCCCGTTCTCCGACACGATCGACGTATTCAGCGAAGAAGAGGAGAGCTCGATCTTTGTTTCTTCAGCAAACTTTTCTTTTTCGTCCGGAGGAAGCAGCGGAGGAACTTTTTCAGGTGGTGGATTGCCGCGGTTGAGAAGCTCCGATCTTTTGTAACGAATGCCGTCCTGAAATCATCGATTATCAAGGAACTTTGGGCAAAATACCTCGCTGAATAAAACTTGCTTCTTTCCATTTATAGCTTTGTGTTTGTACGCGGTCAGTATCAGTTTTTGGCAGTACTCATTTTCGACCAGCCAAGGTTTTTGTTCAACGATTTTGGAAAGTTCCTCCAGCGTCAGATTCTGAAAATGAAACGACTCGAAGGAGAAGAAAACTCACCTCGAGGCGTATTTTAGAAAGCAGAATAGGAATATGCTCAGAGTTTTTGCCCGCTACTTCGACCCAAGCTGCGAATGTATCGAATATTTCTCGCTCATCGACTTCTATTTCATCTTTTGATAGAAGGGCCACAAAACAACCAGCTAGAAAGACTTCGGTTTGCTTTAAAAATGATTTGATCTTACCATGAAACTTTGAAAGATTCGGCTGGAGCTTCAAACATCTGAAATGTCGGCAAAGAAAGGCGATGATCGTGTTAACTGTTTCATGCTCTTCTTTTTCTCGGAAATACTCGAGGATTCCTATCAGCGTAAACCACTCTTTGTCGATCTTTTTGTATGTCTCCATCAAAACTCCGCTAAGCAAGTGCTCGATGAGACCTTCTATTTCCATTTTTGATCCGATCAAAAGAAGAGGCAGCAGCTGATCCCTCCGTAGCGTGATTTCTCCGTAATAAATAAAATCTAAATCTTCGTTATCGATTTTTGAAATCAAGGAAGACTCACCAAGAATAATTTTGAACAAGTCCGCCGTCAAAAAATCGAGCTTGATTTCCTTTCGCTGCATCGAATTCGCGTTCTGCAAGTTTTTCTCCGTCGACAGAAGAATTTTCTTCAAATGTTTTGACTGACTGGCGAGTATTACCGAATGACAAGGGAATGCGACGTTTTCTACTGTGACGAGGCAATCGGTGAGTTTCTTGTCTCGCCAAAGAGCGGCGATATTACGCCACCCTCGTACTGCATGATTTCTCTGGTGCAGAGGTGGTTCCATTTTCTCGTTTTTTGATAATGATGGTTTTTGAATTTTCATTTAGTGACAATCTAAAAAATATCCCTTCTAGAAAACATCAAAGTTAGCTTCAAAGTTCAGACGGCTTGATACTTCAGTCAACTCAAATCAAAAGTACCAAGAGTTTGAGATGATTTTAAGGGTTAGGGTTAAGGTTAGGGTTAGGGTTAGGTTATCAAATGCAGAAAACTTACTGATAAGATTTTTTGTGAGAATAGACCAGATGTCTTTATAAGTCAAATTTTTCCGAGACAAATTTTCCGACCATGTGGTTGATTCCCATCAGAATCCTTCAGAATGTCAGTCCTGACTGATTAGTTATGCAAGAGATGATCATAAGCGCCATTTTTCTAATTTTCAGTGCTTTTGCGCAAGAATGCCCGTAAGTACTTAGACTTCAGTCTCAAGACATTTGATCTTTTATCCTTATGCAGACTCGACTACAATTACTGTAAAATTCTGTGCGAGACTGACTACTGCATAAGCATCTGCGAGCGAGAGTACGACTGTATGATTGATTAATAAGATAAAAACTCATTAATTTTAGTGTGCAATGACAACTGTCCTTGTGAGAAAAACTGCCCCTTTGGCTGCGAAGGCTGCGACAACCCGATCTGTCCTGCTGAGGAATGCTCTGATCCTTGCTACGGGCTCGAGAGCTGCGAGACATTCGTAAACAGCTGTGAAGTCACGCCTTCTTTCAATAATACCATTGCTGAGACTCAAGGAAGCAAGAGTTATAAAATCTCTGCAGATGTCAAATGCGGCGAAATTCCCGACGAGTGGGCGAACATCATTCATGTCAATACAGGAAGTTCTTGGGACGTTCTTGGTGACAGATATTTTGCACTCTTTATCAATTCGACTGACTTGATGAAATTCTGTGGGCCATTAAATTGTTTATTGTAGAAAACTGGATTCAGAAAATACTCATCAAAGTATTATTCACATGACCAAAGGTGGATACCGAGGGGAATTTGGGGACCGCTACTTTGCGGTTTGGCATGTGCCAGATCAAAGGCTTAAAATAAACGGTCCATTTTTAAATGGTAACAAATTTTACGAGGTCGAGTACTTTGCTGAGTGTCAGGAGAATACGTGGACAACAATCTCAATTCAACAAGTTGAAGTCGAGAGAAGGGTGCTCGAACTTTCCTTATTTCAGGATGGCAACCTTCTAGTATCAAGACAGCTTCAGCAAGACGAAGCGTTTATCGGCCCGATTGAGGTCTATGCTGGAAGTTGGGAACTGCAACCAGCGACATTTTTCCGAATCAAGAATTTTGTTCATTCTTCTCGATTACCACAATAAAAATTTTATTCGCTCGAGTCTACTACTTAATTTAAGAAAATTTGCATGTCAAAGGTCTAACGCAAAATTCATATTTACACTGTTGTGGTTTCATAATTTGAACTTTCTCATTTTTGGTCAGTCTGAAGCTTTCCCCGCAATTATGCAAGAGATACGTCAGCCAACTTTCGTTTTGATATTTCTGGGAGCTTTTGCTCGAGCATGCCCGTAAGTTAGTTGATAAACACTTCCTAGTACATCTCAAACAACCAATTTTCATAAGTGACACTGAGCTTGGAGAAGAATGCAAGGACATATCATATGTCACATATGCCGAGTTGAATTTTCTCGCTGTCGACTTCTTTGCGAGAGCGATTACTGTTTGAACCAGAGAAAGGTTCAGAATTTCAGCAGAAGTCTTTTGCGGCGAAATTCCATCTACAGTAGGCTGGAAAGAGTGGCGAAACATTATTCATGTCAATACAGGCACTAATTGGGATGTTTTGGGCGACAGATATTTTACACTATTTATAAACGCACAAGGATACATGAAATTCGATGGATCCTTGAAAGGAGAACAATATGATATGGTCGCTTTTTTCCCAATTTGAACGACTGGCGAATGGAACACTTATACAGTCCAGCAGATTGAAGTTGATGGAACCCTTGAATTATCACTTTCTATTGATGATAAGGTCCTCGGTACTTTTGATGTTGAACTAGAAGATGCATTTTCTGGAAAGCTGTATGTAAATGTCGCAAATGAGTTTCATGGTGCTGCTGACTTTTTTCCCGTTCGCTACTTTTATCACCAAACATTTCAATAAAAAGCTTAACAAAAAAGGTCGATTTATTGAATTATCAGTTTTATATATTTTTCAAACAGCAGGTTAGAGTATGCAACTAGCATTTTTCAAGCGTCCGCCAAACTCTCTCTTGTCGATTACGCTCTTCCTGGTGCTCTTCCTGATGCTCTTTGAGAAACTGTAAAAACAATCGTTGTCGTTGGAGAAAACTCTCTTCTGTTTCTTTCATCGGGCCTTCGATGTACTCTTCTATCTTCGAGATTCTGCGAAATTGCCAAAACTCGAACCAAAAAAGAACAAGTACTAAAAGCGAAAGAACCAGGGCAATCAAACACCCAAGGAAACAGTTTTCTGGTTTCATCTAAAAATTTCAGATGCATCCCTTTTTATACTCGCGATTAATCATTGACAATCATTTTTTAGCGACTTGTCACTAAGTACGTGAACAAACGTGAGAAATTCCAATGGATTCTTGATCCATCGCGCAAACGATTATGCAATTCTTCTCACTAGAAGTCACTTGAATTGATCCACCATGAGAATTTTATTATAGTCGTTTCACAAAATTTGCATATGCGCAGAAACGCAATCATGCCATGAAAATTTCATATTTACACTTCTGTGTCTTCATCGTTTGAACTTTCTCTTTTTCTTTGATCCGCCACCTAAAGTTTGACCCACAATAACTATGAAAGAGATTCGTGAGGCATTTTTCCTCTTATCACTTTTCGGAGCCTTTGCTCAAGAATGCCCGTAAGTTCGTTAAAAGCAAATTTATACCCCTTACTAAAGGGCCCTTAGTAGGGTTAGGTTAGGGTTTAGGGTTGGGTTAGGGTTACTAACCCTGGCTTAGGGGAAGGAGTCCCGTCTGCTAAAATTATTCTTAGAGTTAGGGTTAGGGTTTACTGTATGATTCATACATTATATTTTTATTAGAGACGCGGATCTTGGAGAAGACTGCAAAGACATATGCCGAGTAGAATTTACTCGTTGTCGACTTCTTTGTGAGAGTGATTACTGTCTCTCGATCTGCGAGCGCGAATATGAAAGTAATAATTTCAATTTTAATTGATCATTTCATCAAAAGTATAGTTCGTAAAAACGCTTGTCCGTGCGAGATTGACTGCCCTCTTGGGTGCGAATCTTGCGAGAATAAAATTTGTCCGGAAATCATCATCGACCCCTGCGCTGATCTAGAAAACTGCGAAACCTTCGTCGACAATCGTCAAATCAGTCCTTCCTTCAACAACACTATTGCGGAGATATATGGCGAGAAGAGATTTCGAATCTCCGCAGAAGTGTATTGCAATGAGATTCCGGGATTCGATGAGTCCGATCAGAGTACCAAAAGCTGGCGCAATATTGTCCATGTGAACACTGGTCAAAATCATGCTGTTCCCGGCGACAGATATTTTGCGCTTTTCCTTCACTTGAATGGTACAATGAAGATCGTTGGACCCTTGAAAGAAGGATATCAGAACATGGCTGCGTTTTGGACAACAGGATGTACAACTGAAGAGTGGAATACTTATGGCGTTCAGCAAATTGAGAAGAACGGAACTCTCGAATTGTCACTTTCTATCGATGATGAAGTCCTTGGTACTTTTGATGTTGAGCCAAAAGATGCATTTTCCGGAAAATTATTTGTAAATGTTGCGAATAAGTACCACAGTCCTGCTGACTTTTTCCCCGTCCGAAACTTCTACCACCAAACTTTTCAATAAATTGCTTTAGAAAAGACATTTTTTAGGACTTATTTGATCTTTTTTTATTAAATAAACTTATATTATAATTATTGTGATTGACAGCTGCTATAATGAGCTGCCAGAGGCAGGTTTTTGACAGTATTTTTTTATCAAGATAAATAATGTAAACTGTTGTGCAGTGGTTGAGAACGAAAATTTATCACTCACTTGAAGAAATCTTTTTTATCGGTGCCCGATCCTTAAGTTTGTGTAAATACAGTTAATTTGATAGTTGTTCGCTTTCTGCTTTGAATTTGCAGCTTTCGTACTGAATACACTTGGTTCGATAAATTAAGGAGGTCCTCGCGGTTATTTTAAATTTGCTGAGGACATGGTGTTATCTCTTCGTCGTGCTCTGGAAGACCTCTTCTCCGAGAATTTCGATTTGAGTTGCGCGCAGTTTATTTTCGCGGTCGCTTATTGCTGGTTGAGGAGGTATCGAGGTCCAGGATCGTTGGAGTTCCCTGACATAGAAAGTATTATTCTGGTGAAGAAAGTCCTGAAATTACCTGATATGGTCTCCATATTTGACCTCTCCCCAGTTCATTTTTCGACATATCTCTGGTGAACCTTTCCGCAGGACATTTCGTTGAATCCAACTGTGTTCTCGCTGAGTATCGACGCTCTAAAATGGATGTTATTTACTTTACGATGGAATCTTTTAAAGTAAGCTACTAAGATAAAGGAGGTCCTTTAGGGAACACTATGATCGGATTAAGTACCTCTACGCATTGTTCTTTGACCGCTGCGATGTTCTTCCTGAGCTTCATGACTTCTTGCGCCATTCTCGTGGTGCCAAACGCCTTGATTTTTTCGTTGAACACAGCAAGAAAGTGATCGTAGATCGCCGTGTCGAGCTTGTTCCAGCTGCGGATCTTCTGGCTGAGGACGGGGTCCACGGCGACTCGCTCCGTGCGCGTCTTCAGCTGCAGATACACCAAGTCTTCATCCGTCATGCACATCAGCTCCTAAACACGATCAATTTTGAACGATTTCTAGAATTTCTCGTTCAAACGTTCAACATTCCGCTTCTATGTGAACATTTGACTTTGGGAGATTACAAGGGCCGATCTGCAGATGGCAATAAAGTCCTCGGCTGTCGAGAGGACGGGCCACTTACTTTGAGGAGGATTAGCGACTCTTCGAAATAGTCAGTCAGCAGGACGAGATGGTATGTTTGTTCTAGTTCTTCGATGGCACTTTCGATGTAGCTTGCGCTCTCGCTTTCATGTTCAAGCCCGAGATCGAAGGACATGTAGTTTTTCCCTCTAAAAATAATGATAAGCGGATTCAATGAACTTTGAACTGATTGATTCTATCAGTTGGTGTTTCTAGCTACCTGAAATACCAAGGAGTCTTCTTGTTATACAGTCCGCTTGGATTTTTCATGAAATCAATAATCGTTCCATTTTCTCCAACCCATTGCGGGAAAGGATAATCTCGGAAGAAGCCGAATTCAGATTCGAAGTTTCCAACGGGATCTCGGAGCATGGTGATGAACACGTGATCTGGATGGGTTACTTTTTTAATATCTGGGCCATATCTTCCATGATTTCAAAAAAGGAGTTTTTGCTTAAAATTTGTAGTAAAACTAAACAAATAGCGGAAAAAGAGAAATTATCTTTTTTGAAACGCTTCCTGAAATGGTGGCACATAAGATTGTACTTGGGCAAAATCGGATCTATCAGTTCCGTGTCAAACAAGCCAGGGTATCCTGCCAGTTCCCAGTGGGAGCCAAATGGCAGTCCCGTCACCAAGTGATGTTTCTCCGCATACCGCAGCAGAATATTCGTCAAAGTCGTGCCCCCTGTTTTATGCGTCTGAAAAGTATGTTTTTCGAACTCGCTTTGATGTTTTCTTAGTACCTTGGTAAAGACTAAGTTTCTTCGCGGCACTCCTTCGCAGCTCGGTAAATTCGGCCTTTGATAAACTTTCGGGTGATTGATGTACTCTTCGTGTTGAACTGTCGGGACTCCCTTAATTCGCGGTTAATAAAACATCATCAATAAAAAAATTGAGACAGGTTAAGTGCGAGCTTGTTGAAATTATTTCTTATAGTTTCAATTAGTTTAATGACCAATAAAAATAAAAGAAGATTTGTTTTTGTCCTGAAAAAAAAACCGGGTGTCATAAAAATAGTTTGCCACTGATGAACTATCAGCTATATTTACCCTGCTCATTCTAGCGCGAACTTCGATCTCATAGTTCATCTTTTGCGCCCTTGCCCTTGCCGTGATAAACAGTAGCGCCCCAACTACAGTAGCAAAGGCGATAACGTCTCTCATGTTCCAGCATAGGAGTTTCCTGCTACTCAATCTTTTCTTTTTCGCCCTCATCGACTTTTCACTACTCGGCTGTCCGCGAGCAGGCTTGAGCTCATCTCTGGCCCTGATTTTCGAAAAGACGAAATCAAAAAAAAACTCAAAATTGGAAGCTTAAAAATTTGAGCGCCGCGTCCTGGCAGCGTGTCCGGCGCAATTTAAGAAAATCTGAAAAAATTAGAGAGAGATTCAAGAGCACCGCCGCCGACCGCGGATTTTCAGCGACACGAGCGCCAAATTTTCACCTCCAAACATGGCTCCCGGCGCATTTTCTATCATGTACTGCAGGAATAGGTTTTACAGCTTTCATGGATTAGCCGCAAACGGGGCGCCAAGGAAATACGGATTCTGGATTAAATATCTCCGGCATAATTTATCTGCGCTCCATGATTTGGGAAATTAGGATTTTCTAGCGCTTTGTTTTCAAGATTTTCAATGCCCAAGCTCAGCAACCTGTTTCAAAACCTGAGTCAGGGTCTGATAAGATTTTGACTAAAGAGCCGCACAGCGGCATTTTTCTAACGAAGCCGCGGAGCGGCTTTGCCAAATTTATCCTCGATTTTTGAGACACGGATCTTCTTGGACCCTGGGTCAGGTTTCTACACAGTTTCCCAATCTCAGCTTGAAACGACCTTAAAATCAAAAAAAGAGTCATCAAAAGAGACGACATACGGCTTTTCCCTGCACAAACTAATTTCCCTGCAACATGTCAAACAGAGAGAAAGGCGTAATCAAGACAAAGGAGCGTGTGGCTGAAGATGCACCAGAAAATTGTTGTGGCTCGAGCTACAATAGCGGCGACCTTTCGCGGTTGCGCCATGAAATGTCTCGCAGGGAGGTTTTTTAGGATTTCTTAACATTCGTCTATATTATAGACTCTATAATTAATGAGTTTAAATTTTGGTCTGGATTTTTTCAATCCTTTGGCTGTTAAAATCATGTTTAGGCAGAAATAATTCATGAACTAGGAAAAACGCTCAATAAAAAAATAAAAGATAAAGAAGTGTTAATTTTTTTATGATTTGTACCGAGAAAATAAACTTACCACGGGAGCTTCGAATAAAAAATCAGCGAGTGCGCCTTTTTTGTTCATCAGCAAGTGGATATTGATCATCAGCACCAACATAAAACAGACAATCGTGATGAAGTATTTGCTGTCCCATCTTCTATAAACAATTTTCATTTTTACGCTTTTCTCTTTGCTTTTTTTCCCAAAAGAATTTCAAAGAAATTTTCTCTAAATCATAAAAAGTCGACGATGATTTCGGAAATTTCGATTAATTTATTCACGCCTGGTCTCTTTTAAAGCGTAACTTGAGCCGCTTTAGGCTTATTTTTATGATGCGCCGCAGAAAATGGAGGAAAAACGGGCAAATATTCACCGGCAAACGTTTGCAATTGCCATAAGCAAAAGAGCCTGACTTTGATTTCGAACATTTTATGAATGAAAAAAAAGCTTACAAAAGAGAAGTAATTTTAATCAGTTTTTCAGATGTTCAAAAGCTTGAATTTAAAAAATGAAAATTATCAAAAAATTTAATTATTGATAAAGATCGAGAAGCCGCTTGCGGCTTCGAGAAAAAAACTTTAGCCGCGCAAAGCGCGGCTTTTTCTTTCTTTTTTTCTCGAAGCCGCAAACGACTTCCCGATTCTTACGATTTTAATTATATAAAATTATTTTATTATTAATAAATTATAAACAATAAATAAGGTTTACCTCGGCAAAAGAAAGAAGCATAATCTCGTGCGTTTTAATCTCTCTATGTCTACCCTAACTTTCGTCGCTCTTGACATTTTAAATCCGGAAAACGAAACGAACGCAAACGTCTAACTACTACGAGACTGATGGGCTCTTTTCCGGTCATGCTGCGTCAGGCTCTTGAGCTCATAAACTTGATTTAATAATCGGTAATTAAACAATATGCGCTGTTATTACATTGGCCGCTTGGTCGGTCAATGCTCGTGCATTATCCCTAACGCGTTTTTTCATTAAAATGTCAAACTTGAAGGCTTTTCTTTGTATTAAAGTCAGCATTATTTGCCTTTTTGTTCACACGAAATTCATACCATTTCAGGCGAAAAAACGACTTTTCTGGTAATTTTCTTCAAAAATCAATCAAATTTAAAACTTACCCTTTAGATTTCTTGACACTGTTGCGTCTCTGTTTCGACATCGCTGTATCTCCTCGATCGGCAACGTTAAATAGCTCGGTTTCAGAATTTTGAGCGCTGGAATTTGACCCTAGAGAAACAGTGTCGGACATTCAGCGGCATGCATTCTTCTTTTCTGAGCCCCTGGGCGTTCTAAATAGCTTTTGTAAGTTGAAGATTTGAGCATGAGTATTTTGTTTCAGAAGAGTTCATTTTCAAAACTTGAAAGCTTGACACATTGTGTAAATCTATCCATCTTTTAATTTGAATTTCGCAAAATTGGCAGCGAAGTCAGAAGCGAAGTTTGTTATGAAAACAATAAATGAATTTGATAATCGAACATTTTCTGTCCTTCTAAAAAATGATTGTATGAAACAAAGTGACTAGTTAAATTCAATTGCACTTTTGGCATTCTTAACTTAATCGTTCTTTTTTATTAAAAAATTAAAAGATTAAAAATTATATTTCTAACAATTTTCAAAAAAAAAATCGAGAAGAAAATCTCAGAAGGTCTGTAAACTTGACCGCAGAGCAGCTTTTTTTTGAACATTTCCGTGCACCTTAAACTTCAAGATCAAGGAAAAAAACCTGTCGGCCGCAATCGGCCAAAGCTGCAGATGGATAATCCCTTGACTGAAGACCCACTTACATTTATCTTTAATCTGGACGCTTCTTCTGACTTCTCCCTTCGTTACTTTTCTGTCTTCGCGATCTTCCAATGACAATGGCTCTCAAACTAATCGCTTCCGTCTTTGGACTCTTGAGAAATTGGCAATACTTTAAAAAGAGTAACAACAAAAAAGGAGTGGTGTTACTCACTGCTCAAGGCCCCGGAGGGTTGGAGCACCACACCCAACCTCCACCATACATTTCACCCATAACTAGACCGCTCAAATAAATACCACACGGAAGAGCCAGTCAGTCTAGTGCCCACCAAAAGTTTGGACTCTGAGGGCTAATGGTTATTTTAAATAATAAATACTTTCTTCTGATAAAAGCTTTATCTGTCTATTTTTAGAAAAGGAAACTCAAAGGTGAAGTTTCATATTTGCAAACAAGAATAATTTATTCTCAATAATGATAGTTCTTCTTACATCTTTGGAACTTCCTCCGGAGGATTTATCATGACATGTGCAGATGCAGATATTTGAGATAGAGATTTAAATACTTCTTCTTTCAAATATTTGAGTTTGTCTTAAAATTTCACGGACTACCTCATCATCGTCGCGTTTCCAAGATAAATTGATATTTGCAAGAATTCGAATTTCGAACGATTATTTTTTTGGAATGAATATGAGATACATGGTATAAGATGGTGAAGTACGCGAAACAAGTCAGAAAGGCAAGTTGGTGGGTCATTATTACGTCGATTTTGCTCATAAGGAACGGTTCGAACTTCATAATTTTGTGAGAAAATCTAAGAGTGAAATATTTTTGAGAATGCAGTTCTTTTTGCCTTAAAATTAACATTTTCCATCTAAGCCATATAATATATAATAGGGACTTTCACGGAAAAATCAAGGTGCTCCGATAACTATGAAAATTTATCATCTAGTACAGTTTTTTTCGCTGATTCCAAATATGTACTTAATTTTTACATAAATCCACATGGTGGCGCGTGAGAGCGCTTCAAACTTTCGAAGATGGCACCCCTTATACTAGCCTTTCAGGTTATTTCATTCCACAAATGGTTTGAATAAAGTAATCTTGCCATCAAACCTCTTTCTCGTGATATTTTCTCGAAAGAGCTGACTATTTAAGCCTTTAATAAGCCTGAAAAGCTCTCAGAACAAGCATTTATTTTTAGCGCTGTCTCACAGCGAGGCGCGCTAATCTTAATCAATTCACTGAGCGGAAATAAGAATAAATAGTTTATTTTGATCAGTATTAGGCAGTAAAAACAGCTGTTATCATTCTTCACAGCTCTTTTAAATCGAAGGAGTATTCTGCATTTTGACTTTCCATAGTGTACTTGTTTTTCTTATCTTCCTCGATTTCATCTCTTGTTGTGAGCCCTTTTTCTATCAATTTTTCTTCGGCTTCCTCCAAAGTTAATTTCATTTCATATTATGTGCTTTGTAAAAATGCTCAAGAACTTGCAGCAAGAAATCGAACCACTCATTTTGTCACCTTCCACCGAAAGGTTCGGCCCTCGCTGCGGGCGATGCTGCTCCAGGCCCTTCGCGCGGTGCCCCGCGTCGCGCGAGTTGCGACATGCCTCTAGTTATCTGAAGATTTCAAGCGGCTAGTACGCCCAAGTAAAAATATTTTTTCAGAGATTCAAGGGAAGTGTCTGATAGAGAATATATCGAAAAAAGAGTGACCTGGCAAGGCATGGTCTATATAATTCACCTCTTTGAAAGATAAATTTCGTGTTTTTCATAATATTCAATATTTTTTTGCCAATTTTTCAATCATATTTGGAATCAGCAGGTAAGAAAACATATGTTGTCTGAAAAAACAAGAAAAATCGATGACTATTTCGGGTAGTTGGGAAAGCGAAAATTGGGCCCTGACGCTCCCGTGATAGTCCCTAATGGGCCATATTGAAAATTTGCAATTGTTCCAACGGAGCTTGATCAACAGGCCACCTTTGATTGCGTGAGCAGTAAGCTGTAGCTAGAATAAATTAAATTGCTGTGCGGCATTGCACCAGAAGGCTTTTTTCATTTTTCCTAGACTGCTTTCCACACCTTTGCCCGGTACACTTGTCGTCTAACCGCAAACAGTCTTGACATCATTGTCGTCACCAATCAAGCACTATTCGACTTCATGCCCTCATATGGGATAGGAATGATTGCAGGATGTCTGGGAGTTCTAGCTGCATTCCTTGGTCTAAGAGCGTCGAAGGAAAAGTCGGCCGTGATATTCTTTAGCAGCTTTAAAAGAGTCTCGATTCTGGCTACTTTTGGTGCGATTTGTGCAATGGGAGGTGTACTTTGGCTTGGGATTATTTTCTCAATTCATGTAAGATTCAAAATCTTCATACGCATCAAAATATCGTCTCTATTAGACCGTTTGTTTGGAAAAAGTCGATGTTCCGCTGCACTACGACTCGCTTTTTCTCAATCAAACTTGCTACAACTTCGTGGACGACTGGACTTATGAAAATGAGACCAGCATCGATTCAACCGATGATGGTGAATTCATCTTAGAGGAAAGCTTTTTCAATAGCGAAGCATTGTTCTTCGGAGACTTGGACTCTCGCAGCAAAGACGTGTTTTTTTTAAGGTTAACGAAGTTTTCCAGCCCACTTCCGCCTTACAGACCCCCCAACACCATACCTTTTTAGAATCACCAGAGAATTTTAAGAACTTTGATGGTTTTAGATTCTAGAAAAGTCCACTTCCGGTCGATTCTAGAGCCGGAAGTTGACGAAATTTGGGAGTACTGGTAGAGTGTAACCTATCAAATCGATGCCCAGAAGATTTTGAGTCATCCTATGATCAATATATCAGAAGACACAGTCTCAAACGTGGCCAAACCGACCGGTAAAATTATGTAAAAAAGCCATAAATTGATGATTTTTTTTCAGTTTTATTCGGTTTGTCTGACCGCGGTTCGGGTTAGTTACCCTTCCAAAAGACTAGAAATTTCACAAGCTTTAATTTAATAGGTCACATGCATGCCTTTATTAAGTTTTAAGCCAACTTCCGGCTCTAGAATCGACCGGAAGTGGACTTTTCTAGAATCTAAAACCATCAAAGTTCTTAAAATTCTCTGGTGATTCTAAAAAGGTATGGTGTTTGGGGGTCTATAAGGTGGACCTGGGCTGGAAAACTTCGTTAACCTTAAAAAAAGCACGTCAAAGAAGGATCTGGAGAGTATTCAGGTAAAGTTCAACTGTCTTGAACATAAATTGAGATTGCTAGGCGACGGATCCGGGGAAGAGATTGACATTTTCGAAGAGCGTTTTTCAAGGCCAGGTAGGAGGATTATTACGGTTTATTAATTGTTACCCAACGCTATGTAAAAGATAATTTATTTATTTAAGCCTTGGCAAAGACGTATTATTTCTCTTTGTTTACGGAAATAGTCCTTCTTCTCATTGATTTCATAATACTCATTCTACTAGCACAATCTGCAGGATCACGGGATATGATAATACTAGAAATTCTCACTAGTTTCCTTGCACGTCGAAATATCTCATACAAAGGATGCTGTTTTTGCTGCGAAGATAATTCCGTGGATCCTATGGAAAGCCAGAGAACCTCCTATGTGGAATCTGACGCAGATTCTCCGTCAAATGACAGCTCGTCAGAGGAAGATTCAGATTCAGAAACCGAAGCTTAACCCAGCCAAAAAGCTGCGATGTCGATGGAAATTTGATGCCCATCTGTATCTGAAGACAATTTGTCTCCCTCCTTTTTAATTGAAAACAACACATGCCTTTATATGGGGCCCGTGGTTGATATTCTCATATCATACACAAGCCAAATACACATTTTTCAAATATATTATATTTTCATAAAAGAATTCTGTCTAATAAAGATTTGTAACGATATTTTGATCTCGGCTTGAAGAGAAGGTCAGTTTTGTGCTTGAAATGTATAAATTGAATTGAAAAAAAAACGAGGAAAAATTAATTGGAACTAGATGTAATGAAAAGGTATGAATGCAAAGACTAACACAATGGCTGGATGGCTGGATTGGATTTGTTGAAATTAAAATATACTAAATCATTTTGTAGGTCATTTGTACAGATATACATTCATGAAATGGGAGAGCAGGTCGTTCTTGGATCATTCGGCAATGGTTTCGTTCAGAGAAGTGTCTTATTCTAGCTTTAGGTCTATTCGTCGGCGAGTTTTCCCGGAATGACTGGCAGAAGAAGCTGCAACTTTCGAGTGATAGACTCTTAATTTACTGTCAGCTTTCGTTTATAAAAGATTTCTGTACCTGTGATTCTTTCGCAGCCATTCGCAAAGGCTTTAATACATCCACACTTGTCTAGCCAGTCTGTTTTCTTCCATAAATACCAGGGAATTATTCCGGAGAACATCATTCCGCAGCCGATCAAGGTATCGACTGGTTCAGTTACGAGAGGCACCACAATCAGGAGGGTGCACATGAGAGTGAAAATAATCGGCCAGGCGAGACTGAATTTGATGGGTCTCGGGCGATCCGGTTGTGTGAAGCGAAGGTAGATTTGACCAGCGACGGAGAGGCCAACAGTAAGCCAGTACGTGAAGCTGTAGTAGTTGACCAAATCAAAGACATTTGGCACGAGAAGATAGAGGATAGTTAGAAGTCCGGTAAAGATCATGGCTGAAAGAAAATTCCGTTGTCAGGGAAGAAAGAGGAAATGATCGGATTTACCTGGCGCAGGAGTACCCGAGTTTCCCTTGAAAGTAATCATGGAAATCCACTGAGGCAAGTGGCCTTCTCGGGATCCAACCATAAAAAGACGGCTTGAAGCCATCATGGACGAGTTCAAGCCGCCCCAGCAGGACATGGCGACGCAGATGGGGACGCAGATGCCGCCGATGGAGCCAAGTGTACGAGTCGCCATATCGTTTGCAAGAGCCGCCGAAGACATGATCTCGGATGGAGTTAAAACAGCGAGGTAAGCGACGTTAATGGAGACATAGATGAGAATGACAATGGGCATAGAAATCCAGATCGCCTAAGACTAATTACTCGTTGAGCTAACCTTATTGCTTACCTTAGGCATATTGACGAAGGGATCCTGAAGTTCTTCAACTAAAAAGTTGAGAGTATCCCAACCAGAGTACGAGAAAAGTCCCTGATACAAGCCGATAACGATGGAAAGTGGATCGTATTTGGAATTTGTCCAGGCTCCGGTGGTGAAGTTAGTCACTTGCCCGGAAGAAGTAAAGAAGAGGTAGTAAAGACCAGTAAAGACAAGTACGATCAAAGCTGCTACTTTTGCATAGGCTAGGAGTAAAACTAGAGAGGGAATTTTTAACGGACCAATTACCGAAGACGTCAGTAAGGCGGGTGCCGTAGCGAACATTGATACTGTTCACATACATGATTGAAAAGATACAGGCAGCGGCAACAAGACGAGTCGAGAGCATATCTGGCTCGCAGTTTGGATTGAAGGGCTGGCATTGGGTTAATTTTGTTGAAGAAAAATTTGCATTTACCTGAAGCAAGTACTGTCCAAATGTGATGGCGATTGTGGCTTGAACTGTAGGTTCGATAACAAGAACAGAAATCCAAAGTCGGAGGAAAGCAATAAACTCGCCAAAGGCTTCGAGAATGTAGGCATAGGAAGCACCAGATTTCACGATAGTTGTTCCAAGCTCAGCGTAGCAAATAGCGCCTATCAGCGAGAAAAGACCAGCGAAAGACCAACTGATGAGCGAGAGCGCGGGGGAGCCGGAAGCAAAGAGAACAGCGGTTGGCGTCAGAAAAATTCCAGAGCCGATGATATTTCCAACAATTAGAGTAACACCATTTCTAAAATTCGGTAAAATAACGTCGAATCAGGTTCATTTACCTTAGCGTAATTTTCTTCTTCAGGCTGTCACCACCGCCCCCTACTACGGTTCCTTCTGTACCCATTTTTCCGCAGTTAAACGACCCTTTCTTTTCTCACTCTAAAACTGTAAGTAACAGGCTGCCCCAACGCCCATTTTTGCAATCAGTAAATTTTGTTGTCTTACAGAAGTCCAGGCAAATACACATGAATACACAGAACTTAAAAACACGCGGAGAAAATACATATTTTTTGTTATATTAGCAGTAACTGACAGTGATCGATTTTATCTTTCTTTGATTCCTTTTTTTCAAGTTTGAAAATTATACTTTTTTTCGTGGTTTTTTGAAGAGATTAAAGTTGAACATGTCTCTTTTGTTTAAAATTCAAAAATATGATACAAGTTGAAAATAGCTCTTGAAGCACAGCGGGTATCTTACGCAATGTAAAGGTAAATCGGGGCGTCATCTGTCGAGTCTGGACTCGTTTCGATGAAGTTTTTCTCTAGCAGACTTTTCAGTGTGGTTTTCATGAAAGGCGTGGTTGGCATGAAGCTACCCTTCGCTTCTTTCTGAACCTCGATCAGCAGCTCATTATATGTCGCTTGTCTGTTTTTTGGGGGTGAGGAAAAAAATTCAATTATCACTGTCTAGGGAAACAGAAACAAAAAGTCTCGAAAAGATCTCAACCTCTTGCCTGATACGCTTCATGATGCGGCTAATAGCTGCTTGGAGCCAATATTTTCTATCTTCTTGAACTGTTTGGAGGACATTGGCTCGTTCTTTGTCGCTCATACTGTTATCTACAGACAAATGCTAGTTATGAAATAAAATTAAGAAATGTACCTTTCTGAGCGTTTGGCGTCAATTTAACTTTTGTGCCCTTCTTCTCAAACTTGTCATTTATCGTCAGGGTTGTATACTCCGTCAGATCTCCTCCACCGAGAACTATCAAGAGCTCGTTGTCGATCAGAGGTCTTACTTGCTGAAAAAGGGTTGAAGATTAGGTAGATTTCTGAACCCACCTTGTGGATCTCCTTCGTGTCCAGATCCGTGTGATCAGACATTTCCTTGACGGACATGTTTTCCCGGTGATTGAATGCCAGTAGGATTGCAGTTTGATACGTAGTTACTGTCAATAACTGGACCTTGGGAGTCTTGTTAGTTTTCAGCTCAGCTATGGACATGTGATACAGCCACGTAAGTCTGCGTTGATCTTTATGCTTCTCTCTAAAGGACGATTTGAAACGATAAATTCAACGACAAGTACTTACTCATAATATTTCTCGTAGCTTTTGACTGATATTTCGAGTTCCTTTGGAATCGTGAACGAGTTCGGTGCCTTGTTATACATGACCGTGGGCCAAGCAGATTTGCCAAGAACTTTAACATCAAGACCTGATAAAAGGGTTGACTTTCAGGTTTAAAATAAAGCAAAAGTACCGGAAGATGCATAATCTTTTTGGTGGTACTCGCTCATTTGAGTCTGTGAGAGAATAATGTCGTCGTACATTCGCTTGATTTTCGATGTAAACTCGTACCTTCAATTTCATGATGCCAATTTTTTCCCGAATAAATTACTTACAGACAGACTTCTTTCAGCCTTCCAATCATCATTCTCTCTGATTCGATGCATGTGCTGTGCCCGTAGATCAATCTCTTGGCAAGTCTTCGTGAATAGCTTGCTAAAGGCAGTCATTTAAAATTAGCTTCTGCTTAAATTTGGGTCAGCGTGGGAAATTGTGTTCCTATGGCACGAACCATGATATCATCGATGGTGAAAGGTAACACATTGTTGGGGATGATGAAAGTTTGCGCGTTACGTAACTGCAGTGAACTATGACGCCTTTGTTTAAAAAAAATGTCGTTTAGTTCTTTGAAAAATGTTCTCGTCCGTTACACAGAAATTGCGAAACGAAGAGAATCGAAAACCGTCGGTTCCTTGGGTTCACCAAAGAGGTCACTCCCGTAGATATCCTTGAGACCCCGGAAATAAGTTATTGGAAATTCGAATATGCGCTCAAGCTGACAGATGGCTTGGTGAGTCTGAGGGCTCGCCTGTGACCTTTAGGTTATAAATATTCTTCTTTCATATCTTCTTTCATATGAAGATTGCGGAAAGCCGTTTTTCATGAAGTAACTTACTTTGGAAGATATCCTTTTCAGCAACAAATTCTAAGCATTTTATTATCTCGTCGATCTTATCCACGACTTCTTCTTGCCCCTTCTTCTTCAAAATCAAATCTGCGTAGTGAGCCAAATATTCAGGAGCGCGCGATCTGTCGTTTTCGTTTTTGGGATCTTTGTAGTTAACTGTTTGCTGGGTTTAGAAAAATCAAGGAAGAGATTCTCTCCGAAAAAAAAGAAATATTTCAAAACCGTCACGATAGTTCTCATAGCATCCTTGAGGCTCTCAAGAAACTGCTTATCAGGTTGCAATACTGCCATGCTTTCAAGAGCATCGTACGCTGTTTGAAGCTCCATTTCCGGTTCATTAACGAATACCTAAATAAAATTCAGTCATCCCTTTTTCCACAAATGAAGGAATCCTACCCGATCAACGAATTTCTTGTATTGATCGTAATGATTGCATGTTGCTTCGACAAACTCCTTTGGGTTCTTTATTTTCTTGATTTTTCTGACTCCGATTTCTTCGACGTATTGCTTGAACATCTTTACTAGCTTTGAAAGTGGATCTTCCATGTCTTGGAAGAGCCTGTAGAGTTGATTTAGCTGCTCAGCGTTTTCTGTCTTTCAAATTGGCTTCAAAGCTGATTACTTTCATAAGGAAAAAAGGGCTAGAACTATTCGTTTGTCGGCCCATTCCTTGACCATGGTCTCACCAGCTTCGAGCAAAAAGTCCAGAGCGTCATAAATAAGCGACTTGACAAGACACTCCTTCTGCTTCTGAACCGTCGATCGATCAAAAAGTGAAAATGCCCGCCGGTCCTCTATTTTGATAATGTCGAGTACCCGCATGATGTAATTCCCCACGTCTCCTTGTGCTAGAATTCGCTTCCCTTCCTGGTCGTAAAAGGATGATGTTGAAGCGAGAAGGCGTTTTTCGAAAGCGTTCTTGATAATATTGAAGGAGACAATTTCTAAAGGAGAATTTACCTGGTAAAGATCCATGCGATTTCTTTGTTTGTGGTGACAGACGTCCATGAATGACTTTACTACTGTATGAACTTGGCCTCTTTGTACATCTTGAATCAGGCATCCTAGATTTCAATCATCAATAATCCCGAATTCTTCGAAAAGAGAAGCTCACCAGATCTCATAAGTTCAATCAGATTCAAACAAGCATCAACGAGCTTATCCGCCATTTTATCAATCACAAACTTTCTCCATTTTTCAAAGGCAAGATGAGCTACTGACAGGGCGAATTCATATTTATCCCTGTTGTCGACCAAATGTGCTTCCACACTGGAGTAGTTGAGATTGTGGACGTGGTTTTTGTTCAGGTACCGGCAGACGTTGTTTATATCACCAGTCGCTTTCTGAAAATTTTTGATATTGAATGACGGCATTTTGCGGCAGATTAAGTGTCCAGAGGGACGGAAAATGGTTATTATGACGTTTATATAAGACCCAATAATATCATTTACCTGATAGCGTGTCCATTTTTCCGTATATTCTTCGAGAAGCTGTTGGCGTTCATATTGACACAGCATCGTTGCTTTTTCTTGCGATTTTTCTTCGAAGTAATTTGAAATGTTGGAGTAGAGTTCTTCTGACTTGGGTTCTGGGTTCGCTGTACAAATCCTGTACACACGTCTAAAAAAATAAAAACGACCATTAAAAAGCATGCCGCTTACCCATATTGGCTTTGATAATTGTCTCTGTCCCATCTTTGAATAAAAGCACTGTCGAGGCTCTTTCGAAACTCACTCCATTCTTGATCAAAGTCGATCTCCTGAGGTTGGAGGCCAGATGGTTGCGACACCATCTACTTGTTAAATGGAGTCCCTTTTGGACGGCAGCGGAACTAAACTCTTGTCATTGACTTTGAGCGGTACAAACAAGGAATTCTAGAGAGCAGAAGAAATATCAGTGATAGTGCGTCAATAACATGTATTGTTGATAATTGGCAGTGTGCAAATTCGACTGGCAAAAATGTAGAAATTCTAGAGCTGTCAAGTGTCGTCTTTTTCTGAAGTATTGGTCCGATAAAACGCCTTTCCGAATTTATCGGCGATTCGGCCAGCCTAAAGCGTTTTAGTGACAGGAAAAGGAATTCTGCTTCTACCTCTCGAAGACCAGATAAATAAGCCCCGTGGACAGTTGCTGGATACTTTCGCATAGTGTGCTCCCCTGCGAAGAAAATTCCAGTATTCTCGTTTTCGACTGGCAGTGACAGCATGTCATAATCTAAAGTAGAGCCGTAAATTCACTGTTCAACCTTTTTATGTGTTTCACCGCGTCCTGATGCGCCGACTTTGATGTACGAATACGCTCCTCGAATAAACGGATTGCGCTTCCATCCCGTCACTTCCGATCTTTTCAGCTTGGTAAAAGTGACCTTTCCTTGACCAAAAATTTCCTTGAGGAGCATCATCGCTCGTCGAATAACGACATCCTTACAAACTGTCCGCAGTTGCTCACATAATCCCGAATTTCACGTGATCTCAGACCCAAGCCAAATGGTCAAATAATGAGAACCTGCACCTGTTTCCGCTATATCCGCCGAGCTACCTGCAAACATTCCAACCAGAACTGGATCCTTCTTGTTCAACGACCAGAACATGTAAAACTCTCCACGGGAGTTTGGAGTCGGTCCAATCTGAAAAGCGACTGATGCCGTGCCCGATTTTAGGTTCTTACGGTTCCAAACATGTCAACTCGGTCGTCCCAGAATCGATCTTCAAAGTGCATCACTATTTTATTCAAATTTCCAAAACCAAGTCGCTCGATCGAAGCTTTTTTGAATTCCGGAAGCGGGGGGATAAAGTCAATCTTTTCCGCCTAAATTTTCATCATTACCGGACTAAATAATCAGCTTTACCTTGAGAACTCCCAGAGGAACGGTACAAACAACAGCATCGAATTCTTCCGTGGTGTCTGCGTCGTCTTCGCCTTCCTGATTCGTGTTCTCTTGTCCTTGTTTTTCTTTGCTCAAGTCGCGAAGGGTTACTGCAGTCTTGTTCGTTTTCATTTCGATTTTCCTCACACTGTGACCCCATTGGAATTCGACAGCTTTCGTTTGACCATGTCCCGAATTTTCTCCGTTCTTCTTCGGCATTCCAGGAGGAGGTACACCCTTGGCATGATCAACAAGGCTATGAATAACCGTGTCGTAGCCGTCTTTTACGGCGAAGTGAGGACCAGGAAACTCAAAAGCATCGTCTTGATCCCAGTTTTTGAGCGAAAGGTCGTTGATTTCAGCAGAGTTTGCATACTCGAGATTTGCAATGTGCCAATATAAAAGACGGTATTCGAAGAAATTGAGGAATTCTGCTGGTGGCGGATTCTTCTCCTGAATAACGCAATTATCATCAGTTGATCACTCTTTCCGCTAGGAAACCTGTGTAGAAACTTGAGTCAGACCAAGCGGCCTTTTCTCTATCACGAAGCTAACTCAGTTTTTCACAGGTTGCGGAGCCCAGCTCTAGACAGCGAAAAAAAGACTTACTAATTGTTTGATTTCGTCCGTTATTGTCGCCTTCTTTTTCTCAATTTCTCGAAACTTCTTGATGAAATTCTCCAGCTCAACCTTGGTCTTGTTTATGTGATAGATATAGATGCACTTTGTATTGTTATCCGTGGCTTCTCGATCCTTCTGCTCGAGTTCGATGATTTCTTGATTCGTTTCGGCAATTTGCATGATCAACTTGCTCCCTTCAGTTTCCAGCGAGTACAAATGCTCGTGTTTCTTCTCGATGCGTTTTTGATGGTTAATGTAAGCTTCGGTGCATGCTCTTCGCTGATTTTCGAGGACTTTTTCGACCACTGCTCCGAGAGAAACATCTCTGTCCTTCAGCTTGTCGGATTTTTTCACCTTCGCGACGGCCTAAAAACTGATGAAGAGCAAAAGAAATTAAGCATTCAGTACCTCTAGAATTTTGTTAAACACAGTTTCGATCTTCGTATCTATTGCTTTTGTGATTTCTTTTCCGTCAACATACAGAGGACATTCATTCTTTATCTTCTTTAGGTCGATTTTGAACTGTTTGGATAGCGTATTTATTGGATTGCCAGGAAGGCCTGTGACGATCATTGCACCTAAATCAGCAGTTGCAGCTTCGCCCCTTCCGTTTTTCATCCGCAGGGAAAGAACTCGCCCGCCAAAGCGCTCCATTGCTTCGACTACTTTCACTTCAAATCCCAAGTACTTTAGATGATTGGCGCAGGCGATCCCAGAAATGCCCCCGCCGACCACCAAAATCTTCTTTCCCTTTACATTCGTGTGCTTCGCATGGTCGCTACCCTTGACTTCAAAAACGCCGTGATTGATGATGCCGCGGCGGGAGAGAAAGAACCAGATACCGGCCAACAGCTCGGAATTCATCAATTCTTCTCTTTCCATGATTTTCGCAGCGTCTTCTACTGTCACTTCTCTCTGAGGGTTGATGAACCAAAGCATCAAAATTCTGTTCCGTAGCGCGAGGTAGATATTTGCGTTTCTCGCTGCGTATTCCGGAAACGCAGCTTTTTCTGGAAAAGAAAGGGTACAGAAAGCTGTAGCTAAAGAAACAAACCTTGAGGAGACATGACAGTTGGGGACAGTCGTGCTTCAATACAAGCTCCTTCAACTGATGTATCTGCCGGTAGCGATTCTTGATTCAGCGATCTGTTTGTTGGAAAGCCCGGAATCGTCCGCGTCCCGATATTCTGATAGTTCAGTACCATTTTCAACCCACTTTTTCAATCTAAAAATTAAGAATGTACTTATCAATGTTTCTGGAAAAATTCACGGAGTAGAATTGAGTTCAATTGCGTAAAAATGATATGGCTCCTGAAACACCAGCGCTTTTAGTGACGATAAGTCTCTCTGCTGCTAGCAATTTGAATTGTATAAAAAGAGCCAGGTATCATTCCCTTCTATTATTCAACGAAAAAAGTCTAAAAATGCATATCGCAAGTCTGATCATCTCCTCTCTTTCAATAGCCACATCTGCCCAGTTGCTGCCATTGGAAGAAGCGATCATGCGCAGACAGTTGTTTCTTCAGCGATTTCCGGAGTTCAAATCCGTCTCCCAGCAGCGACAAGTTCGAAAGAAAGGCAGATCGATTTCTCTTTCTAGATATTCTAGACGCGCTTCTTCAGTTTGGTTCTGATTTTTACTGTTTCTTGACTGTTCCTCTTGATTTTAATAATTAAATAAAAAACCATAACGAACTTTCACGATGAATCCATACAATCTGCTTGTCCACCCACACATGATCACTTGTATCTGATTGGTTAGTCACTTTTATAAATTCTGAAACGAAAAACCGAGAAAAGTAGCATTTCTTCGAAAATGTCGGAACGAGTAGATTCCGTAGAAAAGCGCTTGACCCGTACATGTGGATGTCTCTTTGATAGCGGAAAAATCATCAAAGAGCAGTTTCTTCCAGAAGCTCGTTGTCTCGCCCAGCAACAAAGAATCGACGCAATTCCTTGCGAAAAGCCAGTAACAAATGGAACTCTCTTCAAAGGAGAGGGTGACTAAAACGCTTACGAAAAATTTATATAAAAAAGTGAGACTTTCTAGTCTAAATTGAAATGGAAAAGAGCTAGAAATTCCGTTCCGTCCGATAGTTTCCCCCAAAAAGTCTCGCCGGAAACTCCATACCTTACTCTTTGCGAAAAACACATCACTGCCATGACCCAGCATCAATTTTGCCCGCTTTGTGGGTTTCTCTGCGCAAATCGACCTTATGCAAGATGCAAATTGAAGCACAGAGTTCATCTCTACTGTCTTTCGGCGGCTCCTTCTCAAGGAAATGGTTCATTTCAGTCTTATTCTTGGCTCGGCGACCTGTACGGAAAACCCTCGTTTTCATTGGAGATCTTTCAGACCCTGATTCAGGTTTTCGACGCAGGTTTCCGAGCCTAGGCCTAGCCCTTACAATGAGACCTCCAAGAAACCAACTAAAAGACTGCCCTCACTGTGGCGAGCAAATCATCGAAGAACTTCAGCCAAAACCACATTACGAAATCCCAGCAGGAATACACGGCGCAATCACCTTTCCGGAAGAACACCTTGAGAAAATCTACCTGGCGCCGGAAGCATTACTCCCCATCTCTTCATTCATAACCGTAGATGGCGAAGAAGTCGGCCTGGTAGAGCTGATTCGCAAGGACAGCGACTACAGATGGCTCCAGGACGAGGCTGAGAAAGAAATTCGCCAGGCTCAAGGTCGAATGCCAACGAGAGTCGGTTCTCCTGGAGGATTGTTGCTTCAAATATCAAAAATGCTAATGCGAAATGAAAAGTTCCAATTGACATCGACCGTGCTCTCCAGTTCTTTGAAATCGAAGCAGCTGAAGAAAGCGATGCTGGCTCTCTTCGGCCCTGGAATCGAATCAACACTCGCTCAAGCTCACGATGGAAGAAAGCCGATCGAGTGGGCGATCTTCCTTGCTGGAATGCAGGAAAAACAGGATCTCGATTTTCCTGAAATCGGGCCACTCGATATTCTTCAAAAACTATTGAGTTTTGGGGTTCAGGCACATTTCAATTCGCAATCAACGACGAGTCCGTTTGAGGCCAGCTGTGAGCTGTTTATAAAAGGAATGAATTTTCAATAAAACAAATGGTAATCATACGTAGATGTGGTAACATCTTGAAGCTCTGACATATGAGAAATATGAAGAAATAATGTAAAAATATTTATATTGAAAAGCGAATCAAAATTAATTTTCGAATTCAAAATTAAGCCATTCGCGACGAATCTCTTTCCGCCATGGAAATGCTGTCGCAATGTTTTTCCCCGACATGGAAAGGTAGAAATGGTGCCTCTGCTTTGCATGAAGCTGTGATGACAAAGAATGATCAAGGAAATGGTGAATGAATTAAGTTTCGTCAAGATTACAGAACCAATTCGAATATGAACCGTCTATTTTTTAAATGAACAGAAAAACCATTCAAAAGTCGTCTCATCCGTCCTCCAAAAATTTCCCGAGTTGATCAACGCTACTGACGACAGGGGAGATTCCGTATTTCATCTCGCTACGAAACTCAAGCTTACGATGATATTTCATACATTGGTGAATCAGAAAAACTGCTGCTTCTGCGAGAACAGGACGAGGAAATGCGAGGGGCTTTGTCGGGAAAATTTGAGAAACGCAGATGGCAAGACGTATTTGGATCTATGCCGAAAGGACGAAGTAAACGAGACGAACGTGCTTCAGCTTTTGACGTCAGCTGGCGCTCGGAAAAACAAGGTAGGCAAATCCGGTATCGAACATGTATGATTTTCCAGCTTCCGCCTCACGTAATCTCTGCCGATCTCTCTCGAGGACGAGAAAAGACACCCGTCCAAATTGTGAACGAATTCGACACTGATCCAGTTCCGGAGTTCGTCTACTGCACAAAGACTCATTTCGGCGGCGATGCGCAGATTGACATGAGCGTCGAAAATATGAACACCTGCAGCTGTGGAGACGTTTGTGATTCGGAAAAGTGCGGGTGCATCGCGCTTTCGGAGCAGGTTTTCTACGATGAGCAGGGATTGCTTTCTGCGAAAATTGATTTCAACGAGAAGGAGAAATGCTTGGTCCCAGGTTTCTTTAAACATATCCTTCCTTCCTCTCAGCTCCCTTTTCTAGTGATTTACGAATGCTCCGATTTGTGCGGATGTGATCCGCGAAAATGTCGAAATCGCGCGACTTCGAAGGGCGTTTCGTTTCTGATGGAAGTCCACAAGACTCGAGAAATGGGGTGGGGCGTGCGCGCTCGGGAAGATATCCCACGAGGAGCATATATTGCCGACTACTGCGGCGAGATGGTGACGAGCGCGTCTTGTGAGGATAGAGAAGATAGCTGTAAGTTGCACAATATATGTCGTCGAGACTCAATGTCAAGAGCTAAAAGAGTCCGACCTTGGATAAACTAACGAATCATTAAATCTTCTATGCACTGGTCTTAAGTTTTTTTTCCACCAAATTTACGCTCTGTGGCTTTGAGAGTCGATTTTGACATTTAAGTCGAATCAGATCGAGGAGGATTAACGAAAGAATCAATCCTACTTCCTCTACGCCCTGGACTGAAGCCCTTTCCATGCGTTTACGCAAATTTTTAGATCTGTTCGACTTGGGCATCACTAACGGATCGAAGTTTTCCTACACCATCGACGCAAAAAGAGTCGGTGGCTTTGCTCGATTCTTCAATCACAAGTGCAATCCAAATATGATAGCTATCCGTGTCTTTCGGTTAGGAGAATATTCTCCATAGGACTCTACCTATAAATTTAGGGAGCATCAAGATTTCCGCTTCCCGAATTTCGCCTTTTTTGCAAAGAAAAGCATCAAACGAGGAGAAGAGCTTGGTTTTGACTACGGCGATGCATTTTGGAAAGTGAAGAGCTGCTACTTTACCTGCAAATGCGGCTGGGAAAAGTGCAAGTGGTCCAAGCTAAGCACTACAGAGGAAGATTTGAAGGATGATTCTTGAGAATAAAGAAATTATGTGTTTATTGCACCTCTACTTTCAAAAAAACTGAATAACGAAATAAATGAACAGGTCAAAATAAAATTAAAAAAAAAAGAATACGAGGAACTGTGAGTAAAAAACTGAATATTTATGGTAAAGTAGTATTCGTAAAATTAACTGCGAGTTTATAAAAACTTTTATTACTTATTAAAAAGTATTAATACATTTGCGATAAAATTTAAAACTAAGAAGGATACAGTAAGTGACTGTTGGCCTGACAGAACGGTACATTGGTTGGTTTAGAGGAAAATATGCTCAGTAATAAATGAGGAACGGAAAAAAATGAATAAATAATCTTTCTTTAGCAAGAGCAAAAAAAAAACAGCGATCAAATGAAACATTGTTGAAATCGGAACAGGATTTGAATTAAACGTAGACTAGAATACTTGAAATTATACTTTGCTTGGCGAGAGTTAATCAGAATTATGGCTCAATATGCATATGAAGAATCGCCAGGTTGTAATAAATTAAAACTGGTATGCCGACAGCAACTGTAACGAGGCACAAAACTAAAATTTTTAATAAAAAATCACTCTTCACGGCTTTTACCTGAGAAGACTATGTCGCGGCGGGGATACCTAGCTTGAAGGGCTAGTTCTGCAGTTGCAGCTTGCTCGGAAGCTCCGAACATTCCATCGAGCAGGGATTCTCGCTCGTTTCGAAGTTCGGCTTCGGTTTTTGGAAGCTCTATTCGGATGTCGTTCATTTTTGAAGCAGTCTCAGTCGTTGACTGTTTTTTCCGTTTTACAATTTTTTCAAGAGGACAACCGATTTGAAAGAATCGCTTTGTTTGTCGTAAAACTGATTCCTTTTGAATTCTAGCAAGCAATTCAGAAGCATCACCAACTGGACTTGATCCTCCAGAAGCAGCTGCACTGGCTACAGAACTCGTTTCAGCCTGCTTCAACCCTTCCTAAAACTTATTTTGAACAACCAGGGGTCTAAATTCGCAGTGCGAATTCGCTTTATTGCGAAGCGATGCGAAGCGAAGCGAATTCGCTTTCGCTTCGCTTCGCACTGGAGAGCAGAATTCGCTTCGCTTTCGCTTCGCAAAAAATTCCCAAATTTTCGCATAAATTTTCGCACAGCAAGCGACTTTGCTATTCGGAAGATTCTTTATCAAAGAGTTGGAGAGGGGCATTATTGATGCCGTTATAAATTCAAGTTTTCTCAGTCTTGTCAAGACGAGTCTAATGGTGGGTCTAACTCTCAATAAATCCAAGGATTGACTGGTTATCAAGCTGGTCCTACCCCGGAAAACACGTTGCCACCAGCCTTTTTTATTGTAAGTATGCTAGAATATTTTTTGAATGATCTTTATGAACAGGGCTTATCTACGAAGATGATCTCATCTCCTATCGAGAAAGGGTGACCATTCGGGCAAGAAATCGTCGATTGAGCATCCGAATGCCCGGCCGAAATCAAGGGCCAAGAGTCGCACCGTCCGAATGCCCGGTCGAGCTGGTGATGGGATTTTCAATAGATAAGGGCTAGAAAAATAAGTTTCGAGAGGCTTTTGATTCAGTTAGAGGAGCAAGAGAGCAAAAATAGTTGTAAAGAATGCGAAATTTAAGAATTTTCCTCGGCGCGGGCTTGACCAACCGCCCGAAAGCGCTGAATTCCCCGAAAGTGCCGAACTTGCCCAAATGCCCGAAATGCCCGCTTTTGCCCGGCCAAATTTAAGGGGCTGAGCCGTCCAAATGCCCGGCCGAACACATTTTGACCGAAAATTGTCCGTTTTCCCCGACTTCCCGATGTCCGAACGGTCACCCCTGATATCGAGTTTATTACTAACTTGGAATAATCAACAGTTAGACCCACCATTCGGCTTATATTGACGAGCTGAAAAAATACAGTAACAGATTTTTTTGTAATTTTCTGCCCCAAAAATAGGTTTTTGAAATCATCTTCGCTTTTGACTCAAAAGTTTTGAGTGTCTGATTGCTAAAGATTCTTGCCAGAGAATGCGTTTCAATTCAAGCGAAAAAAATTTCGCTTTTTTTCGCAATTTTCAATGATATTTCGCTTCGCTTTCGCTTCGCACATGGGCGAAAAATTCGCTTCGCTTTCGCTTCGCAAAAAATTTGAAAAAATGGTTCGCTTTCGCTTCGCTTTCGCACTAGGATTTCGGCTGATATTTAGACCCCTGGAACAACCATCGCCGAATAGAAAGACTAACCAGCTCAGTTATCCGTCGATCAGGAATTGAAAGCTCTCTTCTTGTTATCAGCTCGTCGTCGCTGAAAAGGTTGTTTGCTCGTTTTAGCTCTTCCTTTCCGACTGCGAATCGTAGCGCGATTGACTATAATTTACAGTAAGAATTGATAGAAAAAAGAGAGACTTACATCAAGACTGTCTTCTGCCTGAATTTTGTACTTGATCGATTCATAGTCTTTCTTCAACGGCAGCGTCAAAGTCGGTCGAATTCGCTGCCTGTTGAAGCCGTTTTTTCGCCCATAGTGGTTTGGCTCCAAAAGCGGAATTTCATCCTCTTTCGGCTTGCCCATCACATTCTAAAGGAAAGAGAAGAAAGGTATGATTTCTGGTTAGTATTTATTACAATATAGTTTTTGTTTCGTGAAAGCGAAGTTTTGAGTAACTGTTACAAGTATATTTTTGTAATAAATCGGGCGACAGATGAAAAATTTTTATGAAAAAATTTTAATTTCTTATAAAAAGCATGCTATTCTTTTCAGTTTTTGTTGTTTTTTCTCACCACTTCACAAAAAATAAGTAAATTTTTGTTCAATTTCTTGTTCTTTTGGAGACGAAAGAATGGTAATTACCATAATATTTATTATTGATTGGAAATATTCAAATTCAGATAGAAAGGAAAATCCTCTCCGGGAAAAGACGAGGTAACGTAAAGGTATATTTTTTACTAAGAGCAGAATGAGTCTCAAACAGGACTTGGTGAGAATAGAAGAGGGGCTCTTTTCTTTACAAAAAAGTACGTTTTCATTGTGGTAACAAAGGGTTAGGGTCAATTTTGGACCATCAGAGTCGCAGGGAACTTGATCTCTTCCTTCATAAAATCGAAGGAAAGGAAGATTCTGACTGTAACTTGATTAGGACTGAAGTGCGGACTGTATTTTTCTGGTTTATCTGGTCTTCATTTATTCTTTGATCTTGTTAGTTCTGTATAAATATCCTAATATTGCTGCATCTAGGCAAAAAGAAGAAGCGAAAGACATTTTAGGCAAAAAAAAAATAAGAAAGAAAATTCCCAAATTCAATTGAAACTGCTCTTGAAATTTGAGGAATTTCAAATTGGTATTTTTGTCATTTATTTCTTCATTTCAGAGGGTGCTGGGGAGCGAGAGGATAGCATAAACTTTTATTTTCTTTTCTGATGGGCGAAGAGTAAGCTTGGAGGACTGTACAACTTGTATTCATGTATGGATGTGTGTTTTTCAGAAATTTAGAGAAGAATAGAATGTAGGCAAAGGTAAAAAGGGTTCAGCCGTGAAAACACCGGAAATACGAATGTATTATTTTATCGTCCCGAATTTCAAAAGGAAAAGCGCTGGAAATTGGAAATTTTTGTTTATTGGAATAAGAAGAAATATTCAAATAAGTAATGTAAGAAATGCGTTGGTTTATTGCTTGTGAGATTGAAAATTGATGATGAATAGAAATAGAAAATATTATTGAAAATAGCGATTTAGTCATCTTCCCAGCCGTTTTATGTGCGCCAATATGCCTCGATTAGCATAAAAGTGCACAAGCTGGAGCGATTTTTTTATGTCATGAAAATAGAATTGATGCTAGTTCCTACGAAATGACGCATTTCGATTTGCCGCAGCAGCCGGTTTTGTCGTTGTTGACTTGTTTCACTGCCGGGCCGGCTTCCGCGTTTTTCTTCTTGGCGATGTTGCGCAGCAGGTCGTAGAAGATTTTGTCGACGTTTTGGCGAGTTTTGGCGGAAGTTTCGACGTATTCGACTTTCCACTGTCGGGCGCGCGCTTCGGCTTCTTCTAGTGATACCTAAACGGATTTTGCAGTAAATCAAGTGACATCAAGCGACATCTATAGCAATCGAGAGACATTAAGGGATGTTTGGGGACATCTAGGGACATTTAGAGACATCGAAGAATATCAAGACAGCATGTTATTTTGTTTTACCTGTCTTTTTTCCTCCAAATCGACTTTGTTGCCAACTAGAATGAATGGAATGGAGTCTGTATTGCTGTCGACGCCCTTGACGCGTAAAATTTGCTCTCTAAATTCTTGTGTTGCTTCGAAAGATTCTTTTTCTGTGATGGAAAAGACGCAGAGGAAGCCTTCTCCGGAGCGGAAATAGTTGTCTCGGATGGCGGCGTAGTCTTCTTGTCCTGCTGTATCAAGGATGTCTATGTGTGCTTCTTGTCCATCTGAAGGAAGAAGGTGTCAAAAGGGAAGAACAAAATAGAGACTGACCTAAAAGGACGTTTCGTCTGTAGGAATCAGCTTTTGTTGGTTCGTAATCTTCCACGAACTCGTCATACATGAATTGAAGGGTCTATTCTTGGGCTCGAATAAAAATCACCATTGAAAATTCCTCTTAAAATCGCCCTAAATAAAATAAAGGGTGCTGTTAAATATTTCGAGCCTTTTCAGAGCTGATTTTCCGACACCACCATGGCCAACCATAATGACCTTATGAAGGGGTCCATTCTGTGGTTTGCTCATTCTCTCAACACGATCTCTTCTGAAGAGTAAAAATTAGAACATGAGATTATAAAAGAAATAATATTGAAAGTATAAAAAATAAAGCAGGAATGAAGAATTACAGTTGAGGAAGAATTGGAAGAATCATCAGTTGAAGAAATTGAACAGATTTAAGAGTAATCATAAATAAAACAGAAATCTGGGTGAATAATTAAAAAGAGTGAGTAAAATCATAAATCAGCGTGGTTTTAAAATGCGGGTGCGGGGAAGTAGTGATCATTTGTCATGGTTGAGGCGTTTTTCATTCAAAAATGGTCAGTAAAAAGGCGCTTTCTCGGTCTTTCTTTCTCTTTTCACAGTTTCCAGGCTTGTCGCATCATCACGTCAAAGTACACGTCAAGGTCGATCGAGCAGGAAATCCCGTGGTAGTAATTGAAGAATTCTTCCCACTTCACCTCTTTCACCGGCTTCGCAAAAGAAAAAATGTTATGTTTATGCTTTCATAAATTGCTGTTGGCAATAGCAAATGTATGGTGATAAATATTGTGTTGAGCATAAACAAAAGTGGGAAAAAGCTCTCGGAAGCTACGCAAGCGGAAAAGTAGCTACTAATTAGGGCGATTAAGTATGATCCTCTCTCTGGGAAAACGAAATATTTGAATAAAATTACATCGACAAGAAGATTGTCTTCCTTGATTTCAATACAAAAATCGATCTGATTCAGACGAATGTATCTTTATTTGAGAAATGAGAATCATTGATAGCCTATCTGTTTTTCTCCCACAGTAACAACGCAAAAGAAGCACAAAATGAACGCGCAAATTCAATATTTATCCTGTCTCGAGGCACGTACCTTGGTTGATTGCGTGAAGGTCTGCAGAAACTCGGCAAAGACCTCGTCTTCGGTCATCTTGCCGCTGATGAATTTTGGATGGTATTTGGCAGTGTAGACTCCGCGCAAATCGGATATCGTGATCTTTCCAGTGTTGTCTAATAAAGGGTTGATAATTCGTCATTGGCAACGAGCGCAGGAGAAAAATAATGAACCCATTTCCCTTTATCGAACTTCTGGAACGCCTTGAGAACCAGGTCCTTCCGGCACTGTCTCATCGGCTGTCTCAACGTGCAGAGCATATCTTCAAAGTCAACGAATCCGGAGCCATTTCGATCAAAAATGGTAAACAACTCGGCCACTTCTTCCTTTGTCAGTTCACATCCAAACTCTCTGAATCCCTTCCCAAATTCCTAAAAAAGGTTATCACTACCGCCAAGTCTGCAGCTTCTGTTTGTTTACATATTTGTCAAGCTTTTTGTCGCCGTTGTCATCCATTATCTTGAACATGCGGCCCAAGCTCCTTATTCCCAAAACGCCGCGAGATACGCAAGTTAGGCGCACTTTGTCGACCAAATTCGTGCTCGCAGAAGGCAAAATTCAAAACTGGAAAACAGAAAAATGCCTCTAGAAACCTTCCCAAGAAAAATATTTTTGAATTTTTTCCTGCAAGCGTCTTCTTAGCATTTTCAATCATGGTCTGATTGTCTCTCGCCGTTAGCTGGACGTCCATATTTTAAACTTTTGTTTCTAAACAAGATTTTCTGCATGAATAGTGAAAAGTGTTTCTTTTTCAACTACTGAATTGTCAGATCTTCTTTTTGATCTGCTGGGCAACTACGGGTAGTTTTAAGACACGTGATACTCTTCTGTAGAATTTATCATTTGTCGACAAGTAAGGTTGGGGTGACAGAACATGAAACAAGCAGCATACTGATTCTCGAATTTCAAGAAAACGAACTTGAGTTGAATTCTTCAGCCCTTGTGCGAATATTGACCATTTCTTTGACTTAAAAATATGCAAAAGAAATGGGCAGTATTCCCATTTTAAAAGGAAAGGTAAGTGAAAGTGGTGGGCCAAGGAACAAGAGTTGTGAGCTCAATTTTTTCAATTCGAGTGAAGGAGCATTTTTCGTGTTGAAAAAAGGTTTTTTGTTGAAAGGTATTTTTTCATTACAAAAATAATAATTTAGCAGTAACAAGTTCTATGCAACATATTTGTACAGTTTGCGATCGCCGTTGTCTCTCGTCAGGTACTCGCGTTCGATCAGTGCTTCGATTCGCTTTTTGATTACTGCTGGCGTCGGGCTAAAATAGAGCGTAAGAGTTTCATGAGACCAACGAAGACCTACCTGAAACGAGCTTTAAGTTGGTCAATGACTTCCGCGACGAGCTGATTATGATTCAAGTTCTTCCTCGACTTCATAATTCGCACGATCGCGGCTTCGATCTCGTGGCGGCGATCTTCATCGACCTTCGTCCTGGTCTCCTTCGTTTCGACTTCATTCTCGCCCTAGAAATTCATAGAAGCTGCGACAAGAAAAGTGGGTGCTTACAGATTTTGCTGCGGAAAGAATCTTGACTTTGTAAAGTTTTGAAACGAAGTTGTCGTTGACGGAAATGACGTCTGTCTTTTGAATCTCGCCCTTTGGAGGATCTTTCTTGAGAATACGCTGCGTTACTTTCCCGTGCACCATAGAAAGCAAACATCGGTTGCATTCTTTTTCAGGAATGTCTGCAAACAAACGGTAAAGAAGGGAATTCCGGGGAAGATGGTTACCTGTTTCAGCGACGAGTTCTTCGAATGTCCACTGATCTTTCTTATTGAATGCCATCAGGACGACCATTTGATAAGTAGAACACTAAAATCCACATTTTATTCATGTCATTTGAAGACATTTCATTTCGGACTTCAAAAAATCCGGTAAAAAATCCTTGTCGTTTACTTACTGTTAGAATATGTTTTCTTTCTCTTGGTTTCTCTGGCGCAGGAGCTTCGGATGTTCCTTCATCTAAGCTTTGAGTCTGCTTCTTCTTTGGATTGCCATAGAAAACTGCATTCAAATCGGCGGTGCCCATGTTTGCCTTGGCGATTGTTTAGGATCCGCGAAATTGACTCAATTTGCTTTTTTCTTACCTGTAAGGTCAGCTGGCGGCCAGTGTGTTTTGCAAGGTAGAAATCTTTAAATTCGTTGAAAGCATTTAGCGCTACTGTAGGTAGAATTGACTGTTGCGTTTGAGCTTGAGTTGGCCAGTAGCCTGTCGTCAGAATTTTCATATTTAGGTCGATACTAGAGCATTTTTAGGAAAAGAAGGAAGAAGGAGGAAGTTACCTGAGATTTGAACGGTTTCGATTTTTGAACTCATCGTTAATAGTTACGGATAGGGAAATGTCTTTGAACATGCCATCGAGCTTTGACGTAAATTGACAGCCGCATTCTTGGCGAAGCTTTTGAATCATTTGCTTTTCTGTTTCATCGGATAATGTCTACAATTTTGGTTATAAAAGCATGAAGGAGAAGGGCTTACTTTTGAACTCAGAAGACGTTTTGCAAGATGGTTTTTGTAATATCGCTCGAATACATCTTTTTCGGACAAAAATCTTGAAAGAAATGATGAAAAAGATCCAGAAAGGAAAGAAATGATACCTGAACATAACCATCGCTTTATTGAGAATATCATCAATTTCGCTGTCTTTGAGACCCTTGATACCCTTTTTGAGCTTCTCATCGATGAAAAGTGAAAGATACTCTGGACTCTTCGAGTTCAAATTGATGAAATGCTCGAAATCCGAGGTGATCATTTGCTTGAAGACGCGGTCGTCGCGGAACGACTCCGTCAAGAAGCGGTTGTATTTTTCCTGAATGCAAATTAGCACTAGAATAAGAAAAAAGAGCGTACTTTGAGATCTAGTAAAGCTTGAATGTAATCGACGGCAGATTTTTTGGCGTTCTCTTCGACGACTGATTTTCCTTCGGCTCTCAGGTTATCAGAGGCGACCTGATTGAAAATAATTGTAAAAGAAGAGATTTCGGTTAAAAATATTTGACCTGTTTGATTGCTTCGATTCCGTCTTTGCCGATTCTCGATAGGATTAGGTACATGTCTCGGAGATCTTCGACTTTATCGTTCTGAAAACATGAGTTAATTCGAGTTGATCTTTTTTGAAACATTTGAGGATATCTAAAAACGTGTATTTCTTTAAAAACTCACTTTGAGCATATAAACAACGCCAGAATTCTCCATCTCGACAATCGTCCTCAAATGCTCTCGAATGAGCTCTTCCTCGATCACCCTGACAATCTCCTTCTCAGTCGAGGGATCAAGATAGTGCTTCGCTCGTTCAGCTTCTTCAGCGATCCGTTGCTCCACTTTTTTGATATATACAGACGCGGAGTTTTCGGCGAGGAATTTCTGAGACTCGAGTTTGTAGAATTCGCGCGATTGCTCGAGGAACGGCTCTTCGAAATCTTCGATATAGACTTTTCGTTTGTCATTTTCCGATTTGTGCGAATCGTTCATTGACAAAATCATCAACATTGAACATGCTTCTCGCAAAGCTCCTAAAAAATTAACATGAATATACCAGGAGACATTCAGAGACAGCTGAAGACATCTTTTTAGATTGGATTGATTTGGAACACCGCTAGAATTGTAGAAAAGGGAGAATTCTTTACCTCTATCAACGATTTCGCCTCTTCTTTCCCGAGCAACCATGTCTAGCAGCGTCGTTTTGAGATGAACCCTTATCTTTGGCGAGCGGACAACTTGATCTCTGAATATGCTGAGGCCGAGGTTGTAGACGTTTTCGACTTTATGCTGCTGAACGTAGACGCGGTCCATGTACATCAAAATATCGCGTATCATCACCATCGCCGTCTGGTGGTCTTTCCATTGCGTCGACAGGCAGTTCAGGAAGTCGTTGTTGAGCGATTTTAACACATCCTAAAAGACGATTATTTTGAGTAGAAAACAGACATCAACAGACATCAGGAAATATCTAAAGACACCCTACCTTTTGCACTTTTTCGGTGAGATGTTCGCTGACAACGGATCGTAATCCAGAGTACAGTTTGTCTCCGTGTTTATGCAGCACCATCGTGTACGCATTTCGATACAGCTCCTCAAACGAGAGACCGGAGTTGTTCTTCTTTTGGATCTCCTGGATCGCCGACTTCAGCCCTTGCCAGATGTTCTCCACGTACCTTTAATTAAAAGTTTACAACGAGGCAAATCTGAAGCAAAAACGGTAACCTAGGTTTCACTCTTTTAACAAGAAGGGCGCAACACAATGCTGATAAATGGAATAAAATTAAGAACTTTTGTGAAGACCCTCATTCCTTCGCTGAAAAAGTATCGAAGATATTTCGTATTCGGAGTATTTTTGGTTTTCACAAAAGGGTCGTTTTTCTTGCGAAATCTTCAAGAATTCATAAATGAAATAAATGCATTTTTATATATTACTGTATAAAAATGAAACCTTGGATAACTCAAAACTGTATATCTGAATCTGAACTCTTTTCTAAAAACTCTTGCTTGAGTCAAACTTTGACAGTTCTTTTCGATCTCCATCGCTTTTTTTATAATTCAAAATTGAACCCGACCCGGATATGAAAGCATGGTCTTTGTTGTTGAGTTCTAGAGACGGCTGAGTTTCTTACCTGATGTCCATGGTCATCGGGAATGCTCGGATACGCATCTTGGCATCGCGGGCAAACGGCTGCTTCGACTTCAACGAGGGATAATTCCGTTTTTTTACTTTCGGTTTGAAATTGTAATTTAGGTGTCTCTCTTTGATCTTTCGAAAAATAAACCAGTACCAATTTCGGAGAAAAAGAAAGATCGAAATTTTGAAGGCTTGAATTTTCAAAAGCACCGAAATTTTGACGATTTTTTTCTCGTAATAATTAGCAATTTGGAGAAAAGAGAAGAAAGTTCTGGAGACTTTTTCATTTTCGGATTTTTAGAGCCTTGGTTCGACCAAGCTGAAATCGATGATCGGATTTTCATAAAATTAGTAAAATTTAATCCCTTGGCGGAGGAGGCATTTCGGCCTTTCTCTTCACTTTAGCGTTTCACAGTTTCCGTTTTTTTCCTTTTCAATCTAAAGCTTTCACTATTGCAACTGTAGTAAGCAGATGTTAGAATACGAAAATGGGGGGAGGGGTACTGTAATGATTGAGTAAAGTAAGACTGCGGCAGTAATTTCTCCCCTTTCCTCATCTTTTTTCGGGTTGGAATCAATCCAAGCTTGTCTATTCCACGTCATTTGTTGATTCTGCTAGTTTTTATTCAATTCTGATTATAGAAGAATTGAATATGGATTGGTTCTCTTCTAGTAACTTTTGGTTACTGGCTCTTTTAGTTTTTGATTTTTCAAAAACTCGAATTTCCTTTCGATTTTTTGAACAACTGACGCTACCGAGAAAAACAGAGGAGAGGGGAGGCCGTGCTCTAGAGAAATTTTCAGAGGACTTGAATTTGAAAAACAAGACTTCTAGCTGTTTTTGGGGTATCTTCCTTCCTTGGAATTAAAGATTTTGTTAAAATTTTGGAAATTTTGAGAGCTAAAATCAAAATCTACGAATCTTATTGCGCCAGAAAATCTGAGAAAGCCGAATAAAGGGGATAAAATCAGCAGTTTTTCTCAGATTTTCTTCAGCAATTAAATTCATAGATTTTGATAACAGATCTTCTTATTGGCTTACATAGGTTGAATCCTATCTGCAATTCTTAGTAGTCCTCTTTTAAAACCGCACAAAATGGAATTTTGAAAATTTTTTTCAGCAGCAAACGCAGAATCTCAGGAAAGAAAAAGAATCACATGATAACCATAAACCTCGATACAAAATAACTGTCTTTAAGATTTTCAGTCATACAGATTTTTTACACAGAAGAGTTTTTTGCAGATTTTTGGACGCGTTTTTTCGTATGTTCTCTTTATTCTTGGCTTGTTTATTTTATTTTGATTCTGAATCTGAATCAATATAGATTTTTTAAAAAATGATCTGGCCCGCGCCTTGCCCGCGGGATTGGCTCGATTCTCACTTCAGTTGTGCTCTCTTTTTTGACTCACGCTAACTGTATTTCTTTTATTTCTATTTTCGCTGAGAAAAGGGATTATCGTTGGTTCCCACGCCTGAAAGGATAAAATAGAGAGATTCGGAATTGATTTTTGTAAGAAAAAAAGCGGAAAGAGGGGATATTTTGAGGTTTTATTCGAATATTTTTGCATTGGGAAAAAGGAGGAAGAAATTCGCAGTTTCAGTAAATAAGAGTTCGAATAATAGTAAAGAATGGCGAAAGAGATGAGAAAAAGAGCAGTTTTTTTTATTGAAAAAGAGGGTTGATTTCGCTTGTTTTCTGTTTTTTTACGAGAAATATTGAGAAAACAAGTGAAATCGAGTAGTTTAGGGATATTTTTGAACAAAAGAAATTGGCAATATATTTATTTTCCAGTTTTTCTTTGGTAATTTTAATCAACTCTTTTTGTATCCACTAAATAAGGAGCTCTTCTGAGTTTTCGGAGGAGTGCTGGGAATTCCAGGAAGATGGCTTGGAGGATAGTGGTCGGGGTAGTCTTTTCTTTTTCTTATAAGAGAATTAGCGAACATTAAAGGGGCTAGACTTGGCTCGGAAACCTGTGTAGAAAACCTGAGTAAGGGTCTTGAGAGAGAAACTGAAAGCCCCTAGCCAGATTTTGAGTTTGAGCGTCCTTTTATCAAAGGTCTTTCGGGACCTTGACACAGGTTTATACAAAGATTACCTAGCTCAGAGTAGTACCTGCAGATGCGCGAAGCAAGGTCGGCAAGAGGCTCAAGTTCAGATTGAGGGATCAGCCCGTGCGCGTTGACGAAAAACCAGAAGTGTTTATAGCAGTAATTCACCTAAAGAGGGGATCAAGTGTTAATCGTTTTGACCTTGCTTGATTTTACTTTATTCTTGTCAATCACGTTACCTGAGCTTCGCCAGCAATTTCCTGAATGCGTCTAAAATGCGAGTAGTAGACGTGCACAAACACTCTGTGCATTCTCGTGAAGATTCGCTGAATTCTACGCATGAAATCACGCGGCCAGGGCTCCGCCGAAGAAAGAGGAAATAATTCGTCGTCGTTGAGTTCTCCCTCGACCCAATTCATCAACTCGAAGATGTATTCTGGCGCGGGCAGGCGCGTCGGCTTCTTGTAGCGGACGTTGTCTTGCCACTTCCAATCCCAACGCTAGAATTTCGGTTACAAAATGCCTTTATGAGCTAGGCAGCCAGTGTCGAAACTTTAGTCAGGGTCCTGATACAGGACTCCTGAATCGGCTTCTCCTGAATGCATTAGATCTTTGAGGACCCTGACACAGGTTTCTAGACAGGTTGCCAAGCCCTGGTATCGAGAGCCTTGACCTACCTTTGACCCATTTGTATGACTCATCGCCGGACAAGTACTAGCCAAGCAAGTGTCCGTCAATGTGCCGAATATGAGCGAAATTCTGTTGAAGAAATCGACGGCATGAACTGCTATCCACTCGTATTTATCCTCCCCGGCGGGACGACGACCATATCAGACATGCATATCTGCAGTCCAAGTGTCGCTTGGGCCTTTTCGAACAGCAGCCCGCGTTTAGAATCTCTGGTAAATTTCTTCTGCGGTCTGAAGGTTCTCTCTGGCTTGAAGATGTCGATCAGTCCTTGCATCAGTCACACTTTCTCCAATTTTCTCGCGAATAAAATCTCTTCTTCGCTTCCTAAAGCAATTTTCAACTGAATGATTCGGCGATTTTATTGATGAGCTGCTGTTGCTAATGATGATGATTGAATGAAAAATCGCTGAACAATTTGTGGCCCTAGGTGGCAACAAAAATAAGCTCGGAAAATATGCTCTTTGGTATCGATTATTGAAGATATGAATAGATTAGCCCTTGACGAATCTGCCTCATCAAAGAGATTGTTTTATTACCTAATTAGCAAGAGAATCTTTCCCTTTCTTGGCTTCGTTTTCTCGCTTCTTCAATAACAAAATATTCTCTCTTCTTTTTCTTCGCCAAAATCTGAATTGAGGAAGCTGCTGATTCAGATTGAAATCAGCACGAGTGGGTGGATAAGTTCAAAAGCGATTTCCGAGAGGCCGAGTTTTTTCTTCTTTTCTTTCTTTTAAAATGCTCGTTAGCGCCGGTAATTCGTCACAGACGGTGATACGAGAGATAGCTACTATCAATCACACGAGTTTTATGACTCAGCAAATCGCCTTCTGAAAAAACTGGGTTGTTTTCTTCCTTGATTTCAGAAATGGAATAGTAGATTGAGGAAGGGTTTGGTATATTGAGTTTATTGAGAAAAATATTTATCCATAAGTTGTCAAGTGTTGCTTTTGAACTAAAATAGAAGCAGAAAGGCGAGTTACAGTAAGATAAATCTGTGGCAGAAACATTTTGTCACAATTCTTTTTAATATTTTTTTATTTCACTTATTTATATCTATTAAAAATTGGATTACTCGGATTTTAAAACTATCAACTCCTTTCTTTATCTTTATTTGTTTATCTATCTTGCCTTATTTTTACAAAGTATTTTCTAGTGCTTCAAAATAGAGACGATCAACGTCGCTTTCTAGTGTTTTTAGAGGAAGAGTTAGAATTGCGTTTTAGCGGCTTGCAAAGTGGACAGATGTATTTGGCAGGGACGTAGTTCTTTCGTACTTTTCCGCAAGTCATGTGAACCCAAAGACTGCAATTGTCACATTCGATCATGGGGCGGCCGGCAAATGGGAGGCCGCAGAAGCAAGTTACCGAATTCCACGATTCATCGGCTAAAGTTTTGGATAAAACCAATAAAAGATCGAGATTTTCGCTTTATATCATCCAGAAGCCGCTTGCGGCTTTGAGAGCTTTTCAAAAAAGCCGCGCTTCACGCAGTTTGTATCTTCAACTCTAAGCCGCGCGCGGCTTTTCGATGGTGAAATAACAAGCTTTTCACTAGCAAAATAACTTCTTTACTAGTGAAAAAGTTTGACTTACTTTCTCCGATGAGATAATTCTCCCCCGCAGACGAATTCTTATCAACAATCGTCTCTTCTGAGGGCACCCAGTTATTCTCATCGTCAGTTGATTTCTCTTTCTTTCCCTCCTTTTGTCCTCCTTTTGACGTAGTTTCTTCGTTTTTCTTTTTCTCAGGAGCGAAAGTCGCTTCGAGTTTCTGTGGTTTACTGGGCTTTCGGGATTTCTTTACAGGTGCGTTTGATTTTGATTTGGGCGGAGTTTGCTTCGAAGATTTTGGCTTCTCGGTTTCGCTACTTGGTTCGAAGACGGCGACATCGGCCTCGTAGAATTTTCGGAGAGCTTCGTCGTTTTCTTGCGCCCTAGAAATAAATTACAGTAGGGAGGGGGACGAAGGGGCTTGTACTAACGTTTTCAGATCCATGAGGACATTGTCGAGGGATTTCTTTGGTCGAGATGGCGTTTTTGCTTGAACTTTTTGATCAATCTGATTTTTTGAACTGTCGACTTTTTGGGCGGGAAGATTCTCTTCCTTGATTTCAGGCTCCATTTTTACCGACTCGTCCTCTTGATAATCGACCTGCTTCTTCGCCGCTCGTTTTGGCTTTGGAGCTGGTTCTCTTTTGCTTCTCTTTCTGGAGCCGTACTTTTTCTTCGGCTCATTGGCCAGTCTTGCTTTTGTGGCGTACTCGTCCGAGGAGCTCTCAGAATCAGACTTCTCTGATCCAGAAAGTCCCATAAAAGGCGCCAATTGCTGAAGTTCGTTTTCGTCGAAACCCGACAGTGAGGAGGCGGTTCGTCGAAGCCGGCCTGAAACACAGAAGTTTATCGAACATTCCTTTTTTCTTTCTTTTCCGTTGACGTAAAATCATGAAAACATTCTCCAACGGAGAGAATGATTGTAAGTCTTACCTTTCGTTTCTCTTTTGAGCGAGCTGCTCTTTCGCGAATTCGAGACTGAAATTTCAGATTCAGAGGTAGAAGCAGCGGCGGAAGAGGAGGAAGAACCGGAGAGAAAAGAATCAGCCTCGACAGTGGCTGGAGTAACGGAACGTTTGAAGCAAAGAAGAGTTTTTGCCAATTCGAGTTCTGTGAGGATGTCTTCGTTTCGGTGGGGATGGGGAGTTAGGGGCGAGGGGCAGAAAGTGCCAGAACTGCCGGCGACGAGATTATCATGTTCAAGATTCTTTTTTGGTCTTTCGGATTTTGGCTTTGGTCGGTTTTCTTTTTTCGAAAATAAATTACAGTCATTATTGCTGTTTCTTACTATGCTAAATCATCGAGAAGCCGCTTGCGGCTTCCAGTAGGAATATTCAGAAAGTCGCGCTTCGCGCGGCTTATTTTTTTACTCGAAGCCGCAGGCGGCTTCTCGGTCAGAAAGTTCTTTAAAAAAATGGGTATTATATCGGTAATCGAAAACCTTCCTTGATCGAAGAGGAAGAACTTGGCACTGGACTCTGCGATGGAGTAGTGGTTTTACTGTCAGATACCGGTAGTCTAGTGAGAACATCCAACGGCTTCGATGGTGAACTAGGGATGAAAGATTGGCTTTGGTGAAGACGTCTCTTTTTGATAGGAAGTGGGCTTCTGGTGGACTGCTTTCGAGACACAGCTTCGTCTAATTTCAGCGGCGAGAGAGCTTGATTCTTGAGTTTTTCGTCGTCGGTTTTGTTGCTAGAATTCGGCACCGGTGAGGCATTTTCGCCAGGAGTCGGGCTTTCTCTACAATTTTCGTCAGAATCCATCTCAATCGAAAGGTGAAAATAAAACTGGAATTTCGTCATTTTTCTCTGCAAAAAAATCAAAATCTAGATTTTCAATTTTAAATTTCTCAATTTCGAAAAGTGGAAAATAAGCACGTCTTCGGCGCTTTTTATAGAAAACGAAAAAAGAAGAAAAAGAGAACAGAAAATTCAAATTGCGCAACGACTTCTCGCGAAAGATTTTGACTCGCAGGAATTCGACTTGAAAGAAAATGACGCTTTATTATCTCATTTTTTATAAAAATTAAAAAAAAAACAGATGGTCCTAAAACGGCCTTAGTATTTTAATCTTAGTCGACTTAAAATCGTTAAATTTACGATACAGAAAAAATGTCAGTAAGAAATTTATTACAGAAGCTTTTGTTTAAGTTTAATTTACTTTATTTTATGCGAATAAATATTGATAAAATGATAGGAATAGTAAAAAATAGCTTACGTTGGAAAAGAAATAGGACTTTGAGGAACCGAGCTGTCCGAAGGATGATGACGGGTGAGCTCTTTCAACTCCTGCTCCTTCAGATCGTTTAGCCGGTTGAAATGCGGACCCAGAAGATGTTCCTGAACGAGGGGTGCGATCTCGTTCATTTCGTTATCGCGATTTTTGGGTTGAACGCGGCGAAATGCCGAGCCATTTTGCGTTGCGCTGAGATTTCGGATTTGCAAAAATTTATAGGAAAAAGGGATGAAAAAATCCCTTTTTCAGGGCTCCGTAGCCTGAGTCAGGTTTCTGAAGCGGCTTTCATTGAAGCTCTTTCAGAACCCTGACTCAGGATTTATACTCAGGTTGCCGACCCGAGATATTAGTCATTTAGTAACTAATTTTGTTCGAAAAGAAAGTTGCGGTTATTTCTGGTCTCCAAAATCTCCAAAAACGATGAAGTTTCAACTCCATGTTTGCTTGATAAACAGAGCATAACAAAGGAAGGTCAATGATGGCTAATCCTCGCCTGAGCTCAATCTTGCCTTCTGATTTTCGCCGATTGAAGTTGTCGAGAGTTTGAGAGTTTTCCGTTCCAGTCGGCTGCAAGTCTTAGTATGGTTACTTTCTGGATCAATTATTATTTTTACCTTTTATGCTGCAAGCAACTTTTTCTTGAAAGAGGCAATTTATGTTTCGGTTGAGTAGAGTCGCAAGATACGCTGCCTTAAAATAGAATTATTCAACAAGCCCGACGACTTTTTAGAGAATTAATAAAATAATTATTTACACCGTTCTAGTGGCTCCAAAAAACTTTTTCAATAATCAATTAAAAAAGTCACCAATTTGAATTGAAACCACCCTGAGCTCGGCAACCTGAATTGAAAACCTGAGTCAGGGTCCGAACGAAGGTACTTTGATTTCAGACCCTGACTCAGGTTTTTAACACAGGTCGCCGAGGCCAGCAAGAACCTCTTTGAGATTCCCATTTTAACGGATTTTATAGCCCTCAATAGAGTCATCAGTTGAGCCGAAAATTTGTTAAAATGGGGACCACTTTTTTGTCGATTATTTTTTGGAGCAATCACTGTTTTAAATAATTATTGAATTATTTAAAGGGTCAATGAAAGTGTATTCACCTCTGGACTTAAGGATATAAGCTATGAATTGGAACTTTCGTAGCGCCTAAATGCGTAGTAGGATCATTTTCATTTCAAAAGCAATCCTGTCTAAAAATGCGCGCAAAACTCAAATATGGTATTTTTAAAAAAAATTTTATTGAAAATTTTCCTTTTAGAGCGATTTCAAATCTTACTCTCTCGATTTCTCGAAATTTTTCCATTGAATCGCTAAAACTAAACCGTGTCTTTTATTTCGATGATGTTAAGCTAGAAAATTGACGGGCCTTTATTTCGAAACTCTTTTGAATTTTTATTCTAGCGTTTTCCTCTTTCTTGCTCGTGTTTTTCTTCTTTTTGTGCTTTTTCGCTTGCAACCAATCAAAGCGCTCCGCTCAACCGCGCCACTCTCACGGAAAAGAGGAGTCGAGAGAGCGAGCGCCCAGCGCGCCGCTTTTTACACTATTCGCGCGCTTGGTAAGCCTCATGGAAATGGCTCTAAAATCGGTTTCGGTCGGAATTAGGGAAAACTGATCCGTCAATTTTGTAGATAAGGGTTAAGAGAAATTATTTATCGAAAAAACTGGACCGATTTAGTGGAAAAAATTCGAGGAATCGAGAGAGTAAGATTTGAAATCGCTCTAAAAGGAAAATTTTCAATAAATTTTTTTTTTAAAGTACCATATTTGAGTTTTGCGTGCATTTTTAGGTAGGATTACTTTTGAAGTGAAAATGATCCTACTTCGCATTTAGGCGCTACGAAAGTTCAAATTCATAGCGTATATCCTTAATACCTGGAATTGACTTCTCGATAATGATAAGTCAATTTGGTCTTTGTCGATTTTCTTCTGAAGCGCCCTGGAAGAAAGGAAGTGAAGAAAGAAAAACGATGAAGAAAGGTTACCTCTCTGATTGTGGAAGACTGGGATTGTCGGGAGCGACGTCCCTGCTCATCGTGAAAACCAATCACCTGGAAAATAGAGCGTTATGTTCTGAATAAAATCTAATAAATACCCATTTGTTTATTCAGTAGATTCAAAAATAACCGTTCTAATTCGTTAAAAGGCGGAGAAAAAAGCCCCGAGAAAAGAAAATTTGATGATGAAATCAAGGAAGACTACGAAGCAAAATAATAATCGAAAAAGCCAGGCCATAAATTATTAAAACTGTAGCGACCGAAATAGATAATTGAATTTTATATTTGGATGGCTTGAACTTTAGTCAACAATAAAAAGAAGATAGCATTGACTCAATGAGTCAGATTTATTTCAAAGAATTGAGGTGAACTCTGACGAGAATCTGACGAGCTTTTGACATGGTGTCAGGTGTTTTCGTTGTTGAAAACACGCTCTCTTATTCAAGTCGTTTTTTGGATGAACAATCAATAAATTGGAGTTTATACAAGGCAAAATTTGTAGCGAGATTGTACTTAGTAGATGGCTCAATAACTTCAATTCTTAAATAAATTAGTCAACAGTTCCTGATTCTGAATTATTTATTTTGAAGACAGAGAGACAACTTTAGGATTGCGCTACTGTAGGATAGGCGCTTTACCGCTATCAAGTAACCCTCATCAAAAATTCAGCACAAGAAATGATGACCAAAAATCTTCAAAATCGAAGAGTTATCCGAAGACTCTTAAATTTTATCTCAACGCAAGGGAGGATAAAGGTCTTGATCCCTTCGTTCCGAAAATTAAGATAAGAGATAGAGCTGACTTCAAGCTGATTAATTATTGATAAAGAACTTCAAAAGGGGAAAACGGGGAAAATCTCCAGCGGCTGGAAAAAATGTCAAAAACGAATAATAATTTTCATCAAGCAATAACACAATTACTATTATCAGAAAAAATGCGATAAGAACAAGGACAGGGTTAAATTCGGTATCGCGTATTGGAGGGCGCTCGCGGGGGCAGAAAACGTGCGGATAACCGCTTCGAACCGCTCAAGTAGAACATCAAAAAATCAGCTCAAGAAAATCGTTCTAGATTTGCGCAATTGACAATTGTAATGTTTGCTGTTTTGCACTTTTGGTCAGACTAATCTCTGGCCAGATTCTCAAGCGCCACATAAAAGCTAATAAAAAGAAGTGGACTATTGAAGAAAGTCAAGTTCTGACTAAAACTTGAAAAGTTGATAATAATGAAAATGCCGGCTAGGGGGGAAGAGATTAGAAGGGTTGAAAACTGCCTCAGGGCAAATTTTTCGTTTGGGGTTAAAATTTTGAAAATTACGGTCGATGGATTTTTCGACTTTTGGCTTTTTCAAGATGGTTGGAATCGATTTGGGCGGAGATTAGACTACTTCAAAAAGGGGCTGAAAATGGGTCAGGGACCAGGTGTAGAGGAAAAAATTGGAAATTTTTGGAAAGAAAAGTTATGAAATTAATAAATTTTAAAAGAAAAACTTGAGAAAAAGCCCGAAATCCTCAGAAAGTAATGCTCCTTATTCAAATATTTTCAACTTTTCCCGGTCCAAAAAAGCTCGTCTAAAATCTCAAAAGAATTTTGCCGACTTACCCTTTTCAAAAAGATTATCTCTGGTTTTCTGATAAAAAATCTCACACGTGATAAGCCCAAAAATCACAGATAAACAAATCTAGAAATCAACAACTACAGGGACTTACTGATTTCGCAATTTTAAAAATACTTTCTTCTTTTTCTTCAAAATTTCTCTTTATAATTTTTTTCTTAGTTGAAATTCTAGTTTTTTTTTTCTTTTCAGCACAACTCTCTTTTTGAATTCGGTAAAAAGGGGGAAAGGTAGGAGAAAGTGCGGTTTCTCGATGATGAAATGAAAAAAGGCAGAAAATAAAAAAAAAGTGAGGTTACATCACAAACGTCCTCGGAGAGAGCGAGCCAGAGAGAGGGAGAGAGCCCTGAGTAGCGCGGCGGCAGCACACACGCACGTACGGTGGCCGACCAACTCGCCTCGATTCGTTTACCGCACTCGCCAGCTCCACCACCACGCTACCACACCACCAGCGCGCTACAGCATATGAAAGTTTTCTGGAGACATGGAGGAGTTTTCTTTAATCTTCAAAATTTTCAATAGAAAAAATGCCTTTATTAGCTTAATTATTGCTGAATTTTCACTGATAACTTATCAGTAACTTATGTCACATAAATTATGTGATAAGGGTTTTTTATCAATATATTAAAAAATGGATGATGTTGGCTCACTTTGTACCCTACTCAAGTCCAAGTCGGCTCTAAGAGCTCCACTGTTGCTGTTAATTTTTCTTGAGCCGTGGATTGAAGCTTTTGATGGATCGAAAAAATTTGACTGATCGAGAATTCGATAAGGTCGAAATCCAGGCTTGAAGTCGAATCTGCAAGCAGATCGAAAATGATAGAGCAAGGCCCCGTGAGAAAAAGAAACCGTCGGAGTCATTCTTTGAAGATGTTTTTCTTTTGCTGAAATCGAATGATTCGGTCGCGCGAAAAAAAGGAAGTCGCTATTATCGGCGAATGAGAAAGCACTTCCAAGGCTAGGTTTTCCCAGAAGATCATATTCAATTCCAGAAACGGAAAAATCGAGCCAAGAGCAAAGAGAGAAGATGATTTCCGAAGCGAATTTCACTCTCGAAACTGTGGAATTCATTGTCGACGATGGCTTCTTCTATTTGATGATCCATCTTGCCGGTAAGAGTGGATTCACTTTCGCCTCGAATTTTATTTTTTACAAGAGGACCCGACCTTCCAGGAACTTGTGATCATTCGAGAACTGATGATGGCCCGTCTCCGAGCGGATCTTGGTGATGTCTGCAACCAGGTAACATACCCCCCCCCTAAATTTCCGCGCAATTCGTGGTATTTCGCCCAAGTTTACGTTTCCTAACTTTTCCGAAACCCCCGAAATTTACGCTTCCTCGCGTTCCCCCGCGTTTCCAAATTTCTTCTCCTAACTTTTCCGCGTGCGCCCAAATTTACTCGCGACCCGCTGAAATGCGCGTCAAGTTGACAATGCTAATGATTCATTAACGGGCGCGAAAGAAAATTTAGTAATACTTATTTATTAGTGCATGTTTTCAAAGTTGTATTGACAGAAATTTTAACTCAACTTAGAATAGATAATTATAAGTAACAGGCGAATACTAAAAGCATGTGAAAAGCAGTCGAATACAGTTGGTTTTCAGGTACTTGATGCGCTAGAATTGGAAATTTTTAGTGGCTTGGACACATAAAAATCATACCATTCGAGTAACTTAAAATATTGAGGTCAGGATTTTGCTCCGCAGAAGTCGTAACGACTTCTGAAATGAAAAATTCTGAATAAAAACTTCTCATCCATCTTCACTGTAATAATAATCCAAGATAACATAAGATAGGGCTGCCCTATAACGGCATCTGGCTTTTTATAATCCTTTCTTTCCTTTCTTTGCCCGGAGCGAGCTAAACAAGACTTTTGCGCACTCAGAAAGTCAACCGGCGAAGCCAATCAGCGCCGCTAGAGTAAATTTGGGAGCGCGCGGAAAAGTTAAGCGGCGTAAATTTGGGGGTTTTTGAACAATTCAGGAAGAGTAAATTACGGAAAATGTACCGAGGAATGCGCGAAAACTTGGGGGTGGGGTATGTTAACTTGCTCAAACTTTTCGTAAATAAAAAACTCTTTCTTCAAGATACAAATTTTGTTCAAGTACCCAGCTTGTGATGAGTGCCACAACGAAGATTGTCGATTCTGACTTCAAGATTTCCGACATTTCAAATTTCTTACTTCTGCCAAAAAACGCCTAAAAGATTACTTCCTGCCTGTAAAAAAACAATTTCGGAACAATTAAGCAAAAAAAAAATGTTAGGATCCTTCGTTGAACACAGTAGAATGACCTTTTACAAGTATTTTCCGGGCATCATAAAAATGAGATTTTAATCCGTTCAATAACCAGCATCATAAAATTCTGACGTCTCTGAACTCTGATCGATGAACTCAAGCCCGCTCGAAAACCGCCAAATCATCAGATCACAATAGGATGATTTGGTTGCTGAGAAAATCCTCAGCTGGCGCCCGGATAAAAGCAAATTTTGATGCTCCAGAGCTTCCAAGTAACTTGCAAGATTCGATAAGATGAAGATTTTTGCCACCTTAGCTGCCATCGCTCGGGCAATCGACGATAACACCGCCACGAACTTGATTCAATCGGAGCTCAGCAGGTTTCCCACTAGAGATAATCATACTTATCAGTTTCCCAGAGGATCAATTTAAAGTCAATGAATTAAGATGCCAGTCGTACGGAACCTACCACGAAACCTGCGTGGAGAATATCCGAAGTGCTTTTGCCCAGCGATACAACGTAAATGTCACGTGTGCTTACACATCTGACTGGATGAATGTCGGCGGCGTGACCTGGTGGTTCGGCAATGTTCAGAACTACGGAGCGGTCATGTGCGGCGAGTTGACTTACACTGATGTCAACCAGAAGTAAGTGCTCTCTCTGAGTCATCGTTACCGTACTCTATAAGGGGCAATGTTTTGACGGTAAACCTTCACATTCCTTCTTTTCTGTTCCAAAAATAACTCCTCTCGTTTCTAGTATTTTGGATAGCTACAGCCGAGACGCTTCTTACGACTGCTGGGGCTTCTACGGGCAGCAGTACAACAACTGCGTCGCCAGCTACCTCAGTAACAACGCGGCCGACTACTTCTGCGCTGGAGCTCGATCCTACAATATCCTCGTCTCTGACCCTGCTTATCAGTACTGGGGCGGCTGGGGAGCAGCTTATTCCAACGCTGGCGAAGCTTACGTCATTGCTTACTGCATCTACCGATAGACTTTGAATAAACGAATACTGACATTTCAAAATTTCTTGCTATTGAAACTCCTCAAATCTTCTGCAAATGCATGTCGATTCATCATAAAATATCGAAAATTCTGATGATATAATCAACTTTCATGAGAATTGTTTGATAAAAACATCTGGACTTTTCCATGGAATCGCTTAATTTAAAATTTCTCTTGAAATTGACAGTAGACTAGAGAGATGCTGCTGTGTCGGGCCCTTTTTCTATCATCAGTAACTGCGATTGAGCGAAGAACGGATGTAGAATGCCAGTAAGTTTTGGAAGTAATTGATATAAATTGTAGTGGCTGCGCTTGAAAACAGTTTTGCTCAAAAATGTTTCAGAGATCAAGAAATTCATGACAATTGCTTGACCGGTTGTCGACTCGTTTACATCGACTGTCTGTCGAACTGTGAATCATCGTTTTGCAACAGCGAATGCTTGCTCGAATTCCAAGGTATACTTTACCTCATGAGAAGGACCTTATATTTACTGATTTGAAGACTGCGATGCCTCCTGTCCTTGTGGCTACAACTGTCCCTCTGGATGCAAAGACTGTGTCGACCATCCTCTTTGTGGCTCTGCTTGTGAAGATCCTCAAATCAACAATGATGAGTATCGATTGTGTGTAAATGAGGAAATCTACCAGCTGGATTTGTGCTTGAAAGACTGTACCGCGGATTTAAATTGCCATGATTCCTGCTACGAGTCTTACAGAGAAGGCGTTTTACGGTGCCCATGCATGGAAGGGAGTTCAACAACGACCACTTCTCCTGCAACAACGACAGACTCCGGACCTATTTCGCCTGTAAGTTTTCATCAAAAATAATCATCACGAGTGTTTTCAGAGCGATATTTTTATTCTTTCCATTTTGCACGATGTCGAGCTAAGCTATCTCATGAATGGGGATGGGTCGTCGAATTTTCCTGCTAATATAACTCAACAGATGCAAGATCAAGTCACCTACTCAAAGCATGCGATGATTCAGGACACTCTTTATATCTTTGGAACGCAAACCAAAGTATTTCTTCCTCACATAGGATTACAGAGTAAAATTAATCATCATTCATAGATCGCAAAACTTGATGGTTGCAATATTGTCGAGCTCGCACAAAAATTACTCTTCGATCGATCCGAGCATACGGAAGCTTTGTCCATTGATGATGGAACGAGAGGTACATCCTTGCTTCTTATTGCGCTCAGAAAGATCTTTAGCACTGATTTGCTTCGCCTATACAAATTACCAGAATTTGCCCGTTTGTGAGATATTTGATGGAGAGGCCTCTGAAGTCACATTCAACTCGTCCGCTACCCATCTTCATGGAGGTCTTGGTTTTTATAAAGGGCAGCCAACAACAACCGGATGCCACAGAGAAAAACATCCAAAGACGGAGACTTTGGGCGTGAATGGGTGGACAGATTTACCTGACTTTCCAGAGTATGTTCCGCATGTCAGGGTCTTTATTTGAATTCATTCTTCGTGTCTTTCAGAAAACCGGAAGCTTGCCATAATCTTATTGGTTTGCGGAACGGTGCAATGATTCTTGTTGGCGGATATTCTTATACGCCTCGAATTTGGCAATTGAAAGATGAAACATGGACGAAACTTGGCGAATTAGAAATGGTTAGCTTTGAGGGAATAATTTCAAACTCAAAAATGTTTGTTTCAGGAACATGGACTTGGATCCGCAATTTACATCAACAATTACATCTTTGTCTACCCAGGAGGTCCGGCCAATGACGCTGGACATGCTGTTCAACGAATCGATTTGACAGATGAAGAAGAGTTCATCTCATCAGAAATCATTGGAACTCATTCTGGATGGTACAAACACCCGATTCTGTATGTCGCACCTGAAGACTACTGTGTTGAATAATGATAAGAACGCTGTTTTGTCAAAAAAGTATTGATAAAGTCCTTGTCAAATAAAGAATGAGAAGTTTTGCAAATTTTTGCAGATTTTTCAAAACCAAGGAATAAAAACACACTTTGAGATGTCGAACTGTCAGTCAAAAGGCTGCAGCGACGACTCTCATAAACGAGTTTTTACAATCGCTATTTTCATTATAGATTTTTCTCTTCTAGAGATCACTTGCGATGATTATTGATGAAGATAATAAAAGGATTGCAAATGCATTTTCAAAAACAAGAGTTAGGGTATTTTATTTTTGAGTCTATCTGCTGCCAGATATAAAATGTTATGTTAGTGCCTTGATTGCGATTGCGTTGGTACTTTGCGACGGAAAGGAAAGAGAGTGTACTTATTTCCTGAAGAAGTTTTAGCCACTCGAAGTATTCGTACGCAAAAACATGATTTCAAAAAGAAGAAATTGTTGATCAAAAAAGTCAGCCTCGCTGAGCACGGAAACTCTACCAACCCCCAGCAGTACACTTATCTTACACTCGGTTCTATTTTCTGGATTACAATCATGCTTATAGGTAAATTTATCTATAAGGTATATTAATTCGCTTATTTCTTTTGAAGCCAATTACGTCTCCCTGCAAAAATTAAATCGAGGTGGCACTACTTTCCTGACTTCCACCTGTCATAGAAATTACAAAGAATGCGTTAAAATAGCAACGATGGACTACTGCGGCCATTTGATGAAGCAATGTTACGAGACTGAAGAGTTTATCCTTCCTGCACCCTTCGTCGAAATAGAGTCAGAAGAGGAAGAAGCTCTCACTTATTCTAAGGAAGATAACGAAGTCAATCTCCGCCGCTGCCAAAAGAAAAATTTTTACGACCAGAAAATCTGTCGTCATCTTTGTTCAACAACGCTTGTTCTGGAATCAACAACGAGTACTTCCATTTCCCCTGCGAATCAATTTGCTTTGATTTGACAAGGTCTTCTCGTTCTGGTGAAATTTGTCCTGGTCAGAGATATTGCTCAAGCGGCTGTCCTTGTCCATTTTACAAGTGTGAAAAAAACTTCTCCCAGCAGAGATTAAGTCCTCTTTTTGATCTTAACCAGTCGGGAAATCAATCTATGTCGTCGGGTTCAATCTCAAGAAGGTCAGCATCGTCGTCAACGTATTCACCGTCAACAATGTCAACAGTGTCGACAATGTCAACAACGAAAACGGCATCGTCAAAGATGTCGACATCGACAACAAGAGCAACAAGAACCGCTATGCCAACAGAGTCATCTTCAACACAATCAACGTCGACGGAGACAACAATATATTATGATTATGAGCAATATGATGGAGAGGAAGTCATAGAATTCATTTCTATGGAAGAGACGATGAGAGAACAAAAGTTTCCGATCATTCTTTCTGATTTTCAAGAAAAATCAATGAAAATTAATGTTTCGGATGACTTTTTCCCTTATGAATGTTTTTGTTTGTTCACTTATTTTTTTATCGAAACCAAAAAAACAAAAACTCGCTACATAGTCGATTGGTGCAACCTTTCTCAATGGCGAACATTACTTGGTCGATGCTATTGGAAATCTCATGAAAGTAAAAGAAAAAGACCTTTCCTCGGTATTGATTGCGAATCGTCAAAAGAACATGTAGGGGCGAGTACTTTTCAGTGATTTAATTTGTCATTAACCCGTTAACAGGCGCGTGGCTGTCTCACGGCCACGCAGCCTTTGGAGAGCGATAAGATAGGCGAAAGTCTATTTTTTGTCGAAAATTTTTGTATTTCTTGAAAATTCAATCAATTCTCTGTCTGCTAGTATAAATTTGAAAAAAATCGGCCTGAAATTCTGCTCAGGAGACGCGAAAGAAAAATTTCAGTCAGCGAAAAAAGGGAAAACGTAATACAAATCGCCCGCCTTTTCCCTTCTTTCCCTTTTTCTTCAATCTCTGCGCCGAAAATGATGCAACTTTGACCTCAATTTTCAACCCCTAAACGAATCATAAAAATAAAAAAACTACATCTAGAAGAAAGAGAAGACGCTTCTGAATCATTTTGTCTCTTGAGAATTCTATTTTATCATCCCTAATTCTCAGAAAACACCAAAAGGTGCGTGGACTTCAGACAGCCACGCGCCCGTTAACGCATAAGATCGGATGCCCAGTTAACGGGTTAATAAGAGGATTCTTCGTCTTCCACTTTGGATCGTCGATCGGAACGCATCAAATCGAGATTCGCCTGAAGCAAAAAGACACAAAGGTTTTCTTCGTTGTTGTCATTTGAAAAAGGTCTTGAAATAATCGACACTCCATTTCGCTAGTCATTTCGATCTTTAAAAAGTTCCCCAACTGGAAGAACGGACAAGTGCTACAACTACGCTCCAGACTACAATCTGGACCGCTTCGAAGAAGCTCAGGGTTACATCGCCAGCAATCATTTCAACGCGAAAGTTTCGTCAACCAGCCTGAGAGGGACATTTTATTTGATGAGTGTTCGAATGGGAGACTACTATATTAAACTCTCACAAACCATTGCATTGAATCGGATCAGAAAAAACGAAGAGCTTGAGAAAGGTTGGAGAAAGAATGAAATTGCATTGCCTGCTGAATTTAGAGGCTTGGACCCTGTCCATGTCATTCCTTTGTCAAGAGTTGAAAATATTTTTAAAAAGTTTTTAACCCATACTTTTTCACCTCAAAACAGACAGACGCGGAAAGACTGCTTTTGATTCTAGTGACAAGGAGCATTGTACTTTCAAATACACTGTACTCATTGTTGTTGGAAGCGGAAGGAAAGTTCATCGTTGTCGGCAGCGAATGGATTGGTTCTCTGGTTAAATACGAAGAAGAATCGCTCTGTTATTCGAAATTATTTGCTTCAGATGATCGAAATTATACGGATCGGGGTGGATTCATCAACGACGAATGCGAGTACTTTGGAATTGGAGTCATGAACGACGAGAGGATTCTCATTCAGAACTACGTTTTTGATGCTTCATTTGAGATAGAATTTCATTTCGGGAAGGATTATAAATATTTTCCTAACTTCATAATCGTAGAGCATCGTAAAGGAAGCAGTTCATTAAATCCACTGAAGATAATATCGAAATCGAGTTTGTTCAGCAAAAGCCTAAAAGGCAAATGTATGTGACAAGCAATCCCTTTTTCGCATTTCACGACGATGTCTTTCCCAGCTTTGCCAAAAATGCCGCATCGCAGCCTCGATTTCCGGGGACGTATCATCAAAGAACAATTGTTCCGGATGAGCTTTTTTCTTCGCTTGCAGAGTTTGATCATATTTCAACTATCGAGATCAATTCAACTCGAAAGGAATTGTGTGAGTTGGAAATCGACGCAAATTATCGAGTTTTGCCAAAAGTAACCGACATTTTTGGTTGGATGTTTTTTGACGGAACGACTTTGATGAGACTCAAAATTGGGGAGAATGGCTCTCTTTGGTTGGAATCAGATTATTTCGATCAGCGCATTTACTTGCAATCTCATGTGTCAGAGCTGACGTATTTGACATTTTATTTCAATTCAGCAAACTCATTCGATGAAATTTTTGTTGAAGTTGTCGAGGACAATCAACGAAAAGGCGATTCTCGTTCACAAATAAAGATAACCGGACTTGAAAATATCAAAAACAAGAAAGTGCGGATTTTCAAGTTCGACAGTGACACGAAAATTAGAAATTTCATCTGCAGACCTGTTTTCACTTCGCAGATTAATGTTATTCAACCTGATTTTTATGGAAATGATAGAACATACGCATTATTGCCGGACGGGTCAAGAATCAACAATGTATTCTTCAAGGGTCCATTTTATTATAAGAAAAGCGTCTCACAGTATCTTTTCGAGGCGAGATACGCTATGGTCAAAGATATGCTATACATTTTCGGAGGAGAGTTTGATGGTCGAAAAGTAATAGAAAAAATAAAATTCATGTATATTTTTCTTTATAGATCGCTCGATTAGATGAGTGCCGATTCGTGAAATTAGCGGTCAGGCTTTCAAATGAATATTTGGTCAGTTTTTCAGCAATAAATCTTGAACGAGGAAGCAAAGGTATGTATTTCATTTTGGTTTTATAAAGAGGCTTATTAAAAATTAGCGATAATTTGTTTTGATGAAGAGTATGAAACAGACTGCGAGTTCTTTGACGGATCTAATGTAACAACAACTTATCACACGCATGAACCACACACGGGAGGTCAACTAGCTCTTTACAATCGTCGCGTTATCGCAATTGGAGGAACGGAAGCAGAAGGAACAGTTGAGGTGCTCACAGAATATGGCTGGATAATTTTCGTTAAGCATCCGAGGTAGATAAAAAAAAAAACAAAAACTCGGAACTTTCAAAAATTACCGTAGATCATTGGAAACCTTTTCTGCAGTTGGTCTTCCTTCTGGAAGCGTTTTGACTATTGGAGGATGGGAATTGAGGTCAAGTGAAAGATTGAGTGAAATCTGGAAATTAATGGACCGCGAGTGGTCATTACTCGGCTCACTATCAAAAGTACACAGTAATACACGATGAAAATTAAGGATGAACTACAGGACACCCTATCAAACATATTATTACTTAGATAATTTCAGCCCGTCTCTTATTCATCAAGTATTCTTTTGGATGAAGACGTTTATGTTTTTCCCGGTTGGTTTTACGGAGATGAATCTTTGATTCAAAAGATTACGCTAGTTCAAGGTTTAGAAGTTTTCACCTAACTATCAGGCGATCCAGATAATGATAATTTTCTAAATTCTTAAAAAGACCAAGACGAAAAAATTGTCGAAAGCAAAATAATTTCAGAGCAAGGTTACGAGCCCGTATATCCGATTATTTTTCTATCTTCTGTAAACTACTGTAAGTTGTAGACTCTCCAATCAACAGAATAGTCTATTGAAGAAATAAAAGCTTGCTTATTTTTCACTTTTTATCTTGTTTGCCTTTCTTTTTATTGACGAGAGGTAGATATGTTTTATACAGTGATGTTAGACGAATGAAGATTAAGAATTTAAAATGACTCGAAGTCACTATAAATCAGTTCTGAAGTCAAGATCAATCCCAGTATCAGCTTCTTCCAAGCATGTGACTTGCAGGTTCTTCTTTGGCATGCGCGTTAGTGTGGCATTGAGAGAGATACTCTCAAGATTTCTTGAGTCAGAGAAAGGATCAGAAGATTCAAAAAGCTTCATCACTTTTTCCATCTTCGGTTGGGCATCCATGGCGGCGAAGTTTAGTGAGCGCTCTGTAAGAGCACTGTGGATTGAAGACAACGAGGAGAATATCGAATTAGCGCCCTATGAAAGACGACGTTTGTCTTGGTTTCGGACAATTTTTTACCTCGTAATGGTAGAGCTGAAGAGAATCATAAGGCGCGATATTGTACTGGTTCGAAACATTGGCGACTTTTTTCTTCAACGAATCCGTATATTCTTTTGGAACGATTCCATTCTGCTTTGAATTCCGTTGCATCGTTTCTTTTTGCAGCAGCTGCAAGTTGTAATCTGCTGGGCCGGGCTCTTCCCCTGCTTCTTCCGCATATTGAACCTAGGGGAAATTTTACATCGACCTTTTCTTTTGACTCTTACGATGTTCTCTCGAATATCATCGTCGAAATTGTCCATGGGCGGAAGCTCGCAGTTGAATTGCTTCTGGACTCTTCTCTTTCGCCAGGCAGTGAAAATGATGATCGTCACGAGTGAGAATCCAACAGCAACAATTACAGCGACAGCGAGCTACAAAATGATGAGCTTTTGACAGTGCGTTTTTGATTACCTGAGCTTTCATAGGAGGCGATCCAATGATAGCGTCGCAACTTGATGACATTGATTCTTTGTCATTACAAGAACATGTATTGATGATCAGGTCGTATTCTTCTTCGTATTTGTTGTCTGAAACGATGACTGGCAATTTCATCCCTGCTGCAATTCTGGAGTCGTCGTTTGTCCGGATAGAAACGGTAGCCCAGCCAGCTAGAATTTCCGTAAAAGAATGAAGAAGGAGGGATTATGTTACCTCCAGATTCGATAATGACGAGCTCGATTCCATTCCAGGCGCTAGAACGAGAATTTTGACGAATTTCGATCTTGGGGCTCGCTTGATAATCGGGATCAGTAAAGTTGATGCTAAAGAATTTCATCAGAAAGTGAAACGATAAATTATAATTTCAGAAAAGTCGTCTTGCTATTCGCCATATTTACTTTGAGCTCCAGGATGGATTGTTAACACAGTAAGTTATCGTCATCGATCCACTTGGTCTCGGTTTCATGTCGTTCTTGTCAATAATGTTGATTTCGACGATTCCTGAACCAGCTGGTCCGACAGAAGGAGTTGCTAGAACTTCTAGTTTGTAGCTTTCTTGGGCCTCAAAGTCGAGTCTTCTGTTCGTGGTGATTCGGCCGCTTTGAGAATCGATATCGAAAGGTACTTCTTCAGAGTTGCCGATGGAATAGCTAAACATGCGTTAAGAATTATTCAGTGAACATTCTTTGGGTATTATTTTAGCAATCGAGGGCGGTTTCTAAAAAAAAGGTTTTTGGGGGCTTAGACAATGTCTAGCCTTTCTGTTTTGACATGTAAGGGTTTATCTTGGGCTTACCCCTTCATGTTCTTTTTTTGATTAGTTGCTAGCTCAGTATAATAGAAATAAGCCCCGTTTATTCTATAGAAGTATCAGCGTCACGATCGGACGAATCTCATTTCTGATCCACTCAGTGCTCGGCGCTTACCTAAACGAATCTCCCTCAGGATCCGAAGCTAATCCCGAGGAATTGGCAATTGCCGTCCCAGGCGGCAGGTTTTCCTCGACAAAGAGCCGACGCTCCGAAACGACGGGTGGTTCATCAACGTTGATGACTTTAACTTGCACTTGAGCCTTGGCGATGGTGTTTTCCGCGTTCTGGAGCTTTTCTTTGCTGAAAAATTGATGAGGATGACGGGATGGTCAATTTCGTTGATCTCTGGGGCTTGGGTTTTGGCCTCTCTTAGATTCATTAAAGCTATATTCCTCTTCCTTGATTTCAATTTTGGATAAGTTCAAATCTTGATACAGGCATTAATGTTTCTAACTTATTATTAGAGCTACTGTAATTATTTTTTCTTTGCAAGAAAAACACGGAAAATAAATCAGTTTATCGGGCAATTTGTACCTGTAAGCCGTGAGCTCAAATTTGTGCACTTGATTTGGCGGAAAATCGCGTTCTGCGTCGAGCTGTTTTGTCGTTTTGATAATTGCTTGGCTCTGATCGTCAGACACATGCACGGAAAAAGAGGCAGTTTCGTCATTGACGAGTCGGACGACGACATCTGCGTTCGATCCCGTGTCTGGGTCGACGATGTCTACGCGCATGACCTCAGCGCCGATCAGTACGTCTTCCCTGACGCTGCCAGAGTATTCGGCCATGGCGAACTTTGGCGCAAAATCGTTGATGTCCGCCAATTTCACCTGAATCTTCACGCGTTCTGATTTCTGCGCAGGGACGCCCATATCTTCCGCCCAAATGAAAAAATCGAGTGAATCGTCAATCGGTTGATTTTCCCGATCGAGTTTTTCATCGAACGCTGCTTTCAGAGTTATCAAAGGTTCATATCGTTCTCTGAACATTATTGTTATTGAAAGGGAATAAAAAATGCACGAAGCGCTCACTTTTTCTCATTGAAGCAGGTCTTCACTTGAAAGTACTCCGAATCGATTTTGAATTCAAAGTCGCCAAAGTTGTAGCCAACTTCGCATTCTTCCAGTCCTTTCCGGTCTGTTCTCAAGTCTTTATCTTCAACGACGATTTCGTCGACGTTGGAAATCGGCGTCAGTTGTGTGCCAGCTTTGGCGTGCTCCTTTATTTCGAAGTTGTAGAAGGACTTGTCGAAAGTTGGACGATTGTCGTTTCCGTCACTGACGATCAGGTTGAAGGACTTCTTCCTTTCGAGGACGTTGCCGTTGGAGTCTTCGGCAGAAATCGTCATTTTGTAAACATCCTTCGTTTCCCGGTCAAGCGGCTTGGCGAGAGAAACAAGGCCATTGGAATCGATCTTAATTTATGATGAGAATGAAATAGAATGAACGATTTTAGAATAAAGCTAAAATATATTTGAAAGGAGTGACAATCAATAATTTATTTCATTATTGATCTGAAAAGGAAAGTGTTCTATTTTTCTTTGTCCTTCTTTCCGCCCCAAAAAGTCAAAAATAAATGTTTCCATTGCCGAATGAAAATAGCTGTTTATTATGGGCGGAACATTTGTCAGCGGAAACATGTGTACCTTGAAAGTGGTCGCCGGTTTGCCATCTTCAAGGAGTGTGTATTGGACGTTTTTCGCGCTTTCGAGCACGGTTGACTTCTTTGAAGCGTCGAAGATGGTGTGCCCGACTCGTTTGCGGGACTCGTGGACGAAGACGTTTTCGTTGTCCCATTTTGCAAGTGAGAGCTGAATTCGAAATGAAATTATTAGCTTGAAATCTTATTGAAGAAAATAATCAGTTTATGGGAGCAAAATAAGGTCGTTTTCTAACTTTTGAAAATGCGTAAAATTGATAATGAAAAATCAATGTCTGACTTTTTCGCCAAGAAAGTTTCAGTCCCCCAGTGGCGTGATAATCAGATCGGACTTGACGGGCGCACGCGCTGGGTGAAATCACGTGAATCTAATTACTCCGACAATGGTAGGTAATGAGATTCCCTCGATGGTAGCTCCTTTCGGGACCCTCTTGGGGATGTAGCTCGCGTAAAAACCGCGATTATGTCCTATCTCCTCCGCGGTGACTGTATATTCGATTCTCGGAATAAGAAAACTGGACCGGGTCCAAAGACAAGCGCAGATTAGCGACGATTCTGCGCAGCAGGAGGATGAACGCACTACTACGTATTATAAAGAATAATTGGCGATTTGGCCGAGATTCGGGTCTTTGTCTTCTGAGCGATTTAAAAACCTTGATTACTGTCAGACAGTTTAACCCGCTTTTTAAGGTTTTATGAAGTCGACACCCTTAAAATTGATATCTGTACTACTCAAATTCAAGGGCGAACAAACCAGGCAACGCTTACAGAAGTAAATATTCTGAGAGCCCCTCTAAATCACCAGGTTTTATCACTTGCTGGCCACGTCTCACACTCATGATAAATTGACAAGTTCCATTAGCAAAAAAGAAGCACTCGTTTTTGGGAACTGGGCATGAATTCAGAATGAAGCGAGTTTTACTTCGCCATTGGCAAAAAATTGAAACTCATTGCCTGACTGACTTCCTACTGCGATAGTTGTCCATAATTGATGCCACTGTCAACGAGTGTGTGTAAGGTCACAGGCAGCGGGGTGCAGCATCGATCAACCTCTTTTACTGGAGATACGCGTGTGCCTAAAAAGTGCGGATGATTGCCCCAGGGCACAAGTTGAATTAGGTCAGAAGCATGCTGAAATGCAAATTGAAGGACTTTCTTTTCGATTTTTATCAAATTTTTTTTTGCTTAAATAATAATGACGAGTTCGATGATGGATTTTCCGGAGCACGTGAGAAGGTGGAAGCAACTCCCGGTGCCCAAAACAAATTTAGACTGTCACTTGGACTGACTTGCCGGCAGCCGGCGAAGAGTTCCCAATAAGGTTATTCAAACTGTATGCGAAATGTCACCCTTCGCGCCGACAAATTTGCCCTCCGGCGAGTGGGGCTCGTATTTGCCAGAAAAGATAAGCGAATTGCCCGGCAAATGATATCAGTAAGAACATAATGAGAAAATACCGATAGTGTGAGAGCCGTTTAGCTAAAAAAAGGACAGCTCGACCACCATGGTCTGTCAGTCGATAAATGTGTTGACGGGCACTTGACGGACATGAATGCGCACCCGTCAGTGACACTCAGAAGGCGATACCACAATTCCGATAAAAATTCTCGGCAACCGACAAAAATAACTCTTTCAAGTGTCCAATTCCTTTTCAAGCATTTTTTCGCTGCCAAAAAATGATTGGCTCCAACAAAGGAAAAAACCGGCTTCCTGCACCTTACAATAAAACCGATGATTAATACCCCGAAAGCTGAAAAATTTAACGAGCTGCTTGAGAAGGGCTTGAATTGAGCTGCGTACGGCTTGTGCAGCTCCAACCGCGGCGGAAAGAAACCGCAGCCAGGATTGAGGGCGCATCCTCGCTCTCTTTCGAGTGGGCTCATATGGCAGGCAATATGTGCGGTCTTATATTATCACCGCAAAAGGTCACCTGCCGCTACTCATGGCCGCGCCGTTGGAAGATATACCACCTGTTGATTTAGCGGTATTCCGGAATCGGAATATATTTGCGCATGATTTATTGAACCCTCCGCGGAAGATCGAGGATCGAGTGCTTGTTTTGCACTTTAGCAAGAAAAAATAATATTCTTTGAAGTTCTTATAAAAGACAACTCTTGATCTGAAGCTCCTGGTAATGTCTTTTATCTATCATTTTCAGCTATAAGTTCTGGCTGGTGATTCCTTCATCTGCGCGCACATTATTCCCAAATTAGCCAAATGCTCAAGGGGATTACTGTAATATCACCGTCTCTCCGAGCTGGATAAAGTCGGCCCCGACCCATCTGCTGGTCTTTTTTTTTAATTATATTCTACTTGTTCTATTGTGCGGGAGGATTAGCCGCCCCTGATTGATCTGGCAGACAGAAGGGATCAAGGCCGAAGTGACTATTTTTTTCAAGTGTATTTTGGACATTTGCCGGATCTGCTTTAAAAATTTTGCTAGTTCAAGTTTTTGAAATTTGATCAAAATTGCCACTTTACGAAAGCTCTCAACTTACCCCGATAAGAATCGAAAGTTTCTTCATTCTCTCTTGATTCCCCTTTCTTCAGCTTGTTCTTCGCACTTTCATACAGTAAGAATCTCTGTTTGTTAGTTTCAATATTCAACCAAAAAAAGGGTTCTTGAAAAAAAGGTTGTTATCGTTGTTTCTTTGTTTGTCGTAGCTGTCCGTGGAGCAGCTGGTAGACGCGCTGACGATATTCACAAAGTGGATTTTCAATTTTTCTCGGAGAAAGAAAAAATAAAAGCGGCGCGCTGCGTCCGCGAGATGGCGGCACGCGCAAATTGGGAAGCGCTAATCGTCCTTTTTATTGAATTTACTTTTTATTCAATTAATTTTTCGAACTTTTTATTTAAAAATTATGAAAAATTTATTGTCATAAAACAATTAATAATTATTACAATTTTTTATGCATAAATTTGGCTTCGAATAATCGTAATTTTCTCAATAAATCTTAATTTTTTCGGGAAAATTCGCGGCTCAAGAATCGGATCTATCGTTAAAAAGTATTTCCTACTTCAGATTATTGATTTTTTCATAACTATTCATCATTATTACAATATGTCTTTTTCCAGTGCTCTAAAATCAATCGCTTCGTCATTATTTCTTCCATTTCGATATTAATACTCTCAATATTATAGAAGGTATTGAGTTGAATGATTTAAGGGACTACGCGAAGCGAGCTCGCGCCGCTTTTTAAAAACACCTGTATTTCATCATTTCTAATCAAATTTTGTGATTTTTCAGGTCATGTGTACTTTTTCTCCTCTTTCATCTCGAGTTCGAATCATTTTCATATGATTATTTTTGAATTCAGGAGAGAAAAGAGATGCTCATCTTTAAAGAGCATCAACTCCTAAACTACTTGTCACTTGAAGTTATAAATACCCTTATCGAAAAGCTCATTCAATTCTGACCGGGAATACGTTCGCGTGGTCTACAAATTTTATTTGTATCCGGTCAAAATCCGGGGATTATTGAAGTTACTCGGTGTGAAGCCGCTGTCGCGCAGCGTGGAGCGCGCCTATCCAGCGCAAATAGTGACAATACCCCGCCGCGCGAGGGGTGTCTCTTGATAAATCCTCTGATTACGATCTAACACAAATAAAATTTGAAGACCATGCGAACGTATTCCTGGTCAGAATTGAATGAGCTTTTCGATAAGGGTATTTGTAACTTCAAGTGACAAGTAGTTTAGGAGTTGATGCTCTTTAAAGATGAGCATCTCTTTTTTTCTCTCCTGAATTCAAAAATAATCTTATGAAAATGATTCAGACTCGAGATGAAAGAGGAGAAAAAAGTACACATGACCTGAAAAAATCACAAAATTTGATAAGAAACGAGGAAGTATAGCGATTTTTAAAAAGCGGCGCGAGCTCGCTTCGCGTAGTCCCTTAAGAGGGTAGAATATTCATTTACTCCGAATGTAAGAATGGAAGCAGAAACTAAAAAAGAAACCGCATCAAATATGCCCATCGTTGATTCATTGAACGAAACCCTTTTTAGAGTATTTTTTTTATTTATTACTTATTTTCTACTTTTGCTAATGGGTTATTTTACGAAATAAAGAGGGTAGCATCAAGGAGATGGATTGAGTGGGAAGTGATTAGTCCGCGGAATTAGAGCCGTTTCCACAAATTAGTCAACTTTTACGATCCTCCCCAAAAACCATAAACGACTACTTTGCATCCGAAAAATGTCACCGTCTTTACAATGCCAAGGCTGTCCAGCTAGCGAAGAAAATAGATGGATTCTCAAGCACAAAGAGCTACAAGTAGAAAGTTAAGATATCTTGCCTTAGTTTTTCTAAAGGAACCCATAAAGGTATCGTCCGGTCCCATAAACAACAGTATCATCACTTGCAATCACGTGAGATAATTTTTGAAGTTCACTTTCGCGCCGATCGATTTCTGATCTTGTAATGGATAAGTGAGCATAATTCTGTGATGTGGAGCGCAATTATGAAATTGCGTTTTCGCGCACGGCTGGAGGGCTCAGTTGTTCGACATGGCAAGCTTCTTTGAAATTAAAAAAAAAGAAGAAGAGATGAATCTATTTCTTCTAAATTTACTTTTTATTTACAGCCATGGCAACCCTTATCACAGCAGCAACAACCACAGCAACGGTAATGATACAAACAAAAATAATAGATACGTACAAAAGAAAGTAGGAGATACACGTTGATAATCGTTTGCGGATACCGGTTGTTTCTGCCGGTGGTGTAGCTGCTTCAACATCTGAGTTGTTAAGAACTATAGTTGTTATATGATATAAGTTATATCCAAGTTTACCTGGCGTACAGTCAGTAGGGTCGGCTGTATAGTTTGGTGGAGGAGATTCGCAGTTGTACTTGATAGAGTTATGAATTTGAAGAGGAAGATCAGGGATCGGAGCTTTTGTTTATATTAGTTAGATTTCTCTTGTCTGAAAAACCTGATCCCCATTGAGAAACACAGTCTTCGTAAGAAGGTGGTGCATCTGCAACACCTTTCATCTGATGATTCCCTGTGGGTTGATTCATGTTTCTTCAATGTATATTTTTCTCTATGGTTTGTGAGACTTAATGACCGGTTAGCCAAAATTCGCAGACTAGGTGAATGATTTCAATGTTTCGAGTTTGCATTACTCATCAAAGAGACTCATTTTATGCGGGTTTTTTCCATTCCGAGGAAAATTTCTTGATTTTATTGAAAAATATTTCTAGATTCTCTTCCATGATTTCAGTTCACTAAATATCTTCACAGAAAAGGTTTACTTTGTCTTCGCTTGTGACAATAACATTCGCCGAGACTTTGCCACTGACGGGGACAGTACAGTTCAACTGAGTCGGCACTTCGTCGATGAGCCACTCTAGAATGATGACTTCTTCCTCGACTCCATTCATGTCGATGTAAATATGAGAGGGGTCGATGTCCATTCGAGCAAATCTGACGGGAGATACGGAGGTCATTTTTGAAGTCGTCTCGCCGAAGAGCGAGATTTCGTGATTCAGCTGAGTTCCCATTTTCCAAATCGGCGAGCCAGAAAAGACGACGACGAGTTCACTGTAGTTCCCAACGTTTCTGTACTTCATTTCGTCTCCGTACTGTCCTTTGTAGTAAGAAAACTCGCCGGTATGAGTTACAGCCATGTAGTTTTTGGACTCTTTATGGGCTGGCTGATGGGAAATAAAAGGAGGGTTGCTTTCAGCAAAAGCCATGGTCAAATCAAAGAGGGTTTCGTTGGTGTCTCCGATCTGAGAGTACGTGAACCACTCCGTAGTTCCGTTCAGGTAGAGTTTTGTATCAAGCGTCCAAATGAGAATGTCAGGAATTGACGCGGGAACTGATGGCTTGAGAATTCTTCCGTCTGGCATCATCGTTCTGTTCAGCAATTTCATGTCCGTCTTCCCGATTTGGTCGCCGATACCAACTGGTCCGGTGGACAGAGTGGCGACCATCGCTTGTAAGTATGTTCTAAATTCGTACTTGTCTCCATAACGAGGATTGCCAGGCTGTTCTTTTGTAGTCCAGAAGACATCTTTGAACGGAGCCAAACCGAGAGCGTTCGAGTAGGTTGTGCTGATTCCGATGTCCCACTGACGATTTCCAGGGTGGTAATCGTCGGAAACGCGGATGATGGTGACAGCAGGGATTTCTAATGACTTTCAACCGGTTTATTCTTTGACAATTTTTATGTGCAAAAAACCATAAGTAGCGTTCATCTAAATCAAATGCATAATATTTTCTATACGGCTTTTTCGAAACTTTAATTATAGGATTAAGTAAAGTTGAGAAGAAAACTGATGCACGTCAATACAAATGATCCACAAATGTAGATTCTACATGAACATTAAGATAAACCCTTACTGAAGCATGTGTCTAGGCATAGCCATGCAATAGAGAATATTAATTCCGTGCTCTTCTGCAGCTTGACCCATCTGCATCAACCAGTCCCGTCCCAAAGTGGCACTAGTCGTCAACTCTTCCAACTTCTCCGTCTGTTTGTTTAGCCAATCCTGTTCATAGACCTTCAATCCCCAGGAAGTAGCATTCGCGAACAGATCTCGCCAAAAGTCGATCGTCGTCGGTAGCGCTGTCTCGTTCTCTCCTTTTTGAACGATAAAATCGTACTGACCCCCGTTTTGCTTTGCGTAAGACGTGCTTGCTGACCACCACCTGTTGTGAGCAGTAACTGGTAGATGCGTTTTCTCAAACGTTTCTTCCATGCCATTCGGGAAAACGCTCGGCATGGCTGTCCAGTTCACAACACCTATCAGTACACAAGTTCACTTATCGCAGCGGTTTACTTATCACAAACCTCCATGGTCCCCAGCGTCCTTGAAGTACCACCAAGAGTCGTAGTTCCAGGACTTTTCTCAGAGTTTCAAAAGTGCTGCTACTACAGTTTTTTCTACAGTGGCTTTTCTATTTGTTTTCTTTGAAAACTCTGGCTGGAATGGAATATCCTGTTTGGCAATTTTCTCAAGTTGATCTTCGTAGACGTCGTTTTGGTCAGTGTGGTAATAATAAAAGGCTCCGTTATCAGTCCAGTAACTCAAATAATTCGCAGTCATATCGGACTCCCGCTTATCCAGGGTCTTTCCATAGCGCTTTCGTAAGGTAGAGCCCAATTTGTCCATTCCTGCGGAGAAACCTTTGTCTAAATAATTGTTGGTGACAGTTGGTAGGGGTTGAAACTCACTGGAGTATGAAATTATCGTCTCTAACGAGAATCCAAAAGGTACTTCGTTTACTGATCCTTTATAGAGTTTCGAAGACGGAAGTGGAATCGGCTCATGCCTAGGCTTAGATTTACCTAGACCTCTGAACGCGTTAGATGTACAACACGAACACATGGCGGGGGTTGAACCGCGGCGGATCACACGGACCGGTTCTAAGGACTCGTAATTGCAGCCACCAGAAATGCGAATTTACAGCAATCCCGCGTAAGTGATTTGTAATGACAAAACTCAAATGACCGCTGTTGACCGATGGCGGTCGAAAAGAAGCACGGCAGACAAATGTTATTTTGCTTAGGCGAAAATTAAGGTCATGTAGATGATTGCCGCATTACAGAATTATAAACAAGGGAAAACGTGTTGGAAATGCCACCCGAGACATGAAGAAAATCATGATTTTCCCCCTTTTTTCTTAGAAACTCGAACCCATGAGCCCAAACCAAAGCTCATTGTAATAATCATTTTGCGCCACTTGAGTGTTGTGAACCATGAAGTTGGAGTACGAAGAGATAGCGAAGAACTGCCCCGCGTATCCTCGAGTGTAGTTCGCCTCGTCGAAGACAAAAAAGGGCCCTCCTTCGAGACCGCCGCACATGTCGGTCATGTTCTTCTGATCCCAGCTGCCTTTACGTAGGTCGGTCCAGCCTGTGTGATAGCCACAAGGGTTGATGTAGTAGGCGTCGCTTTCTTTGGGCACCTTGACTGATGGAAAGGACGTGGACACTCGATCTCGGTCGTAAATCGACATGTTCGGATAATTCGGAAAGAAGTGTTGCCCGAAGACGACCGTTTCAAGGTCGTTGTAGTTACGCATGTAGACGTGTGCCTCTACTCCCTAAAAAGAAAGAGAAAGAAAGTCAACAATCCTTTTGACTAGAAATTGCTTCAATCAGGTCTTCTTGCTCTTAGATGAAGGATTTTAAAATAAAAGGAAGCTACGCTTTTGTAGCCTCAGTCAAAAATTTGTTGTTCTAAACGTAATCTATCGTTCTGATAAAAATTTTCTGTCAAAATTTCGGCGCACTATAAAATATAGGTTCTATTTCAAATTGAGCCTATTATGGTGTTTATATATGTAGAATTTGGTACATTCAATTCCTCTTCTTCTGCAAAAGTGCTTCCTAGAAATAAGTTATAGAAGAGGTCAAAAACCTCCGCAAAAATTGAGATCATTCGTTAATATTAAATTGATTCAAAAAAGTTATCCACCGAATATCCGAAATTTACTTGAATGAGGCTAAAAAGAGCACATTATGGCTATTTTATGTTAAAGCTGCTCTAGAAGATTATGACCGAATGATTTTGAAAAAAGATTTCTAAATTGACTCAAAATGCAAAGTTTTAAAAAATATAAATTTTGCTAAAAAATCAGGCGATTACGGTGCTTATTTTTTTCTATAAAGAACCAAGTTGGCTCTATTAAAAATTTGTATTGACGGATCTTACGTCCACTGAAGAATATGATTAAAATAACACCTATATTATTAAATATTTGAATGTAGGGAACAAAATTTATGTTATGGTCTCTCTGTACATTTAACAATTAGTTTTATTGACACCGCATTATATCAAATATCTTTATCAGACGGTAAGTACCGTCTATAGACAGTTGTCTATAATGCCTATAATAATCACTATAAAATGTCCAAAAAAAGACAGGAAAACAACTGTAAAATATTGCATTTTCATCAAAATTGGCTCCAGAGCAGACAGGAAATGAGGGCTTTCTGGAAGCAACCGTACTAATTTTGAGGTAAAAAAGTCTTACGAGATGGACCGGATGTGAGCTAAAGTTGCTCCGTACGTCTATCGCACCTATCCGTTTTTCGAGTAATAAGGAGCACATAGCTCCTAAGCAAAAATTGTTATTTGTGTTTAATTACGAGTTGTCATTAGTATCAATGCTTGTATCTGACCTAGACGATAACCAAAAACTCTATATTGAAGGAAAAAAGCCGGCACTTATGGTGCTTTACCTTCGGCGGAGCAAGCATCACGAAGACAGACTCATCATAAGCGCCAATTACGTCCTCTCCATATCTGTGCATTTGGACTAGGAAAATATTTCATCTCAGAAGTTTGGGGCACGTGTTGAAAAATTACCGGGTACGACTTCCAGTTCTCCGTTAATGGTATTGTAGCATTCGCCATTCTGGCAGAGCATGTAATGTCCCGAATCAAGATACGCTCCCTCATCGCCACGGATGATCCACTGGCCGTTGGGGGTCACGTCGAAGTGGTACGCCGCCGCGAAAATCGGCAAAAAGAGAAAGAAAATCATGGTTTGACTCTTCTGACTGTTCTGACCCAAATTTCATCAGTTATATATTCTGCAATAAAATTTGGGCGTGGTGATACTTGACTTGAGTATTTGAACCGGAGGTAGTTACCTTCCATTCAATTTTTATTGCTCTTTATTTGCCTGCGATTTTGCAAGAGACGAAATTCGAGAGAGCAAGAGATTTTTGAGTTTTTATAAGATGATATTTTTGTTTATTTATATACAGAATTTTTATGAAAAAAAAACAAACCTTTTTGGTCAGATCGTTAGCTGGATGGATGGAAACATGGCGGCAGAAGAGGATCTTCTTCTTTGTTCATTTTCTTGGTCATCCACCTTCAGTGTCGCGGAACTTTTTCAAATTTACAAAATACAAGCAATTACAGATGATTTTTTCTAGACAAATTTTACATTGACCTCCTTGGAAAAAATGGTCAAATTTTTAAAATTGTCCAAAGTCGTTTAAGCTTTAGGACACTAGTTCTTTTAGTTCTCGCCGACGACTGAGTACACGTGGGGGTTTCCTTCCTCGTTGACGACGACCTCGCCTCCTCGTCCGCTGCACTGACCGGCTGGCACTACTGAAAAGTTTTCGACAAAGTTCTCGCTATCCAAGAAGCTCTGGCTTCGGCAGCATTCGCTGAAGTTGACATCGTATGGGTATCTGAACAGAGAGTTTGCTGCTTGCCTCGGGATCTTTAGGAAACCTGTTGGGGTAAAATCCACAGCAGTTCTGTTTGTCGTGACCGTGGAACTGCTTGTCGCAGGACGCATTGTCCTGTGGGTTGAAAGAGCCGCCGCCGTTGATAGTTCGGAATTGCTCGTCCATGCAGTGGCTTCCCCAGAGCTCGTCATCGGGCTCGTTAGCAGCGCAGTCCTATGTTGATGGGTTAATGAGGAGCAATTGGAAGTTACTGGTGTTAATGAGTATTTTAGGTATTTGAGGAGAATTCTTACCTGTTCGGCTTTAGCAATGTTTTCGGCGAATCGTTTGTCGCATTCACAAACGTTTTCACCGTCCTGTTTTGGGTTGTTCGAGCAGTCGAGTTGTCTGTTTCCGGCGGCGTCTTCGGTGAAATCGACACTGTAGGCAACATCGGTGTAGTTGGCGGAGTAATCATTGAGGACGCACTTGTAGCATCTGTAGAGTTCTTTGCAGTGGTGATCAACCATGTCCTTGGTCTTTCCACCGCCGATGACGCCGTCGGCTGTGCCTTGAATCCAGCAGTAGCATCCGTAGTTGGTCATTTTTCCTTCAAGAGTTGTGAGCTCGCTTTCAAAGTCAGCAAGTGTGGCTGGATTTGTAGAGTCGGAGCCAAAGTTCTGCAAATAGAGCATCATAGTAGCCAGTGGTCGGAATCCGGCTTCTCCGTCAATGTCTGCTCGGCGATGACGCGGCGAACCGGTCATGTCCGAGATCCACTGTCCGGTCAGTGCTCGTTTCACGTCCGACTGGTGCATGACTGACTTGGCATAGGCTGCGGCGAGGAACGATGTGAAGATTTTCTGAAACAATCTCTTTTAAAATTTTGCTCGACGAAGCAAACATAGCTTTTATAGAAGTCTTTTTTATAAAATTTTGACAAAAAATAATCAACTTACCATTTTCTGCGTTCTGTTAAATTTTCTACTCTCTCGAATTCGACTGAATAGTGAGTGACTTAAAAAAAGTGTTTCGTTTCTTATATACCTCCGCCGAGAAATGTCCGATGCGCGATTCCTCCGAGGGCGCTCGTAAGCTTCGCGCTCGCGAAATGAGCGCGCGGTAAGACGGCGCCGCGCTGCGAAAAAGTCCCGATCGCCATCTACTAAGCTCTAGTTTTCGAGGGCTGCGAGATTCCGCTCCTAAAGGACATGGATTTCCGCGTTATGCTAGCTCTGGGCCCTTATCGCAAGGTTAAAATCAGTATCATGCAAGCTCTCATTTTCCAGTCGGAATATATTAACTGTGAACGTTTTTCTGTAAATCCGCTCTGATAAGGGTATCTAAACAGAACTCGAGGATTTATCTTATCAAACGTAGAATATATCTCGACTCAGCGAACATCTATTTCATAAATATCATCGAGTTTCGTGAAGGTCTGTAATATCTATTTGCTTTTACTGTGATAAGCGATCTCCGCAGGACTTTATCTTATGAATGTCTTCCAACGTCAAGTTTCCGACCCGCTTACGGCTTTGAAGCTGTGCAAACTCAACTAAAGAAAAGTGACAAAACAACTGTATAAATTCATTACAGATGAAGAGCTTTTTATTTCTCACAGTGGACAAAAGGAAAAATTAGAATTCTAGTCGTCGTAGGGTCCGTCTCGTTCAATCATCACCCAGACATGATAGAACATTTTTCTAGAATTTATTATCATGAATCATGATTTTAAAAAAGATGCTCTTACCCATCATCCTCCGAAAATTTAGGCCGTAAACCGACTCTATCAAAGAATTCCCTGAAAGTTTCATCCTCGCTTGCGTCGAAGATCTTCCCCTTCTCTTCCTATAAATAGCTACGTAAAGTAAAGAATGATTGTCAGGTGACCTTTTTTCGCTTGATTTCTGATAGTTCATGAGCGTTCCATTTGAATTCTTCGAGCCTCGTCAGTTTTTCATCCATTTTAGTATCTTTCAAGAGGTAAATAGAAAGCCATGTTAGAGTCTTAATTTAGATTAACAAATTTTCAACCTCGTCCCGAAAAACGTCGGCCAAGACCATCTAAACGGCACATTCGCGTTTCTAACTTGATGAAACGTTGCAGGAATGACTCCGTACGTAAGGTGCTCGAGAAGATTTCCAAAGTTGACGACGAAGGTATCCTTGATGGGCGGAATAGAGAACCACTCGTCTTTGGACATTGCTTCGAGCCCGCCAGCGTCGTCTTGCATCAAAATCGTTATGAAAGAGTTGTCGAAGTGGCCCCGAAGAGACCACCTTTATGGTGGAGTTTGCTCGTAGCAGACTACGTTTTGGGATCCCTGCGGCTCTTAAATGAGTGAATAGGGTTTCAAGAAAACAGCATTATACCGAGTCTATTTGACAGCCGTCCTTTTTCAAGACCAAGAGCAGTTTCAAAGAAGCAGAATAGTCGAAACGCAAGCTTGGAAATTTCACAGATATACTTGTGAAACAACGAATCAACGTATTCAACGTCAATGGAAGCATCCTTTTCCACAATTCCAACGAAAGGGGGCAAGTCAAAAGCTGTGTCGCTGTGAACTAGTTTTCCTTCGTATTCTTGAAGCTCTTTTCTTTTCGACGGCGAAAGATGGTAGAAATCGTAAGTGACCTGCTTTATCTCTTGAATAAGTGTTTTGTCGACTCCGTGACTCGAAATGTACATAAATCCTGTGTTCACCAGCGCTAGGTACAGTTTTTCTACTTCCTCGGGATTATGTGAGAGCACTTCAAGGTCGATTATTGGAGCGTGGTGAGCTTTTTTCGCCCGAGCATCTTTGAATTTTTCCTCTGCTGTTGTTTTTTCCATTGAACTTCTCGTTTTCTATCTCTAAGGCGACAAAATCGCGATTTCTTATTTAGTATAAAAAATCTATTGGCTTGGTCGGAAATGACGAGACTCAACCCTGCCAACTATCGTTACGGTAATTCTATCGTTGCTAGATCTCTGTCTTTGATATACAGTAAATCACTTCTGTGACGATTTCCGGTGATGTTCTTTCGAACGATAAATAAAACGTCAGCCGAACGCGCTCCACGGAAGACATTCAAGAGACAAAAGCTGGGCGGCGATAACCTTTGGCTTACTTCATAACATTTACTGAATATGCCCGGCAGTTCTTGAGAAGTCATTTTCAGGGTGAAGATAATTTCATTAACGTGCACGTGAAGTGTCTTTCCCTCGCATATCTATCAGTTTCGGCAAAACTGGACGAAATTCAATCTCTGCCTCAAGTTGATACTTCGAGCCTCGAAGTTCGAGGACGACCAAAGCCAAGAGCCTGAACCACAGAGCGTTCCACTTTCCACATTCCGATCAGGCTTCGTGAAATAATTACGCAAAGAGATCGGCTTCAAGATCACATTGCTAGATGCCTAAAATACCAGTTTATTATAAGAACCAGTATATTTGATTCATAAGTAAGACCTTTGAAGACTCTTGATGGAACTTTCACAAAGATTGAGCAATAATAGATGGTATCAAATGTGAATAAGGAGTACAGAGTAAGCAGGGGTGTTCATATGTGGAAACGGTCCAAAAATAAACAGGAAGTACTTCTTAGGTAGAAATTATTACACCGTAGTTATTTCCGCTTTAGACCCTATATAATCAACCCGAGACAACTCAAGTCATCAAAAAAAAAAGTTGATTTTTAAGATGAGCGAAACCAACAACGACCAACAAGATCGACCTCCCCACCATCGACGAGTCGGAGACGAGGAAGATCGACCTCCTCACCATCGACGAGTCGGAGACGAGGAGGATCGACCACCCCACCACCGACGAGTTGGAGACGAGGAAGATCGACCACCTCACCACCACCACCGACGAGTTGGGGACGAGGAAGATCGACCTCTCCACCATAGACGAGTCGGAGACGAAGAAGATCGACCTCCTCACCATCGACGAGTCGGAGACCAGGAAGATCGACCACCCCACCATCGACGAGTTGGAGACGAGGAAGATCGACCTCCCCACCATCGACGAGTCGGAGACGAAGAAGATCGACCTCCCCACCATCGACGAGTCGGAGACCAGGAAGATCGACCACCCCACCATCGACGAGTTGGAGACGAGGAAGATCGACCTCCCCACCATCGACGAGTTGGAGACGAGGAAGATCGACCTCCCCACCATCGACGAGTCGGAGATGAGGAGTAAGGCCAATGAAATCATCTTGCTTAGGAAAACGGACCCCCGCACCGGAACAACAACCTGATCTCTCACTTTATCCATTTCTTTATTTCTCTTTCATTATTTGTTCAATATTTTTATTTCTTGAAAATTTTGGATGAATAAATTCCCTAGCAAAAAAAAAAAACAAATTTTTCAAGCATTTTTCATCAGAATTATTATCGAAAAAAATAGCTTTATAAATTTTACGGACATTATATAGAGCTTGGCAGGTATAAATGGAAATTTTAAAATCACCCTTCATTGAATGGAGGGCCTCTATCATGAAAATTAAGGGCAGGGCTTGGATCAAATATCTGCGATGAGATTCTGACGGGTACATTAATCGATGATGTGCGACAATGAGTCTGCAGCTTTTTAGAAGCCCTCCTGTATGTTCTATTAATCCGACGCGAGCAGGTTTTGTATCTGAAGAAAAATTCCAATCCGTTAGAATTAGACACCTTCACAAACATTTTGGCACGCTTCTGTTGTATATTTAACAGAATAAAGAAGAGACAACAACACTTGCGCAGCATTTGTCTCAATTCGTGAAATTGGGTTAGAGCGTTGGCCATTCTAATCCAGAACGGTAACCAATTATACCTGTGCTTGAACTGAGTTCATTGTCCAGCAAAAAAAGCCACGTTATGACGGTTTTCAACGAAGCATTGGCAAATTCAAATTCAAACAAGGCGTTTCTTGGAAAAGCTCGTCAATTGGAGTTGTCTACGCTTTTCTGTTGGTAGTACAGGATCAGTAGCTCACGAAAATCGCGCTTTAGGCTCCTTGCGCGAAGTGCTCTCATTGAGAAGAAAAACAACGCACCCTTTGGTTTTCCGAGGGTTACAGGTTTTACCTAAAAGTTTGTGAACCCGCACTCTCTTCGCAAAAACACTCCTTGATCTTCAAACAAGGCGCTCAAACTCACGTTTTTCTGCTGATTATCTTCAGTATTCAATATTCATGCAATACATTACTGTATGAATTGAATTCTGAGAGCCGCTGATCTTTTCCGAAAAATGAACTCTTCTGCTTGGCTTTGTAGAACTAACAATGTCATGTTTTGCATGTGTCAAAGTAGATTTATATTTTCTCAGCTGACAAGAAATATCGGCTTAGCTGCAAGAAGTTTACGGTTGGCATGTATTTTTCAGAATCCGTTGTCAGACTCTTATATTGCTCCCTATTGAACAGAGAGATGCTACGGTGACCGTGTGGTCTAGTTCTTTCTAGTAGAAATTGATCATCGGATAAGCGATTCGTCTTGGAGATTCAGCCATCTAGGCGAAGATCTCTCTAACGTGTCATCAAGCCATTTTTCTTGCGTCATTTTTAAATTTATATCGCCATGAAGTTCCGTAGAGGTTGTCTTAGAACTGGTAAAAGTACTTCCCAGGCTATTTACAGCTGGTTTTTTGAGTCTACCAGCTGAAAATGATGATTAATTGGTAACGTGTACTTCTAGTTCGTCAAGTTCCGTAATACCCTTCGAGTACTGCGAATTCTCGAGTCAGTCTTCTTCTCCAGCGGCTGTCAAAGTCAAGATCGATTGCTCCTTTCACGAAATTTCCGTGAACGAAAATTCGTTCTAGGTCAAAAAGGGCGAAAAAAGGTTCCGGCAAAACTGGAGTCTTTTGTTACCAAGGTTTGTTTTTCTTGTTGATTTTCGTAGTTATCTTCATGCAACTTGAAAAGAAGGACGTTCATTTTAAGACGAAACCGTTTAGCGCCTAAACGTAAGCCCGAGCGACTTTGATCTTTAGTCTTATTTAAAACAAGCACCTTAGAAAACATCCAGCGCTGTCTCTTCAAGATCCGTCCTGTCGCTTTTTTGACGTCTCCATTAAATTACGTAGCGAGCCATCTATCAGGAGGACTTTTGACGTGAATTTCAATAAAATCAAGCTCAGAAAAAAAGATCGAAAAAAAAGAAAAAAACTTTTTTACGGCCTTTTTGAACTGATTTATCTTGAAAGGTTAAATTTGGAACTGTGTCAAAAGGAAAAAAAGCTATTTCTTAGGACGCATTACACAGATATTAAACTGAAAACTTCCTTATCACAAGCTTGGGGTCGTTTATACAACACCAACCGTTTGTGGTTCTGATAAGCATGGATCTAAACTAGAATTAAGCAAAAAAGGTAGATATGGATAAGCGTGGTTATCGTAATTTTGTTAGACCGTTGGGGAATTTAGGCGACCATTCATTTTGGTGGAGAAACCGGCACTTTTCGAAAAAAAGGAGTGACAGTCGAGACTTGGCTCGGCAACCTGTGTAGAAAGCCAGAGTCAGGGTCTGAAAGAACTGAACTGCTCGGCTTTTCATTTCAATTCTTTCAGACCCTGACTGAGGCTTTCTACACAGGTTGCCGAGCCCAGAGTCGAGATGACTGAATATTAAATTTCACGTCTAATAAAATTATTCATTCATTGAATCAATCAGTCTCTTTCGCTCTGTTTTGAAATAAAACATCGATCGAGCTGTCTTAAACGGGTTGACCTTCGGGTAAGGAGTGTCTTAATCTATTTAATGAGGAAATAAAATCAGTGTTAGTTCAAGTCGAACATCGATACAGAAAGACATCTTTTTAACTAGACTTTTTTTTTAAATTCGAAATAGTCTAGCAATAAAATCACGATTAAATCAGCTTCAAATAAATATGATAAGCCATAATATTGATCAAAATAAACGGTATTTAGTTTTACCCATTCTTTAAACGTGTCTCTATTTGATTAATTATTTTCGTCGATTAGTAAAAAAGTGCATGAAGGGGAAAAGATTCATGAATCATCATGTAAGTCAAAAATCGAGACTGCTATTCCAGGAAATACAGAGGATCGTCTCTGTTTTATGTAAAAAATTGGCTATCCTTGGTGACCATAATAAACGAGACGCTTTTTCTCGATACAGGCAAGCACTTTTACCAAAACTTTCTAGTAATTCCTTCAAAAGATAACCAAGACAAATCTCCAGATTACAAGAAACGATCGATCAAGGGAGGCGGTTTCTTGTCTGGAAGCAAGGATCAAGATGGATGGAGCCGAGCGGCAATGGGTGTCCTTGGATCTAATTATCCCGACGGAGATTATTCTTCGCAATTACGTCGCGAAGAGTTCTAAGCGCGGCGATTTTCTTTGACGATTTGGAGGACCTCTCGCTCTGAAGAAAAAACGCCATTCGTGAAGCTATCATAACACCTGCGCATTAGTGACAATGGAGCACATGAGAAATCGCCTTTGACTTTCAAGAATGAGCTCTAATCTATGTCATAAAAATGGCTTTCTTCCCGTATCTGGGACACATCCATCGACGGTTAAAATGGCCCCTGACAGATTTTATCTTTGAGATATTCTTTGAAAGTTGAACTTCCAAGTTAGAATCGAATTTGAGCATCCGAAATTGCGATGACTAGTTTAGACAGTAAATTACTTTTTAGAACTTGTAAGAGATAAGCCGATGTTTAATGCATCCTCAAAGTCTATTAATTTCCATTTGAGTAAACCTCAAGCTTATTATTTTTTGGAACGGAACTCTTTTGAAGCTATAATTTTAGAATAAACCATCATAAAGAAATGAAAGGCTTCTTCCTTATCATAAGACATTACCAAAGAGCCTATTATATTCCATAAGAATATACCTTTATGAGCAAAATGAATGATTCTCAAAGAGATTATGCTTGAAGAAAAATGTTTTTCTTAAGAATTTTTAATTTCGATAAGACGCTAAGACTTCAAGAAAAAAGGGGCGATAAGACATTCAAAATCCGCTTTACGAACATTCAATCAGATTCTCTCGCTGCACCGTGAAAAAATGGAACGCGTGTAAATCATTCCCTCACGGATTAGCCTGACGTGCTCAAATCTGGACCCTTCTGATAAGGCATTAAACAAAACCGTTTTTCGGGAATTTTTAAGATAACAAAAAGTCCGAGCTCCTTCGCCTGTCGAGATTCCGGAACGGATCAGATTCTTTTCCCGGAGGTCGCTATTCCGGCTCAACATCGTCGATGCTTTTTTCGGACATCTTTGATCCTGAGTTTTGAATGTGATCTGGGTCTTAGAGGAACAAAGTCTAATGAATCGTGTTCAGTTGAGTTTTCCTCGTTGATTTTAAGAAAAAAATGTTAATAGTCAATTCAGAATAGATTATTTGAAGTAATTAGTTTCGACTAAAAATACCAGAGCTCCATGTCAGGGAATCTTTAATCATGTCCCTGAAAACATTTGCTATCAACAGGCAGGTACAGAACTTATCATGCTGCAGATAACTTGCTCCCATTTTTTATCATTTTTTTTTACTTCGAGTCATTCTTCTCGCAAACGCTGATGAGCAGCCCCCGCCCAAGCTTAGAAGTGATAGTGTTCACGAAAGAAGCCCGAAAAATTTTTCTACAAACAGATTTTTTGAAAATTTTCAGTCCAACGGGCCGATATTTATCCACAAATTGTTTCATCTTCACGGTCCTGTATTAGACCTAGCGCTAAAAGCCTGAATAAAAGCTTGTTTTTACTTTGAAGGAAAAATAAATATTCGAGAACTGAAGTTTTCCGCGAAAATTTTAGCGCTAGAATTTAGGCCAAAAGACTGTTTATTCAAAAAATATTTTCTTAACTTTTTTTGATTTAATTTTTTGATTTTTTTAATGAAATTGAAAAGTGACTTTGGCAAATCGAATTGGTAATGAATTTGTTTTTGTACAATTTTTCACGTGTCTATGAAGTTTCGCGTTGTTTCGCGGGCAACGTGAATTTGTGCGTTTTGGATGATCAGCCCGTGCAAATAATTTAAGGCAAAGGCTATTATGTAACGCGGTTTAAACAGATCTTGGGATGAATAAATTTCTTCTTTGATTGGATTTTGGCAAAGTTCACTCGCCCTGCCCTAGAAATCAAAATCGCCAAAAGAAAGGAATAAGAAGAAAAATCGCAGAGAAAGATTACTGTGTATTTAAACGTCAAAGAATGCAGTCTTGCTAGCACGTTTC